GCAATTGCGACTGTCCTGAGTTGTTCATCAACCTGCAACACGAAAAAAAAGAAGCCGATCGAGCTTGAGGAGTGCCTTTGCGCCTAAGATGATAGGGAGGGGTATGGGGTAGATAGATGGAGGACGATAAGGGGGCAATGATGAGACGTAGAGAGAGTACCTATCTATGGAACTATCTCTCTAGTGACTATCATGGAAAAATCACTAGGACCCAAGGTGAGGATACCAACCGCAGCCAGCTGACCGGGCTTCCAGTTCTGGACGGTCACGAATTTCTTTCGGGTCGAAAAAAAAACCGCTGAATCCCGCATTTTGGGGAGGTAGCGACTCGCGAGGGATAGCTATCTTGGCAGGGAAATAAACGGCTGCTACGAAGTTATTTGACTCCTACTTTCAAGTGGACATTTTGAATCTATGGATCGGGCCAAAGTGGATGAGGGCAGATCCGTAAACCGGTAAATCCAGCTCTCGCAATGATCCGTACAGTAGTTACTAGATAGTCGGTGTCCATTATTATTGTCCAATGTCCAACCTACTTCCATCTTCATCCGAGGCAGAGCCGTGGTCGGACAACCGCCTCTTCCTCTCCTGCGCGCATCACCAATAACGAGTTATTAGGTAGTTGACCCCTCAATAATCAGTGCTCAACTCACGAATCAAGGCCTGGATTTGAACAACACCCAGTTTTTTTTTTTTTCTTTATTCTTTCTTCCCGTCATAGGACATCGGTTATTCCCAGAAATCCTTCAAACTACGGAGTAATTGAATATCTACTCCGTAGAGGTGCTGGGAATCGTGCAATGGGCGCTCGATCACTCGACTACAGAACAGGCAATCTAGCTTGATGCACAGTGATCTCAAGCCAGAACGACCTGCATTATTGCTGCAGTCCTGTGCACCACTGCACACCCCTCCTTTGCTGTCCTTTCCCCCCTCCCAAACCCGAATGGCTGAGAACCTGCTTGTTGGTGTGGTCACTGGTCAAGATGCAGATTGCAGTTGCTGGATGCTCCACTCTTCTTGCGCCTCTTGATATCCATGGTACTCCGTAGTTACGGGGACACTAACTACTACTTAGTTATAGCAAGCTAGCTAGACTACGATGGCTTCAAGACTCCAGGAACTTGGGAAGACTCAATTCATTTTGATAGTGCAATGAAAATCGCTCATAGAGGTGGTCTCAAAAGAATCATGGTTATGGACACTTCATTTTAGAAGTCCTTACTACTTTACCACCGACCTACGTAGTAGCACTTACTATCCATCCCGATCTCTGCCTATCCTTCCTCGTCATCGAATCCACTCCTTTCCCCGCGCTGACCTGCAAATCCCCATCACTAAGCCTCCTTCCAAGTAGTTTCGGTTTCACACTTGGATGGATCTCTCTCCCGTGTCTTTCTCGAGTCCACTGCCAGTCCCCCCGAGATTCTCTCTAGTTAGTTCTCCGTCGTTACTAACTAGTTACTTTTAACTTATCATTGTTGATGATGATCTTTCAAAGTCATGGACGAAGCTAACGACCTTCCCCACCCTTCGGGAGTCCTGGGATGCCCATGGTCATTGGATGATTGATTCTCCAGATCTGGGTCACGCATTAGTAACCCTCAACCATCTTAGGTGAGGTGATCGATGTGCATGTCAAGTGTCAAGTGTCAAGATTCGGAGAGCAAGCACACAACGATCAGGAAAAAGAAAACATCAACCGTCATAAATTCGAAGGTTAGGTTACTTGGATACCTGAGTTTCCAGATAATCCACAACCCCAGAAAGTGAAACGCAGGGTACCTGCTTCTGCCATCCCCGTGGGTTTCTCTCTTGACTGTATCTTCTGTGTAGTTACTGTTAGTAGTAGTACTCTGTAGATAAATAGATAGATAGATAGGCACCAAGAACTAAAAAAATAATAATAATAAAGTGTCCTTGTCCGTCTGTTCTGCCTCAGCCGTATCAATGATTTATTTTTTCATCTTTTCTTTTCTTTCTCTTTTTTTTTTTCCCCTGGGAGTTGATTGATTTCATTTTCATTTTTTCCTCCCCTTTCCAGGCCTGTCCTGTCGATTACTCTTCAACTCCTTCGTATCTTGCCTTCCTTCTCAACTCTCACATGAGCCCATCATCCGTTGAACGCCTCAGTCAAAAAGTCATCATGGAGACTTGGTGCCTCTTGGCTCAGCTCTCCAAGTGCCAGATGGCCAGTAGTAGTCCCAACATGAATGAACGCTAGCTAGCTTCATGGATCCCGCGCGATGGCCTCATGGATGGAGATCCACCGTCATCCTTTCCCAGAGTCCCAGAGTCCCAGTCTCATGGCCTTAGCCTTAGGCCCTTGGGAATCACTAGTTGCAGCTAACTAGCAAGGCTATTAACTATGTACTGGGCCTCCACCCGAAGAACACTCTTCCCAATAGAATCGCCTTTCCCTTGCCACCCCACCCTCCTTCTCTGGTAGTGGCTGACTGGCCACTTCTGCTCAGGCCTACAGTAATAGTACGGTCTAACTAGTAAGTCATTAGATCGATACCTCACTACCGGATTACTCTTGGGTTGTTCCCTCCCCCCCGCCAGTAGTAGTCTAACCGAGACTACCCAAGCTGCCCATCAGCTCCCGTACAGCTATCTACACAGTATCTATCGACTCCATGAAAGGCATCGACATTCGATATTTAGTGTATCTTCCTTAGTTCAACCCAGATTCCACATCATACTGACTGGCCTGTTGTACAGAGTTGTCCGCTATTCCATGATTCGCCGCCATTATTCGGTTTTCTTTTTTTATTTTATTTCCCATTATTTTTTTTCTGTATGGTGTATGGTCTGCAAAGAAAGGGAGAAGAGATCCAGGGGAAAGCCATGATGTAGACTCGAAAATAATGAATGGAATAAAGAAATCAAAGACCCATTTGCAAAAACAAGCACAGCTTACGTTACCAGTATCCTCGATCTTCCTGCAGCATTAAAGTGAATCTCTCTTGCTTGAGAACTGACCTACCTATGACTTTCTTGTTCTTTATAAATATCAAAAAAAATTACTCTGTACTCCCAATCGATCTCTCCCCCCTCCTTCTCATAGCAAGGGTATGATATATCTATAACATCCCTTTCCTCCCCAGACCTCAGACCATCTTTTCGTTGTTTTCTTTCGTTCGGGTGCGCGGGGGAAGCAACAGCTGTTCCCCTTTTTTCATTTTTTTTTTTTTTTTTTTTTAAAATAAAATAAGAAATATTTTATTGTTTTTTACATGGCACTGGTGGCTGATGCCCATCCCAAAGTGGATATAATCGGCTGACATTCCTCCTGCGATACAGTCACAGAACAGCCACTACTTCACCACCAGTTTGATTGCTATTATTTCACCTCTCCTTGCTCTTTTTTTTTTAAAGAAAAAAAATTGATATTTATCATTATTATTCAGGTTCATTTATTCTTTTCTTCTTAAGAAGAGAGAAAAACAGAATAATAATCTTAATCATTAAGAAAAGAAGAAAAAAAAAGAAAGGGTACAAAACAGGAGCTGATAGCCTGATAGCCAGTCCAGAACACCCAGAAGCTTTGGTTATTACCAGCCCCAGTCTCTGTGTGCGTGTGTGTGTGTGTGTGAGGGAGTTCGGGTCATGGTCAACCTATAAGGTAGACTACAAAATACGATCCGATCGCTGTCCGTGGAACCTCCAGACATCCCCCTTCCCAAAAAGAAACCAAAGAACCAGAGAACGCAGAAGAGCAGAGCTCCAGTCGACCCAACTTTTGCTAGCTGGCCAGGCTGTCTTCCAGTGCAGTCTTCTCTTTTCGCTCTTTGGGTCATCAATAATCATCGCCTGGGTTCCAGCTCTTCCCCCAGTTTGGGTCTTCAGATCGATCACGTCGTTCTTTTTCATCGGTTTTTTTTTTTTTTTTTTTTGTTTTCGCGGAGAAATTGAAAAAAACAACAAAACAACGATCCTATACAGACTTCCGACCTACAGAGTACGCCCACACAGTTCTTCAAACTATTACCTACCTACCTTACTCTATTAGGCGTTTTCCTGCTGTTACAGACTACGAAGTTACCAGATACCAGATACCAGTTACCAGTTACCGTATTGCCGCTACTCCAGCCTACGGAGTACTGCTGCTACTACTCCTAGCCTCCTAGTTACAGCGAGACTGGGTCCGTGCTAGGCGTAGATCCGGGTTGCAGAAGTCGAAACTTTGGTAGACTTTAAACTCTCTCCAGAGTCCAGAGTCCAGAGAGGGGGAAAAAAGAAAGATTGGGCTACTAGCCTACTACTGCTAGTCTAGTCTACTGTTGACTAGCCTACTACTCACTTACTTATCTCCAATCTGTCTCGCGCTTATTATTTGGCACCCATTGATCCTCTTCTACGGTTCATCCTTGGCCGTGTGAGCTCTGAGCTTCCACTCCCTGCGCCCCCGGAGTGTCATTGCTGCTACTATTACTACTCGACTACTACTGCTACTACGACTACGACTACGACTACCACGACCACCCAACTATAGCGACGACGACAGGACGACTCATCGTCATCCTTTCTCACCCACCCCCCTTCTCTCGCCTTTTTTTTTTTTTTTTTTAACCTTCCAGAGCTTCCGTTCTTCTGGATTTCTCTTTCTCCCCACCCCTCTCCTTCTCTCTCTCTCTCTCTCTCTCTCTCTCTCTCTCTTCCCCCTCTTCCCGATAGCTTCTTCATTCACGTCAGTCTGAACTCAGAGAGTGTCACCCTTTCAAGCAGTCGCGCAATTTGCTCCTTCTCCCCCTTTTTAACTTGTGGGAATATCCCAATCCTAGCTTGAATCGCTCGGAAACTTTGACCAGCAGTGGTTCAACTTTGATTTGGATTTTACCATTGCGGCCCCTGGCATCTAGGTTCAAACCTACTCGACATCCGCGAATCCAACAGATAAGGAGAGAGCCAACACTCACACGCGCATACAATACCGAAACCCTCCCCACCCTCCCCCAGAAAAGGGTAAATAATAAGAAAAAAAAAGAAGAGAAAAGATGGTGAACGGCACCACGGCGGTATTGGAGCCCACATTCTCGGGATACGTCGCCACGACACAGGATGCCTTGATTCTGTTCGAAGCGTGTCTGACAGGCGTTCTACACCACGTTCCTCGTCGACCCCATGACCGGGAAAGGAGCCATCTCGTCCGGAGCGGCAGTGTGTTTATTTACGAAGAAAACTCGTCCGGGATTAAGCGATGGACGGACGGGGTAACATGGAGTCCTAGCCGGATCCTGGGCAATTTCCTGGTCTACCGGGAGCTGGAGAAGCCGTTTCCTCCCGGTGAGAAGAAACGCGCGATGAAGAAGGCGAATCGACGACCAGTGCCGTCTACACGGCCCGGGGAGCCCTATCCGCGGCAGGACAGCAACGGCGGGTCGTATTCGCCCTCGTCGACAGCTGGACCGTACGGGGATCGATCACATCAATCGGACGTGGAACGGGCGCTGGTCGGGTCACTGGTCGATTCATACGGCTTTAAGGACTCGGGACTGGTGAAGAAAACGATGAGCGTGACCGTCTCGGGTGTGACTCATCACCTAGTATCGTACTACAGTGTGGAAGATGTGATGCGAGGCGCCCTGAATCCGCCATCGATGGTGGAGTCGCTGCGATACATCCGTCCGCGCGCGGAGCTGACTCAGAAGCAGAGCTTCCGCGCACCAATCGATGATCTGGAGACCGGCACAATGGAGAACCCGAATGATCCGTCTCATGCCCTGTATGGATATCGCCCGCAGCTGATGGCACCCCCGGGATACGGCATGCCCAATCCTCACCCGGAATTCTACATGCACACGGCGCCCTACACCGCTTCTCATGCACCACAAACTGCACCCATTTCCGGATATTCTTTGGGGGCATCGATCTCCGCGCAACCTGCCTCGAACCCGTATCTGCCTGCGCCTTCTGCGCCCACCCAGATTCCGCCGAAGAGCGAGGACTACTCCCACTACCGAGCGGCCAACCAAGTACCCGCTCAGTATGGCACCAGCTTCGACTCGGTCAACCAGGGCTCCTTGTCTTCTTCAATGCCGTCCGCTCTGAACACCAACCTTGGTAGCTCGCTGAGTGAACGCAATCGATCCACTTCCGACCACAGCGTCTCGGCTTACAGAAACTCCTCGATCTCGTCTCGCAGTGTTGCCACAGACATGACCTCTCCCATCGATCCGTCCACTCCCGGCACCTACTCGCGGGGGAACAGCTTCAGCCTGTCGGGACACATGGATGGAACTTCGGGGCAGCCGCTGGAACAACGCGGCATTCCGGCGGCGTTTGACCCGAGCATCCCTCGACGGGAGTCCAATCCTATGCCGACTCATTATTATGCCGGAAGTGATCGGCCTCATTACTATCTGGGAGCTACTGCTCCGGCGGCGCATACGAATTACCCTGTCTCGACATGGACGACGGCTGCTCCGGCTCAGCCACAGATATAATACGGCTTCTACTTTTCAATCTCCGTTTCCTTGATTCCTCCTTTTCTCTCCCCCCCTTTTTTTTGCTTATTATTATTATTAACGACTACCCTGGTTATTTTTTCTTTTTTCTTTTTCTCCGTCGGTTTCTCCCCTTATTTCATTCCTCTTCTCCAAAGGGCGGCGATCTGGGGATAGACACTCTGCATATGCGTACGTTATGGATGATATCCGGATGGAATTCTGCTCTTAGAGAAGATACCGGTGGCTTTCTCTTTCCTGTTTTGTTGTGTTATCTTCAACGACGATACGATGCACATCAAATTTCTTTTTTCTTTCCGTCTGTTCAATCGTTTCTGGCTATATTCTTCTGCGCTTTCTCGGAGGGGCTTTTCTCGTTTGGGATAGGATTTCACCGTCTTTACATGATTATGAGCAATGGTCCGGTTTGGGTGGTTCGGTCTGGGTGGTCATCTGTCAATTTTTCTCTTTGATTTTTCTGTCGTCCTTCCCTTGTCCTGTTCAGCTATTATACCTATCCCTTGTTGTTATTTTCAAACGAACGGGGGAGCGTGCTCTGGTGTACATGGTAGTCGAGAGCAAGGATTTCTCTCTCCACTGGTTTTTTTTTTTTTTTTTTTTTTGTTTTTTTCCGATATGCCCTCATTTGATATTTCCCCCGCCGTCTGCACCATTGTGTATGCTTCCTGTGGTTCCAGGAGGGAGGCAGGTCGATGTTTTATCCATAACACTTGTTTCAATTAATGGCCAAGCCTGAAACACCGGTGCTCAAAGTGTTTTCTGTCGTCTCGTAGGGATGGTCTTGGTGACATCATTCCACCTGTTGATCTATGATTCGGTACTTGTCAATGAACTATGTACTACATAGTACGGAGTACCTAGGTAGTAAGATAGTATTATGTAGTCCACATGTTCTCGACCCTCACGACGTTGAAACCTCAAGGAAAACCGAAACCCGATGATGCCTACATACACAGTAGTAGATAGTAGATACCACCTCACTCACCATCTCCCTCCTCCTCCTCCTCCACCACCTTCCTCCTCCTCCTCTTCAGCGCCAGTACCCTTGGATTGGTTGGAACTAAACCCTTCTAATCTGAATGATATCATACTACAGAGTAAGGTAAGGTAGTTACTACTACTTACTACCCTACGGGAGTAGTAGTAAGTACGGAGTACTACGTATGTCCTCCAAGTCTTAGACCAGATTACCTAATCACGAACTCACCGATGCGCCGCTGATTGGTCGACTCCCAAGCCGACCGCCCTGGAGTCCCTGCTGTATATGTATGTATCAAGGTTGAGTCTTGAGACGCAGTATGTTGGTGGCTGGAGATTATCATATCCCATCCACCATCCAGCTGGAGGCTATATAAACCATAAAATCAGAAATCATGATGAAAACAAGCATTCTGCGTGATGAGGACGGGGCCACGGGGGGCTATAATTACATCTACACTAGGTATGGGGCTTAGGTACAGGATTGACTATTGACGGACAGGGGAATCAAGGTAAATGCGCGCGCGATGCCAGAACTGAACCCCCCCCCTTTTTTTTTTTTTTTTTTTTTTCCCTGGCGGCTGCGCAAGTCTTCATGTCTACGTCTGTGGTTGATAGAGTAGATCGGTGATTAGTGATTAGTGATTAGTGATCAATCGCCCCTTAACCACTCCCTCGATCTTGTTCTGCGCAGGGATGCGCGTGGTGTGGCTGCGGACTGAGAACTGGCTGAAGGGAATGATCCCCGCGCATCGCGGGCTGAGGTCCCGGGGTTGTGTCGTGCTTGTGCCTGTCCTTGTGCCTGTGCTCGTTTCGAGGCCGATGCTGACGGCGGTCGTCGTCTTGTCGTCGTGGGGGCACTGTCTAGGTGGACGCGGACGTTTAGGGTGTGTGGCGACTGTGCCTGCGGCTGCGGATCTGGGACTGATGTGCTGGGTTTGGATCTGAGCGTGTGCGCGCGGGTCTTCGCGGACTGTGCTGTTGCTGGTGTATGTGCGGCGGCAGTGTCGGCGGAGGTCTCCGTGTGGTCTGTGTGCGCCGGGTAGGGTAGTTGTGGCATGCCCCGGTGCGGTTTGACGGTGGTATAATCCGAATCGTGATTGTGATTGTGATTGTGACTGTGGTCGCGGTCGATGAGTTGAGGGTCATTGACATCTTGCAGCAGGGCTTCGTCAGGTGCGATCTACCGCCGCTATATTTTAGTCTGTGCTGTCGATTCAAGAGGCTGGAATACTTGCATATCTTGGACGAGACGTGGGAGGAGGGAGTCTAAACTCACACTGCATACGAATCTCTTCCCCGGCATGCGCACATAATCATCAAAGGAGCTTGCCAAGGTGGCAAAGTTGAACCCCCTGTGCGAAGTGACGGGCTCGAAGCGCTGTCCTACCTGCGCTCGAAAATCCACCGCCCGCCGACGCAGAGGCCGGTACTGCGGCAGAGATAACCACCAGGCCGGGTAGCTGCCACACCATGACTGAAGGGTAGGTTCGACTTCGAGCGCAAAGACGACGCGGCTGTCGGCGCGCGGTTTGTGGATCAGCATGGCAAAAGTGAATTCTCGTGGCAGCCCCGATCTCTGCAGGTTGTTCTCCTCCAGCGACCAGACGATCTCGCCGGCGTCGGTGTCGAACCCACCCGCGCGCGGGCTCCTCAGCGTGCGCGCCGAGCCCTGGATTCGCATCATCTCGTACCGGCGATACCGGCCGTTGATCCCGCCCGCGGGCGACAGGCTCGCCATCAGCGGCAGCTCCGCAATCCCCAGTGACCCGGACAGACTGTAATTCCACTGCAAGGTCTCCGGCGACACGGTCCCGTAGATGAGGTGTGGCGCGTGCCTCAGAAAGCACGGGGCGTCGTCTGGCGGGTTGCCGTGGGGGAAGTGCGCCGGGGAGGCGGCCCGGGGCGCGCCCTGCACCGACGCTCGGATGATAGCAGCCTTGAACCGGTGCGCCAGGGTTTTGGGCGAGTGGAAGACGAAGCTGATGCCGAGGAAGTCGACGTGGTCGTAGTCCTGCTCGGAGACGGCGGGGCTCGCGTAGAACCCGTGCTGCAGCCGCTGCACGTGCGCTGTGATGCAGGCGTTGCCGGGTAATCGCCGCTCGTAGATGCAGGCCCCGTTCAGGAGAAGTCGGGGGTTTGTCAGATTGGGGTCCTGAGGCGCTTGTGCTTCGCCATCGCCGGGTGTGGGTGCCTTCTGTGTTCGGACCAGGGCAGTCGGGTGGGGGAATGCTGGGGGAGGAGCTGCGAGACTGCTCATCGGCGGCATCGCGGTGGCGTGGTGGCACTTTTAATTGTAGTCGGTGGTTCGAGAAATGCTGTCGCGGATTCCCCCAAGGTCCGATCTGAGCGCTTGTCGATGGGGTCATGTGTATCCACACGCGATGATGATAAAGGTAGAACACATAAGGTCAAGGAACTCTCGCAGAGACTTGACATGGTTAGAGATAAGACGGAAATGGACAGCTTTTGACATACTTGAAGAGCCTTGAAAGAGAAGCAAGAAAATAGGGTGTGGTCAACTGCTTGCTCATTGTCGGGGAGTCAGGTGAGATGGAGATCTTCAAGTCAGATGAGAGCTGGACGGGTGTGTTACAGACTTAAGTAAATGGTTGAGTGAAGGAGCCAGTAAGTAAATGGGTTGCTGTGTAGAATCATCGAGTCAGGTGGGGGATACATGATGGCTTTGTTGATCGCTGTTCTTGATATTTCCTGGAGCAGATTTCTGTGATGCTGATACTGAGGTGCTACATGGTAGGTTTGATGAACCATGGGGTTTCAACGATGGAGATCTCGCTTTAATATATGAGAACTAACATCCCGTTTATCTGAGACTCTTCACCTGATGCAAAAGCTATATTCTTGAGATCAGTGACTAACAGGTGGCACCTCATATTCTGACTTGGATGTTAGCTTGTTCCTCTTCCTGCTATAGGAGTATACACGAGAGCTACATCATTGATTAAAAGAGATCATATCAACCAAGAGGCCAGAGCACACATGATCATAAACAGATCACTCTGTTATAAAGAATGTGTAAGGGCCACATACTCATGACTCGAGAAGTGTGAAATGTCTCTATCCCTTGACACTCCAACTATTGATCAGACTACAGCAATGTGCCCCCTGTCTTTCCCAATGGATCGAGTCTATGGTTAACAACAAAAACACTCAGTTTATCTCCCTCCAGGAAATGATAAACCCAAGAGCCATGAGCAACAGAGCCAATATCGAACGAGACGCGAAGAGCTCGGTACGGTACCCCAAATAACCACTCTCACTGCGGCACTCCTAGAGAGTCCAAGTGTCGAAAAGTTCCCGGGTCCTTGGTTCGGAGTATCTCAGTCAAGAGCTAGAGCTATTATCCGGGTACGCTGTTGAGACAGGATGGATTATGATTATCGTGCTCGATGAAGTATAGCACACAGCCCCCACGCCCCCGTCTCCATGACCGCATTGGTTTCATCCTGTAACCTGGCTGGACGTGGCCAAGGACTTCTCAGCGTCGTCTTGAAATGGTTGACATGTTCCGTCGAGGTGTTACCGGTTGGGCGGGAGTTTCGGCCAAAGGGTCACCCCTCAACGAAAAGCAACGCGGCCAATGTCCTCAGGCCAACGGGTTTGTTGAACCTGAACCTGGATGATCTTCTCTGCTTGGTGGATATATGGAAGGACTAGCGAGATTGGAAAGTTACGCTGGAACTAGCCGGTTGCAGCAGCGGCATGGTCACCCGGAAGTACCGATCTTCTGGATTTGGTAAGCTGAAGGATTTGCAAGATGAGACTGATGGGGCCAGGGGGCTGATCATGGCCTAGGCAGTAGGCACCCAAATACAAGCTTGACTACTGCTAAACTACAGAGTAAGAGGCTGAGCTGGCAGACGAAGAGGGATTCCCTTCCCCGCCGTCCCGTCCAGACAATCTCCTGGACCGCTGGACGTGATGTGATACACATCAGCAGTGGGACCAATACTGCTTCGAGAAAAAAGAAATCAGCTTCTATGATACCCAACTGGCACATCCAGGCGTTCCGATCGACCGGCTAGAACCTCGTCGGAGATGGAACTATTGGAATATCCGCTCACCAGGCCCGGAGATGACCAGTCAATCGTCTAGAAAGCTCTATTTTGCTGCAGGATGCCCGGTGTTTGATCGGATAGAACCCAAGCACGTTGGCGAGCCAGTGGGCCCACCGAACGCAGAGGAAGACTACTACTCCGTAGGCAACATCCAGGATGATGTGTGACTCTGCCACCGGAACCAGTCAGTTCTCATCTTAATTGACTGCTTCGATTATACGGATTTGTTCTGGCGGCTATGGGCTCACATATCCCGATTCCAGAAATGCCCTATGTGAATGCGGCGTCTAGCGGAGCAAACCATAGTCGAGGGGGGAGCGACATGACACAGCCTCGGTGCTTGACCGACACTTGGGATGAATATAGACTGATATATCAGCCTCATGAGATTGCGTATGGAGTATGGAGTATGGAGTATGTAGTACGTACGAACTACTGGGTAAATGAGGAAATTTTCCCCCACAGGTAAGCGAGCTCCATGAACTCCCAAATAAGACTTCCATCACGATTAATAATGATTCGTCTGACGGATGACAGAGCGCGGCTTGGAGATATACCTATGTATGTACTCTATGTACTCTGTATGTACATCAACACTACAGAGTAGAAGGATGGCACCTTTTTTTATTTTATTTTATTTTTATTTTTTTTTTCTTTAGAGAGACTGGGCAATGGAATGGATCACTTTACACCTCTGTGGCGGTAGAAGCGGTGTAGTTGGAAAGAGAAGAAGTAATGCTGTTGGATTGTGATGTATCCCAATGATGTATACGGAGTAGAATATATGAAGCTTTCTTGATAGGGTGTAGATGGACTGGAACCCAAGTTCCAAAGTACATGCATACATGCATACAACTACTACTAGGACTGACTGGAGTAAATTGACACAGACGATGGAGCTATCAACCATGCATCGTGCATAAAGTTCGGGCTAACCAACTAACCAGTAAGTTAGTAACCACTAGTTCTACCTTCTACAATCTTAACTCGAGTCTACTGTCGAATATCAACCCGAATGCCGATGGGGTTTCGGCGACTTTTGATTCTGGTTTCCGCAATCATGGGTATCCAGGTATCAACTATCCAGACGCCGATTTATAATCTTTGGTGTGCCTCTCGTTCCTCAACAAGTCAGCCGTTGGGTTCGGCTCCATGATTCAGGATGGGGTTGGATTGTTAATCACCCACTCCATCTCGATTGGTGGTAAGCAGGAAAGCCACATTGCTCGCATATGAGCTAGCTAGCTAGGTCGGAATCTGATGCCATCACAAAAATCGCATGGTACCAATCAGCACTGCTTGCTTGATAGACGAGTATGAAGGATGCACTCTGCAGAGCCATGTTCCTAGTAACTCCAGAGTATTACCACCTTCACCACTCTCAATCTCAAGGGTTCAACAGCGTACAAATCATCATAAGAATGTTTCCTGAGTTAGTATGTCTTATGTCTACTCCAGTATGCCGTCCATGTCAGCCAATGAAAGGTCACTTGACTCGTGGTGTCAGAACGTGGATGGCTCATCATGAGTCAAACTAACAAGTCTGACAAGTCTGACAAGTTCACTAGGGAGTCAGTAGTAAAGAGTGAACTGAGAATCACTTAGAGAAATAATAATGCAATGGGAAAAGTGGGAAAAAAATGGATCTGCTCCACCTCGTACTCTCTCTCCTTCTTGACTCTTGACTCTTGATGATTATGATGATTGTCAATGCAAGTTCTGCCCGGCAGTTGGTTCGTTAACTCCGTCCATCTTTAGCTTCAGTTGCGGACCCTGACAAATCAGTCAAGATCGGCCACTTTTTTTTTTTTCCCTTCATCGTGAGCTCCGAGTTTGGAGGAGAGATAGAGAGAATCTGGATCTGCAATGGAGGATATATATATATAAACACTCCATGCGATGACGCCTCCATCATCGTCCTCTCCTCCCAACTACTTCTTGTTGTTCGGGTCTGTTTCTTGAACCCTCTCCCCCCTCCTGGTGTCAACCTACCAACAGATACGGCCTCGTCAAGAGGTGAAGAGTATCAGTGAATTGGGTTTGAACCTTGTCTCATATCCCTTCATCATCATCTTCATCCCCATCACCTTCTGATTATACGACTTCTTTGTATATCCGTAACGTGTCACGGCCTCTCCTCTCATTCAAGGTCGAGATCAGTGCTACTACTTTGTGGCTGCTTTCTGAATATAATATTTCAATCTCCATTTTGAGACACGCTATTACGATCCATAATCACAAACAGGAGAGATCACCACAAATCACCCCATGACGGATGGTTCTCGTCTACCCGAAGTGCCCATACACGCAGCAATGGACAACCACCACCACCACCAGACTGACTACTTCAGTCATGATGCCGAATCTTCGACCACAGCAACCTCGTCCGAGCTAAGTCTGGCGGGCCGATGGGGCGAACGGGATCAAGGGGAACCCGTCTCCCGCCGGGGCGCCATGGAGGACTTGGAGGAGATGAGGAGAGAACTGACCCAACTCAGCCTCCGGCGAACCAAGTCAGCCACCAGAGACGCCCATCGGCTACGATCCTTTGCGTCAGGACGAGCCAGCCAAGCGCGTGACGAAGAAAAAGCCATCGATGAGGAGGAGTCGACCATCAACGGCGATTATGGCAGCGACTTCGATCTCAACGAGTTCCTGATGGGCGGACATCTCGAGCGGAGAACGACGGCAGGGGAGCCAGCGAAGAAGGTCGGCGTGGTTTTCAAGAAGGTCACCGTCAAGGGGGTCCAGATGGGCGCCTCCTTCGTGCGTACGCTGCCTGATGCCGTGATTGGCACCTTCGGCCCCGATCTCTACCGGATCGTCTCCGGGCTCATCCCGCAGTTGCGCTTTGGCCGACAGCCCCCCGTCCGGGAACTGCTGCACGACTTCACCGGTCTTGTCCGGGAGGGAGAGATGATGCTGGTTCTGGGCCGGCCAGGCGCGGGCTGCACGACGTTTTTGAAGACCATTGCCAACGATCGAGCGGCCTTCGCGGGTGTGGAGGGGGAGATCAGCTATGGTGGTCTCTCCGCGGACGAGCAACTGAAGCACTTCCGCGGTGAGGTCAACTACAACCCAGAGGATGACCAGCACTTCCCGACCCTCACCGTCTGGCAAACCTTGAAGTTCTCCTTGATCAACAAAACGAAGAAGCACGACAAGGCCAGCATCCCCATCATCATCGACGCGCTGCTGAAGATGTTTGGGATCACTCATACCAAGAACACGCTCGTCGGCAACGAGTTCGTGCGGGGGGTGTCGGGAGGGGAGAGAAAGCGTGTCAGTATTGCCGAGACCCTGGCCACCAAGTCCTCCGTCGTCTGCTGGGATAATTCCACCAGAGGACTGGACGCCAGCACGGCTCTGGATTATGCTAAGTCGCTTCGAATCATGACCGATGTCAGCAAGCGTACCACTCTCGTCACCCTCTACCAGGCAGGAGAGAGTATCTATGAGCTCATGGACAAGGTCTTGGTGATCGATGAGGGTCGGATGCTCTACCAGGGGCCGGCCAACGAAGCTCGCGAGTATTTTACCAACCTCGGCTTCTACTGCCCAGAACAATCGTATGCCTTTCGCGTTTCTCACTCATCTTTCTACGAGAGGACAATTTGATGCTAACCAACTGGCTAGTACAACCGCTGACTTTCTGACCTCCCTCTGTGATCCCAACGCTCGCCAGTTCCAGCCCGGTCGCGAGGCCTCGACCCCCAGGACCGCGGAAGAGCTCGAGGCGGTCTTCAAGAACAGCGATGCCTACAAAAGTATCTGGAATGAGGTATCCGGCTATGAGAAGAAATTGCAGGACACCAACCAAGAGGATACCCGCCGCTTCCAGAAGACTGTGGCTCAATGTAAGTGGACCGACTTGCCCCCCCAAGTTGCAAAGCTCCCCTGGCCCTAACATCCTCCAGCCAAGAGTAAAACGGTCTCGAAAAAGTCCAGCTACACGGTCTCGCTCGTCCGTCAGGTTTTGGCTTGCGTGCGGCGTGAATTCTGGCTGCTGTGGGGCGACAAGACCTCGCTCTACACCAAGTATTTCATCATCATCTCCAACGCCCTGATCGTCTCGTCTCTGTTCTACGGCGAAGCTCTCGATACCAGTGGCGCCTTCTCCCGCGGCGGTGCGCTCTTCTTCTCGATTCTGTTCCTTGGCTGGCTGCAGTTGACGGAGCTGATGCCTGCCGTCAGTGGACGGGGCATCGTTGCGCGTCACAAGGAGTATGCGTTCTACCGTCCGTCCGCCGTATCGATCGCCCGAGTCGTCGTGGACTTTCCTGCCATCTTCTGTATGGTCGTGCCGTTCACAATCATCGTTTACTTCATGTCCGGCCTCGATGTGAGCGCGTCCAAGTTCTTCATCTATTTCCTGTTCGTGTACACGACAACCTTCTCCATCACGTCCTTGTACCGAATGTTCGCTGCGCTCTCGCCAACGATTGATGATGCTGTCCGCTTCGCTGGTATTGCTCTGAACGTGCTCGTCCTGTTCGTCGGTTACGTCATCCCCAAGCAAGGCCTCATCGACGGGTCCATCTGGTTCGGGTGGCTCTTGTACGTGAACCCAATCTCATACAGCTACGAAGCTGTCTTGGCAAACGAATTTTCGGATCGTGTTCTGGAGTGTGCCCCATCCCAGCTGGTGCCCCAGGGTCCCGGCGTTGACCCGAGGTACCAAGGCTGTGCCCTCCCAGGTTCCGAGCTGGGTCAGCCACGGGTTTCCGGCACCCGGTACCTGGAGGAGTCGTTCCAATTTACGAGGAGCCATCTGTGGCGCAACTTTGGGGTCGTTATCGCGTTCACCGTGCTCTATCTGATCGTGACGGTGCTGGCTGCTGAGTTCCTTTCCTTCGTGGGCGGCGGCGGCGGCGCACTGGTCTTCAAGCGGTCGAACCGGGCCAAGAAAATCGCAGCTCAGAACAACCAAGGCAACGATGAAGAGAAAGTCTCCAGACCCGGTGACCATGCCGCACTATCACGCGGGGAGGCGGCGGCGCCAGCGGCCAACGACGGTGCCTTCAATCGTATTTCATCCAGTGACAGGATCTTCACCTGGTCGAACGTCGAGTACACGGTTCCCTACGGCAACGGGACGAGAAAGCTGTTGAATGGTGTCAACGGCTACGCGAAGCCTGGCATCATGATTGCTCTGATGGGCGCATCGGGAGCGGGGAAGACGACCCTGCTGAACACCCTGGCTCAGCGCCAGAAGATGGGCGTGGTGACCGGTGATATGCTGGTCGACGGCCATCCGCTTGGAGCCGATTTCCAGCGAGGCACCGGATTCTGCGAGCAGATGGATCTGCACGACAACACAGCCACCATCCGAGAGGCCCTAGAGTTCTCCGCCTTGCTCCGCCAGGACAGAAATATCCCCAAGCAGGAAAAGCTCGACTACGTCGACCAGATCGTTGACCTGCTGGAGTTACACGACATCCAGGATGCCATCATCGGCTCTCTCAACGTCGAGCAGAAGAAGCGCGTGACCATTGGGGTCGAGCTCGCTGCCAAGCCGAGCCTCCTGTTGTTCCTCGACGAGCCCACTAGTGGTCTCGACAGCCAAGCGGCCTTTTCCATCGTGAGATTCTTGAAGAAGCTCTCACAAGCCGGACAGGCGATTGTGTGCACCATTCACCAGCCGTCGTCCATGTTGATCCAGCAGTTTGATATGATCCTGGCTTTGAATCCCGGTGGCAACACCTTCTACTTTGGTCCAGTCGGCCCGCAGGGCCGCGACGTGGTCCGCTACTTCGCTGATCGCGGGGTCGTCTGCCCTCCTTCGAAGAACGTGGCCGAGTTCATTCTCGAAACGGCCGCCAAGGCCACCACGACGAAGGACGGCAGGAAGGTCGACTGGAACGAGGAATGGAGGAACTCGGAGCAGAACCGCCGAATCCTTGACGAAATCGAGCAGATCAGGGAAGAGCGCAGCAAGATCCCCGTGACGGAGAACAACATCCCGTATGAATTCGCCGCGCCCACCACGACGCAGACGCTGCTCCTCACCCAGAGGATCTTCAAGCAGTACTGGCGGGACCCGTCGTATTACTACGGCAAACTGTTCGTCAGCGTCATCATCGGTATCTTCAACGGCTTCACCTTCTGGATGCTGGGCAACTCGATTGCCAGCATGCAGGACCGCATGTTCTCGTGCTTCGTGATCATCCTGCTCCCCCCCATCGTGCTCAACAGCATCGTGCCCAAGTTCTACATGAACCGCGCGCTCTGGGAAGCCCGCGAGTACCCCAGCCGCATCTACGGATGGTTCGCCTTCTGCACTGCCAACGTTGTCTGCGAGATCCCCATGGCCATCGTGTCGAGCGTCATCTACTGGCTGCTGTGGTACTACCCCGTGGGATTCCCCACGGACTCGAGCACCGCGGGCTACGTCTTCCTCATGTCGATGCTCTTCTTCCTCTTCCAAGCCAGCTGGGGACAATGGATCTGCGCCTTTGCCCCCTCCTTCACCGTCATCTCCAACGTAAGTCAAGTCCTATCCTTGCACCCCCTCCCCGTCACTCCCCCCTCTCCATACACCAGATACTAAATCAACACCCCATCCAACAGGTCCTCCCCTTCTTCTTCGTCATGTGCAACCTCTTCAACGGCATCGTCCGCCCCTACCGCGACTACCCCGTCTTCTGGAAATACTGGATGTACTACGTCAACCCGGTCACCTGGTGGCTCCGCGGCGTCATCTCCTCCATCTTCCCCGCCGTGCAAATCACCTGCGCCCCTTCCGAGACAACCCACTTCCACCCGCCCCCCGGCACCTCCTGCGCCCGCTACGCAGACAACTTCGTCTCCAACATCGCCGCCGCCGGATACCTGCTCAACCCGGACGCCTCCGCCGACTGCCAGTACTGCCCCTTCGCCAACGGCGAGCAGTACATGGCCACCCTGAACGTGCGCGCCGACGACAAGTGGCGCTGCTTCGGCATCTTCCTCGCCTTTGTCATCATCAACTGGCTGCTGGTGTATTTCTTCATCTACACCGTGCGCGTCCGCCGCTGGTCGTTTGGCATGGGCTATTTCTTTGGGGGGCTTGCATGGGTCGGGGGGAAGGTTCGGGGGGTGTTTTCGCGGAAAGGAGAAGAAAGAGGAAGGGAATTGAATTGAATTGAAACAGTGGATGGATGAGTGGTTCTATGGGAACCTGAGCAGCAGAGACAGACTGTGGGAAAGGAGGAACAATAAGGCAAGGCAAGGCAAGGCAAGGCATTTCATTTTCATATGGCCACGGGGTTGGTTAAGTCTGTTTCTTGTTCCTTTTTTTTACATACATAGAAGTCATGATGCATGATGCATGATACATAATAGATAGCGTTCTCATTTTCCATGACCACGGAATGTTTCTATGAAATTCAACTTCCACCCTTCAACCCTCTCGCAATAACCCGCAGGCCTCAGCTTAATCAAAAAAACCACGGCTTCAGGCCCGGCCCGTACCGCTGCCCCGGCACCCTCATCGGCACGGGAACAGTATCCTTGAACGTATCCAGCATCCTCTCTACTTCACCTTCGCCCGGTTTGTCCAAGCCGTCCACTGGCTTCGACTCTGACTCCTTTGGTCGGTTCTCTGCCGTCGCTTCCGCACGGACGGGGATGAGGACCCCGCATTCCCAGTTCCGGCAGTTGAGCTTGGGCCGCTTGGTCGCGCGGTCTTGGACGAGGCGGCCCCTGGCAGAGACATTGTTAAGCTCGTTCATTCACGATCTTTCTTGAGAGGGGGGGGGAGTAGGAGCTCACCATGCGCTCTCGGATAAGTTCGCACTGCCTACATACGCCCATCCTTGGCATTGGGAGGTATCCGGCAGAGTAATGGGTTCGTCGGGCGTCACGAAAAGCATCTAGATGCGCCCGCGGAGACCGATATGAGCGAAGTTTATTCTCATATTGTCATATTCCATATTCGTGATACTTGGATTCAAGGGGGGGGGGGGGCAAGACAAGAAGACAAGCACGCACCTTGTTATGCATCAAAAGGCCCGGTCTGCGACTCTTGCAATCGCGCAGCAGATGCTTGGGGAACTTGGGCCCCTCGTACCACCTTTGCTGGAAGCAGATGGTGCCTGCGCAGTTTGGGCCGCCTCGGGATTGTTCGACGGTCGTCTGGGAGGGGAAGTAGACCCGGAAGCGATCTTTGCATTCCTCGGCGGCGGGTTTGAGGAGGATCGAGCTTGTGGTGGTGGGAGGGCGAGCTGGCATGGTTTTCGTTGTTCGGAGGGCGTGCTCGGTCATGCCGTCGTCGCCTGTGGTTTAGTTTGTTTAGCTGTTTGGAGGCAGTTTGCGTAGGCAAGGTGGTTTACCTTGGCAGGCGAGGTATATTGACCGCAGGAACTCATCGGTTAGGGAGCCCACGGAGGATGTCTGTGGGAGTTAGGCAAAACCGCCCCCATCATCGCTGTAGTGAGGGACCTTACCACATAGTCAATGCTGATGGACTTGAAGGTGCTTAGTCCTAGTGCTTTCACGGCACGGCCCAATCCACAGAAGCCTGTCTTCGAGAAGTTTTCGATATGTGATCCGCCACTTCTCCTCCGTCAGTCTATATCTTTTTATAGTATGATGAGGTCTTACATGGTATGGACGAGCATGATATGTTTTGTTTCGCGAAAGTCATAGTCCCCGAGCTTGGCAATGACGTTCTCATGCAGGCGGCTTGCGCTCAGGAAGAAGACCAGATCCTCCAAAAATGCAGTTTTTGAATCGCTAGAGGACAGAGTACTACTTTTTCGGGGGAGGTCAATGAGAAAAGCGCTCTGAAGGTGTGTTAGCGATGATACATGAGGGAAGTGACTCGTTATGCCGCACGTTTTCCATCACACCTCCCATCTCACCCCAGTCATATGGAGTCAAATTCGCCGTGGGGACCACAATTCGGAGATACTCCGGATGAAAGAGCAACATCAGTTTTGAGTGCATGCAGTTTATCTGCCCGTCCATGGGGGGGAAGCACAGTCGTAGGTTGCGCATGGAGGCCGTTTCGGCTTCATATTGACGTTTCTGATTTTGAAAAGCGGTCAGTCATCAGATAGTCCATGCAAAAGCGTACATAGATCCAGCACGGGCTATCTCACTGTAGCATCGTCCTTTGCCTGCATTACCAGAAGAAACCGAGAATGTTTTGTATCAAGTTTGGAGAAAAACCATTCCATGTCCCAGATGAACGAGCTCAGAACGGCCAGCTCGAGATCGTCTTTTTGGAAGACCTCCTCGATCGTAATGTCGTCGCCCATTCGCGGACAGTACTGTGCATGTGTTTTCTTGACGATACCCTTTGGGAATTGTACACCAGGTTTACGAGAAGGTTGGAGGGACTGTAACTGTCTTGCTGCTGGTGGGGTAGTGTTTTTGGGAGGAACAGCATGTTTGGCAATCGATGCCGTCGAGAAGATCTTAGTATCACTTGGCCGTACTGATGAACTTGACTCTGTTTTTGAGTGTTTCACTTGACGAAGATCGACGGATCCAGTGTCCTCTGCCTTCCTCTTTGCCATTCGTACGAGACGCTCTTCCTCCATTTGCTTCCGATTTAATCCCAGTATACCGGATGACTGAGAAGGCCTCACCTCTGCTGTTGATATCTCTTTTTTGTCAGGTTGGGTACTTTCTTTATTATCGCCAACCCGTGAGTTTCTCGCGTCACTGGGAGCTTCCTCAATATCCTCAGACTGTTGCAAGGACAACTCAATCGCTCTCTTCAAGTCTTCATCATCGCTAGCCTCGCTGCTCTCCATTTTAGAGCTGATCACTGACTTGGATTTGGGATTCACAGGAAGCAATTCATCGTCATCGTCATCATCTGAATCTGCAGTGAGGTCGACAACATCTTGCTGGCGTTCGTTAGTGGAATGTGCCCCAGGGCCCTGAACATCTCTCAGCGAAGCCTCAATAGCTGCTCTGAGATCTGGATCTGTCAGATCTTCTGATCCCATTTCGACCTGTGAAGCAGCTAAGGGCGATCTATCAGGTATGAGAAAATAGCATGGAAGAAGTCTCAACCAGTTTGACGGGAAGGGAAAGTCAAAAGAGGAAGAAAAATGAGGAGGAATTTCTTTGAAGTAAGTAGTCAGTGCAGCCAAGTCTGGATAGAGGACCTCCAAAGAAGTGCAGTCTGGTAGTGAGATGGTAGAGTATGTTGATTGTTTATGGTCAGACGCCACTGGAGCGGAGCTTGACACTACGCGAGATGTCGAACATTGCAATTGACTATGTTTAGATGACCATGTCTATGGCAAGTGATGAGAAGAAAAAGATTAACCTTTAGAGTAAGAGCAGATATGGGACTGAAGTCGAACGACAGCTCTATCTGAATGAGAAGATGGAATCCTCCTTGAATCTCTCGTGACACGTGACTGCCACTAACCAGTTGGTGCGACACTTAATCTCCGCTTCTCACTCTATAAAACCTTCAGCTCATGGAGCTCACCACTTCTTTTGTTAACCCGGAGGCGAAGAGAGTACGAAGAGAGATGAAATAGCAGCAAGAGATCAAGCTAATTAAAAGCAAAACCAAAAACATACAACAGCCGGGATTCGCTGGTGGTCACCCACCCAACTACTAACCGGCCGGCGTGTGGCTTAAGTACGGCTGAGCGGACGGGAAGCCCTGTTCTCCACACCCTGTGGTCGTATGTACTTGAAGTAATAAAGAGGTGGTTCATATAGAGAAGACCCTGGCCGTTGGATGGCCAGCCATAGATTCATCGCTTTCGTCAATAACACCGTTCATCCAACGATGACAAGCACAGCTATGGTGAAAGGCACATCTGAACCGGCACCGACGCCCGATGACTACAAATCCTGGTCCTTAAGCACAAGCTCAACACAATCAATTGAACACTTGACTTTCTGTCTTAGTCTACCCCCCCCTAAACCCTGAAATCCGATACCAACGCCCCCAGTGAGCGCGAGAAGTGTTCAATGGTCTCGCTAATTCCCTTGGCCATCAACCGTCCACGTTCCGGAGACAAGATTCGACTATTCGCGCACACCTGCACTTCCACCCTGTCTTCGTATGGCTCCGTGAAGACGAACACCTCCCCTCGGGGCTCGAACTGCGGAAAGAGGGAGTATTTCGCTTCGATTCCGTGCAAGCCGAGGTCATGACTGAGCTGGATGTTCTGATGTTGAACAATCACCCCAAACTCCGTATCCGCTGGCCAGTCGGTAGCATGCTGCACGATATCTTTCAATTCCAGGAACTCGTGCTGCACGGTCTGCGCATACTGTGCACGCACGGACTCCAGGAGGTCACGGATCGTCCACTCGGGCTGGAAGGAGACTCGGAACGGGATAAAGTTGAGACAGGGGCCAAGAATCACGTCGATGTTGTCGATGGGCATGCTCCGGGCGTTGACGGTCTGGCCGATGACTATGTCTTTATGGGAGGTGATGGACGCGATGTAGAACGCGCATGCTGCTTTGACCAGTGTGGCCATGGTAATCCCAGGGGCTAGCTGAGGGAGGGGGATGGTTTCGACATGCCACATGGTCCTGAATTCCTCACCAGCAGGGAGTTCAAGGGGATCTCGGAGTTGGAATGGCGATGCCATAACGCCTCCTTGCAAGTACTGCCGCCAGAAGCTGAACGATGCGTCACCGGTTTGTGCAGCCCGATGATATTGATAGCTGGCGAAATCCGAAGTCGGGGGCAATGCACTTTGATTGTATGCCGCAGCCAAATCTTTCACAAGAGCTGAGAAAGAGACGCCATCCCATTGGGCATGAGAAATTCGAATACTGAATACATGGTTGTCCCCCGATTTCTGAGAAACCAAGATGAAAAAGGCTGCCGGGCCGTTCAAAATATCGAACTTGCTACGATCCCGCGCCCACAACTGTTGAGCGAATGGCAACGGTTCATCTTCCGTGTGATGATGCGCAAATGGTGCCTTGAGCCTGTGCAAAACGATCTGGAACAGGTCGCCGTCGTGTTCCGAAAACAGCGTGCGAAGAATACTATACCGCGCCATCATGGCATCACACGCCGTTCGAAGTCGTTCCGGATCAAGTCTGCCCTGCAACGCAAAGTTGTAGTAATGCAATGTCTCTCGGTCAATGAAGAACCGTTGTACTTCAGTGGCCGGAAGCACATCAGAGACAATGCCGTCACTGACTACAATGGCAATTTGTGCCGTCAAGTTTGCTGTCAAATGGTTGCGAGCTTCTGTGGTCACCAGGGAGTATGGTTCAAGGCGAGCTGCATTTTCTGTCCCCTCAGCCGCTGCATCTTTAGCCAGAGCTTCGAGCGTGGGCTGAGCGAAGATACTTGCGACGCTCACAGCGAGGCCGGCCGCACGCGAGAGAGCAGCGACCTTCATTGCGTCAATCGAGTCGCCACCCAAGTGGAAGAGATTATCGTGTAAACCTATGGTGTCTGGGGAGAGACCAAGAACCTTGGCCCAAATTGACTGCAGTCTATGCTCTGCTTCCGACGATGGCGCCTTCTTCGACCCGAAAGCTGTAGGAGCCCGAAATCTTGCCAGATCATCTTGTGACATGGCCGCTAATGCCTGTCGTAAGTATCTCCTGTCGACCTTGTCGGATCCCGTCCGCGGAAGCTGCGAAATCGGAACAAAGAGCGACGGCACAAGGAATGTTGGAACTGTTTGCCGAAGTTTGGCCTCTGCCTCTGTCACCCTCGTATAGAAGCTTTCCGAGGGCGTGACAAAGACACTGGAAGCCTCCGCTTCCTCTGCACGATGTATTTTCTCGCCGGGCGATGTAGGCTGGAACCATACGAAAGCGACAAGAAGGGGGTTGTTGCGGGTTCCTTCGCCTGCAGGGACAACCACCTCTGCCACCACCTCGACCGCGCCTTCGAACGACCGCCGCACATGGGCCTCGACTTCTTCCAGCTCAATCCGCTGCCCTCGCAGTTTAACCTGCATGTCTCGCCGCCCAATAAAATTGATAGACCCGTCGGCGTTGTATCTCACTAGGTCACCAGTCCGGTAGAAAGAAGTGCTAGGTCTTTGGCCCTCAAACCACACAGGTGGTGGAACGAACGCTTCAGCTGTCCTGCCCGGGTCATTCAGATATCCACGGGCCACAATAGGGCCCTCGATTAACAGCTCCCCAATGGCGCCGTTGGGCACAAGCTTATTCACATCCTTGGCATCCACGATCCAGCAAACGCATCCGCAGGGATAGCCGATATTCCGAGGGTCCGATTCCAATGTGAAAGAATCCTGAACAGTCGAGATGACGGAACACTCCGCTGGTCCGTATATGTTGAGTAGACGAACTCGATCTGCCCAGGTGGATACATCTGTTTGGCTCATGCACTCCCCTCCAAGGATCAGAGTCGAGAGAGCATTGTCTTTCTCTGGTTTGAGCAGCCGGGCAACGGAAGGAACCAGCAGGGCATGATTTGCTCCGAGGGCCTTGAGATTTTCACCCAGATTGTCTCGGCGCTGGGACTCGGACAGCACGCAGATGCATCCGCCCGCCATCAGCGTCGTGAAGTGCTCCAGAACACAGATGTCAAACGCAAATGAGGAAAACTGAGCAAATCTCGTTGACTTATCCAGACATAATGACTGTACCTGAGCAGCAGCACCTGTGCAAAAGGCTCGATGCTCTATGACGACCCCCTTTGGCTTACCAGTGGAGCCAGATGTGAAAATAACATACGCAGCGTTATTTGGCCGAGCATTTTGCAGCACAGTGTCGGTCGTAGGCACGTCTGACCAGGAGGCATGGCTTGTCCCGACGGTCACAACATCGCTGCAGAGTTGTCGGCTTAAGTCAACGTTCTCTTGAGAGGACACTATGACCTTTCCACCGACACTGTCACAGAGAGCCCTCAACCTTGCATAAGGATGGGAGGGATCCAAGAGGATGAATGCACCGCCAGCTTTCAACACCCCTAGCATCGCCACCACCGTCCAGCGGGATTTCTCGAAACAAAGAGGCACAATCACCTCTGGTCCGACACCTTTCGCGGCCAAATGACTGCCAAGCTCCGAGGATAGTCTGTGCACTTCTTGGAAAGTGAAATCACCGTCCCATGCACAAACCGCCGGCGCATCAGGCTGCTCGAAGCACTTCTTCTCAATAATCTCGTGAATACACGCTTCCACTGCGTCGGGAATGGACGAATTCCGAGTCCAGACCAAGGCGCGGTCGTGGTCACTGAAGATGTCGATCTGTTCGATTGTCACGTTGCTGTTTAAGACAATGCCTGACGTCGCTTGCTCGAACGTGGCCAAGACGCTGGCGGCTTGACTTTCGGACATGATGGATGTCTTGTACCTGAGCTGGACATCAAGCCCAGCATCAGTATAGTCCACAGACAGCACAATATCGTATTCGGTGACCTCAGCCTTTTCTACCGTTTGAATACGGACACCATCTTCGTTCTTGTCGTTATGGATCTGCCCACGTTGAACCGTAATTGCCGTATTGAAGAGTGACTGCTGAGCCACCTGTGCTACCTGGTTTATCTCGAAGAGCGGAAACGTCTGATACCGAAGGCTCTCTAGATAGCCCTGTTGGATCTTGTGCAATGCTTGCTCGACGGTCTCTTTTGTATTCAAAGACATGCAGAACGGAAGCATATTGATGATTGGGCCGACTATTTGCTCGACGTTGTCAATAGGCAGGTCTCTGCTGGACTTGACCGAACCGAAGCACACCTGGTCCGAGTGGGTGTAGGATCGAAGAACCAGCGTCCATGCAAGGCAGACTATGTTCCATATGGTCACATTACGCTCTTTGCAAAAACCATGAATTTCAGAACCATTGGGGAGTCGTCTAGACAGGTGCCGCAACTGAGGGGGCTTGCGGCCACCAGCAAAATCAATGTTCGGAAAGTGACATGGCTGGATACCGTCTAGGTAGGCCGTCCAATACTCTTTCGCAGCGCCTGACGGCTGTTGCTGCAGATATTCGAGAAAGGCACTATACAAGGGCGGTTGGCCCGCGGGGAGCTTTTCCTCGTACGCAAGACAGAGGTCTTGTTTCATGATGTCCAGAGACGCAGCGTCTATGATGGCGTGGTTGATTTCAAGCTGGCAGAGGCAAGCATCATTTTCTGTCTCCAAGAATGTCATCCTATAGAGCAGATCACCCTTCTTCCACACTGGCTGAGAACGTTTGTCGAAGAGCGTCTGGGGAGAAGTCGTTTTCAGCACAACCTGATCCAGATATGAATTATCAGATATTCCATCAACGAGGATTGTGCGCAGGACAGCGTGGCGCTTCACCACTTGGGCCCAGGCATGCTCCAGGTGGACAATATTTAAAGGTGTACCACTTGTCGATTCGATCTTCCATGTCACCTGGACTAGGTAATTATCCGCATTCTTTGCCTGGGCGACGAGCATACCCTGCTGCACAGGGGAACAAGGATAGAAATCTTCCACATTCTCCCATGTTAATCCAATCGATGGTAAGATGGTATCAATGAAAGTATCGAGCTGATCATGAGAGATTGGCATCAATGGAAGGTCACTCAGAGTCGGCCTGGGGTGGAGGCAACTCAGTACTTCGCATGCAACGTTTAGATTGCGCTTGCACGCTTGGATCCAGTCCTGGATGGCATCCTGGTGCAACATGTGGCGGTTATAGATGAAATGAAATTGTAAGCAACCGTGGGACACCGAGACGGTGATGTCGAACAAGGCAAGTCGCTCAACATCAGGCGCGGCATTGAGCGCCCCCTGAATTGAGTGATCATCAGGCAGGAATAGCGAATCAGCCAGTTCGAACTGCCGGTACTCGCCCGTGTAGTTGAAGATGATCTCCGCTGAATGAGAAGTGCCGAACGCCTTGCGGCCATCCGGGTGAAGATACCGCGAGGCAAAATAGGCCCATCCGTTCCTGGGTGTCTGAGAGCGGGCGTCCTTGACGAGCCGGAGCAGCTGCGGAAGGTCGTTGCCCTTCTGCATATCCACAATCACTGGCCACAGTGTGGTGAACCATCCTACCGTTTCGGACAGGTCGATGGAAGGGTCCCAAGGTTCGCGGCCGTGGCCTTCGCAGAAGACCAGGGGTGCAGGTCGATCTTTGAACACCTCCGTAAAGGAATATAGGGCCACTGTGTTGAAGATATCCGCAGGTCTTGTGTTGAAGGCTTGATTTGCTTCGCCCAGCAGCTGCTGCGAGACTTGCCGATCGACCGTGAATTTCTCTGCTACAGTGTCGCCAAAAACATTGGCTTTTCCTGAAAGCCCCCAGAAGGATTTCGGATCCATGGGATAGTTGTCAGGGAGGCTTTTGGGTATCGCCTGAAGTGGACCCAGATGTTCCATGCAATAATCCTCCTGCAGAGAGCACCACGCCTGGAAAGAGACAGATCGGTTCGTCGGAAGAGGCTCCCCTTCTAACACTTTCTGTAGGTCAGCAAAGATAATACGCCAGGATACGAGATCGATGGCCAGATGATGAGCCACCAAAAACAGATACTGGCTCTTATCTTCCGCAATGTTCACCAAATCTGCAGCGAAGAGAGGGCCTGTCTCGATATTCAGTGACCCGCGAGTGTTTGCGACGACTGTATCCAATTCATTGCGTCCTGAAACAGTATGGACGACGTATCGACAAACAGCGTCATCTATAGCTCTAAGCATTTGCTGCCATTTGCCATTGGACTGCTGCACAAAGACCGCGCGTAGCATTGGATGCCTTGTGACAATGGCGATTAGAGCCTGCTTTAATTGTACAACATCGATTCTCCTGGACATGCGAAGGAGAAACTCTTGATTGAAATGATGAGCGACCCTTCCTTGTTTCTCGAAGAAGAGCTGCTGAATTGGCGATAGACCAAAAGGTACATCAAGAGCATCACTGGTCTGGATCGATACTTTCGAAGGCTGCTTGCAATGGCTGACTATATTGGCAATAGTCTTGAATCGCAAGATATCTTCAACAGACGTGTATAGTTCTCTGGAGCGTGCCAGAGCGACCACCTGCATGGCAGAAATAGAGTCGCCTCCCAGCTGATAAAAGGTATCGTCTGTGCCAACTTCGTCCAGCGGTCGATTGAGGACTTGTGACCAGACTCCCTGCATTGCAAGCTCGCCTTCACTAACGGGGGCTCTTTTCTCTTGCTGCGATGATCTAAAGGTGCTCAGTTCTGCAAATGAAAAGGTCTCTGCCTTGGTCCGAAGGCGCCGACGATCTGCTTTGCCAGAGACCGTTCGGGGCATGGATGACAAGGGAATGAAAATGTCAGGGACCATATATTCAGGTACAGCACTAAGCAGCTCGGTGTGCCCTGTTGCTACCATCGCCCTGAAGCCATCTGTTGGTTTCGCAAACTTGTCGAGGCTCTCAGTATGGCTACCTTGCGTCGCTGCCTCCATGCTGATGAAAGTGACTAGGCATGGCCGGTCATTAGCCGCTGATGGTTGAACTTTTTCAACCACGACGTCAATAGCCCCTCGAAAACATCGACGAATATGGTTCTCTATCTCCCCAAGCTCAATGCGTTGTCCTCGCAACTTGACTTGGGTGTCGTTGCGTCCAATGTATTGTAACGAGCCATCAGATGCATATTTGACGAGGTCCCCGGTTCTGTACAGCCTCGTGGCGGTTGGCTTATCTCGAATGATTTCCAACCACGAAGGGGCGTCTACAAACGCAGCCTTGGTTCGGTCCGGGTCATTCAGGTAGCCACAACCTACAATAGGTCCCTCGATCAACAACTCGCCCACTGCACCGATAGGGCGCAGAATATTATGATCTTCTGGATTAGTAACCCAGCAGACGGCACCCGTTGGGAAGCCAATATTGCGAGGATCGCTATGAAGTCCACAGCCGCTGTTTGGCTGCAAGGTGGCATTCACTGAGCATTCTGATGGCCCATACCCGTTCATTAATCGGCATTGCTTCGCCCACTCTGAGACGTCCGAGTGTGACATGGGCTCTCCTACAACAATGATGGTCTCTGCGAATTTTTCTGAGGAGCTAAGTAATGGTCGGGCTAGCGAAGGTGTGAGAATTGCGTGTGTGATTTGGAGGCGAGCTGCTTCCCTTGCAAGCTCATTCTTCCGTGCATACTCTGATGGGACACAAACACACCCGCCTGCCATCAGGGTACTCAGAATCTCCATGTTGCTTGTGTCGAATGCATATGAGGCGAATTGTAACATTCGAGATTGGGAGGTTATGCGGCATGCTTGTATGTGTGCCATCGCACCAGAGCAGTATGACCTGTGCTCAATTATGACACCCTTCGGCGTTCCCGTGGACCCTGAAGTAAAAACTGCATAGAGTGCAGTATCGGGGCTTACTTCGGCCTTTGACACGCTCTCTTGAGAACAGGATAATGAGTTCGTGAATTTCTGGTCTATCTCGACTACTTCGGGATGTAGCGTCGCAGCCAGGGACCCTGTTTCAGCATGAGCTATGATCAGAGGACTATGGATCTGCTGGCAAATGGTCTTCAGTCGCTGCTCTGGTTGTGAAGGATCCAGCATCATAAACGCCCCTCCTGCCTTCATAACTCCAAGCATGGCGACTATCACCCAGCGAGACTTCTCAAATATGATTGGCACAAAGACCTCAGGTTTGATACCACGGTTCATTAAAAAGGTGGAAAGTCGCGTGGACCAAAGATCAAGTTCCTCGTAAGTGAAGCTACCATCCCAAGCACAGATTGCAGTTGCGTCCGGTCTTTCGATGTGTCTTTGCCGAATGACTTCATGGACACATACATTTTCTGTCGATGGCAGCGTCCCGTTCCATTGACGTAGCTGCTCCACGTCAAAGTTGCCAACCGTCGGAATCTGATCTATATTCTGCTCTGGATGCACGAGCAGGTATTGAAGGACGTGCTCAAAGTGGTGCATTAGACGTTTGATCATGGTGGCATCCAGCACCCCTGGGTCGAATTCGCTCACGACGTCCACGGCAGAGTCTTCAGTAAGATTACAGAGCAGAACCAGCGCATACGCCGCAAATCCACCTAATGTTGCAGCACCCTCTTCTAATTGCGTGAAGACTTCATGCTTTGACGCACCCCACGACGGCTGGACGACCAGGTGACTCTGGAAACGACATGCGGCTTCTGCTTCGGGGCTGCATTTGCGGATCCTTTGTAACCCGACTTGCTCAAAAGGGATCATCTCGCTGGTCTGCTTCTGAACCATCTCAAAGGCTTTTGCAATGCTCATGTGCAAGTCTAATTTCACACGCAGCGGAACTGTCGCAATGGTGGGTGCTGTCAATGATTCCGCCCCGTCGACCGGAGCAGCGCGACCCGTCACAGTAGCTCCAAATACAACGTCGGGGGTATTTGCATAGTGGGCGATGACAATCGCCCACGCGAGGCGGATGACAGTGGACATAGTGAAGCCAATTGGTGCTGCATGGCGACAGTTGATCCGGAGCGTTGACGACTCGGTTGCGCTAGGTCTGTAGTCCCTTGCCGGGAGAGCAGGGAAGACCTCGGCGTCTAGGTTATCAAATTGGGATCTCCAATATGTCTCTGCAGCCGTCAAATCAAGATCTTGAATGTACCGAATAAAGCCCGTGAATGAGTTGGGGCTCAGCGTCGCGCCGTTGTACGCTGCCTTGAGCTGGTCCATCAACTGCTTCACAGACCATCTGTCGCATATCGCATGATGTATCGTCAAAACGAGGAACCTGCATGAGGATTCATCTTTGGCATGTATCAAAACAGCCTTTATCAAGGCGTCTCCCAGCGTCATCGGTGTTGGTTCGGCTTGGGCTGTTTCGAGGTACCCATCGAGGCCGTCGGCCACAGGAGCCAACTCGATCTTCTCGTTCATCACAACTTGATGCATCGCCTTCCCCTCTACTCTGATAATCCTTGTTCGAAGAATAGAGTTTGCCGCAACTGTCTGGTCCCATGCCAAATGAAGCCGAGCCAAATCGACTGTTTCCTCTAGCTGATAGACAAATCGTGCTATATACTTTCCCTTTTGTTGTGCCCCGAGTACAATCATCCCTTCCTGAAGGGGAGTACAGGGATATATATCCTCTATCTGCTCTTGGGGTACCCGGCAAGCCTTGGTTGCCAAAGCGACAAGCGTATCTCGCGAGCTGGGCTCCAGAAGGCAGAATGGTTGTAGTTGTGTGACTGGACGTGGCTTCTCCGTCGTTTTCGACGTCGCTTGCCGGGCTAGATCTCTCAATACTGGCATCCTGAGCACGTCTTGAACTGTGAGGTGCAGGCCTTTCTGTCGTGCCTTGCCGACCAACCTCATCGCCGTCACAGAATCACCGCCCAATGTGATGAAGTCATGCTCCATGCCTACCTCTTCTCTCTTCAGGTTCAGGAGATCGACTACCAGCTCGTGTAAGGTTTTTTCTTGTGATGTTGACGGGCCATCAACACCCTTTCTCAAACCCGTTAGCTCGAGGAGCTCTGCGCGTCGCAGTTTGCTCGCCGAGCTGCGCAGCTTCTGGCGCGCAATTTTGCCTGATATCGTCAAGGGCAGTTTTTTGACAGGGATGAACATGCTGGGGACCATGTAATCTGGTAAGAGGGCTTCGAGCCTCTTTTTTATAGCGTCTGCAGAGTCTTTAAAAGCACCGTCTCCTATCGTGAATAGCACATCTTCCGTGCTGTTATTCACTCCAGGGGAAGAGAGACGGGGCGATTGGAAGGGCATAAACGCCACAAGAGTCAAGGGGCCTGTGTCGTCAACGGGCTGAATAGCCTCGACAACAGCGTTTCGACCGATATGGGCTTCAATCTCCTTCAGCTCGACACGGTGGCCGCGGATTTTCACCTGGCGGTCCTTTCGGCCGACATATCGAAGATTACCCTGGTGATCATAGTACACAAGGTCACCCGTTTTGTAGATCGCCTTCTTTCTGTGGCCTTTCTCGGGGAGATCCAACATCCACGGGGTTGATTCCAAGAAGCTCGCTGCTGTTTTTTCAGGTTCATTGATGTATCCCTGCGCGAGACTAGGACCCTCAATTGCCAGCTCGGCCACGAGGCCAATTCCAGCAAGCTGATCCGGAAATTGGTGGTCAACAAGCCAGCATCTACCACCAATTGGCGAGCCAATGCTGCTGAGATCACTACGTGAATGTATTCTGGGCGAGATGGAGAACAACCCTGCCCACTCTGTCAGACCATATCCCTGGTAAAGATTGACGTTGGAAGCCCAGAGGTCGATTTGTGGCGCTTTTAATGGTTCCCCTGCAACCAGGACAGTGCCGAGAAGAGGAACGCTCTCAGGTGTCAAGGAATCTATCACCGTAGGTGTCATTATGGACCAATTGACTTGCATGTCATTCATCACGCCGGAGAGTCGGCTGGTCCGGTCCTCTTCTGCAGGCACGCAAACAGTGCCCCCAGCACTCAGAGTGCACCAGATCTCGATTAGGGATACACCAAAGCTGTATGAGGCAAATTGGAGTACACGGCTGGCGAAGCTCATCCCAATTGCCCTCCCGTGGTCTGCAATACTCGCAAACGCTGCATGATCCACTATGCATCCTTTGGGCTCACCTGTGCTGCCGGACGTAAACAGACAGTAAGCAGGGGCATCAGGCTTTAATGCGGCGGTAGGCAGCGCATCAGTGAAATAGTCTGGTAACTTTCGTGTGTTCGACTCTGAAACAACCATTATGCACGGCACAATTCCCTTCAGTAGCTCAAAGCCTCCTCTTGATGTCAAGGCGATCGAGCATCCGGAACGGGACACGATCTTGCGCAACCGACTCGACGGATGAGAAGGATCCAACGGCATGAATGCTGCGCCGGCCTTGTTGATTGCTAGCATGGCTACTACCGCCCAGACTGATTTGCTGAAGCAAGTCGCTACTATCATCCCCGGTTTCACACCTAGCCCTCGCAGCCGCAGCTCGAGCGCAGACGCATGCTCGATAAGTTGGTGGTAAGTCAGGGAACCGTCCCAGGCGTCCAATGCTGTGTGCTCTGGTTGCAGAATAGAATTTTGGTAGATGATCTCGTACATTGATTGAGCAGGAGCCGGGTTTTCAAGGAATCTTTGCCACTGTATGATCTGGCTTAGTTGATTTCGGTCGATGAGGGGTATTTGTGCCAGTGGAAGCTCGCTGCTTTGAGCGACAGAGGCCATGGCCTGAGCTAGACAGCTCGACAGGTGCTGGGAATGCGTCTCTGACAGAATCTCCGTGTCATACGCGAGTACCATTCGGGGAGTGCTACCATCGAGGCTTTTGATGAAGACAAGAACGATACTGCATACCTAGCCGGGTCTTAGCTACTATCCACGGAAATCAGACCAAAACACAAACTCACTTCGAGTGCATCTGTAGAGACTGAGATGGGGTTCGTTGCAGAATCCGAATCGGCTTTGCAAATTGCTATACCCGTGTTGAACTCCGAATAGCTCGCAGCACTAGCTGCTGTCATCTTCCATGCTTCTGGACAAAGCAAACCGGCAACTGTTGTACTCTCCTCCAGAGAAGCCCGCAGCAGGCTCATCTCACTCTTGGAGCCGATCCGTGTTGAATGTTCAAGATCTGTATCCGAAAGCTCTTGCAGCCCCATCTGGATGCCGGAAACCTCAGCATACCGCTGAAGGATGACAGCCCATGCGGCTGCCAGGAAATATGTAAAGTCAATCCCGCGATGGTGACAAAAACGGAGACCCGTTTCTACTGATAGAGGGTCAATCATCCTGGTCTTTCTGTGGCTCTCATCTTTCGTGTCATCACTCCGCCGGGGGAAAAGACATGTCCATCCTTCACGCAGCTGTTCTGTGTCGTCAGCCATCTTGGTGACCAATGTTTGTGAACCAGATTATGAGGTGATATCTCTGCGTGCTAATCGAATCGAAATGTTTGTTGGGGGGCCGCTTCTGGTCTTTGAAGAAGCAATATTGAGTCACGTCTGTGGCGCTAGAAAGATCTATATAGTATGTACGCAGACTCATGACAGATTTCAGAGCATGACGATCAGATGTATGTCTTACACAATTCCCACTACCTATTTCCTTATGATACAGCAACTTGATGTAAGGGACTGCGGGATGTTCAGCTATACCACAGCTTGGGAGACTTCTGGCACGACGACGAGACCGGCAGAGATGCGCCTCACTCTGTACCTCAGACAGTCTTGCTCGGCGGCATTTTGGATGAAGAGGAAGCGACCACTTTTTCAGAGCTGTCTCTACTCTCTACTGGCACATGATGATCCTTACATACAAATCATATCATTGTTTGAGTCCGAATCTAGGATCGTAAGTACTAGTGCAACATATTAGTCTACACTATCAGCCTTGCAGGGCTATCTATCCTCATACCATTGGCCGCCTAGTATCATACAGTCAGACTTTCTTTCTTATATTCAGTGCGTATGTTGTCGGTGTTGGGGCGCTGATCTAGCTGTCGCCTCAACCCAGGAATTCCTGTGCGACTCTCAGCCCTGAGAGTATGCCCTTACTATTAATCAATGGTCCATACCGTCGATCCTTATAGCAGGTTACATAATTGATCGAGTGGCAGGCTTGAGAGACTGATACGGTTGGCTAGATCGGCCATAAAAAGTGGGATTATTCAAATCAAGAGCCGCCAATGTTAGGGTTTCTGGAATGTTGAGAATTCCTACATGATCAGTTTTACAGACTCAAAATTAGGCATAGGAACATGCATCAATAGTAGAGCTTCCTGGTGGAGTATCTGCTAGATCATCTTTTGCCAGAAGATATTGGGGTTTATTTTATTTTATTTATTTTTTATTTTTTATTTTCATTTAAATTAGACTACAGGTTCTGCATGCGTAAGATATATATTCTGTGAGTGTATGAGCTCTAAAGAGATTCTTATATCAGAGGAAAATTAACACCAGTCTTGAGATGCAACAGTGAAAGACCTTCAAGAGAGTAAACCACTGTTTGGATTCTTTTCCCGAATTATATTCAATTGGTGTAGCTATACAAAGTGACAACTTTTTCTTAATGGCTATCCAAGTTATCAGACTGCTGAGCCTGATGCTTTCTGTAAGGAGTATGGATCATCTGTCTCTGCACGTCTCCACACGTACCTCAAATTTGCGAATTCCTGGATGTGTTTTCAGGTACTCGAGAACACATGTAGAGAAGTCGTGGAAGGGGGCGATGGAGGCTGGAAATGACGGTGTACGCATGTACGTCTCCCTGGGCGTGAAAGCAGTAGTCTCTACATACTCATGCTGTGATCTTCAATTACTTTGCAGGGGCTAGTAGTCTGGAACTACTGAATGAAGATCAAATTCTGAAAATAATCGCTTCTCAGCTTCGCATGTCGGCGCCACCACTAATATTATATAGATTGTACTAGGTTCAAGTCCATGCAGAAATGCCCTAGTTCACTGCGCCGCGTGATTTGCACCCCATCCGTCATCTGCCGGTGGTCTCCACTCGCAGAGCAGCAGGTAATGCGAGTCGTGATTCCTGACATTTCACCTACAGGCTCAGTGGTATGGGCATCCCAGCACCGAACTGGTTTTTCGGATCCCACTTTTGTTTCAAGGCCACCAGCCGCGGCAGGTTATGTGCTCCAAACCAAACCTCCGGGCCCTCATCACCGTACGCCTCGTTGACATAAGCATGCTGGTTCTCAAAGCCCATCACCTCCTGCAGCTTGGCCCGCATAGGTGCCATGGTGGCATGCACTTCGGATTTGTGGCTGGCGTCGAGCATGTAGTTGACAAAGAACCTAGTAGAAGGCCTGTTAGTGAAGAAACCCAGGAGGGAAGTTGACAACCCACATGTAGAGCTTTGTATCTCTCCATGGATACACGCCCCGTTCTTCCTCAGGGACCGCCAGCAAGACTTGCTCCGGATGCCGCTCGACCATCCAGAACCCATCGAACATCTCACGCTCCACGGAAAAGGTGCTCCAGTTTGTCCATGCCTCGGATAGTGTGCTCACGTCAGTTCTTTCCATTCCTATCGAGTACAAGGTTACGTTCCAACTCTTCTCACACATGGTGGCAGAATTGTGGCCGTAGGTGTTCCATTTTTTGCTCTCCCAGGTCGAGCTCAAAGGGTTCAGGTCCATGACTTTGGCGAGATGGGGCGCAGCATATTCCTCGTCGCCCATGACGATGAGTCGGACAGTGAGAAGTGGCTGAAACAAGTCAGTTCCTGGTAACAAGTCCTCACCCCAATGCTACAAATTACGAACCTCTTTTGTGGTTTTATTAAAAGTTCCCATGACCCCGTAAAAAACGCCGATTGGGAGACCGTCATCTAGCGACTTCACCAGCTCGAATACAGAGGCATTCTGGCTGTTCGGGAAGATGAAGTCTCCTGTCCAACTCAATCCACCGTTGGTCGGCTCGTATGTTCTAAACGTCGCGGAGACAACGATCCCAAAGTTATGCCCGGCCCCCCGAATTGCCCAGAATAGATCGGGGTTGCTGTCTTTGGAAACTGTGATCAGCTCGCCGGCAGCGGTAACAACATGAGCAGAGACCAGAGAGTCAGCTAAGATCCCCCGGACGCCTTGAAGGCTTCCAAGGCCACCTCCAACCATCGTACCCAATGTACTGAGGCAGCGGTCCGTGCTGATCGCTAGCAAGTGTGAGCGTAAGAATCGGCGAGCAGGAAGGAGTTGACTAACGTGTTTCTCTCTTGGCGGCATACAGCGTATCATATACCAAGTCATTGGTCACTCCAGGCCCAATCGTTACCGTGTTACTTTCGTGATCCAATGAGATATCTTTCATTTGGCTCAGGTCAATGTGTATTGCGTTTTCCAGGGTGGTGTAGCCGGGCAGTCCTGGCTTGACACTGTGGGAGGTTCCAGTTGCCAGAAAAGGGATGTCATGCTCAGAAGCCACTTTGACCTACAGCATCCCACCAAAGGTCAATGTTAGTTGAAGTCAACTTTCGTTCTGGAGGAAGTTATAGGAAGCACTGACGATATTCCTAACATCCTCCTCTGTAGCAGGCCGGACAGCTGCCGCGTACGACGGCCCTCCGATACTCGACCACCGTTCATTCACCCCGGCGTATTCGGCATCATTAGGAAGATACAGCTGGGCACTTGGCGATAGAAGCGGACCAAGGAGAGCCTGCATGTCCACTGGGGATTGCCCGTGGCCGGCTACTGTCGTGGCAAGCACCGCAACCAATGGAGCGAGATACGGAAGCATCATACTGTATTCATGCGTTTCCTCGTGGAACACACAAAAGACCGTAGAGCCGGAAACATCATATAAATATTTTCGTCACAGATGATCAGCAAAAAAGAAAGGTGCTGTGGCGTTCCTCGATGAACCTTTGCCTTGCTTGAATCCCTCGATGTCTGATCGAGGGTAATTAAAAGTGATAAGCACGTGTCCATCTGCAGGGAGGGAGGTTTCGGGCAACATACCTTTCGTTATTGAAGATCACTGATAAATGGCAATAGATTCATCCACATACCTGCCAGTCTCGGTAGCCTGTGGAACCTTTGCTGCTCACCGATATAGCAGTAGGGACTAGATAGTGTCACACCTCGAGCTGAATAATCCCTAGCTAGCCCCTTGCTTTCTTGTAGCGGTGGACTCCGATCAAGTCAAGTTTTGCGTAAGCCGCGACAGTGTTCAACCCATTTAAAGGATGCCCGATACGATTCCTCGCACTGCGACTGCTTAGAAGCTGGGTTTTAACTGCCATTTGATAGTCACAGACTTGTAACCATGTTCCCGACCTCATTGGTATTTGGAGCCACGATCGTCTTCTTGCTGTATATCGCAAAGCGCCTTTATGATGCTCAAGAACGGTATCCGTCCCATATACCTATTATTGAACCCGTCCCCGGGACAAAGAACGAGGATGTCATCAAGGCTCAATATGCGAAGGTATGGCCATTCTGCCTTTAAAAAATCTGATATGTCTGATGCAATGTGAGCAGGACCCAGACCAGAAATACATATTGAGAACTCGCACTCGTGATGTATTTCTGCTTCCACCGAGGTTCATGAAAGAATTTGCGTGGTTGAAAGAGGAGAGAGCGTGTAATTACCAGAATTTGCCTAAGACCATTCGCGTTTCTGACGGTTGTGTGTAGCTTCGGCTGTCGATGTGTTTGAGCGACTATGTGGCAGGTATACGTTTCTTGGATCGGCTCATCCAGACAGACCAGGTGGGAAATATCTCCCTGAACCCAAGTGAGGCCAGTACTAAGGTTGGAATTTGCTAGGGGACCAAATGTACGCTGCGATAAAATATGTCCAGGGACCATTGACAAAAAACATCAATCGGATGCTAGACAAGATATACGGTGAGATCGACCGGGTGCTTCAACGCGAAGTCGGAAATGGCGCCGGCCGCGTTGTAAATGTAGACTTTCTGACAACCGAGGTTTATCTTCATGTTTTCGAGATGGTGCTGGTTGGTGACGACCTAGGACACGACGAAGAATGGGTGAGTCTGTTCATCCCCTGGCTACCCGCTAGAGTGCTGATACATCCATCCATCCTAGCTGAGGATCTTTGCCGATTACCCCAGGGTAGCATTCAACGCTGCGGTGCGATTAGCAAAGTATCACTGGCTAGTTCGTCCTGTCGTCGCTCGTCTGATCCCAGAGATGCGAGGGCTTCTCGACTATCGACAAGAGGTCTATGATATACTGCGTCCTTTCCATCAGGTTCGTTGCCGGTCTGTGGAGGAGGGGGCATATTCAGGGAGAGGCTCATAGGCACCCACAGGAACGCCTCCAGGCAATGCAAACCCCGGACTTCAAGGAGCCGGACGATTATATTCAATCGTTCATCAACCACGCTGGTGCCGAGCGCGGAAACACATGGCGCCTGGCGGAGTCCATCTCGGGAACAAGCATGGCCGGCATCCAGACCACCGCTAGAGTCGTATGTACTTCATCCTAGTTACCTCCTTGCACGGCACTGACAGCAGAAGCTCTACCAAACTCTCTTCGATCTAGTCCAGTATCCCGAATACCTTGGCCCAATCCGCGAGGAAATCAACCACGCCATCTCTCAAGAAGGGGGCAGCGCAAACCTCAGCCAAGCGGGACTTCTCAGCCTAGTCAAGTTAGATTCCTTCATCAAAGAGTCGCAGAAGTTCCACTATAACAATCTAGGTTTGGACCCATCGCTAGTTACCTTGAGAATGCCCAGCTGATGGATCCAGTGTCTTCGAACCGAAAGCTCTTCCGATCACTTACCCTCTCCGATGGAACTGTAATCCCAAAGAATGCATATGTATCTATTCCCGGTCTCGCACACGCCGTCATCGACAAGACCGGCAACACACGCCCTTTCGATGGTTTCCAATGGGCAGAGAAGAAACTAACAGCTGAAAACCCAAGCGTGTACAATTATGTTTTCTCCGGGTATGTACTTCTCTCAGTATGCACGCAGAGAGATGAAACTAATTAACGGATGATTACTCGATGCGATAGACAAGACGACTTGGAATTTGGCGCTGGGCTGCACGCTTGTCCGGGCAGGTGGTTTGCGTCTATCGCACTCAAATCAGCTCTTGTGCGGATATTGCTCAGATATGATTTCCGGTTGCCAGAAGGACAGAAGAGGCCCGTGGACGAGTACAACGATGGGTTGGAGATGGAGCATGATGTGACTGCGACTCTGGAGTTTCTGGCCAGGGAGCACTGTTAATCAGGGAGCGGAATTGTTTTTTTTAGCACTTGCTTAGGAGACTTGCTCGGGCTCTTTGATTGAAGTCTGAAGAAGCTTTCCTTGTTGGAAGTATTCTGTAAGAGCAACAAAGACTGGATTGCTGAACCTTGATGCGCCGCATTTGCACAACACCTATAGCAGTAGTATAGCGCGGGATCTTCAGTCGTTTCCCAGCCTGGGGCTGATTTATTGCTATTTAGAAAGGACATTGTGTCACTAGACTCTGAGTCTTGGTAAATTCCTGCAAGATGATCTTAATGCATCTCTGTATTTATATTGTTCGGAGACTGCTTGTTGTCATGTTGTGTGGATCCCACAGCAAGAGGATAAACCCAAGTGCTACCTAGATAGACAAATTGGGAGTCGGGATATTATCAGCTTATGGGACCGATATTCTACCGTCTTTATATCATTATTGTAAAATCAAACCAAACGATGCCCAATGGAGTTGATGTTCACAGTCTTGGAGACATGCTTGGATGAATGTCAAAACGCCAAGAACCCGGCCGAGATGGCCAAACTCCAAAGGCGGTCAGCGCTCTATCGATAACCGTTTTGATGCTTTTTTTTCTCCAAGATGATCTTCGCCGATTTGCGCTGCTCATATAGTTATACTTCCCTCTTAATTCCTGTTAAGGTCGCAGAACTCTATTCAACGGAGAAAGTGTCAAGAATTTGCTTCAAGGCGCTGCGCCAGGTTTGTTATTCGCTCACCACCGATTTCGCAAAGAGATCGTTGATCACCACAGTCCCGAAGTCAAAAGGATCTCACGCCTGGAAGAGACCAGAGCGTACCGACTGAGCACACGCACATACGCAATTTTCTGTGAGATCATTCCTCGAGGAGCGCCGCTGTACAACTTGTCGCATTCAACCGAAACGAGCCTGACAACACCCACATCCCACCTACTACTCTCTCTGCGACAGATCATATCATATACCCCTCTTCTTACCTTACACAATGCCCGGCTCCGTGCACTCGCAAGATCAGGACCAGTCCATGATTGACACGGCCGTTCCAGAGCAAGAACAGCAGCAGGAACTCGAACAGGAGGAATTTGAGTTGGAGGAGAAGCGCATAGTGGTGGTATGTCCTTGTTGCAGTCCGCGCAATCGTTCTGCTCCCCCCACTCGGCGGAAAACGATGCATGCATGGTCTTCGACTCGTTACTTACGAAATTTGCCTAGTTACCGGGTGCCACCGAAACGGCGGCTTCGTTCCAGTTCGAGGGTGAGGGTCATACTCTAGGAAATGCGTTACGGTACACTATTATGAAGAAGTGAGTCGGCGGCAATCTTTTCTTAAGCAATTAGGATAGTTACTGACTGAAGCCGCTGCAGTCCCGAAGTTGAATTCTGCGGATACACCATCCCCCATCCCTCAGAGGCAAAGATGAACTTGCGTATTCAGACCTACGGTATGTCTCTCTTCTACCCGCAGGCTGAACACCCATGTGTAGATGGTTGAATGTTGACTAAATGATACTTGTAGATACAACAAATGCAGTCGAAGCTCTGGAGAAGGGTCTGGAAGCCCTGATGGATCTCTGTGACGTTGTCACGGACAAGTTCACCTCGGCTCGGGACGCATATAACGCATCCCAGGCTGACAAGATGTCCTCTTAAAATCATGTTGCTTGTGGCTGAAACTGACAATTTGGCGTTGTATATTGATAGAAAAGTTTCGCGTTGTAACTGCTCTACTGGCTTGGGATGATTTTCGCTTTTGGTGGCATAGTACTGGAGTCTAGACATGTTTTCATGACAATAATTATATCTTCATCCATAACACTTAAATTCATGTAATAATGCAGACCTACAATCTGCTCTAACCACGAGTACTCGTGTCGCTTGCATCTACAAACCAACCAATCAAAGCAGGACATGCAACAACTAAAGAATAAAAGCTGCATTTGCTAGTCAGACAATATTTACATGACACTTTCTATGTGGGACGCAGGGCAATATCCCGATTCACGTAGGATGGAACAAACTCATTGTGAGAAAAGGGCAAAAGAAAATGGAACTTAATTGCGGCCTTCCAAGAAGCCGGAGATGAAGTTAGGGGGTAACCGAGCACCAGGCTCCTCTTCTGGCCGGAAGTACTTCATCACATGCGACAGCTGCTTCCAGTAGTTCAGGGTTTCCTAGAAAGATTGAAATGTTAGTATATGATATCGCCGTTGACCAATTGAGGTAGCATGATAAGCCGCACGGGAGATGCCAACTCCAAGGCATCCCCAGCTCAATTTCAACCACTGCGAAAAAGTCTAAAAACTCACCTGATACTCTGCGTGGCTCTGGAACAGCAGAACGTCGACAACGCCCAGCTGCTTGACGTAGCGGTGCTTCTCAAATTCTTGACGGATCTTTGTGCGGATGGCGGACACGGGGAGGTTCAAGGAGTACATAGTCTGGATCTCGGGGGACTGTTCTCCTCAATCAATTGGGTTCAATGTCAGCCCAGGTCCTCATATAAAAACCACTCCTCGTCGCCAACTAAGGTCCAACGGAAGCTAGATATAGCTGCGGGATGGGCGAACTGACCGCTCTAAGCCATTCTCTGTAGGACTTGAGGACACGAGACTTCGCATCAGTCCAGTTGACAGCTATCAAAGAAACAACATGTCAGCTCAAGACTCTTCCTCCATTGATATCGCGGCAATTTGTCAGGACTTTGTCCGGGCCGTCTCGGGGTTTTCCGTGGGCCGGGAGGAACTGCACATACAGGAGCGCGTGCGCTGCGCAAGGTAGGTGGGATTGATGGTCATCTTGGAACAATTGATCCGGAATTCGAGCCTGGAAGCAGCTTGCTGAGGGAGGGGCGGGTTGCGCGGGACGTTCGACGTGCCTTTGTCGGGCTCGAGCTAGCGTGATGATGAACAGGATGGAAGTGGAGGTTCTCGGTGCCCTGCGTTGGTTAATCCTACCGCCTTCCCTTTTCAAAAAATTTCTTCCGCAGTTTCTCTGGAGGGAGTGTCGATTTGTCGAGCTTTGCTACGGATGCGATGAAGAATTAATTTCTTCATTTGCGATTTTATCAATTTTTTCGTCCGAGACCCTTTCGAGGTGAATTGTCTATATACAAAGCCCGACCAACAATATCTCGGCTCCCTTCCATCTGCTACAGAGAAGCGATCAGGGATTTCAACTGCATATCGCGATACCCACGTGCAACCCGATCTTGATCAATAACTAATGGCGCCCAACAAGCCATCCGTCAAGGGGAAGTCGTCTTCAAAGGGCGACTCCAAGACAGGCAAGCCTTTGTCGTCCGCGTCGAAAGTCAACAAGAAAAATGTCAAGCGCCCGCCACCCAAGGAGGTGAAGTCGAAGGCTCGCACGGAGTCGTCGCTATTGAAGAAGACAAAGAAGAGAGAATATACAGAAGAGGAACTGGGCCTGCCAAAGTTGAATATGATCACGCCGGTTGGTGTCGTGAAGCCAAAGGGAAAGAAGAAGGGAAAGGTCTTTGTGGATGATCAGGTGCGCATGCCCGCATGCCCGTTCTTTTCTTTTTCTTGGAATCCCCCGAACTTACTGGGTTTCTGCTTGAGGCTACATTTCACTAACTTTGTACATTTTCAGGAGGGCATGATGACTATCCTTGCCATGGTTAATGCCGAACAAGAAGGTCATATCGAGTCCAAATTGCAGAAGGCACGTCAGATGGAAGAGATTCGCGAGGCGCGCAGAAAGGAAGCAGAAGCAAGACTTGCACAGAAGAAGTCGAAGCTGGTACGTACTCATATAATGCACTGTTGTCCTTGCCATGAGGAATCTAGTTTGGTGGTCCGTGAAGGTCTTGGCTAACAGCAGTTTCGCCGAGTAGGACGACGCCAAAGAATCTATCCGTCAGAAGAAAAAGCGCAAGGGCGGTAGCAGCGAAGACTCAGCAGCCGATACTTCAGCGGCTGCATCTGGCGCAAAGTCAAAAGGAAAGAGGAAGAGTGTTTCTTTCGCATGAGCGTTCTATGTACAAAAGTTTATTCTGTCTATACCAAGTCAATGTATCTAGATGGGGTTATTTGGCGTTTCCGCTGGTCTATATTTTACTTGAAAGTCACATGAATGATCACCCCATGATAACAATCATATATTCACACTCAGGCGCGAGCCGCTTACTTATTAGGGCCTGAAGGGAAGAATATGTCTTTGGGCGTTCGCTTCACTGCCGCACGTCCAATGCAAGTTTGCGCCGCATAGGGTTGAAATCGGGCTTGGGCGCCATGTCTGGATCCTTGCTAGGATCAAAGTGGTTCGCAATTTGGCCAGGGAGCTTTTCGGGATGCTCGACAACAAAGGGGGTCGCAAGGTCGATCTCTTTGGCCATCGTGTTCAAAAACTTGGTTACCTAGCCGAAATGTCAATAGATGCTGCTGAACTCCGTGGGAATGTACTCACCGGCTTCACAAACCACCTGTCGCCTCCCAGTTCAAACCAACCAAGATGACCACCCCACGATGTAGTCAACATGACACCATAAGGTGTTTGAGCCATTTCTTGGAAAGGGAGCGCATCGACCGAAGCAATCTAAAAGAATCGTTAAACCTTGAGCTAATTCTCAGAGCGAAAGTCGCGAAGACTGACCGGGTCATCTTCAGCCTGCACAGTGAAGAACGGAATACGAATGGCAAGCATTGAATCAATGGAAGCTGCATCTCGATAATATGCACCCTCCGTGGGATATCCCCACGCAGCGCATTGCAGGGCCCTATTCATGGGTTAGTAGGTGAAACTCACCCGCCTTGGAAGTCTTGAGCCATATGTGAGATCTTACCGGTCGAATTCATGTAAATACTTGGATTTCCGAACCGCCTCTACATCGACCCGCGGATTCTTGGAGACTTGTTCAACATGCCTAGCCACATCATCAGCCTAAGTGACAAAAAATAATGTCGTGGACAATCACTTACTGCTCAAATAGCCGTTTCATGCTTGTTCCCATTGTTTTACTGTAGACTTCAAGTCCTAACCAAGTTCGCTGCAAGTTTGCAGAGCTCACTGGTAGATTCCACGGGCTTGCGCAGAGCACCGCCGCTTTCAACTGGCACGCATCGCCTTCTTCTCCTAGGTACTATACGCAACCCCGGTCAGACGATCTCTTACACCTTGAGACGAAGAGCAACTTACGTTGGCGAGGATATTGGCGCCAAGCGAAAATCCGATTCCGAATAAAGGTCTGTTTGGGAACGCCTGACGGAGCCATTTCACAGCTTGACGGACATCCCACGTGGCCCGGGCATTGTAAAGCACACCCGTAGAAATTTTCGTCTGAGAACACCCTCGCGAGTTAACAACACATGCTTCCCAGCTTCCATCTGCGATGAGAGGAGCAAGCACGTGGCGCAGATATATCTCGTGTGATCCACCACTCAGGCCATGAAGGAGCACGAGCATAGGCTTCGTATCGTCCGAAGGTAGAGCTTTGAATTCCTCTTCCGTGAAGAACGTTGTACGTTCTGGAAGACCCGATGGCAGGGTATATTGCCTTGCTTTATCAGTAATCTCGCATTCATTCTTCGGCATCTCATAAGGTTCCACGACGAAGTCAACTGCAAAATGCCCCTTGAGCATCGCACTGTCGGCATCGAACATCTTCCGTTTGTAGTACACAGGCACGTCATCGAATTGGGCAACAGTCCAGGCCGTCTGTAGGTGGCCATTGAACAGAAGTGGGTTCAAATGGCATTTCGCCGGCGTTGAAGCGCGGCAGACATCAGTCAGCGTAACCTGCTCCTTGACACCAGATTCGCCCGATTTCTTCGTCAGAAGTAGTTTGTTATCTTTGGAATGAAAAAAGGACAGTCGCGCGCTTGGCCGAATCCATGACAACATGGCTATCACAAGCACTCCAGAGATAACCAATGGAAGCAGAGAGGAATATAGAATACTATGGACCAGGTCAGTCAAAGTCACGATAACAATTCTGACAAGGCAGTCATTGAAGCGCAGCGGCATGATCAAGCCTCCTGAGGAAAGCAACTGACCTGTTAGAATACATCAACAACTCAGTCTATGGATAACTTTTTACAACAACAGTAACAATGAGGACGATAGGATTAACAGAAGACAAGAACAAAAACAGGTGAGATATTCTTCACGCCACTCTGCATTACGAACTGTATATAACTTTATGAAGATTTTCACTTCATATCAAACAGTTTCTCCTTATGCCTCGGCTAGGGGTGGTAATCGAGATGTCAAAATGTCAAAAATGACGTGTCATTTTGACTTTTTTCCTGACAAGGTAGTATTTTGTCAGAAAAATTGATTTTTCCTAGTAAAATCAGGGGAGGATTCGACTAGGGGTGGTATTCAAAATTTCAAAATGTCAAAAATGACGTGTCATTTTGACTTTTTTTCTGACAAGGTAATATTTTGTCAGAAAAAGTCGAATTTTACTACTCTGTACCTAGTAAAATTAGGGGGTGATGACACAGCTAACCAACCCCCATGATAGAAAAAGAATGTATGAAAAGTGATGAATTTTGAAGCTATTCAAACCCAGGAGATAGTGAATATAGTCAAATTTTAGGTGTAGAATTCAATTTTAGGCTTCCCAAGGCCGTTGTCCAAGCACCTGCGGTGGCTCTGCTAGTTAAGCAGGATGAGAGCTCTCTATCTCAGGCTTCTCAGCCTGCATGTATGTTTATATTATCATAGAATATTTAGGTCCGAATGATCTCTTCCTCTTCAAGCTGAAGGCCATTCAATTCTACGTGGTATCTACTTCTTTTATGTGATGTTTCCATGTCATTTGCTAGGAAAATAATGGCTTCCAATGTTATTTGACATTTTTGATATTTTGGCCTGAGGCCTCGGCATCATTCCCATATCAGGAAGCCCATGACATAAGCATCTTATCAGATGATAGATGACTCAGCACAAAATCACATGCTGTCCATGTTGGCTCTGTTTGTCATGAGAGCCTTAGAGAGAGTCACGACTGACGATAACTCGCATCTGACTCTCCTCTTCACTTTCCTTCATCAGCTTGACCTTTGCTCGCTTTCTTGGCTAAATTTGAAACCGCTGAAAGAAGGGGAGTGTCGAAGATCAAGATGCTAAAGTCTTCGAATCTCAGCTTGGTTGTTGCGAACGCTGAGTATCCGGATGCGGAAAGCCCAGCTTCAAGACTGAGCAAGAGTACTCCATCTGAGCCCTTTCCAGCGTGAAGGACTTGTTTCTAAAAATTGCATCGCCATGCAGATGATCTGGAGCTAGCTAAACTTAGGCATGAGTTCGATGTTAGAAATGCTAAATCGAAGCAACCTTTGCTTTGGGTTGGTCTGACAGCGACTCTGCATCGGGAGGACGCCCCGGTCTTGTATGTAACTCTGATGGCATTGCTACACTGTGACCATAGCGCGTGCTCCGTTTGCGTGCGACTTTTCAGCCATTATTGTGAACTACTTCAAGGTAAAAAGGCCCTTCCTATTGCTCTTTCCCTTTCCCACAGTTCTTTGTCACGCGATGCATCATTGATCTTTTATCTACACAGCATGATGCCCTTGACCCAGCAGATATATTGCTGGCTTTCATTATGTCGATGACTTACTGCCGATCTGCAACAAAGGATATTGAAACAAAGGACTCGAAGCCTTGGAAGCGGATTGTCATGTCCCTGATTTCTAGCGTGACCCATTCCCAACGTAAACAGTTGCTGGTCGTCATGGCACATCCTCTGCGTCGAGCCGGAGGAAAGCTGAAAACCGTTGCAAAGATGAACCGATGGTCACGAATCCTGTCTGAGGAGCAATCAAGTTTGACTTGTTCTACGACACGGTGTTATCTCCTCGAATTACCCACGGAATTATTACTAGAGATCATATCGCATCTATCGGTAATACCTGAAGCATGCATGGCATTGACATGTAAGCGATTATTTGCCATCAGCAATGCAATTCTGGACTCAAAATCACTTCGTTTCAATCGAGATTTTGCGCCTCTCTTTCACCATTACCGGAATGGACACAACTTTGTCACTCCACGATGGCAACTGGTCACCACACTGGAGAATAGCAGATGGTGGGCTTGCTCGAAATGTCTCAAACTTCATCCAAGGAGTGCTTTCTCCTCGCGCGAACTGCGACGAAAACCGGAGGACCGGACATGTATGTTGGGCGATCTGGCTGGCATAGTCGACTTGTGTCCCTGCAAGAAATTGACCTTCCGAGATAAGCTGGACCTTATCGAGCTTCTGAAAGTGCGTCAGAAATCCGTTGCAGCGCTAGAATCGCAGTTTGGAACTGGGGTCCATCAACGTTTTTGCTGGCATTCCTGTATCGAGAACTACGGGTCTACAAAGTTGCAGATTGAGATCTTCCCTGAATTGGACGATGAAGATCAACTGAGGATTAAGACCGAATACAGATTGACAACGGAGTCGGGAAAGCTCGGGAAGGAAGAAGCCATGACGCCTCGGTTTGGATGTGCTCACCGATCGATCGACTTGTGGCTGTCCAGTGTTTGTCAAACCACCATCTGCCGGACCTACGATGAAGCCTGCTCCTCATGCCAGCGAATATCCATATGCAATTCGTGCAATTCAGTTCTCAGATGTCCTCGGAAGCAACCATCCTATGTGGATGGGACCTCGAAAAAAGCGACCTACTTCTTTTGGACCGAAAGATGCCTGGGGGGGACGTCATCAGCACCTGATTATATTTGGAATTCCCAGCGAATACACCCTGCCGAAAACCCAATCGACGTTGACAACTGCACTGAATTGTGCCCTTGGACCATACGAGAACACCCTCCTTCCCATGGTGCCCCGTCTCTGGAAATGGACATCCTCACTCCTGCTGTTCAGGATCAGTCGATCAGCCAGCTATACACCTCAATCAACATGATTTAACGCTTAGAAGAATATAGTAGTCCCTATGCATACAGTGCGGTGGATAACTGGGAAGTCAGACGTTTCACTGGGCATGCTTTTTTGGGTTATCAAAGGTTATTAATCGCCGATTTGATATGCGTTGTGTGCTCTCATTGTCTTTCCCCCTGTCACCCTTTTATGTTATCTCTTCGTTTTCATTACTTTTCTCGTGAGTAGTCACTGTTTACCATAGAGTATAGGTACCCATTATTTAGCGAATATATCTCTTGCTTTGTCTTTGCCACTCGTGCCATATTCAGAGTTCGAATAAACAGTCAGGAAGTGCACCATCATAAGGAATGCTTTTAATATAGAACAATCTCGATACTTATTACTAGCAATAAAGATGCCCGCCAAGAGTCTGTTCATCAACAACCCGAGTGTGGGTGACTTGTATAGAACCAACCCACTGGCTTGACCGCCCTGGAGTTTCTCCGAACCGAAGTGGAAAGGCAGAAGAACGCGCGAATCTGATGATGTGCATCAGAACGTTGTGATCATCCTCGTCCTCAAATCCGGTCTTAGCTATCCAGGAGAAGCAAAGTGTTGGGGTCTCATGAACAAGTTTGCTTCCGGGGGCGATGAACTATCCACCACCATCCCATAACGGTCAATATCCTCCACAGTACCTGCAGCAACCACAACAGCAACATGTTCAGCCACAGCAGTTACTGTATAGCAATGTCGATCCAAATGCTTCGTCATACGATTATGGCAAACCTATCGCCTACCCTTCGAGTATAATCTCGCCATATTCGCCCTACGGACAGGCGTATAGTCAGGAACAACACCAGCATCAACAACCATCACATCACCAACAACAGCAGCAGCAGCAGCAGCCGCAACAGCAATATGTGAATCCGTCCGACGTGTTCCAACAACCGCTTGTTCCTCCTATCATCCATGGCTCGACCCAATATGGCGCCCAACCTGCGGTTCCTGTTGCGGGCAACAGCAACCGCCCCTCTGCTCCCGCGACCGCATCGACATCTTCGCAATCGATACAATACACGGCTCCCAGCCCAAGCCATGGGAGCAATACTTTTGCCCAGTATCCTCAGGTTGCCCTTCCTGCGCCGTCGACCGCGACATTGAAACCAGCCGCTGCAGTCGTCGCTGCACCGTCTCCTAAACTGGCTCCTCCGATACCGTCTCCTAAACCCACCCCTCCTGTTCCATCTCCTAAAGTCGTCCCTCCTATACCATCTCCCAGGCCGACCCCTTCTGCATCATCCTCGAAACCTCTTCCTCAAGTCCTGGTTCCTCAGGTTCTTGTCCCTGCGCCTTCTTCCGAAGTCCAACAGAAGATTCAGCGCCAGAATCCGAAAAAGCAAACGCAACGGCAACACACTCAGCAATCTCCGCAGAAACAGACCAAGCCTCCGATTGACTACCAAGTCCTGCTGTTATGCCTAGCAGACGAATATCTCAATACGGCCCATAGTCAGGGGACTCTCATCGCTTTATCGGGACAGGAAATGGAAATAGAGGAGTATTATAAGCTGGTTGCAACAGGTCTCGGCTGTCTAGAAGCAGTGTTGAAGGTGCATACGATTACTCTCCAATTTTCAGGCAGTTAGCTAACGAAATATCCACTTTTAGAACTGGAGGCTACAGCCGCGAATGGAAGCTCTTGTACGGCTGCGCTATGCGCGCGTTTTATTCGAGGAGACGGAGAATGATCTCGAGGCCGAGACAGCGTTAAGCAAAGGGGTATGTATTGCGCGCACCTGCATGGTTATACGGCCGGCTTATTAACCTTACTTTTTCTATAGATTGACTTGTGTGAGCGAGTGGGTTTACCTCCCCTTCGGATATCTCCTTATCTACCCTGTAAATCAGTCAAACAAGATGCTTACATTCATGCAGAATCGCATGCTAGATTTAAAATACAGTATGCAACATCTTCTGGCAAGAATGCTACACAAGAGCAATCCGAAAGCTTCTTTGAAAGCTGTGGATGGCATGATCCAAGATGTTGAGGCGTAAGCTGTACCTAAACATTTTGGATATCCTTTATGGTTCGCTTCTGACGGCTACAGATATCGCCACCTGGCATGGGAGTATGCCTTTCGCTTCCTCCGAATATCTCTCTCCCTATCGTCACCTGCTCAGCAAGATTCAGTCTCTGCGCTACAACATCTTCAAAAAATATCGAACATGGCTAATCGGCAAGGCGATAAAGCCGTGGCGGCCATGGCTGCTGTGATTCAAGCGCTTGCTCACTTGCAACATGGGACGAGCTCTGATTCAATCGAACAAGCCCAACGCTCGGTGGCAGTGGCTAGAAGCCATCAGCTGAACGATGAACTTCGTCATATACCACAACTGTCAACTATGGTCCAGATGGTCGACATCTGCTGCAGTCTACTGGAATATGACATCAATCAGTCCTCGCAAAAGTTGAAAGTCATGCAAGATTTAATGGACGAGAGATTGAGCGACCCAAATTGGCGTGCTGATGGATCGTTTTCTATTCCCTTGAGCGGTAAATCAGCTGGACCTTCCTCTATTGATACAGGGGACATCCTTCAGGTGCAGAATGGAACGCTCCTCTTGAGCTTCAACTGGCTTCCGCAGCATGATCTCTACGCCCTCTGCTATTTCCTCAGTTCGATTACTCTCAGTTCTAAGAATTCATATGATGGCCGTAAAGCCGAGAAGTTTCTCCAGGAAGGCATCCGCATGATCAAGGGTAATTTTATATCCTCTTCTCTGTCAAAATCTTGCTGATACCGTTGTATAGGAAGCTTCAAAGCACCGCATGAAATTGCCGAGTCAATGGTCAGTGCAAATAGACGGGTCGAATGGCGGCGAATCTTGTACTGCAACCTACTTCTCCAGCAGGTCTTTTTGGCCTGTAGTCGCACAGACTGGGAGCTGGCGAGCCAAACACTAAAGGAGCTGCATTCCATTGCTGAAGAAGTTGGGGAACATCTGCCCGATACGATTCGATGCTTAATGGAATATGCAACAGGCACGATCGCGCAGGCAACTGGCGATTTGAAGACTGCTCTTGCCATTTTCCAGTCACCTGGCCTTCTACTAGCGCCGAACGCTAGCAAGACCTCACGGAACGATCCTCATCGTGATATCGCCATCCTCGCCACCCTGAATACGATTCTCATACTTCGGGATCCCCACCACCCCTCCCATTCCCATCTCCCTAGCGTGCTGTCTCTCGTCGAACCCTTCTGCAAAGGCAGCCCGAACAGGTACATCCAGGCCGCTTATTACCTTGTGTGCGCGACAGTACAGACAGAGTCGACTATCCAGACGAAACAATTCCTTCAACAGGCTCTACAATCAGCCACAGCGATTAGCAATAGCCAGATCACCTGCATGACTTTGACCTTCATGAGCTGGAAGTATTTCCGCGGCGTAGTGGGTGAGCAAGCGGAGAAGAGCGCTCGTGCGGGACGGGCAATGGCCAAAAAGGCCAATGATCGATTATGGGTCAGTGTCACCGATGAAATGCTCGCGGAGACGCTGGAGAGACAAGGGAAGAGTGAAGAGGCGAAGGGGGTTCGAGAAGAGGGTCATCGCGTGATGACAGGACTACCATCGGCTCTGAAACGACAGACATAATCCCTCCCGCTTCGCCGTCTTCGACCTTCTACTGCTTGTTTTCTTCTTTCTTTTTTTTTGTTGTTATGGTTTGTCCAGGGAGGATTTACAGGGCGTCCATTCTATGATACCAATTTGTGGCCGATTGTTATAATCTTTGCTGTATACAGGAGGTGGGCATAGCTGGCGCATCTGGGATACATATCGGAGCCAATATAGCTAGCGATGCAACGAATCTCATTCATCAGACAGACCAATCTGCATGGACATGCGACCCTTTAAACGACTGGCCCAAGGCGCGGATCACCCGTTCAACGTTCACCAATGCTCGACTTAAGGGCGAGTGAGTGGAGCGCTCAGCGATATCCTGAGTATGAAGCATTGACATCCCCAAAGGCAAGTTTCCTGTGTATTATACATTGTTGCATCGCACGAAAGACTGCGGCCATGACGAGAAGTGGGGGAAAAAAGAAATCAAAAATCAAACACTTCAGATAAAGACAAAATGAAAGGCTATTTCTGACATAGACTCCGCAAATCTCCATACGCCTGTAACCTGTCCACCACCTGGGATCAGGTCGAATCGCTCCATGCTCAGGTATAGCAACAAAGTCTCAATTGAGAATGAGAGTAGACTCGGCGAAACACCTCATCCTTTTGCAAGTAGTAAGTACTCGGTGTTGATGCCCCATTCTCTTATTCGTTCGGTTCGTTTTTCTCCAATTTTCTGGGGTGTTCTTCTGAATCTTTCCGAACACATTTCTTCAATGAAACTCAGCAGTTCGATATCAACCCAGGCCACCCCAAGCACCGCGAATTCTTCGAGCAAGCTGAATATCTTTCTGCATGATTGTTACGCGCTTAGCATGGATGGCGCAGAGATTGGTGTCCTCGAACAGATGGACCAGGAAAGCTTCAGCAGCTTCCTGGAGCGCTTGGATTGCATGCGACTGCCATCGCAATTGGGCGCCGACCTCGGTGGGGAGGAGGTCCAAGGCGACCTCGCGGACGAGTCGCGCAAAGGGTAACTTTTGGATGAGCAGATCGTACGAGCGCTGATATTTGCGGATCTCTTTCAGGGCAACCGTTCCCGGTCGGTATCGGCGTGGGCGACCTTGAGGGGTTGGGTCTCCAGCTAGAAGGGTATTAGTACCAGGGTTGTTTCATAGCTCGAAGGATCGCCTAGTGTCTCCGAGTCAGGATATTTCAAGGAACGTACGTTGAACGTCTGATTTTCTCGGTGCGCCGGCCGGTCGCTTGCCCCCCCTTGTCGCTCCGCTTGACTTGCGCTGGCCTCGGGTCGAAGGTGATGCAGTCGCAGGTGCGTCTGAGGGGCCAGATTCGTCTTTTCGAGGTCTTCCAGCGCTGACTGCCTTCCGGCCCCGTCCTGTCTTTGGTGGCATGGTTGTAAGGTGCGCCGTCGGCTGTGGGCTGTGTTACGCGACAGAAGTGACTCGGCAAGTTCAGTGAGGGGTACGGGTTCGATAATTGGTGTGGAGGATTGGCGCGACTGCGCGATGATTGTTGTCCCAGTGACTCTCCCTTTTCCGTCTGATGAGATGTGTAAAGAAGGTTTTGGGTTTGTTTGTTTTGATCCAATTTCTAACGGTCGACCAAATCCACCCACAGGACACTTGGCAAACGTTTCTCTAATTTAGGAGACAGTGCTCTCCAGGCAGAATCAGACTTAGGGAGGTTGGCGGGGAACAAAATAATGTCGCTATTCCTTGTTATGCGGGCTCTCCTCTCTGCTGCTCCCCAGCCATTCGAATTTATTGACGCGTAGCGCGTAGACTGGAGAAGCTCCCAGGAAATCCCCGCGTGCACCGCGCGCTTGGCGGGCACGTGATGATATGATAGCTGATAAGCTTCCCCGTGCTCCGGACGTCCCAAAGTAGTATGATTACGGAGCATTGCATGACGGAAAAGGCCACCTGGAGCTCTCGTGCCCATGGACCTCATCTACGGAATATCTACTTCATTAGACATATATGTTGTTCAGATCATTCCTCGAGTTTGATCTTCGGTGATCTTTCTGCTGGTGTGATTTAATCGATCTTGTTTGTTGCTCTAGCGCCTTGTTATAATATCTCCAATCTCTCTATTCACGCGGAACAGCCAGCTCTCCTCTCAACGGTTCACTGCTTTAGAATCTCGACGTCATGGCGGCCATTTGGGGTAATGGTGGGCAAGGAGGACAGTTCCCCCTCGAACAATGGTTCTATGAGATGCCTCCAGTGACCCGGTGGTGGACAGTTGCGACCGTGGCCACTTCGGTCCTGGTTCAGTGTCATATCGTGACACCTTTCCAGCTGTTCTACAGCTTCCGCGCAGTCTACTTCAAGTCTCAGGTATGTGTCGGCAAGCCGAATACATGACAAAAAGACTCTTCGAGCGGTATAAAGCTGACGGTCTGGATAGTATTGGCGCCTTCTGACGACGTTTCTCTACTTTGGTCCGTTAAGTCTCGACCTACTATTCCATGTATTCTTCCTACAGCGGTACTCGCGCCTGCTCGAAGAATCGTCCGGTCGATCCCCCGCTCAATTCTCGTGGCTGTTATTTTACGCCATGATCTTCCTCCTCATCATCTCGCCGTTCCTCTCGCTTCCGTTCCTAGGAACCGCCCTTTCGTCCAGCCTGGTCTACATCTGGAGTCGCCGCAACCCGGACACTCGACTCAGCTTCCTGGGCATATTGGTTTTCACCGCGCCATATCTTCCATGGGTCCTGATGGCCTTTAGCCTGGTTGTGCACGGCATTGTGCCCAAGGACGAGATCTGTGGTATCGTAGTGGGCCACATCTGGTATTTCTTCAATGACGTTTATCCGTCTCTTCACGGCGGCCATCGTCCCTTGGACCCGCCACAGTGGTGGAGGCGCATCTTTGATCCGAGACCGAGAGCTGGTGACACACACAGAACCAACACGGCAAATGTCAATCGTGATTTTGCCGCTGCTGCTGCGCCTGAGGTTCGATGAACTACTACTCACGGCCTTGACGACTATGTGAACGGAGTATCGAAGACCTAACGGCAGAATGGAGTCCCCCCTTAAAGTGCCGACCCTTCTAAATTCGCGCGACATATGCTGGCCTACCTCATTCGAAGATTTTGTCTACCCGCGCCGTCAGATCGACGCAGGACTAATCGCTTGTTCCTGGTTTCCGCACGAAGTGCAAAGAAGCAGCACTTTATCTCCCATGAAAACGCTGCAAGTTGCGGGATGCCAGATTAGTCGATCACAAGGCCACCGAAGTAGCCAAGAGATCCACGAAGCGAACAGATGCAGCCATGAATTGCCAACGGCTAGCAGAGTTGTATGTCAGGATGCGCTGCGCCGACCCAACCCTGGAGTCCTGACTTGGAGCCTCGGAGGAATGAACCAATATGGCTGAACTTGGATGGTAGTTGCCATTTGGGCATAATCAGTGGTGCAACCCATCAAATGCACCAAATCTTCGGATGGGGGACATGGATATCTTCAATCCTTTGATATATCAATTTGATCTGGAAATGTAAGAATAGGAATAAAAATCCTAAATGGTGAACCGACATTCTGTAGGGGTGGACTTTCTAAGCCTTTCCAGGTACATACATAGTTATCAACGATCGTGGCCTGTCTGCCGGACGACATGCTCTATCCATTGCTTAGTCAACCTTCATATGTTTCCCTCACTATTATTGAGAGGATGCAGCGCATTCTCAGCTGGAGTACTGGACACATTGCCAGTTGCCACTGCTGTTCTGTGACCCCACCATTATGGAGCTGCGAGTCTGCGACTGAAGCTATGAGCCCGGACTCCACGACTTTTGAGGATATACTACGTAGACAATATGTCTCATGAACATCAAGGTCTGCGTAAGCTTGCGGGATATACTAGCCATGGAGAAGAAGGTGGCGCGGGTACCTAGAAGGATCTGACCCCATTTGCATATACAGTTACGGAATACGAAATACACTAACGGAGTAGGTATACTCCGTAGGTAGGTTTGTATCGATAACCTGGGAGCGAAGGGCTAAGTACTCCGTAGGATAATGATGGTGTCAACCTATGAACGACGCATGTGCCTTTTAGATAGTAGATACTCCGTAGTTAAGTGACAGCCCGATAGGCATCTTCATTTCGAATGAGGCGTGTCCATGGCCCATGCTCCAGGGCGATGCTAACCATGACGTGGATTGAAGCCACAAGCGTCAGGACCGCCGCGGATTTCGGACTGATGACCGCGTCATCGGATGTCTATCTATTGATATGAAGTATAGACTAACAGGGATCGTGACAGGCTGTGATGGTGCTGGTGGTTGTCGGTGGCTGGTGCAAGTTCACTACGTACACAGTAGTACGTCCACACTTTGCCGAAGAAAAAAAAAATAAAAAAAAAGAAAGAAAAATAAAAACCCGCATGCTTGCCCAATCAGTAAATCGCAATATCAACAACAATCGCGTCCTCCATGACCCATGAATATGATATTGACCCGCATTTCTGGACACTTTAGACAAAGTCCTTGATCCAATGGGAGAAGCGATAAGATGGCCAAGCCTTTTTGACTGCCACGAGTCCGCGAGTTGGTGTCACACTGCTGACTGCATGAAGTGCTGAGGAAGAATGGGATTCTAATTGGCTGTTTTTGGGGCTGATGTCGATTTCGGTTGTACTCTGTACATACTACTAGTACATGCACATGCACATGCACATGGTGCATTTGCGTAAGATTGTTCCATCTATGAAAAGTCTGAAGTCTCAATACTCCGTAGGCAATAACTAAGATTCAGAACTTCCAGATGGCAAACCCACGGTTTCGATGTACGAAATATCTGTCCGACCCAGGGCTCGGTATGACCCTTTACCCCAGGGCCCAGGGTTATCTCACGTGGCGATGCCTTGTCTTGCCCCCCCCCTTCCATCACTGTGATACACTGAGAGAGACTCGATTCTGTGGATGTGTTAGAATGTTGCCTGCCTTGCCTCTTACTTGGAGGTGATGCGAGGGTTTTTTTTTTTTTCCTGCCAAGTCTGGAACCGAGGATACTCAACCACTGGACGCGGCATACCATACATGATAAAGCTGCGCAGTGGCTGAAGCAAGTACTCCGTAATTCTTGCGACCTATTGTGCTCTTGGAATTATTATTGGTCTTGTGAACTTGTGACTTGAGATTTGTGAGTTGTGAGTTGTGAGCATACGTACCTCGGCTAGATATTTTGGGCTTAGCATTGTGGGACTGGCCAAGCCACAGCGTGTAATTACGCAGTGGATAGTGGATACAATAGTTACAGGGTTGGGTACTTGATACTTGGTACTGCCAACTGGAACAAAGAACAAATACTTCCCACTCTGATCGACAGCCTCAGTAAATAATTCCTATTGGCAAGTATTTTCGGAGCGCTCAGTTACTGAGTCTAGCATGGCGAATTGTGTGGGCCGTGGGGTGTGTGATGAAACTGAAAGTACTATGTACAACTACTAGTCTACTACAGTCTATTCCTGGAGCTCCTAAAAAGCAATAAGAATTGATCTATCATGCTAACATCTTAATAGTGCCTGTCCTCTCAGAACTCCAACATTCAGACAATTCTCTTCTGGAGGTGTCGTCCAGGAGCGATTTTTTTTTTTGTTGCAAATAGGAACCTGATCCACCCCCTCCGATTAACTTCGACACTACTACTAGGTTACCTACAGGCTACCGCATATCCATGCAGTGATACGAGTACGAGGAACGGTAATTTTAAACAACCAAAGCCAAGATCTCTCTCCCCAACCACTTTTATGTGGGATTCTTAGGATCTCGGCTGGGCGGTCGTCCGTCCTGTTATCCTCATGATCGAAGCATAAGGTGGAAAGAAAAGAGACAGGAAAAATTAATTCCCTCAACCCACATTGCATAAGATATGGGGGTAGGGTAGATTTCATGGATGCAGAGTCGCCGTCCATGTACGTAATTGATACCCGTTGTTGAGGGCGCAGCAACTTTGTATATCCCAACTCGCCAAGGTAAAGACAGGTTGATCAAGAATTTTGAACGAGCAAAACAGACAATATCAACATCAAATCTTGGTGCTCAGGTTTAGCTACACCAGTTGGCTCTTGTTCTTGGAGGCCAATGTCGCTTATTCTTTCTAGGAAGAGAGAAACATCAAACAAGACATGAAATTCTGACCAATGTGGATTAACTATCAATCTATAAGACGGAGTACTCCGTACTTGACTACTTACGACTTGAGAAGAGACTTGGAGAGACCACTATCTTGGTCACTATTTCACTATTTGGTAGTTGGTACCTTAAAAACAAGCAGACAAAGGGAATTTTTTTTCCCTTTTGATTATAATAAATTTCAGGATCACAATACACAAGAAGAGAGTACTGTGTACAAGTACAAGTACAACAAATAATGACTCCATAGGAGAATAATGCAAGGTCCATGTAATGGTATGATATGAAATTGTACTCCGTAATGTGGTATCAGTTAGTGTGGCGGAGGCTGAGCTCTGGCGCAACAAGTTCCCAACCTAAAGTCCGTTAGTTACCTTACAAAGTTACAGGTTTACCCACTTCTCTCCAGAGTCCAAAGTCTATTTATTGTATACTCCGTAATCTACTTGTTTCCCCCCTGGAATCATGACTCTTGGCCCATGGCTCATGGCTCATTGGAGGCGGCCATTGTTGACAACTTGACACGCCTCCTCCGTTCCTCTTCTTGCTTTCTTTCTTTTTACTGTCTATTATTATTATTATTATTATTATTATTATTATTATTATTATTATTATTATTATTATTATTATTACTATAGTTGATGCCATCGCGCCTGTTGCTAAGGCGTCGTTCACTCCTTCTCTTTTCCTGACTCTCCCTACTCCCTAGTAAATTTCCATTTCATTTCATCATTATTTTCCTATACTTTTTCTTTTTCTTTTTTTTTTTTTTTTCCCTCTCTTAAATCTCAACCCCTAGGACAGCCTAACCTCATCTACGTTCATTTAACCCCCATTAATATCCTTCGACTCTTGTGCTTTATCATTTCACCAAAAGTTACAACTTACACCTCGTTTATCTGTTGTTGATCCCTCAACAGTTCCCCCTCTCCCCGCCTCCCTTTTCACACGAGGGCACTCCCATATCGTTGAAGCTCTCTTGGTCTGTCAAAACCCATCAGGCTGTCAATCGCAGCTCAGATCACTTCTACAATTGCCACTCGCAAATCACCACTTTGCTCCATACGACTAGCCCCGAGTAGTGTGGCTTGTCGTTCGTCACTCCACGCCTCGTTCTCGCGCCAGTCCTCCCTTGTGGACTGTGGTGCACTTGCTCCTCATCCTCTAACTATCTAGAGCCTGTCCGGTGGAGGATCCCAATTAAAAAAGGGGGCGCCATAGAAAACTTAGGGCAAAACAGAAGCCTCCATTCCGTCCTCCTTCGCTTCTCTTTGAGAATATCCCTGGTTCGTTTCTTGCGCCGACAGCACGATCGTGGAGTTGAGCACGTCCAGTTATAATTTCTCCGGACTAGATACAGCTCGCCTCAGTCCATCCCTGCCAGTGGAAGTCGGGTTTAGAAAAAAAAAAAAAAAAACAAAACAAAACATTGCGCCTGGAACTCGTTGCGACCTCCTCTCTCCCCGACCGTTTTCCTCCTCATACGACACGACGTTACGACTCATATAAAATTGCTTGAGATTCAATTGGGGACTTTTGGTCCGGTCTTTGATCTACCTGTACTTGTTTCGCCAGCCATTGAACCGCCACTATGCGACGCGGTGTCCTGATCTTCCTCATCGTCAACCTCCTCATCGTCTCATTTCTCGTGCGCAGTGTCTTCACCCTCTTATCGCTGCTGGTCGAAGATGCCTCGGCCGACGCCATACGCCACGCGGAGCTTCCTTCGCCAAATTCGAGCTTAATTGAGCAACGGCCTCAGATCATCCCCAAGATCATTCACCAAACCTACAAGAACGAGACAATCCCAGAAGTATGGAGGGAGGCTCAGAAGAGCTGCATTGACTTGCATCCCGACTATGAATATATTGTACGTGACTGTCGTTGCTCAGTTGGTTATTCGGGATAAACTAACTTTGGGGATTTCTCGCTTTTAGCTATGGACAAACGAAAAGTCGCGAGAGTTTATCAAGGACGAGTATCCTTGGTTCCTCGACACCTTCGATGGGTACAAGTACCCAATCCAGCGGGCCGACTCGATCCGTTACTTTGTTTTGGCACACTATGGTGGAACCTATATCGACCTGGACGATGTATGTGACTGGACCGCACACTTTCTGCGATTCGACAATGTGATGCTAACTGGCCTGACACACAGGGCTGCAATCGGCGATTAGACCCCCTCCTCTCGTACCCGGCGTGGGTGCGTCGTACCGCTCCGACGGGTATCTCGAACGACGCCATGGGATCCATTCCCCAGCACCCGTTTTTCCTTCGAGTGATTGAACTGCTGAAATCTTACGACCGCAACTGGCTGCTTCCGTATATCACCGTCATGTACTCGACTGGTCCTCTATTCCTGTCGGTGATCTGGAAAGAATACATGCAGGATAAGCCGAGCGAGGCTGCCCGGGTTCGGATCCTCATGCAGGATGAATACAACAAGTACTCGTGGAGCTTCTTCACGCACCATGTCGGCAACAGCTGGCACGGCAAGGACGCCCGGCTGATTTTCTGGATGGGCCAACATTGGATGTTCCTCACGGTTCTGGGCTTCATCCTCGCTGCTGTCGTTGGATTCTGCCTCTGGTGGCTCTACGGGCGGGTGATCCTTCTGGGCGCAAAGTACCGCTACCGGTACTCGAAACTGCCCACGCTGGCGCGCCCGTCTACTTCCCCGACACGTCGCGCACGAAGTATGGTGCCGGCACTCCTTCGTCGTGTCAGTTTCAAGGAGGACGAGGAGTTTGGCCATGCTACGGAAACCTCTTACGAGCTGTACAGCCGACGCGATTGAAATTTCGATTGCTTCTTGACCATTCAACATGTGGCAGTATACGACTTCTGATACGACCTTTGCATCTAGCTTTCCTTTTGCCCCCCCCCCCCCCCCCTCTTCCCCCCTCAGCAGATCCACCGACTGCTCTGACACTCCACGGTCTGGGGTATCGTTGCTTTGTTATGAGCATGCATGGAGTTTTTTTTTTTTTTTGAGTCCCGGATTGACCACAGCGCTCCCTTTGGAGGCAATGGTTGCTTGTACATGTTTTTGGCAAGATGACTTGAATCTATCTGTACGCGAGACGGCCTGTTTGATGGTGCACTCGCATATTATCTGGCTTTCCAATTTCCCGATCTACTACCACTAGTACTCTTTTCGCTTCACCTTCCATTCTCCAGTGGCTGTTGTTTTTTTTTTACCGATATTCCTTGTATTCACCCTTTCCCCTTACTCTTTTCTATTGCTTTCTTTTTCCTGTCAACATAGACTTGTGGTCGTGTTGGGTGCAGTCACCCAGTTACAGAGAGACCTGGAGTCCGCTCGATATGCAGTGTGAAAATAGATCTTGGCTCATGACAGTTGTATCATCATCTTCGACCTGGCGTAGGAAGTAGGGAAGCTATTCATTCCATTCCACCTCAGACACTTCCTTCGGGGCATCTCTGGGGAAGTCTTGCCATTGGCCATCTCAACTGCTGATCCCGGACTACCAAAGCAGCCAATAACAAGCCCAACGAGGAGAAACAAGCAATCCTCCCAACATTCCACTGCACGAATCTGCACCGACCAGGGGTAGTGTCTATTGTCTATCGACCTACCGAGGCCAATTCAGACATGAACGGCGTTTCAAAATCCATGACAAAGACTCCAATAAGCGTTTGCCATCAACCCTCTCTGCCCGCTGATTTGACCCTCACCGTCGCATGGAGGAAAGTCTGTCTGCTGCAACTGTCAGTCGCGTAAGCCGGTAGGACTACGGAGTACGGACTACTAGTCAAACCGGATCGGCCGTTCCTGTGTGCCAGTTCGTCAGTTTCTGTTGCTGGTGGGAATTCTGAGACAGATGGATGCGTATCGAGGTAGGTAGGTAGTAGGTGTTTTCCACGACTAGTTACATGGATCATGGGGGCTTCGGTCGTTTCATTTTTGTGCTCCACTGCCAAAAATGTGGGAATGGGGGAGTGAGCAGGTACTAAAGAATCTTATACCCCCCCGTCCCCTTCGCTTCCCTTTTGCTGGGATGTGTGTACAGTTGAATGTCTGTGCGGTTGTTCTACTTCGTTTAAGTATAAACCAGCGTGCAATCGGAGAAAGTATACCGACCCTCGGAAACCCACCATCATGCGGTCACCTCTCCTCTACAACGCCTTCCTCGTGCTCTCCCTCTCGGCCCTGGGCTCTGCAGCACCCGCTGCCTCGACAAGATTACATCCAGATCTCGTCCCCCGGAAGATCAACATCAACATCAACATCACGCCCGAGCAGATCGCCGCCATCGCGCCCAAGTCCACATCCTGCGCAAACCCCCCGGCACCAGGCGAGTGCGCGACAGCCGCGCAGGCCGCGCCACACATCGCCCGCTCCTTCGAGACATACCAGGTGACGTCGGCCGCGGAGCAGGCGGCCGTGATTGCGCTGATGGCGTTTGAGAGCGGCGAGTTTGCGTATAACCGGAATCATTTTCCCGGTGTACCTGGGCAGGGGAGTATGTTTGCCTTCTTCTTCTTCTTCTTCTTCTTCTTCTTCTTTCTGTTGGGAGGAAGCGACTGATTCATGCTGATGGCGGATAGCCCGAAATATGCAATCCCCCGCCTTCAACGCCAAATACGCCGCTGCGCTGCCCGAGCTTGCCGAGCCGCTGGCCCAGGCCGCGGGCGACCCCGCGCGCGTCCTCGACCTGCTGCTCGCGAACGAGGAGTACGACTTTGGCTCCGGGGCGTGGTTTCTCGCCACGCAGTGTGCGCGCGACGTGCGCGCGGAGCTGCAGGCCGGGTCGGAGGCCGGGTGGCAGAGGTATATCACGGGTTGTGTGGGGACGGAAGCGAATGCGGAGCGCAGGGCGTACTGGGCGCGAGCGGTGCAGGTGCTGGGGGTGTAGACTGTTAAGAGGGGTTGGTTTAGTTTGGAGGAGCGCTTGTCAGTCAATAAGAGGGAGAGGGGTTGTGGCAATGCAGTATATTGTGTTTGGATTTCATCTGTATCATCATAACTTCGTCTCTTGGATCCCTGTTTCGAGTTCAAATCTCAGAAGGAATTGTTTTTTTTTTTTTTTTTTTCCGTCCTCACTCCTCTCTTCCCATGTTCCGGTTCCCATGATATACATACAGCTTCGTTGTTGATGGTGCCTTGTTTTCCTTCCCTTACCATCTACCGCCAGATTTATCACCCTTATAACACTCCCTTGGTGCTGACAATATCGCCAGCTCCAACCTCACCCTCCACCTTCCTAGCACAGGCCGTGCGGATCGCCACCGCCAACGCCTTGAATGCACTCTCCGCGCGGTGGTGGTCGTTGTCGCCGTACGTGCAGCCCACATGCAGCGTGACGTCGGCCGCCTGCGCAAAGCTCTGCAGCCCGTGCGTGATCATCTCCGTGCTCAGGTCTCCCAGCTTCTCCCGGCGGAAACCCAGGTTGATCACCGCCCACGGCCGGCTGGACAGGTCAATCACCGCCCACGAGAGGGCTTCATCGAGCGGGGCGTCGCCGCGGCCGAACCGCGCCAGCGACTGCCGCGCGCCCAGCGCTTTGGTGAACGCCGCGCCCAGCGCGAGGAAGGTATCTTCGGTGGTGTGGTGGTCGTCAACTGGTTGGTTGGTTGGTTTGTTAGTTAGGTTGAGGGGGGTTTATGGGGGGGGCGGTCGAATGAATAAGATGTCGGGACGGAGGAGTGTATAATGAGAAGAGAACATATAACCGTACTGTACAGATCCCCCTTGGCTCGGATGGCCAAACTCCAGCCCGAGTGCTTGGCCAGCGCGTGCAACATGTGGTCCAGGAACCCGATCCCGGTGCTCACGGTGATCTGCTGCGTGGGCGTGAACTGTGTCGCGTGCGCGGCATCCTTAGGCGGCACAATGCCGTGCTTGGCTGCCTCTGCCTCCTTGGGGTCCGAGGGCGCTGGGAAGTGCTCCGATGGCTCGTACGCGGGGAGCACCCCGCCGTCCAGCGACAGCGAGACTTGGATCTTGGTCTCGTTTGTGACGCGGGAGACGATCGCGGTTCGGGCGGGGAGGGGCATGATGTGTGAATTGGTGTTGGAGGGTGGGGGGTGGTTAGGAGTGGAAATTCGAGAAGCCTCCTGGTCTTCTGGACGGGTTGGATTGTAGTTTAAGAAGTTGTACGTCAAGGTGATGCTCAAAATGGACGGGGTCTGTCGTTTTTTTTCCTCCTGTCCCACGTATTCGTATCGGTACTGGAATTACCGGGGTTTGGATCTTCTCATTCTCCGATTCTGCGTCATTTCGCCTGTTATCAAGCCATTATCAGGCGACAAGTCAGATCCCGACGGAAGACATTCTATTCATCTACTTTTCTTTTTTTCTTTCTTTTTTTTCTTTTTTTTTTTTTTGCTTTCTACGAAGAGATTCACCAATTAACACCAGTTCTACATCATGCCGTCTGCCAGTCAGAAAGGGGACATTGATCCTCCAGACGAGATCACCTCCGAGGCTGTTCAAGGGTTCCTCACTGGGGCGTTTCGGGTGCGTTTTCTAAAGCCTTAACACCCAGTCTCGTTCCAACATGAATCCCCTTTTCCCGCGCAGACCGCTGTAGCACACGCATACTGACAAACCGCGTCCGCCCCGCTAGTACGGCTCCGTGTCCATCCTGGCACATATGATTCTTCTCCTGCCTCATCCATTCAAATTCTCGTCATCCACAACAACTCCGGCCCATTCGCCATCGCAACCCGGAGCCTCCTCGGCAAGGCCATCGCTGTTCTCCAAAGAATACCTACGATCCCGCCTCGTGTATCGCCCGCTCGAGGGTTTCTCCGAGTGGCTGTCTCCGACGTCCCGAGTCTACCGGGGGCTCACGCCACAGTTCAAGGTCTTTCTACAGATCGCGGCAATGACACTGGGCGGATGTATCTGGGCGGAGCGGAGGGTGAACGATTATATCGAGTTTATGAGGAAGGTCAAACGCGCCGAACGGATGCAGGCGCAGCGGATGGCGCAGATCTCCGGGTCGGGGTAGAATGTGGTTATGGACCAGGCTGGAACAAAATGATGACCGGTGGTCTCAACGGATTATAAGAGAGCATTCAGCATACCAACCGGAGTGAAGGTGCGGATGTATATGCCCTCGCCGTCTACCTTCGTCATCATCAGCATCCGCTCTGATCCTGCGGGGGTTAAAAGGGGGATGATCTTCGCAGTGACGACGGACAAGTCGACCGACGGGTACCTAGTCATGTAGATCGTTGGCCGGTCATGGATCAGGATTCGACCATTCGCGTCCGTAACCAAGACCGTGAATTCTGATGTGCTCAAGACGTATTATCCGCGAGCAGAAACCGGGCCTTGGTGATCGTCGTGATGTAAAGGAAGCGGTTGATATGACATCAGGAGAAGTCTGTCTGTCGAACCGACAACTCGATTTGTCTAGTATGCCTTTTTTTTTTGTTTCCCCCCAGTGGCACTCTCTGCCCACCTTTCTACTTGGGGTACTCTGTGCATGTGGAAAAATTCATTCATCGGTGCAGATACGAGATGCATACTGCATACTGGAAAGAAGATGTCCATATGCAGCCGAAATCAAGTCCAGAACCACCGCTTGCTTATCAATCATATGATTCTCACGATCGATTTTTCGGTTAATAATTCCATATCAATCTTTGGGACCGGCTGTCGTGGTGGACAATAATTGCGGTGGGAGTATCTGCAACTCTGCATCCTTTAGTTCGAAAGACAGAGTTTTGGAGTTCCAGCCTTACATCCACTAGTCTAGTTATTCACTTGGGGCATCTCAGCTCTCAGGCTCTCTGTACTCCGTCAGTTTGACATGAGAACCTTCGAAAGCATCTCTGATCTTATCATCTCGGGCCTGTGGGTCAATGGTGAAACAGCTGCTGCCAGTGATCCAACTAACTATTGCGGGAACTGCAAGTGAAGGGGGAGTTAAAGACCTCAGGATCCAAGGTTCAAAGGTGGAAACCCCCATTAAAATAAGGATTCTCGATGGGAATCGGTTGAATGGACTAATTCATACGATCCAGAGATCTGGTTAGGGATCAGCGATGGCGCTAAGGGGAGTTTGAGTATTTGACCCTTTTCGACTCCGTAATATAATTGAGTGCAAGAGGATCTTGTCGTGACTCGTGAGTAACTTTGGGAGGCGTTTTTTTTTTTTTTTCTTTTTTCATGTCCTGACTCCTGAGTCTGACTCTCTCAGACTCTCTCAGACTCTCTCCCAAGAAAACTCCCAAGTCAACCGTCGCAGAAAAGGCTCCCCATAGCGGGGCCTCTGCAGGGTCATCTTTGACGGTCGATGTTTCGTTTATTCTTGCTCGAACTGGCGTGATCCAGAATTCCAGATACTTTTTCTTCATCCTTGTGTAAATGAATGATGCTTTGAAATTGGAGTTTGGATAAAGCTAGAGATTCATAGTTAGCCTGTTAGGTAGTTGAATCGGTCATTCCGAATCTCCTCCTAGTCTCACTTCACCACCCCTGCTCCATAGCGGGAGTAGCCTATTGCGGAAGATTTTTTTTTTCTTTTTTTCTTTTGCTCTTTATCTTCAAATGAGAAACTGACACTTCTCCAGAGTTGATCATGATCATCCTCTGATAGCTGGCTGTTCTCATCTTCTTGAGTAGTTGTTGTTGACTGTTTGCATCCATTTGAGCAAATCATGATAATAATGCTAATAATGCAAAGAAATACACATCAAATGATTCGATGCTGACATCATCTATCCAATGCTGATCCACAAATCACGATCATAATCATAATCATAATCAAAATAACAGGAACAAATTATTATTCATTATTATTCAGATTTCAGGCACTCCTGAGTCCTGAGGTATCTATCTTAGTTACTATTAGACGTAGTAGACTGAGCATCAATTCTTCATATTTCCTACGATCATCATTGAACTTATCAACAGCTAAAAGGTAATTAACTAACTACTACTATGTTCCGAGAAGGAATATCAATTCCTCCTAACCAGATCTTCATCATTCACAGAGTATCAATCTCTTTTCCTACATATCACACATAGCTATCATACCCTCTTGTTCTCCCACGATCTATCTACCTGCTCCGCCTCCTCAGCGACTCTCTCTGTTTTCGGCTTCAATTGCTTCCCATTCCGGCGCTTCATCCATCAGCTTTGTTTGATCTGATTCTCTCCTGGGTGGTCTCTTGTCCTCTTGTCCTCTTGTCACTTTTATCTCTGCTTATCTGGCTTATCCATCATTGTTGTGAACCCTTCCACATACCTCAAGACCTTCTTATTGATCATCTTCATGAAGCATCTGGAGAGGGCAATTGTGGACTGGAATTAGCCTTCTCTGTTGATTCTTCTTCGTCTTCTTCTTCTTCTTCTTTTACTACTTGGTTATATCCTTCGTTATTAAACAATCGCCGGCGACTACTACGTCCCCCTACTTATCATTATTTGACCTCAAAAAAGTGTCTCTATCCTCGCTGTAGCTTCTCCGGGTGCTTTGCGCTCCTCTTCCCCACTACCTCTCCTCCTCCTCCTCCTCCTATGGCGCCTTGACGGACTGCTTGTATGTTCCCACCTTCTTCCCTCTTCTCTCTCTCCCTCTCTCTCTTTTTCTCTTTTGCCTCGTCCTAGTTGCTCCCCTTTCCCATACTTAGCTGGTTCCTGGTTACTTTCCCTCACCCGTGTTTCTGTTTCTTGGGGGGGCTTTTCTCCCTTTTCTTTTCCTTTCTTTTTTTCTTTTTCCCTTTTTCCCCTTCTGCTCCTGCTCCACAGCTCAAGCTAGCGCTTGCTGGTCCAGATAATCATGCTCGCGTCCTCACTCGCTCCTCGTCCAATATGCATTTCCATCCTTGCCATGTGGTGACACTCAGCTAACTCGTTTTTGTCTCTGCGCGCTTCTTACAGTCGATCCGACGTCGAGGTCGTCGATGCGAGCGACCATTTTCACTCATTCTATTCTTGCCTCCGTGTCATTCGTTTCTCTCGCCTGATCTGCGATTCCTTCCCTCCATTAGTCCACCCTACCCTCTCCCCCGTATTCTCCATTTCTCATCTCCTCCCCTCCCCCCTCCCCCCATCATGGCCGATGCCTTGGGGAAGAAAGAGCGGAGAAAAAGTCTGAGTGTGTTCAGTCCATCGACGACGGCCTCGATTCTCTCCGGTTCGGGGATCACCCACGATCGATCCCCCTCCGACGATGTCAACACGCTCAAGAAGAGACCCCGACGCAATTCCGGTTTCTTTGGTGTCCGAAACACCAGCCCTCCAGGCAGTCAGACCCAGAGCTATCCCAGCAACCCCGAAGCAGATCGCTCCGCGGGCTACGCAGCCCCGATTCATTCAGTGACAACCCCCGAATTAGTCCGTCCTCGCCGCAGATCCCTCCAGAAGAAGCGCACGTCCGTGTTTGGCTCCTTGCGATCGCTGCATTCCCTGGATGATGAAGAGAAATCATTCGGGCGCTCCAAGGGTTCGCCCGTGGACGAGGAGGATGGCTTTCCCAACGCTCGACAAGGAATTGGCTCGGTAATTCTCCATCATGGAGCAATCCAGACGACAGGGGGCATGTGGAGGAAAAAAAGTCAGTACCTGGTCCTGACAGACACCCATCTGGTTCGATTCAAGAGTCAGAGCAAGGCCGCGGAGACTTTCGCCTCCATCCCGGCGTCCTATGCACGGTCTCCCGCGTTGAATCGTCAGTCAATTGCCTCTATCAACTCCCTACAAGAGCCGCAACTCGCAGCTCCGAGCGATGCCTCTGCTGGAATCCCTCTGAACAGCATTATTGCAGTCTACATGTTGGATGACGGCAGACCCTCGTCCATGGTTGAGGTTGCCTATCTGGACGAGCGTCTGCACAAGGCAGCATTCATCCAGATGCAAACACCAGATCTTCAGGAACTAAACCTGTGGATGGTCGGCATCCGTTCAGCCGCCGAACTCATTCGCACTTCGGATCCGCTGCCCGTCGATCCCAAGGCGATGGAGTGTGTGGCTCGAATGCTGGAATATGAGAGAGATTACGACCCAGAAACGTTCCGCATGTTCCGTGTCATTCAAATGGCCTCCAGTAGCAAATCCTCCACGCGGGCCTCGTCGGATGACCTCACCAAATTGTCCCCCACGGGATGTTACCTCGCCCTGGGCTCGCACAAGCTGCACCTAATCCCCCTGCACAAAGTGTCCGCACGCTCCTCCGTGGTGTCGCTGTCCGATTTGGAGACCGCAACCTCGTTTGGCCTGATGAATCTCACGAGTCTGTCCATGGAGTGGGGGGATGACAGCCTGCATTTGACATTCCGAGTCCCACTCCGCAAGCCATTCTCGGTCTTTCTCGCGTCGGTACATTCCCTCGAGGTTGCTTTCTGGTTAAGGCAACAGACGGAATTTCTGCGGCCATTGTGGCTCCGGCAGCCATTTGACTTCATTGTTCCTCGGGGTCTGGATCACGAGAGCAATTTCCCGCCAGTCGGTTTGAGTGAAGACTACGGTTGCTTTGATCGGACGCTGGTCGCCTATTCCGCTAGTTATGATATCGATACCTCCAACATCCGTTACACGATCGACATGCAATGTGATGATGCACCGTGTTTTCGGCTTCTGCCTCCCGCTTCACCTCATCGTCAGAAGTACAGCGCGCTGGAGCTGATTGCGGTCTTTCGCGCTCTCCGGTACAATGAGTTCTTCCGCTCCATCTCGTTCAACGGAGTCAGTCTCGATGCGCTTTCGGGCGTCCGTGATTTTCATGGGCAAGATAAAGACGCGTCCTCCACGCGTTTAGGCGTCACCGTTCACATCCCCGGACAAGAGAGCTTGTCAGTGCTGTCGCAGGAAATTCGTGCCCTAGCGCTCAAAAGCACTTGTCTCAAACGGCTGGATTTCTCACACACGTTAAGTCGCACTCCCAAGGCCGATAGCGAGAGTCGCGACCCCGGCTGTGGCATTCCGGAGGCGCTGTTCCCCATCTGCCGTCGGGAGCTCACGAGCGTTGACTGTGTTGCGCTGAACGGGATCAAACTCGGCGATTCAGATCTCGACTATCTGGTTGATGCCGCCTCACAAAAGGGGAGCAACATGCGTGCGTTGGAGCTTGGACACTGTGGCCTGTCTGTTCACGACATTGATCTCCTTCTTTCGACAATCATCGCTCAAGCCCCAACGCTAGAGACGTTGAATATCTCGGGTGTGCAGGGCCGCTTGAGTCCCGATCTTCTCCAGCAGTATCTTGGATATTTTGGCAAGTTGAAGAAGCTGGACCTCTCGCGAGTCTCTCGAACTTCGGGTCCGCAACCACTGATCAGCGCAGAGACCCTGGTCAAGTGGCAACTGGAGGAACTTTCCTTGAGTCGGACCTCGGTCAATCGAGACACTGTCGATGCCATCGCGACCTACCTAGCAAGTGATATGTCTCGAAGCCTCCGTGTGCTTCGGCTTGACCAGTGTGGATTGTCAGGGCAGGATGTTGCTATTTTCTTGCACTCGATGGCTATTGTGGGTGCGTCCCGGGATCTGCATCTGTATGTCAGCGAGAATCGGCTCGACCTGGGGTCGTCGTATCTCTTCGAGGCGATTGCTCTCAATAAAACCCCATCGCATCTCTCGATGCGGATGATTGATTTCAAGAAGGAGGAGCAATTTCAGGAGCTAGTCGAGGCTCTCAGAATGAACGAGACATTGAAATTTCTCGACATCTCGAAGGCCTCGCTACCTTATGACGCCGGACCGGAAACGTGCAAATTACTCCAGCTGATGTTTGAGGAGAACAGCACGTTGGAAGATTTGGACATTAGCGGGGAGAGTGCACACTTGGATGTGGCCCGTTTTGGAATTGGTCTCAACCTCGCGTTGACCGGTTTGAAGAAGAATAAATCTCTCAAGGTGCTCAAGATAGAACACCAGAAATTAGGACTGCAGGGCGCAAGCACCTTGGCGTCGGTGCTTGAGGAGAACACCTGTCTCAGGGAAGTTCACTGTGAGAATAACGATATTAATCTGCAATCGTTCACGGTGCTGGTCAACGGGCTTCAGCGGAACAGGACCCTTCTCAACCTGTCCTACATGGATCGCGACAGGGTTCGATCGCTCGAAAAAGTACGCCGCGAGATTGAGAGTGTGAAACGTGATACGAACTCTGCCCAGGGCTCCACGACCAGTTCCATCCGCCGCTCGATACATGCTGCCATGCACGTCAAAAATGCAGCCGTGGGCAACAAATTGACCAAGCATACATCCACGACCAATGCCTCCCGTGGTGCAGCCTCGACAGCCACGGGCACGGCATCAAACGGGTCTGTGCAGCAACATGCAGTGGATCGTGACATTGAGGTCATACTACGGTCATTGAACCAGAAATGGGACGCAGAGGTTGCGCGTCTGCGTCGTTACCTATTTCGTAACTACAACGTGGCCAATGGAGTAGACGATGGATATACTGGACTCGACGGCGACGATGCGGCCAGTGACGGGCGCCCAGCAACGGCAGCCAGCCTTGGCACAATGTTGGACAATCTGACATTGGACGGAAAGAGGTCCACCGATGATGTTCGTTCTCGGTCTCGAGCCGCCTCACAGACTAGTCCTGGGCTGGAACTGCAGATTCCCTCGAAAGTTCCTAGCCCCAACAAGACGGAAGATCAGCCTAGCCATCTGGACATATTCAAGAGCCTCGATGAGGACAGCAGCTTTGGATCCGGACTGGCCGATCGACCACAAACGGTTGATGTCCACCTTCCAGACCACGGCTCCGTGACCCTAACGCCTGACTATTCAGGGCCGGATGCATCCTCTGCGCACTTGGCAGTGCCAGTGCCCGCTCTTCCTTCCATTGCAGCCAAGCCAAACAGCGTCCGAAGTGTCCGCAGCTCAAGTACCACGTCCACCAGCGCGGGGACAGCGGCGAGTTCGCGCAGCACCTATGGCGCTGCATCCTCCACGTTGAGAGGCTTCCTTGCGCGAGGTGTATCAAAAGACCGGCGCGGAATTGAGAAGCTGAAACCTGGGCCCCTCTGTATCACAAGTGATGCGCCACCACGGCTGGACTGGTCACCACCCCAACTCGGACTCCGTGACTTCTAATAGTTCTCTGGTCATCTTCGATGAGGCTTGGTGTGTGTGTGACTTGGCCATGTCTGACAACTCTGATGGTGTCATTGGATACTATCATCCATTAGGATGTGTCCTAGAGATACCTTACCTCCAGAGTCTTGTCTTCGCTAGTCGAGACACGCTCTGACTTGTACAGCACAACATAGACTGCCCTTGGAAGCAGCATCCAAGGACTGTTTCCTTCCATTCTTTGTTTGATGTTTTTTTCAATTCCTTTCCCCCATTTCCCCTCTTGAATCTGTCAAGACATACTTGTGCAGTCTTGTGTTTATTTGTTTTTGAGACTCGTCATGAGGCTACTACCTCTTCTTGAATTGTTTGAGCAACTGTGCGCGATGCTCCCATCATCGCTCCTATTAGAACTTGTTACTTACCCTCCCCCTGTACAAGTCTCTCTTCTTCATTCCTTTCCTTGTCGGCATTTTTCTGGTGTCTCAATACCCAGTTGATATTTCTCCCCATCATCATCTCTCTCTCTCTCTGGCTTTTTCTTTTGGAAGGCGTCTATCACAGGATCGAAAGCAACAATCATGGATCCGCGAGTTTGGCGCACGGGCTCGACGGACGATTTCAACTCCCTGAGTTGACAGGGTTTTTACTCCAATCTTTTTGTTTCTCGGCGCTCTTTTCCAATTACTTTCTCTTCCGTTCTTATTCCCCCTTGTGCCTCTGTTATCATCTCCGCCGAAACGAAGGGTGATGATTCTAATCGATAATGTCTTAAAGAGGTGGTCTCCGCCTTCGAAGCCCGGTCTTCCGAGCTGGAGCGAGACATGCTTTGTTGAATTCGGATCATGTCTCTTTTTCCACATGAATATTTTGTATCTAGAAAGGGGCTGTGTATGAATACTATATATACTTCAAGATCAACGGAACCATGTCTCCATGTCTCCATGTCGTGCTCGTTTCAATGTATCGGGTTATTTTAGCGTTCGTAAAGGCGACTGCAGGTTCTGACCATTCAGCTTGAAATGCTTCCATACGAAATACGGTTCAGAGATATTAATTGCTTCGATGGAAGTACCTGCCACTGAGAAACGCTCCACTACCAATATCGAAGAGGCCATATCATACTGAAAGCACATAGTGCTCAAATGCCGGACAAAGTTCAAGCAGAAGGATCCAAGATCCATGAAAACAACATGATATTACAATGCCTGGGAGCGGAACTCTGATCTGACCTAACCTAACCACAGAAGAGGGGGGGGGGGGGGGGGGGAGGGGAAGGGAAGAGAAAACGCCGCTAGATGATATCGAAGAAAAACATAGAACCCTGCAGGCACCCTAGAAATGCAAAAGCCAAACATATTCTCACGCTATGGGGGAGGGAGAGAGCCCTGAAAGCGGGATGGACGATGGTATGTATATGTAAAGCATCTTGAATCCTTAGGCTGATTCGCCCAGCACGACAATGCCCTTCTCCTTGTCCAGTTTGTCCTCCTCCTGGCGGTATTTGCGGCCCCGCCGGCTGATATCGCGCAGTTTGCGGATATATACATTGGCTGCGATGTCGCTCTCGTCCTCGCCGCGGCCGGCGAGGGCCTTCTGGCGCCGCTTCTGGCACGCGGCGTACAGCGACTGCGCCTGTGGGCCGTGGAGCTCCGTCAGCTCCCACTGCACGGTCCAGTCGTCTGTCGACCTGTATTCGTTTGGCCGCTCAACGTAGAACCCGTTGACTTTGTTCTTGATGATGAGCGTCATGGCGAGAAGGTCGCGCGGTTCGTCTGGTTGAGCTTGCTGCTCGGGTGCGGGAGTTGACTCCGCGGATGGTGAGTCGGTCGAAGCGGCGGCTGGTTTTTGGTCGGTGGTGGTGGGAGGGGGAGAGCTTTCCTGTGCAGCCTGGGCCTCCTTACCAGACGTCACGTCTGTCTTAATTTCCGGAGTGCTCGAGGGCTGGCTCTCTGCTTTCTCAAGCACCGCTGGGGAAGATGATGGCTCGGTTTCCTCTATGGGAGTGAGGTTCAAAATGCGCCGTTGATATGCTTCGATCTTCTCCGAATTCTTCGTTTGAATGGCATGGATCTCTTCGTCGGTCACCGGTTCCGCAAAGATGTACATGAACGGTGTCTGTGCGTCTCTCGTCTCAAAGTGGAACCGAAGAGACTTCTTGGGGAATTTCGCCGTGGCTTTGTCAAGAACCTTATTCCATAGGGCAATGCTAAGCTGGAACTCGGCATCACCTAATGAAGTATCGGATTGACCATGCAGAGCCTCGTCCATTTCCGGTAAACTGACATATTGGAACCCGAAGATACGCTCAATGTTGTGGAAAGCCACAAATATTCCGTCCATGCGACCGACACGCACTTGGAGAGAATATTTCAGAAATGCGGCCCGAATCATGTCAAAGTATTCGCGTTCATAGGACTCATAAGTGCCGAAGCGACGGCGGATTTCATAACCAAGACCATGCTCGAAGTTGCGCACGTCCATGCGAATAGACACGACCGCTCGAGTCTTCAAGTCAAACATTCCAGTTCCCGGAAGTCTGGGGTCGTAAGCGTCCAATTGGGATCTCATGACGAAATCACCCGTTGTCGAATAATGGTAGGCCTCAGGAATGGCTGATTCCTCCTCCGCTGAGATCTTATTTGTACTGGTTCTTCTGTATCGCTCAAAGTCCTCCTTTGGTAATGTGAGAAGTTTCTCCAGTGACTTGCCAAGGTTCATCAGGATATTGGCAGAGTCGAATTCCTTATCAGCGTCAATTGCGTATACGCCGTCTTGGTACCGGAGAAACATGGCCGATGGAGCTCGCAGAAGTCGCGTGAACGTACGCAGCTTATCTGGGAAGCCTTGCGAGAGTGTTGAAGCATTAATTGGCCTCCATGAAGAAAGGAGGTAATGAAAATGAGAAAGCACCGATGTCATGCTTGAAGACGAACCCACATACTTCTTCTTCTCCTTAGCTGCAATTCCCCTAAGGATCTCGTCCCTGGAAGAAGTGATGTATTCCTTCAGCGCATCAAAGTCGAATTCAGTCACAGGCATGATAGATCCAAGATAAGGATCGAAATTGAAGACACGAGATCGAGGATCACGAAGGTGATAGACGCCAGGGCTTTCCGGACCGAAAGTCAGCTAAAACTTTCCAGCAGATATTCTTGAGATGGAAGGGTACTCACTTGAATAGAACTCTGTCAAGACCGAATGACAGTTGAGGAACCGCCGGAGTCTCGGTTTTCAGCGCTTTACATCAGTCAGCAACGAAAGGTCAAGGGGCATCGCACGAGGAAGCAGGATACATACAGGTGACGGATAAATCCCGCGAATGAAGTGTACCGAAATCCTTGCCACGTGAAGCGCCCGTGACATTGGTTAAAATTTTTACATCCTCTCTGTCTTTCGGGGCCGTGGCTCTTGACTGCAACAAAGAGACCACTGACTGGAGCGAAGATTGAATGCGCGCAGTACTCGCGGACTGGAGGCTTTCGGTCAGCTTGAATTGCCGCGCCTGAACTGAAATGCAAGGTGACTCACGTCATCTTCAAACTCCCCTTCGACACCCTCCAATTTCTCTTGCTTTGTTCTTGTGGTTGGCTTCCTCTCCTTCGTGATCACCCTTCGTATTTTCGGTTCCGATTTCTCCCTCTCCTTCCTTACGCCTCTTTTTGGTGGACGCTCAAAATCTGATTCCAGAGATTCGATGATTTCTTCTTGAACGGATGGAGTATCGTCATCCGCACAGATCTTTGTGCCTAATTTGCGGGCAATCGACTCTGTGATATCGCTCCTCGACCGTAAGCTAGACAGCGGTGTCTTTTTTTTCCTTCTCCCCTTTGGTGGAGAATCGCTCTGGAGAAAGACTCGTGTCAGCAGATGTAGCCTCCCAACGAGAAAATTTTCGATTGTGAATAACTTCAATCATCGCAGGGAAGCCAATTGTACCTTTTTAGTAGTGGAGGGAGGTTTTGAGGCATCCTCTGCGGGGGAGGCCGTGTCGATTGCTTGATCACCACTCGAACCACTCGAACCACTCGAATTGGCGCGTAGCGTCGAGCTGTAGAACTGGCGCACCCGGGGACGACCTCCAAGTCCCTGCGCTAGACAGGAGAGGCAGACATGTTCGCGACGCGGGTCTGTCAAAGACCGCAGGGAGGTCCGGAACATCCAGACCAAATTTATCGCAGTATCCTCGACAAACAGAGAAAGACGACCGCTCAATGGGTTGTGTATGTGGATGGAAGTTGATGTTGGACGCGCGGAGTCTTTCGAAACGGTCGATCCGTAAATGAGCTTCTTCTGCTTTTTCTGCCAAGTGGCTTTCACCGCCTTGGATCTAGTAGATATTGAGATCGAATGATGGTGGTGGTGCACAGAATATCAGAAATCATAGTATGACCCCGGCGATAATGATCTAAGAAAGCTTGGATGCACAATTGACTCAAGGAAGTGCATAAGACTCCAATGTTGTGGCTCATCGGTGGTGTTATTGAGATGTTCTTCTATAGGACTATTACTAGTGTTACTAGTAACTAAGTGCTCTCTGAAGGGTGCATCAAAATCATTCGAAAAACGTATAGGCGGATCATCGAACTGAGTGACACCAATGCCACGATATCAAGTATCAGATAGTTAAATTCATATAGAATGGGAAATTGACACCCCCAGCGTAGAAGTGTTCCAAGTGAAGCTGCCTTTTGGATCTGCCCATCGCCAAATCCGGGGTCGGAAGGGAAAAAGACGCCCCCGCCGCGATAGGAGAGAAAAAAAAAAAAATATTATTTGTGAGCAGTTGAAAAAGCCTCGTTCTCCCAACAGCCCCATATACTTGCTGTCAACGCAGTCGGATCTCAAGTCAATTCTCTGAAGAGGTGAGTTCCTTTGATTCCTCCTGTGGCTTGAAATGTCTATCATGAATGTTTTTGTCCCTTCTCAGTGTTGTTTTGTGCACATACTATGGGTGAGGGGCAGTTGTCTATCTGCCCCTCCGAACGGCTTCATGACTGTCAAATCTGGATATGACCAACCCCGATCTACCATTTGCTTCTTTCATATCTTTTGGAAATAGATTTACGCTTGGTCTATCTGCTAGAACACGATTGAAATCTATTTTCTCTGGGAAGAAATAATGGGAAACACTGGCAGCTTTCACTTCAGACCGAATGCTAACATGACTCACTCGTCCCCCAGGTTTGCTCGAGAACACTGCTCCCAAGATGGCTCAAGAACAGTTGCGCATTCTCATTGTCGGCAATGGTGGACGTGAGCATGCGTTGGCCTGGAAGCTGAGCCAGTCCCCCCGCGTCGAGATCGTCTATGTCGCTCCCGGCAACGGTGGTACCGCCCAGGGTGCCTCTCCCAAGATCACCAACGCCGATGTCAAGGGCAATGATTATCCCGGCCTTGTGGCTTTCGCTCAGAAGAATGGTGTCAACCTGGTAGTCCCCGGCCCGGAGGCTCCCCTTGTCGATGGTATTCAAGGATATTTCCAGGCAGGTGGGTAATCTCTTCCTCAAGAGAGATTTCTTTCGGGGACGTCCATCATACATACAGGACATCCCTGCTGACATCTATGCTAGTCGGTATCCGTTGCTTCGGACCTTCCAAGGCTGCTGCCCGCATGGAAGGCTCCAAGACCTTCTCCAAAGACTTCATGAAGCGCCACAACATCCCCACCGCCGCGTACCAGAACTTCTACGAATATGAGCCTGCCCGCCAGTACCTCGACTCCGTGACTCACCAGGTTGTCATCAAGGCCGACGGCCTGGCTGGTGGCAAGGGCGTCATCATCCCCACCACCAAGGAGGAGGCCCATCAAGCGCTCCGGGAAATGATGCTGGATCATCAGTTCGGTGATGCGGGTAATGAAGTCGTTATCGAAGAGTATCTTGAGGGTGATGAACTCAGTGTACTCACTTTCACTGATGGCTATACCATCCGATCCCTGCCCCCAGCGCAGGACCACAAGCGTATCTTCGATGGTGACCAGGGTCCCAACACTGGTGGTATGGGCTGCTATGCCCCTACTCCTATCTCTTCGAAGGAAGTTCTGGAGGAGATCGATCGCACCATCATCCAGCCCTCGGTCGATGGCATGCGTAAGGATGGTATGTTATCATCTATTGTCTAATTCCGCGTTTCATTCCGACGCGGGCTAATCCCACTCCATAGGTTTCCCCTTTGTGGGTATTCTTTTCACTGGTCTGATGATGACCAAGGACGGCCCTAAGGTCCTCGAATACAATGTTCGTGGCGGAGACCCAGAGACCCAGACTCTGCTGCCTCTCCTCAGCGACGATACCGACTTGGCACAGATCATGGTTGCCTGCACAGAGCACTGGCTCGACGGTGTGGAGATGAAGGTGAAAACCGACTTCTCCACCACCGTGATCGCCGTGGCTGGTGGTTACCCCAACTCCTACGCCAAGGGCAAAGCTATCACCCTGGACGCCGTGCCCGAAGGCACCTTGATCTTCCATGCCGGAACCACTCTCTCCGGCAGCGAGCTTCAGACGAACGGTGGCCGTGTGATTGCCTCGACCGCGACAGCATCCAGCCTTGAGGAAGCCGTCCGCAAGAGCTACGCCGGCATCTCGACCATTCACTTTGAGGATATGTTTTACCGCAAGGACATTGCTCACCGGGCCTTCAGACAGCGCGATGCCGCCGCGTCCCAGACGCAGGCTCTCACATATGCCTCGGCTGGCGTGTCGATCGACGCCGGCAACGACCTCGTCAACAAGATCAAGAGCTGCGTCGGCCGCACGAAGCGCCCTGGTACAGACGCCGTGATCGGTGGCTTCGGCGGCCTCTTCTCGCTCCCCGCCGCCAACTCGGCCTACCACCCCCTGTCCCCCACGCTGATCGGAGCGATCGACGGCGTCGGCACCAAGCTCAAGATCGCCCACACCGTGGGCGTACACGACACCGTGGGTATTGACCTGGTGGCCATGAACGTCAACGACCTGGTCGTCCAGGGCGCCGAGCCTCTGTTCTTCCTCGACTGCTACTCCTGCGGCAAGCTGGACGTCGAGGTGGCGGCCGCGTTCGTGACCGGTGTCGCCGACGGCTGCGTGCAGGCAGGCTGTGCGCTGATCGGCGGCGAGACGGCCGAGATGCCCGGCCTCTTCATCGACGAAACCTACGACGCCGTCGGTGCCGCCGTCGGCGCCATCAACACCGTCGGCGAGAACGCCCGGGCCATCCTGCCCGTCACCTCGGCCATGCAGCCCGGCGACGTCCTGCTCGCTCTGGCCTCGTCCGGCCCTCACTCCAACGGCTACTCACTGGTCCGCAAGATCGTCGAGCGATCCGGCCTGAGCTACACCGACCCCGCCCCCTTCACCATGCCCTTCTCCACCTCCTCCGACGCCGTCTCCCTCGGCCGCGCCCTCCTCACCCCCACCCGCATCTACGTCAAGCCCATCCTCAAGGCCCTGGGGATCCCCGCGTCCAGCGGCGCCAGCGGCGTCTCCGCCATCAAGGGTCTCGCCCACATCACCGGCGGCGGCCTGACCGAGAACGTGCCCCGCATGCTCCCCTCGACTCTCTCTGCGCACATCAAGGTTGACGCCTGGCCGCTGCCCGCCGTCTTCGCCTGGCTGAAGAAGAACGGCAACGTCTCGGCCACCGAGATGGCGCGCGCCTTCAACTGCGGTGTCGGCATGGTCATCGTCGTCGAGAAGGAGTCCGCCGCCGCTGTCAAGGACCTCTTCGAGAAGGAAGGCGAGATCGTCTACGAGGTCGGTGAACTCCAGCCCCGCCAGGCTGGTGATGAGGGTTGTGTGCTTGCGGGCCTGGAGAGCTGGGATGCGTAAAAAAAAAAAATTAAAAAAAATCAAACACACTCATCTGTTTTTTTCCTTTTTCCCCCTTTCCCTTTCCCTTTTTTTTACTGTTCTCCCACTTTTTCTCTTTTTCTCTCTCTCTCTCTCTCTCTCTTTATTTCCCCGTACAACCTCATGACAAGCTACTTTGAATCTTTTCCTTTCCATAACCCTGACTTCGTTTTTTTTCTTGATGCTGATGATAACTTACTTGGTTGCTGGTATACTGTGATGAGGGATGAATTAACACTATAAAAAGAATGATGGAAGATAGTATAGTATAGTATCGTGTAGTATGGAATGGAGTGGATAGAATGATGATAAGGTAGTCCCTTGCCTGCAAATTCCAGTATCTATTCTTGAGGTATGGAGGTTGATACAAAGTCGACACATCGATCATGTGAGTGCTTGGAGACACAAGAGCAGAAAAAGGCCTAGACTGTGACATCATCCAGGCCGCAGCCACTGGGCTCTTACTTCGAACGAAGGCTACAGACTACAGACAGACTGGATAGATAGAAAGACAAGAGAAGAGGACAAGCGTGGCGTGGGCAGGAATAGGATTCGAATATGAGCGCTGAACTATACGAAGGAGGATTTGCACCGCACCGTCTGTCCATCAAGACCAATTGTACACTCCTTCTACGATGCTTTCTTTATCGCCGCCTATCTTGACTCCCCTTGGCCACAATCTTGCCATCCGTCAAAAAATGCTCCGGCATCGCATGACAAGCATCTTAATGATAAACCATCTCTATTTCACGACTAGTATAAAAAATTCCTTTTTCAGGCAATCTTTTCCTCATAGTGCGAGTAGAGAAGGCCTGCAAGCCACCATTCCCCTCATTCGGTCTTTTGGTACAACAGGACAGTACGAGCGAAGAAAAGAACGAAACGCAAGAGCTGCAGCGGTAAGTCAGCAAGACGGCTCAAAACGGGAACTCGACCCACAGAGAAATCGTACCTTAGAAGCACTTGCGGTGAACGATCGAAGGACCGCTCTCGTCGTACTCCTGCTTGGAGATCCACATCTGCTGGAAGGTGGACAGAGAGGCGAGAATGGAACCACCAATCCACACGGAGTATTTACGCTCAGGAGGAGCAATGATCTTGACCTTCATGGACGAGGGAGCCAGGGCGGTGATTTCCTTCTGCATACGGTCGGAGATACCGGGGTACATGGTGGTACCACCAGACTATTGAGTAAGACTTGCGTTAGTATTCCAGCCACAATTTGAAAAATTTGGGCGGGGGGAGGGGAGAAAGATCGAGGGGAATGACATACCATGACAATGTTACCGTAGAGATCCTTACGGACATCGACATCACACTTCATGATAGAGTTGAAAGTGGTAACGTGGATACCACCGCTCTCCAGACCCAGGACGCTAGGCTGGAACAGGGCCTCGGGAGCGCGGAAACGCTCGTTGCCGATGGTGATGACCTGTCCGTCGGGAAGCTCGTAGGACTTCTCGAGGGTGGAGCTCTGGGAGGCGGTCTGGATCTCCTGCTCGAAGTCGAGAGCGACGTAGCAGAGCTTCTCCTTGATGTCACGGACAATTTCACGCTCAGCGGTAGTGGAGAAGGTGTAACCACGCTCGGCCAGGATCTTCATCAGGTAATCCGTCAGATCACGACCAGCCATGTCGACACGGGAGATGGCGTGGGGCAGGGCGAAACCCTCGTAGATGGGGACAACGTGGGTGACACCATCACCAGAGTCAAGCACGATACCGGTGGTACGACCGGAGGCGTAGAGGGACAGGACGGCCTGGATGGAGACGTAGAAGGCGGGAGCGTTGAAGGTCTCGAAGACGATCTGGGTCATCTTCTCACGGTTGGACTTGGGGTTGATGGGGGCTTCGGTCAAGAGGACAGGGTGCTCCTCAGGAGCGACACGGAGCTCGTTGTAGAATGTGTGATGCCAGATCTTCTCCATGTCATCCCAGTTCGTGACGACACCGTGCTCGATGGGATATCTGAGGGTGAGGATACCACGCTTCGACTGTGCCTCATCACCGACATAGGAGTCCTTCTGGCCCATACCAATCATGATACTGCGCAACAGCGGTCAGTGACCATTCTCTTTACCTAGCCCAAATAAGACCAGAGAAAAGGAGGGGACTAATTACCCATGGTGACGGGGACGACCGACAATGGAAGCTATTTTCGCAAGTTAGTGATCAATTCGAGATAATTGACTCTGTCGTATGATAAAGGGGTAACCGCCACAAGGAGTGAGCCACCCGACGCAAGGGCAACGATTGGCACATCCACAAGTGACGATTATCCTGACCATCACCAAGCGGGATGACATATGACAGGAGGGGTCGATTTTTTTTTTATACCCTTCATAAAGATGGAAGGTTTTGGGGTGAGGGGTTGACTTACGGAAGACAGCACGGGGAGCATCGTCACCGGCGAAACCGGCCTTGCACATACCCGAACTGCGCACCAAACGTCAGCATGGAACACCAGACATTAAAACGTTCCAAAGATCCATAATCATCTTAATTTGAGTAAGATGAAATCAATCGGAGTGTAGAGATCTCAGGATAAGAAAGGGCGGCTAGTGACAGCGCTGGAGAGGCGCAATTGTAGCGACCGAGAGCTCAGGAGGTCCAGGAGCCGGTTTCCTTGGATAAACACCACCCCAATCGAGGGAAACTCCATCAACGAAGCTGGAGGGGGAAAAGGGAATACCATACCCATTGTCAATGACGAGAGCAGCAACTTCTTCTATAATGATTCAAGATGAAATTGTTAATTGTGGTCCAGAATGATGGTGGAGGCAAGAGAATAATAGGAGGGGGGGGGAGGTGGGTGTGGATGTTGTGTTCGGGAACGGGGGGGGGGGGGGCGTCATGAGAGAGCTATTGATGAGGTGTCCGGAACGACATACCTTCCATGGTGACAGAAATAGGATTAAGACGAAAACTACAGAGAAGGAAAAAGAAGAAAAATTAAGAAGAAGAGAGAGAGATGATGGAGAGAGATGGGGTGAGGAAAAGACGGGAGGGGGGAGAAAGGTGTGAGATTGGAATATGGGAGGATTGTTGAGTACGTAAGTCAAGTCGAGAGAGAGAGAGAGAAGAGAGAGAGTAAAGAGAGAGGAAGAGAGAGAGAGAGAGAGAGAGAAGAACAAGAAAGGCGACGGGAAGAGATTAAGCGGTAGGAAGCTGGGGTGGAGGAGGGAAACTGAGCAGGAGAAGGAGGGGGCAACTAAGAGCAGCACGCCGTGGTCTGGTTGGCTTGCACCTCTGTGCACTAATCCTAGTCCTGCTCTTTAGGACTTTAGGTACAACTGCCTGGATCGACCGAGCACTAGGGGCGCTCCCAAAGAGGGTGATATGATGCTGTTGCTGATGCTGATTTTTGCTGACCAGGATTAAAGGACGATGGTGGTGTTGTTGTTGATTGGTATTGCTGTTTGTTTGACGACGAGAACGCAAAAATACTACTGTAAAGTGTAGTATCGTCGGATGTATTGCCGCTTCCTCTGCTCTGTATAGACTCGGAGTATTTTGTAGTAGGATGCTGTCCACCGCCACTATTAGGTCCTTATCCCATCACCCCTCTACGTACGGAGTAAGTACTCGTAGTATTTATATCAGTTGGTTGTCAGGTATCTTTAAAATGATGCCTAGATGATGTTTTCTGGAATTGATATGGAATACTGCTGCCTTTTGGCGATGATGCGGCTGCTGATGAATGCATACTTCTCTCTCTCTATCTCCATCTCCTAGGTACCTATCGACGAAATAAATTACGGTTGATGCCATAAAGACAGGCAGAATCATTTCTTGTGCCAAATGACAAAAACAATTGCGCATTCCTCGTGGGGCAGATCCCTCTCTATCCAGCTCCAATTCCAAGGATGAGAAACGGCGTCAATGCCTCGCCTCAATCATGGATCCGAAGCGTTGAATGGTTCCTCGTATCACTGGTGGACCACAAAAAGGGGTTCATGGTTGACGGAGTTTCCCTTTGGAGGTGCTATCTTTATCTCAAGTCCACGATAAATCACAGTCACCACTCACGGATGATGAGGGGACGTTTAGCCTCTCGTTTATAACTCGTTTATATAGACCCTAGTGCATGAGTGCCTGATTGACACTCTTAAACATCAAAGGATGATCAGCCATCTGATCATCCATATCCCATAATCCATAATCCATAACCATGACCGTGGTTCTTGGCTGGCCTCTTTACCGCCTTTTCGAGGGGATTCGAGATCCTTCATAGAACAGAGAGAGAAAGAGAGAGAGAGACCTGCGATCCTCTATCATATGGGAAACAAAAAAAAAAAAAAAAAAAAACGAACATGACTGAGTAAGATACTACATCGTATCACTAATCTCTTAGACGCGCAGGCAAAGGAAACTTGATTCTATATCTATCTACACCATCGAATGAACTTCTCAGCCACATTTCACCGCGGGGTTCGGCGGCTGATGGCGGGGCAATTCACAGAGTGACAGAACAGGAGGCTGGAAGCCCTGAAAGGTCTATGGACGATGCAGCTGTCTGGGCAGTATTGCATAATAATAGTACTGGTATCATCATTAGAATCAAAAATGATTTCGCATTGATCTATAGTTTAGTTTTTAAACGAGAAAGGAAGACTGTATTATTCTGATCAGGATAGCTAACTCTCTGTGGAATTGGGTGGAAAGTCCATGAATCATCAAGAGTCGCCGGGATCAAATCGCCGCCATTGATAGAAGGTATGCGATAAGAAAAAATTGTCCACAAAGACTAGAGACTATCTATAACCTCCAACACAAATATTCTGAAGTCAATCGCATTGGATTATTGATTTTTACGCTGCCTAATAATCGGAATTATATACTGTATTTCCTCTTAAGGGCCCTTCATTTAATATACACTCTCAAGCAAATCCGGTCCTTTCAACCGCCATGGATCCCAACATGAACAACCTCCTCAAATGGGGTATCGAGAACTCGACTGCCTCGCGAGAATCTGCCGACAGCGAGGCTCCTGCTCCTTCGTCCCGCAAGCTGACCCCGGAAATGCTCTCCGCCCTCTTCGGAGGCCCCTCGGACGCCGACCTGATGAAAGCCGCCATGGAAGCGCTGCACTCGGACGAGGTCGACCTGGAGAACAAACTGATCGCCTTCGACAACTTCGAACAGCTCATCGAGTCCATCGATAACGCGAACAACCTCGAGCCACTGGGCCTCTGGACGCCACTGGTCGAGCTGCTCAAGCACGAAGATGCGGACATGAGACGGATGGCCGCCTGGTGCATCGGAACCGCAGTGCAGAATAACGAAAAGGCTCAGGATAAGGTATGTTTTGCCAAGCGATTTCCTTCTCTCGCTGCGGTTTGATTTGGGAAAGATGTCAGACGCAAAATGCTAACGGGGATCATCTCTAGCTCGTCGTCTTCAACGCCCTCCCCCAGCTTGTCAACATGTCTACCTCCGACCCGGCGCCCGCCGCCCGCAAAAAGGCCATCTACGCCCTCTCCTCCGGCCTGCGCAACTACCAGCCCGCCATGGACGAGTTCGTCAAGCACCTTCCGGAAGGCTACCCTCGCGGCCAGAAGATCGACGCCGGCGACATGGAGGCGGTGGATGCCCTGATGGACAAGCTCAGAGCCCATCCCTCGGAAGCATCCGCGTAAAAAGTCAGACGCCAATCAAATTCCGGTATCTCTGATGAATCCTCATCCCAGCCGTCAGGCGATCGCGCACATGCTTGGATTTTCTTGCCCGAGATCCCAGGTAGCTACGTCGCAGGCGGTAACCCTTACCCAACACCGTCTGCCCGTCGACCCCAGCGTCAGCAGGGTCCGACATAACGAATGACCACGCCATTTCGATTGCGGAAAAACAAATTTCCTGCATGACTTATCTTGAAGGGACCTATCCTGTATATGCTCGTATTCCCTTTTGGGTTGAGCGAGCGTGCGGAGACAAGCGTCAAGCATGCCTCCGCTAGGCTACTGTATTCCAACGCCGAAGCAAAACATTCCCGAACAAGCTTGCGTGTGGCGTGAATCGATATAATATACCCAATTATCTAGTGCTTTTGTGCATATAGACAAAGAATAAAGGATTGTTTTGTACGCCATCTTGCGTAAGCCTTTTTGTGTCAACCGACGTTGAATTTCTGCTGCCTGGGGCGCAACCCGTTAGACCCTTTCCTAAACGAATCCTCGTATAGAACCTCTATGTGCTTCAACTCGACTGGTTTGGGGCGAAGAGTACTATCAGGCAGCACCTAATAATTCTACATACCTCGCGATCACAGACCAGGGCGTAAGGATTTGGGTGTACAAATATCCAACACACAATTCTAAAACAAATCATCGAGCATAAGAACATAGACATAAACATAGGTATAACATGGTCAAATTACAAATGCGCCAAGCCAGGAAAACAAATATCGTATATCTAAGAAGTGTCAGGCAAGCTGCCACTTCGCGCCGTCAAAAGAGACCATCGATTCTAGAGTATCCCGATGGCTACAGCGCCAGATTGTAGGTGTAATCGTCCTCAATGTTCTGAGAAACCCAGAGAACAATAGTACTGTATTGGAACAAATCAGTAACCCGGCTTCAAATCCCCAACGACTTGCATCCATATCAATCATAGACGTACCTCAACATGACCAGCGAATTGGCAATGACGTTAGCGATCCCAAAGTATAACGTCGGGAACGGATACTGCTTGATCAGATACTTCAAAACCAAAACCGTCTACCAATCCAGTTAGCAACTGTTCACCCCCTCAGTTCCTTCCGCACATGATTCCAATGCAGAGGAAGAGGAGAGAGTGGAAGTGGGGGGGGGGGGGAAGAACAAACCACACTCCCAGCCAACCCGCCCGCCAAAAGCGCAAAGCCGAGGAACAGGACAAACCGCGCCTTCCAGGCCACCCCGCTCCCGCTGTAACTGAAGCTATCGGCCTGCAGCCGCGATTTCTCGATTGAGTTGATGACCAGCATCCCGAGCGCCGAGCAGATGCCGGGGATCCAGTCGACGAACTTGACATGGACTTCGGAGCCGTTCCGCGAGCTCTTCGAGAACGCGGCGGCGTCGACGAGGAAGAATAGGCCAAGGGAGAACTGGGGAAATCATTTCAGAGTCAGTGACCGGATGCCGAAAAGGGCCATGATGTTGCACGATCACCGTCGAGGCGTCGCTTACCAGAGCTCCGGATGTGTAGACGCCCGCGTTGCGGACGGTCGAGTTATTCAGCCATTCGGGCTTGGACCATCGGAAGAGACGGTTGTTGGAAACGTCCATGGCGACTGGTTGTAGATATTAGCGCGGATTTCGATGATAATCCGATTTCAAGTCTGTGAACTTTGTATCGATGCTTCCTTGAGCTCGGGTGTGCTGCTAGCTGTCTGGGGTCAGCGATGATGCAGTTGGTGCCGGAACGCGGGAAATCACACCGCCCGACGCATTGCCTGCCTATCTCAATGCCTCAACCTGCCTACGAACTCGTGCTTCACAACCGTGTGGAATATTCTGTGCTCGATTTCTCGATGCCTTAAGGTGATCAGAATATTATCGGCTCTGCCGGTATCCTACGAATCACCACAAACTCGATACAATCTTGGAACTCATCTCCTTGGTTCAATTATATAGTCATAACTTCATAAATAGCTCATTCAACCTGTGCCAGCCAGGTCTCAGCGTTCCTCGCAAAATAACCTCAAAAACTCGTCAATATATGTCATTGCCTTTTCCTTATCCAAAGATGGCGTGGGACCAGCCAAGCACTCGGCGCTTTCGGGTGGCTCTTTGAGATATTTGCGTAATGCAAATGTCGATGCTCGATAGGTTGCATGGTACATAGCCTTGAATTCATCCTCATCAGTGCTCGAAGTCGGGCCCATGTCTGTGGCAAGATTCACATATTGAGATGCGCTATCGACGATCTTAGATGTACTCGCAGGTTTGGAGGAACGATTGAAGCCATATAATCGCATGCACGTCAATATTGTGCGGGCTATTGTGTTTTTGTTTTCAGAAATAATGGTTTCAGAATCCTTGGATGTAAAAGATGTCTCCGGCTTGTCATCCGAGGCGGGTAACGCTGGCGTTGGTTCCCATCGTGATGGAGGCTCCGAAAAAGGATTTGGAGTGCCTTTCCTCGAAGCAGATTCGCGCACATAACCTCGTTGGCTGCTCGGCCGAAGCTGCTCGGTTCGCCGTTCGGACGGCTTAAACGAATGTAGACCGGCCCCTACAGATAGCGAGCGCGAGCGTTGGGAGGCAATTCGCTCCAATAATGGGAGCCCCGGTTCTTCGGACTCCCGCTTAATTCTAAGGGTCTGCAGATGCTGGGATGAGTGAGAGAGCGAGTTGGCCATCAACTGTGATACTGCCTCGCCTCCTTTCTGGCGTACTTTCTTATGATGTTGAGCAGCTGTCTCGAACAGCGTAGCGACTCGTTTGCGCTTAGGACTTGGGGACCGAATGTCCGGGAGAAGCTCAGCAAACCGTGCATCATTTGCGAGCGTGTCTGTCTCCGGCGGAGAACACAAAGCTTGAGCTTTGTTGATGAGCGATGTGGAAAGAGGCGTGGCGTAGATTCTAAGCTCCTGTTTATTGGCATGGTGATCATGCCCGTAGGGATCAGGGGAAGAGGAACCAGGTGGAGTAGGTGGTCGCTCGAAAGAGGCTGCGCTTGACAAGACACCGTAAACCAACAAGTCGGTCGTCAGTGACCCGGACTTTGTCCCACATGAACTGTTGGCACTGAGTAAAATTCCAACCGGGCATTGGAATGTCTGAAAGTTCTCCAGTTCCTCCTCTTCGAGCCAGATGTTACCGAGCAATTTGCTTTTGAGCCACTGTGCTGTTTCAATGTCCGCTGTGTGCAGTTCCAGGTTCGGCCCAGTTCTGGCATAGATAGGCACAAGCGCAGGGTTCACAAAGCAGCGAAGCGTAAGTGTCGAGTCTTTGAGTATGTCTGAATGCCATTGCGCCGTCCGATCAATGAGACGCAGCCCTACAAATAAGTGGGTGAGCAAGGCACAAGTATCGCTTGAACTGTCGCGTGAGTTCTTACCTCGAAGTTGGGTATCCCTGTTCAGTTCAATCGCGCCGGTCCAGATGTCCATTTCGAAGCACTTATATGACGTCTATAACATGACTTGCTGTGGCTGGCTGCAATGAAATTGATCTGATGTAAGTAAAGGGATTTCTGCTCGATTTGATGCGCCGGTTGCTCGAGGCTGCGACACGACACGCTTTCATGATAGGCGCGTTGTCACGTGATAATCCGTATATGGACTCATTGAATGATATGGATCATACTGGCTACCGACCTCTGTGCGAGTCTACAACAGCATATACTTCAGAAAAAATCAGCATCGTCAATTTCTGCCACGGAACAATCCAGAAGTATACTCTGAGAATCTCTATATAACTTGGAATTGGCTATAGTACACCGACCATATCGCTGACAGAAACAAGATTCGATAAAACAGACAGCAGTTCATGAAAGTTCATGTAAAAGTAATATCATAAATCAAAGAAAGCAAAACAAGATATCATCCTCCAGGAGTGACTCGGGATCGTTGTTGGAGAGGCCTTAGGCAAGGGCCTGCTGCACACGATTCGCGCCTAAAATAACCAATCCCTAGCATTTCTCCTCGGCAACGTCGCCTCACAACCTATTCAAAACTCCTCTTGCTCCTTGAAAAACATCGAGAAACTGATGATCGTGCCATAGATCAGAAGACCTCCGAGGATTGACATGATCATCGCGGGGATTTGGATTGCACCACAATGCGCAAGGACGGCAGGGAGGGCTAGAAAGATCCGGGTTAGTGCCAAATCAGACAAGTATTAGGTCCAAAAATGCAAGAATAAAGCCACGGAGAGACCCATAACGCAACCAAAGGTCGAGAAATCCAGCGTGTTGAATGCGACTCACCGATTCCCATCAAAACCAGAAAACCAGTCAGGAAACGGCCAAAATCAGCTACCGCATTCCCGGAACTGTCCATAAAGTCATCGGGATTGGCGCATCGTGCGCAGATCCAGTTGGGCAGAGGAGCAACAACGTATGTCGCAACCACGATCAACGGAAGGAAGTTGTGCCATAGCGCGGAGGAGAGGATGACCAAGAGAAAGCCAATGGCGAGGACCTAGAAGAAGTCGATTAGTATAATGCGCTACCGTTTGCACTTGTGGGATACCTACAAATGAGAGAGCGATGATAGTTTTAAGACCTGCTGTCATGACTGCGGAGTAAAGGACCTACACGGTCCTGGAGGCAAACTCACTGAGGAGGACGTTCGGTGTGATAACAGTCAGCAAAGGCTTGACTTCGACTAAGAAAGGGCAATCAAGTCAAAAAGCGAATCCCCGTCTGCATTGAGACGGCTCTGGGTTGATCGGAAGTGATAGATAGGCAGACAGAGTTGAGCTGATCAATCGGTAGCCGCAGGTGACGTTGGTGATGGGGGCCTAGCGGCCTCAGGCACACAGGTCCGAGCTCAGGCGGAGAGCTTACCTTAGGTACTGCTGAGTGCAGGTCACCGCGTCAGTCGCTAACTGCCTGCTTGGGTACAGCTTCATCTTGTCCATCCCCCAGCTATCCAGTCCCTTCTTTCATCTCTTTCCGCGATCTGCTGAGACTCTTACGAATCTATTCTGCAAGGATATCTATTCACGTTTTTCCAGCACCCTTTCTCCCCTAACCTGCCACCATGTTCAGAAACAATTACGACAACGATGCGGTCACTTTGTATGGTCCATCAAGCTATTTTATCTTTTTTATAAAGCTCTCTCATCGCTAATATATACTGTTTGTCTGAAATAGCTCGCCGCAGGGCCGGATATTCCAGGTTGAATATGCACAGGAGGCAGTCAAACAAGGATCAGTTGTAGTGGGACTGGTCAACAAGACACACGCCGTCCTGGTCGGTTTAAAGGTTAGAACTACCGTTGAATCTGATTCCTGGCGTTGCGGACAAGGAAGCTCAAAAACTGACTCTTGTCGTGGCTTCTTGCAGAGAAATGCCGAAGAACTGTCCTCGTATCAGAAGAAGATCATCGAGATCGACTCTCACATGGGCATTGCTATTGCCGGTCTGGCATCAGACGCTCGTGTCCTTTCCAACTTCATGAAGCAACAGTGTCTCGGCTCCCGGATGACTTACGGCCGCCCCCTCCCCGTGGACCGTATCGTTACGCAGATCGGAGATCGCGCTCAAACCAACACTCAGCATTACGGCAAGCGGCCGTACGGTGTAGGTCTGCTCGTTGCGGGTGTCGATGAGGCCGGGCCCCATCTGTTCGAATTCCAGCCGTCCGGAATGATTCAAGAGATGCTTGCTTGCGCCATCGGAGCTCGGTCGCAGATGGCGCGGACCTACCTAGAGCGGAATCTAGACAAATTCGCCGACTCCAGCCGGGACGAGCTGATCAGCCATGGACTTCGGGCTCTGAAAGAGACCCTTTCTCACGATAAGGAGCTGACTATTGATAACACATCCGTGGGTGTTGTGGGTCTTGCCGGAGAAGGAGCCCAGGGCAAGATTGAGAGCTTCAAGTTGTATGATGGTCAAGATATCTCACCACTGCTGGAAGCCTTGGAGCAGGCAGAGTCTGGGGAGACGAAAGAAGAGGAGTCTATGGAGGTCGATTCATAATTCCTCGAAGCTTAACGCCCATAGAGATGCAAACCTGATTTCTAATTTTTCACGTTGATTATGTAGTCCTGATCTACCGTCCTTTAATTGTTACACTCCGGTATCAGCAGCGTAATGCGATGAAGTTATGCGAATGCTCACAGATACCTTATTGCATATTTAAAGTATCATCGATTCGTAATGAGTAATTTCGACCTTCGCTTTTGCTCTGATCTTTCTAGATCTATTCTACCCTGGCGTGTACCAAAACTACCAATGCCAAAGTCGTATCCTCATCAGATAAGGGATCGCGACGGCTGATGTAGCTTCGGCCGGTGCTCTATAAAACTATCTGCTTATTTATTCCTCACCCCAATCCAGGTCCATTCGACCATTGGTGCTCTTGTACTCCAACAACTTAGGCAGCACCTCGCGGGGATCCTTCACCGCGATCAGAATGTCGGCGTTCGCAGCACCAATATAGCCCTCCTTGACAGCCGTCTGCACCCACGACAGCAGTCCATCCCAATACCCATTAACATTCAGCAGCACAATCCCCAGACGGTGAATCCCCAACTGACTCCACGTAGTCATCTCCATGACCTCCTCGATGGTACCGAATCCACCAGCCAGCGACACGAATCCAGAACCCGGGCCGCCCTCTCGCACCTTGGTAGCCATCAGACGCTTCCGCGTGTGCATGTCCGGCACGATCGTCGTGATGCCGTAGTCGGACTCCTTGAGCAACGACGCCTGGTCGAGGGGCTCCTTCATGACGCGCTCGGCGCCCTTCCCGCTGCTCTCCGTCGGCTGTTCTTCCTGCCGGGTGTTATCATAGCCCGGCTCGACGCGGACGAGCGCGCGCGGGATCACACCGTGAACGGCCTGCGGTCCGGAGAGTGAGACGAGAGTGCGGGCCAGCTCGCCCATCAGGCCCTTTGTGCCGCCGCCGTAGACCAGCTGGACGTTGTTCTTGTGGAATTCGCGAGCCAGCGCGCGGGCTGTTTCCATGTGAACGGGGTCAGTTCCGGCCACTGAGCCGCAGCTGGGGATCGGTTGGAGTTAGTGACTTGTCTTTGCGTGGATATGGAGCACTGGGAGATGCGACGGGCTGTGTGTTTGGTGGGGGCGGGGAGGAGGGGCATCATGGAGTTGCGATGCTTACAAGACGCAGACAACTGCGGGTTTGTCCTGTTGAGCGGCCGTCATGGCTGTTATTGCTCGATTTTGTGTCGAAATCGGTGAATATGCTTTGTTCAAAAGATGGTGGCGCTGAGCGAGTTCGGCCAGTGCCTGTAACTATATTGAAGTGTTGGGCAGAGACAACGGAGATATATATCCAATGGGTCAGACTGACTCAACCCCACAGGATCCGGCCAAATCACTGCAGACAAACAGGTTCATGGTCTTCCTCGCTTGATATCGTCTGCATTATTATCGCATTGCATCACAGAATATAATATCAGAGGTTATATCCATCCAGAGTTATGGTTCACCGACTCTTGGTGATTTTCCTGTGAGCCATCTGCAAGTATACGAATCTTACACTCCTAGGCCATGTTGTCCTTGCAGCAGTCAAACCATCGCATCGGGCGCATGGGGATATCGATTACTCTTACAATGTTAATCTCCAACGTGTCGTAGTATTTCCTGAGATTGGGATGTTGGGAAATCCTGAGTCGCAAAATGTAACTCAGTTACGTTCTCATGTTGGGTATCTTGAATAAAGGAATACGGCAGTTTCAACTTCCAGCTCGACCTTTCTTCTTCTTCAATCTGCTCTCGTCGGAACTCAACGGAGTGCCCACCTTCTCCGGCACCTTCCCAGGGGTATCGACTCTCACAACGGGTGTTTCAGTCCTCATGGGCACCGGAATCGGTGGCTGCTTCGCTGCCCCGGTTTCGGTTGATTTAGACATGATAAAAGACCCAGGCTCACCCACCAACGGACTCTCATCCATATATTCGTTTTCGTATCGAACAAAAAGATTGAATGACTCCGCAAGTGTCCTCGTATCCTGGAATGTTGACGCAGTGTTCCCCGTCTGCGATCCCACAAGGGGAACTCTTGCCGAGTTCTCTGCGTCAGGCATTGGAGTGTTCTCCTTGCTCTGTTGAGAGGCAAGTCCGGGTTGGCCGCCATCTGCTGGCTTCGGGGCCGGCGGTAGATAAGTATGTCCGTGCGACGGCGTGAAAGTAGGCAATGTCGAAGCGGTTTTCAATAGACTGGTAAGAGATGTGACAGCCGAGAGCTGCGCGAGGTATTTTAGCTTGACTCCCTTCCTATTTTGCGCAAGGGAGAGACGGCTGCAAACGTACAATGCGGTTTCCCACGACACTCGCTACGGAGGGCGCCATGTAGATGCAATCTCCCACCACAAAAAAGGTTGAAAGCACCACTATCTCATCTTCCTGGCCTGCCCGCTTTCTTCGCATTTGCTTGTGAATCACCCATATGTTCGAGGGCTCGTGGGCGAATTTAGTGTCAGACTGCGCGGCGGCTTGCAATGGATCGTACGCAACGACAAATTCCAGTCCCTGCATGGTCCGTAGTCGGTTCTCAAAGGCTTCTCGTGTCTCGACGAAATGGCGAAAAGCTTCATTGTAGTTGGCCTGGATGACGAGTGAGGCATTGTTCGAGGTGGCATCAAAGAAAGGTGATTCTGCGAAGTAAAACAAGACTTATCATTACTCATAGTCAGCATGCGTATCTCAAACTTGATCTTCTAATTTCTCCTAAGAATTGCTCCTACTGTTGTTTGAATGGAGGAACCCTCCCATCATTTGGACGTGCGGGGGAGATCGCCAAAGGATCTCTTCCATTGACGCATCTTGTTGGACCGCCATTGTGTAACTCTCGATTTTTAGGACTTGATATTTCTCTTCCAGAGGGTCTAATGATAAATCAGAAGCTTCGATTGCCCTATGGAAGTTGCTTTAGTGAGTATTCTTCTGGTGATGTTGATTGATGCCGCAAGCTCTCTGCGGAGATCGAAAGCGATATTTGCACTGTTTGCATATATTGCTTCATAGATCTAGATATAACCAACCTGACTCCTACCGCGAATGTGGTTTTTTATATATAACATATATGGGATAATTGAACTCGATGCTAAGATCCATGTTTATACTATCTATATTTGTGTGTATGTGTTTGAGGTATTTCCAAATATCCTGAACGCCATGCCTGGAAACCCCAACGCTGAATGTTGAATGCGACCCTCTATCATCTAAGCCAACCTCTAAACAGCCTGCAAATGTTGAAATGATTCATGTGGCATCGTGATCAAAAGCGAAAGACATTCACGTCTTCCTTGAACACCTCCTTCGTCATTTGGACGGGGCGAATATACCGCAAACAGTACGGAGCTTTGTCAACATCTCATCCCACTCGCCTTCGGGGGTGCTCAATGTCGTCACTGCTCCTCCGGCACCGATTCGCCAAAGCTGCTCATCTTCCTGATCCTGCGAGCAGGTAAACGCCGTACGGATGAGGACCGAGAAGCTCCCACCGCCTCCCAGGTCTAGATAGCCCATGACGCCAGAATAAACACCACGCTTGCGATTCTCAATGGAACTGAGGTGCATGCATGAACGTTCCTTGGGAGCACCAGTCATTGAGCCGGGTGGCAGACATCTTTGCAACGCAGTCAGTCCATAACCAGACATGTTCGAGGACCGCAACTGCGGCATATCCCGCACAGCAAAACCGGGACGGTTCCGGTCGACTTGAGCTTTGACATGGGTGATCATTTGATAGACACGTCCGTGATCCTCTACCTCGAGCAGCTTTTCAACGCGGACGCCTGCGGAGCCACATATGCCATAGAGATCGTGGCGGATGAGATCTGCGATCATCAAATTCTCGGCCATCTCCTTTGTTGAACTCAAGATTTCTTTGGCCTTCTCCAGGGTCATATCAGCACTCTTCCTCACAGTACCCTTCATTGGCTTCATCTCGAGAGTGGAGGATCGGTCCCAGTTGAGGAAGCATTCGGGGCTGCTGCTGACGATCTTGACGTGTCCCAATCGCGCGAAGCCACTGAATGCGGCAGGATTGTACTTCCTGAGGCGCTTGTACAGCTTCCAGGGGAAGTTAACACGACCACTATGGGTAGCGGGTGAGGGTAACTTGATCGATGTTTCACAGGTGAGACATAGTTCGTACGATTCACCAGCCTCCAGTTCCGCTTGACAGGCCCTAATCTGATTTTGATAGGCCTCCTCTGTCGGAAACTGTGTGATGCTCTGCGTGAGTATGGAATCCAAAAACTCTGTATCTGCATCAAGGGTGCTCAATTGGACCAAGGTTTGGCGAATGGCGAGATCCTGTAGTGATTGCGCAGTCTGATCAAGCCATTTATTTGACAGATCATCGTCGGCTCGCGTCGACTGAACGGTGATTTGGCCCGTTTTGTTATCAACCACAACACTCCTTTCGACCCACAGAAGGCTCGCATCAGCTGGATCCTCCCCGAAATTATTGCTAGCAGGGTGAATTTCCGCAGCTGATTTGGGGCGAGCAAGGCATGCCAGCCCCATCTCATACGAGAAATATCCTAGGAATCCTCCCCAGAACGGAACAGTGAGACTTCCTGAATCCACCTTCTTCATATCCATGACAAACCTCATCACGTCCCAGAATTGGGGGACTGACAATGACCTTTCAGTGATGTTCTCCGTGGCTGCAGAGTTCGTGAAAGCGCTGTCTGGGGAATAGCAATCCTGTAGCTTCTCTAGAAGCAACTTCTGAGTCTCTGCGGAGTACTCCAGCCTCCAGCTGACGGGTGTCGGCACTGAGATTATGCTATACCTTCCATTTGACTGGAACAACACCGTCGGTGAATCTGGGGCATTCAGGTGCTCGCATATCGATTCAGCGTCCAGAGTCTTGGCTGTGAGAGTACGATAGGCAGAACGAGAGGACGCGCTCGCGCTCCAATTCAACATTGTGAAAGCAGCATCTGGGAGGGAGTTTTCATCGCCTGAGCGCGAGGAGATGATATAATCGGGGAGAGCACCATAGCCTCCGCGCCCAGTTTTTCTGTTGTAGTTGAGAGACATATCCCACCATCTCTTGAGCACTTGGGTGCAGGCTTCCCTGTCAGATTTGCAGGACTCTGGATGAAACTGTACACCCCAAAATGGCTTTCTCTTGTGGCGAACAGCCATGGGAATCTGGGTATTCCCTTCCTCGAGAGAGAACCAGGCCAGTAAATCAAGGCTCCTGGAAGCAAAGTAGTTTTCATGCTGAGTTTGACGATCCTCAACCCTCTGAGTCGAAAGTTCCGGAAGATCCACCTTGGCATATAGCGAATGGTAGAGTGTCACCTCGACATCTCGCATGCCTTCAAAAATGTCTTTCTTGGCAGTTGTGATGCGATGGACCTGTCCATGCAGCGGATATGGCAACCGCCCTATGGAGATACCATGGCGAAGACACAAACTCTGAAATCCGAGACAGATCCCGAGAACAGGCAACAGATCCGCATCGTCGAGATTCCAGATATCCTGCATGATACCGACATCCTTGGAGATATTCGGGTTGCCAGGCCCGGGACCCAGCACAACAGCTTCGAAATGCTGCAGATAATCGACCATGTTACCGTCGGGCCAGTCCGAATCGATAGTCATCACCGTGACCTTGACGTCGAGAATCTCCTCCAGCATGGCAACAACGTTGAAGGAGAAGGAGTCGTATGCATCGATGTATAGGACATTCCTTCGAGCTGGAGTGTTGCTATTCACTCTGGACGGCTGATTGACATCTCCTGCCGCCTCATAACCACTCAGGAGTGGCGCCATTGTGCCTTCGCCCACAGGGCTGCGAGATGTACCTGATGGGCTGTGATCGAGGAAAGAACAACACCAAAAAAAGTGCCAGCAGTCTCAAGAGAGCACGAATAAACCGAAGAGTTGATATACAAAATTTCGAGACGTAAACCCGGGATTTTTAAGATTCATTCATAGAGAATCCTGAAGGGTGGCGAGACAGAACCTCCTTCCTGGGGGGGTCAGTCAATCCGTTACTCTGCCATTTCGAGAAAACACGTAGTATGGTTAACAGGTACAATAGATCAAGGATGGATCTGAATACAGAAATGCAGAACCGAATAAATGGAAATCCGAGGGGAATAACCAGGACAATGCTAGTGAGAGAGCATCTCGATATCTACTGATCGGGGAAAAAAAAAAGTAGTCTGGACGAGAAGAAGTGGAGCGGCAATCCACGGAACACTTTGGTCGCTGTTCCTTTGGGTCTCTGCGCCTCCGATAACCTTCTTTTCTTCTGCTTCTCGATTCGAAATAATAACCTTACGATATCGGTTCTAGAATGAGGGTTCCATGAGAAATGAACGTGTTTCAAGGGTCTGTGGCGAACTCTTCTTCATAAGGTGTTTTTTGTCTCACTCGGCCATCAACCCAGAACGCTTGTATTATTAGAAGGAAAATGAGTTCATATGTTCAGGATCATAAGGCTTAGGATTGATTATATATACCTCTAGCTCAATCTATAGTTCAGCTCTATCCTGTACATAGTTTGAGAGGCGACTTCTATAAACTTCGCGACTGAAAAAGCCAACTCTGACTTGGAGAGTATCACTCAGCCAACATGCAGCATTTCGACAAACCATGTAGATAAACAAAATCGTCAACGTCGTAAGATCAGTCATACACTCGAGTTCGAGCTTGGTTTGCTAACACTGGCCAGCTTGGCTGCTAACTTGGGGAAATATTGAGCCACGAAGCCCTCGCTGTAGCAAGTCAGTATTGATCACGGATGACCATATCGATAGAGATCTTCGTACCTGTAGTAACTATGGGCTGAACTATGATCCCCCACCAGGTTGTGCGCCAGTTCATGGCAGAGGATGACCCACCAATATACCATCGCTTCGGATCGATCCGCAGCTTGGTTCTGAAGCAACTCCTTCTCATGTAACTGCTGGAAATAGAAGTAATTGCAGAAGATACTGCCAGCCCGGTTGAAGGCTATGGTCTTACCACCGGGGTCATAGAAGACACTGAGAGTATCAACTCGCAATGAAAAGACACTGGCACACTCGATCAACATGGAAGCAAACAGGTTGATCCCAGCATTGTTTTGAGACAAGAATGCGGACCGATCAGATAGTGTTTTCACGAAAAGAACATGGATTCCGCAGGGAAGCGTCGCCACGAACTCCAAATCATGGCTTGGCTTTTCGTCACAGTACGACTTCGTCTCAGTAACTTGGTTTGTCTCCGGCCGACTATACAAGCCCGAAGACCCATGAGGTCGGCAAGACTGAATAGCAGAGAGTAGTTCCGAGTGAAGTCGATGTGGAGGGTTGACAGATGCTGGTTCCTTCGGACGCAGTTTCTGCGGATCTTCTGCAGAATAGGGAGGGGGAGGGGTAGAGGTAGTTGTAGGATCCGGTGTACCTGAGCCTTGTGACGCTGATGGATCTCCTCCTCCAAGAGGATTCCAATTTGAACGACCACCCTCTAACCCAAACCGTTTCGTCAAATTGGCAAATAACCCACGCGGACGTCGATCTTGACCAGCCTCTGCTTCTTCGGGTTGTATGTTGCGAGTACTATCCCGGTTAGTCGGCGAATCTGGAAAGTCACCCGGCATCAGGGGCTGGGCAGTCTTTTCTGTATGCTGTTCCTGGGCTTGAAGTTGTGCTTGTTCCTTTGCCCAAGCTGCCTCCCTCTCTTTAAGACGTTCTTGCTCCTCCTCCAACTGTTTTTGACGCCGATCCTCGGCCACCCTAGCTTCGTGGGCCTTTTGCTTGAGTATACGCTCCACATTATATCCTCGGGCCTTGAGTTCTAGGAGGTCGGTCTTCAACAACATTTCCAAGGTGAGTGTAGAGTGCAGCTTTGGTCGTACGAGAATGAGATGCACAAGAGCTTGACTAATTTCATATAGGTCATATTTGCCGGGGCAAATCCACAGAACCCAAGTCCGCGAGTTCTGAGTGATAATAGCACTGCGCTTCTGGGTGTGAGACACCCGCCGTCCTTTGAGAGACCGGGTGAGGGAGATTGAGTTTACCACTTGAACCTGGAGATTCTTCTCCAGCCATCTAACATCGTGACGTATCGAATTAGGAGATTGATCATGCAGGAACAGCCTTGTGCGTTCGTTAATCAGCTTGTTCAACTTAGCTGCTGGTCGCTGATCAGCCGCTACGGCACCCCAATTAGCACGCTCCTCAACCAATCCACTTAATGGAATGGCTCCAAGAGCGAGATAAAAATTCTCCAGCATTTCCTCTTGCGGTGCAGCTAGCAAATGCTCTTTGAAGAGGTTGAAACTCTGAAAGTCATCTACCACGACTGCGTCTTTGGCGGCTGTCAGAGTCCATTCTTTAATGCTCTGATCTTCAATCTCGTCATCATCAGACCCTAAGAGATCCTTTTGAGATTTTTCTTGAGCTAGAGAAGAGATATCTCGACTTGCCAGAAGAAAAGCTGATCTTTTCATCTCAAGGAAAAGCTCTTTGTCTCTTTTGAAAACAGCGAGATGCTCCGCGAGACTTCTCAGGAGCTTGAGATATTTGTCAGCGCTCTGAAATGTAGAGGAGATTCTGGCCGGTTCTTTCACGAGCATGTACGCGAGTTCGGTCTTTGTGGGTTCCCTCTTGGAACCAACCGCCATGAGAAAGAAGTTTGCCTCTTGCCCAAAGTCTACAAAGTCGAAAATATCTCGATAGTCTTCGCTTTCCCCGAGGTAGCATAGTTTTGGAGCCACGCGACGAACGGCCGGACTTTGCTCAGGTGCATCCTTCTTTCCGATTGGAATTATCAGTGCACTGCCAGTGCGCTCGATATCTCGAGCCCTTAGCTCTGACACTCTCCCAGCAAGATATTTGAACAAAACTCTTGCGTCTCGCTTTGTGGATGGTGGATGACAAATGAGGCGATCAAGGCATTCAGTGAGAGCCGGGTGCTGCTTCACCCCAAACTTGGAAGCATGAGGATGAAGGTCACGCCGCAGAATCTTGAAGCCAAAGAATGTAGCACCGTCGTCTGTAAAACATTTACTTGGGGTGCTGATCTCGCTAGCACCTTCGATGGGTAGAAATGGAAGAGTGATAGGACTGCAATCGAACGTAGCGTAACCACTCGTGTGATATTCGGAGATGTAGTACGACATAGCTTTTCCATGCAGCACCCAGTCGTTCGCAGCAGCGGCTTTTGACATTATTTCTATTAGCTCGGCTGCTGAAGGAAAACTTCTCAAGCCCAACATAGCCAAGAATTTCCCTTCAATGCTGCCGGGCTGATAATTCCCAGGCCACTCAATGATTGGGAGACCTAAAGCTCGAAGAGAATCTTTCGGTTCAAAGAGTTCGTAGATCTTGTAGCGCGTTCGATTGGGCGACTTGGAATCTCCCGACCCTTCGGCAGTGCAGATGCTTGTTTTCTTCAGCTTTTGGATGTCATTTGCGGGGATGTCATCGCGAACAGAAGCAAGATAACGTATCAGATCGACATGACTCCACTTTCTCTCGTGCTCGCTCTTGCTATCAGCAATTTGGGGATTGTTATTTAAAAGTCGTTCGAAGATGACACCAAGTTCAACAGTCTTGCGAACACCAAGCGCCCCCAGAAACTTCTCCTTAACACCATTGAGGCCATGAACGACAGGAAGATCATCGAACAACCGGACCGATGAGAAATATGTCTCTGCGGGCCGTCTCATCCCAAGCTTGGTAGGAATGATTGTGTGAGGCTGCAGCAAAGTGACTATTGCCTGTCTTGACGGCTGGCTCAAGCTGTTATCCCATTGCTTTGACAACACAGGTAAGATCTGCGCAGAGAATGACGCTGTCTGCGTTATATCCTGTTCCAAAGGGAGAATATTCCGTTTGCCGGCGTTGTTGACAAGCCACCGAATCCAAGAAACTGTCTGCAGTTCAACCCATCCGAGCGCTTCTAATTCCTGTTTCGCAAGAGACTTGATGTATTTAAATGGCATGACCGAAGGCGGCACCGGAAACTCAACGGGAATTCGCTGCGGATTTAGATAATTATTCACGTCCGCGAAGACAAGGAGCCGGGTAGGATTGCCTTCATCATCTTCATCGTTTGCCACTGCAACACTCAGCAGGCTTTGGATTGAAGATTGATCAAGCTGGCCCGATAGAGCTTTTCGCCCTAGCCACTTTAAAAATTCAGTGATCTGGGCTGGCCGCAGCGTACTGGCTTCTAACTCCCGCTTGATGTCCGACACTGTGACTTCGGTGACCAAACCAAAGTCAGTGAGTTTTCCAACAAAATCCTTTGCGCCTGACACAAGTTCATCGGGCAGGACAGGTATAGAGTCCATGAAACTCAAATCTTTGGGAGCGATGCGTGCCTGATGACTCTGTATGATACCACATGTTGATAATATCTCGATGGAGGCGTTCTTATTACATGTCCAGAAAGAATCTTCAATGGTCTGACCCAAAAGCGATGACGGTGTCGATTCGCGGAAGACGAATTGATTTGCCGTGTATATCGCTTCGGGCAGAACCCCAACGATGTCATTCTTCCGAACTTTCGATGACTTGGATGAGTCCAGCTTGGACAAGATCCTTGACTTAATTGACGCCATTTCTGCAGACCAGGCAACCCGACAAACAATGCCTGCTGCCCTCAGCATCTCGAGATTCCATTTGCTGATATAACGTGTGTTGAGGTCAATGCTTTCTCGCTCAACTGTTGGTATCACCGAGGGTGCAGATATGTGGGCATTTAGTCCTGTAGTTTGATGTGTGGGGAACCCTATAAAGATTCTTCCAGCTTTGGTGGGTAAGATGGATGATAAGACCTCTGACTGTAGCGCTGACGCTCCAGATGCTATGTCCGTATCGTATGAAGGGGTCAGGACCGCAAGGGTTGTTTTCTTCGGTGGCGGTTTGCGTGTGGCTCGTTCCAGCTCACTGCTCAATGAGTGGCTGATCGAACACTGAATGCTTGCAGTACTAATATGTAAGAAAACGGATGCCTTGCAGATAATTGACAAGTCTTCAGAATCAGCAACACTATTCTGCTTTTCGATTTTCGCTGGCTTCTCTTGTGCATTTTGGCCAGTGAGCCGTGAGAAAAACGTCCGCAAGGAACCTGTCGTATCCCTCAAACTATCCAACCGGAAAACGCTTGCGGTTGAGTTCCATTCAACAACTCGCATCCAGGCTGCGTCGACCTGGACAACCTCTCGAGCGATGCTTGTGACTTTCATCAATCCCTGGGGCGTCTTGGTTTCGATATCTCTCGGAATGGAAAGATCAATGCTAGGAGCCGCTTTCTTCGTGAGTCGCGAGAGATTCCAGTCGTCAAGCCATAGTTCGATGCTTTCAAGACTGACAAACGTAAGGCTGCTTGAGAGGAATTGACATAGCTGTAACAGGGACGGAATCGGCGAGGAGTCATTGCGATAATCAAGAACAAATGTTGTCTCCGGATTTGACTCCTCGCTCAATTGCAATCGCCGTGTGAATAGTGCATTACCCTTCCAGTAGAACGCCATGGCATCTTTCCCCGAGGAGACGAATGGCTCCTCGCAGTCATCGAAAACACTGTAGAAGCCCACACCAAAAGCCCCAATCTTCGTTTCATCAGGATTTCCATCCGCGATACGTTTTAATCTTGCCCAATCCTTCTCACTGAACGGAAGACCGTTGTTCGAGATCAACAAACGTTTGAGAGTGTGGTGAGATACAACGTGTTTGATCAGCGTGGTCTGATCGGCGCTGGGAGGTAAAGGTACAGTCGTAGAAGGTAGGGTTTCGAATTTGATGGTGACCTTGGAAGCATTGGCATCAGCCGCATTTTGAATCATCTCTCGCAGGACAGTCCTGATCATATGAGGTAAGCATTTGTTATCGAAACCTAAACCAACACAGGACGCTGCCCGTACCATTTCCCCGAATATCGCGCCAGAACCTTAGAGATAAGGCCCCGTGTGTCGACAGTGACAGCCTCTTCGTCATTGCCCGAGCCCAGCGTTTGCGCTCTTAACGCGTTGAAATCGATATTCTTCGCCATTTAACAGAGATGACCCGAACGCCCATAGAAGAAAGTCGGATGGCTAATCAGGCATCAGACTAGATAGCCTGTACTGTGCCGCTGGTCTCCCCCTTTTGAGATCAAAGAATCGAGTCTCTCGGAAGTTGATGTGATTGATAAACAGTGTATCCCCGGACAACCAAAACAAAGTCTAATGCAGTCCCCCAGATAGTCTATCAGATACAAAATTAGAGAAGACAATAGGGATCGTTATTGTGAGCAAGAATACATGAATAATTAGAAATAGAGAGGAAATCAGGGGCGACAAGCATATAAAGACAATGAAACAGCAGCCTGGATGGCAAATGTCACGTCTGCTTGTCGGAGACTGCGGAGTTAACCAAGGCTATCGCTTATCACCACGTGCAACTCACTTATGTAAGACGGAGCTACCCCATGACAGAAACAATACCGTCGACGATAAGAACCAAGAGTGCAGTGATTATCGAATTGCCGTGGAGAGAGCTACATAGTTCTTATTTGTTGTTGCTCTCGAAAGTGGCCGCTCTTCATTCGTTCTGCTGTCTCTTATAATCAGATCGTCTTGGGGATCTTGTGCAGGTCGCAAAATCTCTGTTTTCATTCTTCATTGTATGATCTTCATCAAGTTGATTTTTCCTGTGGAAGTAGCAGTCCTGAGCATATCGCCCGGCGGACTGCCCCCCCCCCTCCCGCCTCCTTTCAGATGTCAATATGGCCGCTGATCCTCTTTCGCCTATTGCGCCTGCGCGTCTGAGGGCACTCTTGCTTCCTGTTGGGAGGATAAAACGGTCGAGGTTCCTGAGCTTTGCCGCGAGGCTTCAGGCGGAAAATGTTGTTCGCCTGGGGGACATCAGTCCCAATGCGCGACCCAATCGAAGTAGGCACTGTCGCGATCCCAAGAAGAAGCATGACTGCTGTGTTGGCGTAAGAGGATGCAATAATTGACTGATTCTACTGTCAGATATGTTTTCACCGTTAGCGTTTCCCACAGGAATGATACTCTATGACCTTTCTTTCTCTGTGCCTCCCACATCGCATCTAGAGTTATTTCCTTTCGAGATCTTTCGAGAACCGTTAGTGGTCATTGCCATAGCGGATGGTGCAGAATTACCCGGGAAATTTCAGGAGGATGAAGGGCAACCTGCTACTCAAGACGGTCAAAGACCGCATGGGCTAGATCGGCTTCTGGAGGAACTTGAGTTGCTTCAAGAGAGAAACCCGCGGGCCTTGGTCCATCAACTTATGGTCTTCGATCGTGAAGGAGTCAACAAGCTCTCCAATGGCCGCGAAGGCGTTACATGGATTCCGAAGCCGGAGTTGTCTAAGGCTACTACCATGAAGACTGCATTGTGTGACATCACGTCGCTACTTCTTTCTGAACTTGACGAATTCGCGAAGCGCATACAGAGCATCCCATTCATTGATTCGCCCAAAGCTTCATCCTGGGGGCCTCGTCGTGGTCCGAGCCTACGCGCACGTCCCACGGACAAGCTCATTCATCGAATGACCCTGCCTGCACATCTGCCCTCCCACCCCAGCGACTCTCCTGAGCCCACCTTAAGTTCTAACAAGAGTTCACCTGGCCCCAGCGAGCACGAGACCCCAACTACCTTCGATGAAATAACTCGATCTATTCAGTTAGCCAATCGCGCCAGCACTGCCGGCAAGCCCAACTCTCTGCCAACGTCAAAAGAACATAGCCGTGACAGAATGTCAGTAAGCGGGATAAGTGCTACTGATCGCACAAAAAACCGGATCAAGGGTCGCATGGGCGTGGTGATTGGAACCCTCTTCCTTCAATCGGGAAGATGGCCAGATGCATTGAAAGAATTGGTTGAAGCCGCAACGAACGCCCGAGCGAGCAGTGATTATGTGTGGCATGCCAAAGCCCTTGAGTCCATTCTTATTTGTCTTGTCTTATTTGGATGGGCGGGCATGGATTTTCAGGTCAGCATTCTGATCTCGCCTTAGTGGTCCATAAAAGTTGTGGCCGGCTTGCTAATTTTGCTCATTCAGATACCCCCGATTTGTTATCCAGCAGTTGATAAGTCCTCAAAATCGCTTTATAGCACCGCGGCCGACTCAGGGCAGTCTACACCAGGTCCCCGTGTCATCTCTCTCCAAAACCTGGCCAACCTCTTACCAGATCTTGCAAATAATATTCTCAATCTCTACACCCGCGCGTCCATTATAACTGATGAGCCAGTGCCTCAGCTTGTGTTCTCGGAAACAGCCATCCGGCTTTCGAGACTGATGGTAGCTGCGCGCGTTCGTGATGGGGCTTTGGATGATAATGCATTGAAGCATATCGTTATGCATGAGCCTTTACAGCCCTTGCATCGGCCAGAACGTCCACGTGGAATGGTCATTCTTCGGCAATCAGACATCGCAAATTTCTTATTTCGTGCTTTGCCGCTTGCGCCCAACTCGGATCTCCCAGCAACAGATACTATACCGATTATAGTTGGTGTTGTCTCAGCGTTGGATGCACTCGACCTACCGAGAAAGAAAGCATTCATCCTGAGGGAGTTCCTGTCAATAATAGTCCCGACTCTTGTGCAGGCTCGTAAGATTGGTGCCGCAGAAGTTGGGATTCATCCAGCTGCAGGATTGGCTTCTCTTAGCGATACAGCTTTTGATATCAATGCCCTTGATGTCGGTTCCGGTAATATGGAGAGAAGTATGCGCGCCCTTCTAGGCGTTATCGGAGAAACATATGGTGTGCAGCCCTCCTCATCTCCCGAGTGGGAGAAGAAATGTTCCTCGAGTGCCGGTCAGACCGAGTCCTTCCCTGAATATGACTCGGTTACTGCTATTGTCGAGCGAGCCTTCCGTCATGTGGCCTTGAACAGATATGGGGATCTGAATTTGAAGATAGATGCGCTGAAGGCATGTATCAATTGCTGCGAAGCGCTTCCCGATTTTACGGGCGTACTTCAATTCACCGTCGAACTTCTCCAAACCATCAAGGGGGGTCTAATGCTTTCGGAGGATCGTTACACCCCTCCTTCTCTCCCCCAGGATGAGCAAATCCACCTTCTCAATAATATTAAGCGAACTGTTGGTGCCGCGAATAAACTAGGCGCTTCAGATCTAGAAGCAGAATACTGGGATGACTTCCTAGTTCGTGACGTCCGACTTCTCGCCCTTCCTGATCCTAGAAGACCCGTTCGCCGACCGAAATCACAACTCGACGCTGTCACAACGAATGGTGATAAACCTTCGAAAGACCCATTTTTGTACAATCCCTTCCTGAAAACAAGCAGCAAAAGTGCGGAGTCACTTATGGTAGCCGGAGAACAGGCCGCTTTCACGGTAACTCTCCAGAATCCCTATGAATTTGAGATCGAGATTGAGCGGATCCGTCTCGATGCTGAAGGCGTACCTTTAGATGCTGTGGCAGAATGGATTATACTCCCACCCCTCTGTCTACAAGACATCACGGTTGTTGGTAGCGCCCCTAGCGAAGGAGCATTGAATGTGACTGGTTGCATTATCAAAGTTCGACACTGTCGCGAACGCAGATTCCCAATTTTCAACAAGCTATGGAAACCAGAGATTGGAAAGAAGTTCAAACGAACGGGACTCGCTGCCAAGCGGCCCATGACTGATCGGCCGCTGTCTTGGAGCTCGACAACCTCGAGAGACGGAAAGTCGCAAATGAAGAAAGGCCCCGAGACAGCTTCCTGTGAAGTGAAAGTCATTGGTCAACAACCGTCGCTTGTCATTGAATCGCTGTCGCTGTCACAGTCTGCAATGATGGTGCTAGAAGGGGAAACCAAGTCGTTCAGGATTACACTGCGTAACACATCGTCCTGCGCCTTAGATTTCATAACTTTCACATTTCACGATTCGACCACGAGGCAGATCCAATCCGCTCTGTCTAACAAAGATCTGCTGCCGGTGGAGGTGTACGAGCTGGAACTTCAGCTTTCCACGAAACCATCTTTGCGGTGGCGTCGTGAGGACTCATCACCAGATGACCATACTATACCTGCAGGCCAGGATGCAACGTTCTCCGTCGATATTATTGGCAAGCCAGGTTTACAAGATACTACTGTGCAGATTGACTATTCCCATATTGGATTACTCGGCGGCCAGCTGCCGGAGATGTTCTATACCCGCCAGCTATTCGTTCCCCTTACTGTGACAGTGAATGCGAGCATTGAAGTGGCCCGCTACGACATCTTGCCGTTCACCGGTGACTTTGCATGGTGGAATAGTCAAGGGTTAGATATGGGATCTGCTCAGAGCAGTACTACTGATAGCGATCCATTCTCTCCAGTCTTGTCTCAATTGGGGCGTGGGGTGTACGGCTCCGATCATTGCATTGTGCTGCTAGATTTGCGAAATGCCTGGCCAAAACCTTTGTCAGTATCACTTCACGTAAGCGAGCAGCCGACCGTTTCTCCGACTGGAATCCAAAAAGAGGACTCTGCTACCCTACATGGTCAGTATACCATCAGTGGAGACCTTCAGCCCGGTCAAGTTACGCGGTTTGTGCTTGTCCTCCCTCGTGTATATGTGGATAATCCACACGCCTCGATTCCGGTTCTGAATACTGGCATCAAGCGACAATTTGTCGTAAGTGCCAACAAACTTACTTTCGAGGCAGAAGCGGCATCACGGGAGGCTTTCTGGTTTCGAGAGGAGTTGCTCAAAAGGATCTCAGGGACTTGGAAAGAGAGTGTCACGACTACTGGCCATAAGGGTGTCATTGACCTGAGAGGGTTACGGCTGAACACGCGAATGGTGGACGCTTTCCGTTTGGAAGACATCGATACAAGCTTCTCTCTTCAGCCTTCGTTCGCAAGTGAAGAACGTCCAGTAGCTGCTGAAGGAACAAGTGGTCTGGTGCGGATCGGACGCTCAAAATACAAAATTGAGACAGACAAGATGCTTGATCTCACCATCACCGTGCGAAACCGCTCCTCAAAACCAATCCATCCCCTTCTTCGGCTCCAACCGAGCCTTCGCCATCAGCCCAGTAATGTTGCTCTTGATCTTTCGAGGAGGCTATCATGGACTGGCATGCTACAACAAGTGCTACCCATCTTGTCCAGTGGCGAGAGTACGAGTGTTACCATCGGAGTAACGGTCTTCTGTCATGGAGAATATGAAGTCGGTGCTACTGTTGAGGAAGTGCGACTTCTGAGGACTCTTCCTGGATTCGAGGCTGACCAGGGGGCGGCCAATGCACCCATCTTACATGATGATGAGGCCATTGAAGATACCTTCGGACTGGATGTTACGCGAAGAAGACGCATTTGGCATGCGAAAGAGACATGCGTTATGAATGCTCGTGATTGAATGTTTTACTCTCTTAGTATATAATCCTGCATCATCGTCGAAGTTGATGCCGGTTGACTTGTTTAACGATAGCAATGAACGTTTGTATGATTACCTCGCCATCTCTGTTATATCGATGTACAATCTGAACAGCGTTGATCTGATGAAAAGGTTCCACGCGATGGATACTGATTTGCCAACACTTGAACTTGCACATTTGGTGAGATTGTCTAGAGAGCTCTATGATGGAATGCTATGCTAAGGCAGAGAGAATAGAGATGTACCCTTCTATTTGACAATGATGTCCACCTTTCACATAGGATGACTTGTAAATAACTGGTTTGTATATACCCTGGACCATACCTGCAACTCTAGTCATATGAAATGAGATGTCTGCACCGCATGATTCGACATTCAGGATCCAACACAGCAAGCCGGCCGAAAAAGTAGCACGCCGTAATGTGATTTATTATAAGCCACGGCATGCGCCGATCGCCGCACACGCATTGGAATGTGTTTTGAAAGATGTGCATACGACCTGGGTGTTGGGAGAGCCCGGCCTTCAGAAACAGGTGCCGTGTTTCCAGGATCACCAAGATCACTCCTGATTCGCACCCTGATCGTACAGCTGACATTGAGACCTCTTAAGAATAATAGGTGTTGTTACGGCGATAGCGATCACACAAGCGCGTTCAATCATGTAGCCATATCCATGTCATGTTTGTCCCGGTTCTCGCCTGACAGCCTGTCCTTCCCAGTAGGAGGTCCTGGCTGCTCACCGACCGGGAAGCTGAGATACTTCCAGTCCTCGATCTCTTCGATGATACACTTGAGTCTGTCGCGGATACTCTCAACCGCATATGTCCCCAGGATGAGCCGAAGCGGGGGGTAGGAGCAATGGCCCAGTTGCCAGACCAAATGAGCTGCCTTGACAGCACTGGCGGGCTGTTTATCAGCCAGCCACATCAGCATTCGCCTGGCATGGGCGGCCGGCGCAGTCGGCGTATTGTATGGTTCGCTGGGCTGTTTGACGAAGAAATGGCCGTACAGCGGCAGCGGCGACGTAAGATTGTGCTCGTTGTTGGCCATGGTGGCGGTATCCGAGACGAGATCGCCCACGTCGTCGCGGCGCATATGACCCGGCTCCACTAGTGTGCCTTTGATGTTGAAACTGTCCACCTCGTAGAGCATACTTTCCATGAGCCCCTCCACCGCGTATTTCGAGGCACAGTATGGTCCAAGTCCCGGCACGCCAAGTGCGCCCGACGTCGAGCTGAAGATCAGGTACCGGCCAGAACGTCGCTCACGGAAGTGTGGCAATGACAATTGTATCATATTCAAGGTACCTGTGAAGTTCGTCTCAAACTGGTCCCGGATCTCGTATTCATCCTGATCCTCGCACGCGCCGATAACACCGTACCCCGCGCAGTTGGCGACAATGTCGATGCGGCCAAACCGCTCGATGGTACGGTCGATCACTCGTTTGACCGTTTCGCGGGCGCGGATATCACATAGTAGACCGAGGCAGTTTTCGTGTTCTTCCTCCAACTTCTTCATCGATTCCAGGCTGTTCTCGAAGGTGCGTCCGACAGCTGCGACAAGGTCATTGCGGCACAAGGCGGTTTTGACGAGAGAGCGGCCCATATGGCCTGTGGCCCCGAAGATCTATAGAACAAATGATTAGAAGTTTCACATATGTACAAGAAAAGCGCTTAAGGGGGTCAGCCACGTACCAGCCATACGAGTGGCTTAGGGGGGTTCTGCGGCCCTGGGGGGTCGGTGGTGGAAGGGAGCTGAAGTTTGGGCTCTCGCGCGGCAGATGCAGAAGGTGATAGAGTATTTATAGGCTTGGGTGGGGATGTCTGGTTATCCATTGAGGGGTAATATTGTTGGTTCGAAGTGTAAAAGGAGGGAGACTGTGTGAGAGACATTGCTGCTGGTCTTGAGCTGGTGTTGTGACATAGTGAAGTTGTTGGAGTTCTCCGCATTAGGAAAATCCGGGGTGGAATCGAAGGCGGACACTATAAACAGGAATTTCTTCATGCTGTTGATGGAAACACTATTCCTTTGATTGTATACAAACAGTATATACGAGGTGAAAGAGAGTGGCCGTGTGCTGATAATTATGGTATCCTATTTATGTGATATCCACTGAGAAACCACCCCGACATCGGCAAAGAGTATGGAGACACTCAAAAATAGAGCTTAAAGACTGCCCTCGACTAACGCCTACGCCAGAAGACGGATAGAGAGACTGTAGCCATGCGATCAGGTTTCTACCGTCCGATCTCCCTTCGAAGCCGTCCAGCGGCTGTAGAGGGCCCAGGTTCCGGCCAACCGCTCACAGCATCATCTACTTCTTCCAGGAAGGATGTACTGTTGTGGATGCTCGTTCCGCCTAATACCACGCGCACTCCGGGGGAGCTGGCATTGACCTGGGCAACCATTTTCGCTTCCTCGTAAGTCACGCCGCCGACCATGAAGATTATGATATCTTGTGGTTTATCCCGGATATGGCCACTACCTTCCAGGAAGGGGTATTGCAATTCCTTCAACTTGCCCTTGATGAGGTTTTGCAGTGTCGCCTCCAATCGCGGTGAGTGTTGGGTATAGACATTCTCGACGCCTTTCAGGCCCTTAAAGCGGTCTCGAGCGCCCGAGAACAACGATGCTGATTCAAAGAGATCGGTGAAGCCACCTGCAACTGGGGGTGCTTGCAATGAGTGGTGATAAGCAAGGAGTTTAGGAATAATATTGACTTTGTACGATGGGACGTCACCTGCCGTGACTAAGAGATCAAGCAGGACTGGAAGAGCATTGGATGGCTGTTTTTCATATCGGAGAGCATACAGGGCTACCAGTCGAATCTTGTTCTCCGCGGGTACCGTGGGTAACTGGATGATTCTTTGTAAAGCCTAGGAAAATGGGTCAAATAAATATACCTGCTTTGAACATGATCTCACACGCCGACACATACCTTGAGGTCATTTGCGTGGTTATCATTGCAGGCCAAGCTCTGCTCCAACTCACTGACATCGAGAAGGTTGTCTTCGCCGACTCGCCGGCTAAGCTCGCCAACCAGAGTGACATGCTTGCTGACATTTCCCGAGAGCTTGCGGAATTCCGGGTAATCTTCCACGAAGCGCTTCATGTCGGCAATGGACTCAATGTTCATGGTGTTTTGCGTCTTCACCTGATACTGTTCGACGTATTCCTTGATGTTCTGGCCCAGATCGCCGAAGTTTTGGTACATGTTCTTCTTGAAGAAGGGATCCTGGTCTTGCGATAGGACTATCTCACGAAGCTCAGGCCGGATGTCGGGCACATCGCGCAGATCTACTCTCCCGTTGTTGACTCCCAATAGCTCATGAACCATCGCCTGGTATGTCCACTGGGTCAATAAGGGCGTGATGGGGTCGTCTCTGCGATCCAGTATGAGCAAGATTGGCGGGGTGTCGGTTTTTCTGAAATTGAAGAGCTGCTCCTCCTGGGTCACCTGATAGCGAACCTCTGTAGCTAATTTCTTAGCCAGCAAGCTGTTCTTCTCATAGCGGATCAATGGGTTTTTCTTCAAAGCCAGCAGAATTGCAAGAACGCCTTCTGTTGCTCGTTGTAGAGCGTCCGCATTCCACAGGTCCGGCGAATGGCTCCATAATCGTTGATAGGGGAACCCGAGGTTCAAAGAACACAGATCAGGGTTAATGACCAAGAAGTCGGCAAAATGCTCCTGAACCACGCGAACGACCTCGTGCCCATCTGCTTCGGCGAGGCGCTCCAGCGACGACTTGCGAATGATATTGCTAAGGTAGATGTGATATTCTCCATATTTAGGATCGCGAAGCTCGTCAATGAGGAACTGGATAGAAGTCGGAGACGGGCGCACGAAGCATAAACAGCGTAAATGTCGCATTTTCTCTCGCGCCGCATTGTCCAGGCGATCGATCAGGTATACTTCATGATTCAAAAGGGCGGATTGGGTGATGGCCGTCGAAACGATTGGCATCTGTCCGTCGCAAGAGTCAGCCTTCACATACAAGTTTCAACCGCACCCAGCAGTAGAACGCAGATCCCACTGTCTCACTGTCGAGGAGCAAGATCTTCATCTTGGTTGACGATGAAGATCCCGACACTGATGACGAATCCCCCGTCGTGACCATCTTGGAGATGTACCCGGACACTGCAGCGACGACGTCCATGGCGATTGACCAGCCCGCGAAAGGGCGCGCGATGAGGGGTTCGGTATCGAAGACTGGAAGCTCAAGGAATCAACCGACCAGTAAATCAATACACTGATTCGGGGGGAAAAAAAAGAGAAAAGGAAAAGCAAATAGAGATCCAATTGTGACTTGTTCTACCCGGTCGTGGAATGGGAAGTGATGTGACGAGGGTGGTTGATGCTGCTCACAAGCCAACGCCAAGTAACGGTACGTACTTAAGCTGAAGCTCTCCACCCGTGACGATTTCATAATTCGATACCCTCATCTACATCCTCTTTTCGCAATTTCCTCGCCCTAGTTTGGTCTCTTTTCTAGATACGGATTCTCTCCGTTTTCTCTCATATTTCTGATTGCATTTATCTTCTTTGCCCCTTGCTGGGGTTGTGGTCTCGATCATGTTGCCCTACATTGATACCTGTATGTTGAAATTGTTTCCACCGCCAGTTTTGCCTGGGCTCATCACTCCTTCATATCTCAACAATGTTTTCTGGAGAAATCAACAACTGATGATGAGGACTATCCGCAGTATTTGGCTATCCTGCCAGGCTCACTGGTGCCTCAGTGGATGAGTGTGAGTAGTCTCTTTCAGCTCCTTCATCCTGACGCTGCTAACGCTTGTTTTACCTCGGATCTATAGTAAAGCTCATTGCATCATTCCTGGTCTCATACCCGCTAGCCGGTCTACTCAAGAGAATCCCCGACGCTCATCCTTGGAAGAAAAATGTCTTCATCATCGCCGTCGCCCTGTTTTATATGGTCGGGTTGTTCGATTTGTGGGATGGTCTGCGCACTGTGCTGTACAGTGCTGCTGGGACGTATGCCATTGCCTACTACATCGACGGGTCGTTGATGCCATGGATCGGATTCGTCTTCTTGATGGGTCATATGTCCGTTAGTCACATTGAACGTCAGATTGTCAACGATCCGCAAGCGGTTGATATCACTGGCGCACAGATGGTGCTCCTTATGAAGCTTTCCTCCTTTTGCTGGAACGTCCGCGATGGCCGTCTGCCCCAGGAAAAACTGTCGGACCCCCAGAAATATGCTGCTATAAGAGAATTCCCCAGCATTCTCGACTATGCCGGATATGTCTTGTTCTTTCCGTCTTTCTTTGCGGGTCCATCTTTCGAATACGTCGACTATCGGCGATGGCTTGACACAACCCTCTTCGAGGTTCCTCCAGGTACTGACCCGGCCAAAGTGCCTCCAACCCGGAAGAAGCGCAAGATTCCCCGCAGCTGCACGCCGGCCATCAAAAAGGGATTGATGGGTCTGGGATGGATTTTTCTATTCTTGCAATTGGGTTCCTTCTACAACCAGGAAATGGTACTCGCGGAGTCCTTCATGGACTATTCTTTCCTCCGACGGGTTTGGATCCTACACATGGTCGGATTTACGACGCGACTGAAGTATTATGGCGTATGGTCACTGACCGAGGGAGCCTGTATCCTGTCTGGACTTGGATACAACGGCTTCGATGCCAAATCAGGCAAAGTGTTCTGGAATCGGTTGGAGAACATTGATCCATGGAAACTTGAAACCGCCCAAAATTCCCATGGCTACTTGGGAAACTGGAACAAGAACACGAACCACTGGCTCCGGAACTATGTATACCTGCGCGTGACGCCTAAGGGCAAGAAACCAGGCTTCCGAGCCAGCATGGCCACTTTCACAACCAGTGCTTTCTGGCACGGATTCTACCCTGGATACTACCTGACATTTGTCCTGGGTTCCTTCATCCAGACTGTCGCCAAAAGTATGCTCACTTCTACATTGTTCTCTGAACAGGAAGATCTTCAGCTAACCTTCTCTCAGACTTCCGCCGTTACATCCGCCCTTTCTTCCTGACTCCTGACGGTTCCCAGCCTTTGCCTTCCAAGCGATACTATGATGTATTCAGCTGGCTGGTCACCCAGCTCACTATGTCCTTCGTGGTGATGCCGTTCATCTTCCTTTCATTCAGCTCCTCCATTCAGGTCTGGAGCAGCGTGTATTACTACGGGATTATCGGCAATATCCTTGCCATTATCTTCTTCGCCAGCCCTGCAAAGGGATACCTCATCCGAGCTCTGAAGAAGCGGAGCAAGCCCAGTATGGCACGGACGATCAGCGCGGAAAGCCTCCAAGAACCGACCTTGGGGTTGCCTAACGATCCCGCGCAGGAGATTGAAGACGTGGTTCAGGAAATTAGAGCGGAATTCGAAGCTAGGAGACGGCGCGGAAGTGTGACGGCCACCATGCCCACCGGCGAGGAGCTCAAAGTCGCTGTGGAAAACAAGCTTGGTCGGAAGATTTCGTTGTCTGATCATTCCGCAAAATAATGAAATTGTTGTTGTTGGAAACAGGCTTGTTCTGGTTCACCTGGGGTGCTTTGACGGTTTGAGGGCCGTTAGAATATCCTGGTGGTTACATTCTTTGTGAATATTGTGGTGTACGGGACGTTGGTAGACCCTCTTCGCCGCGTGTCTGTTTGCTTGGTCCTCTCATAGATCGATCTTGAGTTGGTTATGCTTTTGCTTTCCAATTGTCTTAATTCGTCCCAAGCCGGGCCTTTTATGTTTTATCAGCGGGATGGGAAATGTGCGATTGCGAGTGCATAGCGTAACAGGAAGAGTAATGCATAATTCGGATGACTTGAGTATTTTGCTCAAAGATAGAAGCTATGTATGCACTACAATCTTAAAATAATATTACTTTGAGTGAAACTGCAGGCATCCCAAAAAGAAATGTGGGTTTGTATTGATAAAGGTAGAAGGTAATGTTAGTCCGGCTCCATAATGCAAACATGTGTACATATGTACATGATCCAGCGAAAGTAATGTGCCAAGGCTATGTCAAAGATATAAAGAGAAGTTCATAAGTCTGTTCGTAAACCCTATTGATCCAACTCCTGGTGTGAGGCCGAACCACCTTCCAGGAACTGCGCTACGGCAGTTCATGGTCGACGCGCAACACACCAATAGCGAGCGGTAAGGCATGATCAGAGAAAAGCGAAAGAAGTCTAAAAAAAGAGCAACGCACAATATATGCATCGTGTCGGGTCGTACAGTCGTGTCAAGGTGAGTTCTGGGTCTCGGGTGATGACGAAGCAAGCAGCCAGTACCGGGAGTAGAAGGCGAAAAAGGGATGTGGGGTGTCGTTGAGTGAAGAGAGTCAACTCCCGGACCGTGGAATCAAACGGTATTCGATACAATCGACAAGGTGAAGAAGACCAGGCGTAGCCTGGGAAGGGAGAGACCGCAATCGCGGATGCAATGGGCCCGGAAAAGACCAAGTATGAAATGGAACGAGTACCTGCCCTCGTTCAGAAGCCCACCGTAGTGCCTACGGCAGCGAGTGTAACCTGTAAAAGTTAGTATAAAGAACAAAGACCCATATCTAGCTTTCGAAACACTTACAACAATGATAATGATCGCCAATCCTAGAGGAGTCATCCATCGGTTGAGTTTCCTCCACCATCGCGCATTTTCGTAACGTCTTCGCTCCAGATCATGGAGTCGTACCTTCAGCGCCATCTCAAGTTCAGGTCCATTCTCATCTAGTGCTGCACTAGGCTTGTCTGGTAGAGGGAGGAATGCGGCAATGAACCACGCTGGAGGACAATGGAGTAAGCAAATTACCTTGGAAGATACAGTACGCAGTCGAGACGCAAGACTTACCAATTGGAAACACGAAACCGAAGCAAAACGACCAGACTTGAATGTTCCGCCGACCCAGCAGTGGCTCGGTGCGAGAGTCCATGGATGGCGCTGCCCAGGCACTGCCTCTTCGTCGAACAACCCGCCTATCAGGATATAAATGCGGTGACCAACTGTGCCGTAACCGATGGTGTGTGGTCGATCGTGCATCGGTCTCAGGGCCTTTTAGCCAATGGCTTCGAGGATCTCGAGGATCATACAGGCTTATCCAACGAACACTTTCCATGGTTCGAGCCCTCGTCCGAGCTGGAGCTGTCGGGATTGTCTGGAGAGCTTGGGAGTTAGAGGTAGCAGGGCGCGCAGTCGGTGGCCGACTGCCATCAATGACCGACAAGGCAGGGTTGACAGCCTGTCCATCCAACGAATAATACATCTTAGCCCAGGCCGGGAGCATATTGTACACAATGCTTGAGCTGGTTCCCGGTCGCTTATTGCTTCGCAAGCTGCTTTTCCTCGATTCCGAAGAAAGACTACTCGGAACTGCGGGATTTCCAGGACGGGCGGGTAGATTCGACAGATGATCTGACTGCTCATCTTTATCAGAATCACTGATCAACCACAACGCAGAGGACTCTGGTCTCTGTCGAAAAAGTGCGGTGGTGGGCCTAGAAGGCTCACCGGCGGACATCCCGCTGGGTTCATCCCCCCCAGAAGCGAAGCTCGACTCAAATTCCGCAGACCATCTCGATGTCACAGTCGACAGGTGGGACTTGAACCGGTCTGATGCCTGGTCTGTAGTGAGGCCGTGGTTATTGTGCTCGGACGATCCTGCCGATTGTGAGGTATCAACCCACGAGCCCGAAGATGATGGCGCCAGGATGGTGGGATATTGTATGAAGACACCGCTATCAACATTAGGTTGGAAGTCCGATGGCGGCCCGCTGCGAGAAGATGATGTGAGCGAGCGGGAATGGCTGCGGCCACGACCACGCGTCGAGTTCGAGTTCGATCGCACTGATGGATGATACGGAGGAGTGGAGCGGAAGGAGTGTGAACGAGAGCTGAAATGTTCTTCAGAAGAGCCGTGAGTCCACGGAGCGGCACCGATATGACGGATCACAGTTCCCATCGAGTTCAATGAGGTGAGCGAGTTAGAACGCGTCGCGGAATCCGGGTTCGAGGAGGCACCTATTCGGACAAAATTCAGGCTGGAGCTATCGAGAGCCACAAAATTGGGACTGGACGGAGGTCCAATGGTGACAACATTAGGGCTCGAGCTAGAAGAACTATGCTGGGCCCCCGATGGCTGGCGAGACGGCCCTGGAGTTTCCGATACCACGGGTTTGATGCCTGGGGCCGCCGTGGGCAGCACCATCATTTCCTCGTCCGAGTATGCGGCAACTGAACTATCATCGAAGCCGGTGTAGGCGGGCTTCTCACCTGGGAGAACTGGTTCTGGCAAAGAAGAATTGCTGGATTTGGGATCATCTTCCCATACCTGAGAAGGTGTGTTTCCGGCATCAATGGTTGATGATAAGTCCCAAGGATCAGTGACAGATTGATCCAGAAAACTACTGTCGGCGGCTCGGGTAATATTCGATGACAGTGTACCGGTCGACTGGTCTAGCGAATCATCGGCTGGCGACTCCGGATAGTGGATATATTCTTGCCCTTTGCCTGGCCGTGGTAGCAAGACATGCTCCGGCTTGGTCGGGAACGGGGTAGCCGAGTAAATATCGTAGTGGTCGTGCCCTTCCTGCTCATGATCCTTGCTGCGGACGAGTCGTAGGGAGGGAGATGGAGAAGTCTCGTTCGTTTGGGATAGACTGCGCTCGTGAAGAGCTCTCCGTCTAGGAGAGGAATCTGTTGAATTTCCAGTAGATGGCATATCGCTCAGGAGTGATTAGTTCATTATCAGTATATAAACACCGGCAGTATGATAATTAGTCGGAAAAAAGGCGCTGGGAAAAGAAGGTAGTATAGTCGACCACGCGTTTTGACCAGAGCAAAATTTTGAGATCGGAAAGAGTGAAAACGGAAGTAATCAATACTAGTCGACTTTGGCTGCTTGATCGAATCCAAGGAAGAACAATTGGAAGACAGTAAGGATTCTGAATGCTTTTGTTGTTGTTGTTGTTTTGTTGTGGTCTATAATGCTGTGATGCAATCAGGAATGCTATCGACACAAAGGGCAGCAAATGCAGAAGATCAAGTCCAGTTCAGCGGCAAGACATCAAAAAGAGTGTGGTTGTGACGAAGAAAGAATTAATCGTCAGCAGTTGGATAACGAGTCATGCCAGACTGGTATAGCGAAAGTTGAAGAATTGAAGTTGTAAAAGAGCGTTGAAACCGAGTGACCCAGAAGCACCCAAACGACTGTCTCTAAAAGAGCGACAAAAAGCACGACGACTGGCAAACGATGGACCGAAACCTGAAACACGGAAAACCCATCAAAATAAGTAAACCATGGAAGGGACAAGCGGCACTAAGTAGCCAAGTGGGCATCCTTAGGAATCTGGTTGCTCGGCTAGCGGTGAAAAGGCCGGCATTAGTGGGTATGTTAGCCGCAGCCCGTAAGCCCTTTTGGACTCGTGGAGGGGCTGTGGCAGCTTGTCTGGCACGATAGACACGACCTTCTAGCCCTTTAGCCAGGGGTAGATATGCAGCTGCACACTCTAAAGGGCGAAAGTCTTGCCATGAACCCTCCAGAATCCAGATTCAATTGGTTAGTGGAGACGAACAGAACGAGCAGGGATGATCGTGCAAAGTTGCTTCGACCATGATTTTTTGCTAATAATAAGAAAAGGACTCGTGAGTCGTGGGATCCTAAAAAAAGCCGTAGCCCATAACAGATTAGTCGCCCGGGGCTGACTAGTATATGGAGTTCTGGACTGCCAGTCTGCGAAATCCTTTCGAACAAGCGAGAGAGGTTCGTGAACATGGTCATTGATTGAGAGGAACCCCGTTCAACACCCACAGGAGTGGTAACACGGGATGGAGTACAGAGTAAGTTGAGTAACAGATCGTCGGAACCTAATAATAATCTTCATCGTCATGATCTCAGAACAGCTAGGAGAAAACAGTCGTAAATCAATGTTTCACTTGCTGAAAGGTTAGATGACTACTGGATGGTCATTTCGCTTGTAGCTGATCACTCCATCGGGTATTTGAACACGGACCATGGAGCATGAAACCAATAATAGGGGAAAGGAGCATTTGAGGACATTGCTCCGTACGGAGTGCTTCATTTCCGAATAGTGAAGGAGACTGAAATTTGCGAGTGTTTGTAGGCAACCGCTCCAAGGAGTGACGACTGACGACCAATGTATGATAGACAGAAGTTGGGGGCTCTCGATAGTGATAGAGAGCACTCTCCGTATTGGTTGCAAATATATGCAAGGTACAGAAAGCTTTATCATTCAGAAACGATGTGCAAGCAAGAGATGCAGGCAGCAGAACATCCGACATGATTTGTTTGTGATTCTCTGTACTTGAAAGAGAATCTCGTCACGCCTAAGCCTCCACGAGTGTAATTTATTTAGGGCAGTGGATAGGCCGCGGATGTGACCAATCTCACGATCATCCTCGGGGACTCCAGGTAACTACCAGGAGAGTCGACTCAGTCGAGATCTCGACTGTCCCACACTCAGGTCTCAGCAGTCAGCACTCAGCAGATTGGAGGCAGGATCAGCCACGAAATGAACTGGTGATCGGGCGGATCTTGACTTGGTAGTTGGTACTCCGGAGTCCGGAGTCCATATGGAGTAACTAGTACAGAAAAGCTTCTGAATTGTCCAGATTCCCCCTCACTTCTCAAGGATTCTAGAAATCCAGAATGTCTTATTGGCAGTGGGGACAAGGATTTCGATCAATCTCTCGATACCAAAGCCCAATAACATCGCTGTTTCAGAAGACAAAGCGATGGATTTGAAGCTGACTACTTTAGCTCTTTATGCAGTAGTAAGGCTGCCAACTCATCCGTGGGTCTTGCTTGTCCGTCAGATTAGTTCCCACGAGTTACCACTCTTTGTGACTCGATCCCTCGAGTCTCGTCTCAAACCATCTTTGAGGTGGGGAAGATCGAACTGAATGCAGTGTGACGGATCAAATTAGATTGTTGAGCGTGGAAGAGGAAGAAAGTAGGATCAAGTGCTGAAGTCGAGAGGACGAAGAGAGATGGAAGTACGGAGTATTGCTTGGTCCTTACAGATGATGGCATCCCCGATTGGGTGATAATATTGTGGGTGTCAGACAAGATGTAGTTGATGCCTTCGAAATCAGGCACACACACTTTTCCTGGCCTTGTTTCCTGCTGGGCTTTTTCTTTGTTGACGGTTTGCTTTGGTGCTTCGCTTGCTCGCTTTCGATGGCATCGACTTGGTGCAACTCTTCATGATTATTCTCTCAGGAGAGACATCATCACCATCGCCATCATCGCCTTTTCTGTCCAAAGGACAACTAGGTCCTTCTAGTCTCTGAGGTCTATCCGATCTGCTGTTCGAGTTTGCAGACCCCTTCGATCCATCGGGCAGAATATCTTGGTCCCTCTTAGTTCAGCTACGGCTTCTAATAATACTAATCGGTCATCATCATGGCGCCTGTCAGCCTCCTGGCGCGGCTTCGAACGCTCTATTCCAAGAATTATGGTATGTTCCCGAGGAATTTGAGACGATTTGATGTTCCTCTCGTAACAATTTGGTATCAGATGAACCGGCCATTTCGGTCCACACAGCTGCTTTTTTCTCGGTATGCATCTCTGGTCCCAGCGCTCGCATCCCCATGCATGTTCAATTGAATGGTCTCATAAAAGGAAAAAAATTAAACAAATCCGGTGAAGTCTGGAAAGACCATTGCTCATCTTGATTTTCCTACAGAAAAAGTTCCTTTCCTTGCAGCAGCAGCAGCAGCAGCAGCAGCAGCAATGACTAACTCCACTCTAGGTACTTCTAACATTGTTTTACGTGGTGCCCTTCTATATATCTCCCACCACACGTCCGTCTCCCACACTCAGCCGAGATGCTCCTTCCGTGATTCGAGCAAGGATTAGGGCAGTAACGTGGTCTTGTTCGGTTAGTACCCTTGCGGTCCTATGGCTGATCATTGCCAAAAAGCATGCTTCTTTCTCGGAGGCTTTAAGGCTCCTTGGTTGGTGGCCCATTAGCCTCTGGGACATTAGCCGTGCCTTGCTTCTCACGGCCGTCCTATTCACTGGGCCTCTTTTTGAGCGTGGCATTGCCGAGGGTGAATGGGGAGACTGGATTAAGGGTGGCCGGATCTCCGAAACTCTTTATGGTTGGATTGGATGGCGAAACTATGTCGCAGTAAGTAGAACCGGGTACTGGTATCCAAGATCATAACCCGATCTCATACTTTGCATAGGGACCGATTACCGAGGAGATCATGTTCCGGTCTGCCATCGTGCCTCTCCATCTGCTAGCCAAAGATCGCCCCGACCACATTGTTTTTGTGGCACCACTCTACTTTGGAATTGCTCATGTGCATCATTTTTATGAGTTTCGCTTGACTCATCCAGACACCCCTATCGTTGCTGCATTGCTCCGCTCGCTGTTCCAGTTTGGTTATACCACCATTTTCGGCTGGTATGCTACCTTTCTGTATATCCGGACCGGTTCACTGCTGGCAGTGATTCTTGCGCACAGCTTCTGCAACTGGTGCGGACTCCCTCGGCTTTGGGGAAGAGTTGAGGCCGGCGTACCTCTCGGGCCACCCTTGACCAGAGGGAAAGAAGATTCCGACCCGGGCCGTGTATACATCACTTCTGGTAAACTTGGTCTGGGCTGGACGGTCGCCTACTATATACTCCTTGTGACGGGAGCCATTGGCTTCTGTTATGCCCTGTGGCCACTGACTTATTCATCCAACGCGCTTGCCACATTCTCGGGCATGTCCAGAGAATGACAGAATTGATCCTGGCCATTTGGCTTCTAAGTATGCCCCATGCTTTGTTTTTTTTTTTTTTTGGCTGGCGGAGAGGAAGGGATTCATTCATATCTGGATGAGCCGTTGAACTTTTCTTGTACTGTTTACTTCTAATGATGACGCTGATGTTTCTGCTCTTCGCCTTGCGCATTGTGATGATAGCATGCAGCATGGGGTCTTGCTGAAGAATACTTAATGTTTGAATTTGATAGTCCATCCCAGTGAAGTGCGTTTGAAATTAATGGATACAAATTGGCCTCGCTTGCGTAATTCTTTCATAAATTCATCACCTAGAGAGATTGAGCATCTAGAAAGCATCCTCGGGAAGATATTTCGTAGCCGATTCGAGATACTTCCTTAGTATTTTTTTGCTGCTGATAACCCAAGAAAAAGCAAGTTGCGCTATCTCCGAGTTCCGTCTCGGCCTTCTCGGACTCAAGTCTTTTCACTCCAGGGTCTGCCGACACAAATGCACGTCAATTCTATTTTTTGCAGCTCTTACAGCTGCTGTAAATTCCAATCCTTCAAATAGAAAGCATATCATTTCTTCATCCTCATGAGGCCGCATTTACAGGGCTGCCGTTCACTCATCGCGGGGTGCGGCAGAGCAACAACTCCAGGTCGACTCTTCTCCTCCACCGTTCCCCTCGCAATCCCTCTACGAGCTCCTCTCAATATTCCCCCTCCATTTCCTGTGACGCAGAAATGCCCCGAACCCAGTTGCTCATGCCCTACCACACCAGAGATGCCCGAAGGGCTCCCTATCGATTACGACCAGCCTTTGAACGGAACAATGGCTGCCTATGCGCAGCAGGTTCTAATTTGTACAGGACAAAGAGACTGGACAAGTCGCATCGAGGATGATGGTACGGCCCAAAGCTGGGGGAATTTGACGAGAGGTCTGAAGAAGCTGATGGGCCGTGGCGGACGCTTTGCGGATGTAAGTTTGCACTTTAAATCCCGGGATTTCTTGCTGACTTGAGGTTATCTGATAGCCATTTAATAACGTCATGGTCTCGACTTCGTCCTTTGTTCCTTCATCTACAGATACCGCCTCCGCCTTTATCTTTCCCCAATTCAAATATATCCCGTCGATTCCTGTGGAGATACCTGAGACTCCCAATGCAGAGACCGATCTTTCAACGTTTATCCGAGCGTATCTCCTCCCAGAGAAGCTAAATCCTATGCAAAACTCCCTTTCCGAAGCGCATCAGGCTGAGCTCATCCGCGATCCGGAACTAGCATCTAAGTTCCCCGATGCTATCGATATCCGCCATTCCCCCGTTGTCTTGATATGCGGCCATGGGGGTCGAGACATGCGCTGTGGAGTCATGGCACCTGTCCTTGAAAAAGAGTTCAGCCGGGTTCTGTGTGCGCGGGGATTCTCATCCACCGGAGCTGAGAACAATCCAACGGACAGTCCTGAATATGCCCATATCGGCTTGATCAGCCATGTTGGCGGTCATAAATATGCTGGAAATGTGATTGTGTACATTCCCCCGGGAATGATGGTAGATGGCTCCCCTCATCCGCTGGCGGGTAAGGGTATTTGGTACGGCCGCGTCGAGCCCAAGCACGTCCAAGGGATTGTCGATGAGACCATTCTTGGTGGAAAGGTCATAGCTGACCATTTCCGAGGAGGGATTGACCATAATGGAGACATCATAAGGTTTTAGAGTTGGATAAAGTAGACTGTCCTCTCCTTTTACTTAGAACAAGCTGCATTCTGAAAGAGATAGACAAAACATATCACCAATCCCGGTACACAACAAAAAAAAAATATCAGGCGAGATCAAGTATTTTTTTTTTCTGAGAAGGCTGTTCTGATTCTTCATTGGAGATGTTGATGGCTTGATGTACATCCCAAATTAGTTAGCCAGGCGCTAATCTGGATTGGGTCTAAAGGTGCCAGAGCCAAAAAGCAAGCATTATGTATGACTTGGAAATCAGAGCAGCGGACAGACTTCCCCAGATCATTCAATTGCCCGCTGGATCCCCCGCTAATGACCGTATAATCATCCTGCACAGCATGGTGTTCAATCAGCGAACATGCAATCCCTATCCCGACTACGAATAAGCCCGACCGCCCTTGCGCAAGTCCGATGGAGATGCGACGCCCATCGCCCGTTCTCAAGCAACACCGTCCGGTTTGCGACAACGTCTTCAGCAATATCCCGAAAGCTAGATCTGTTGGCCATTGACAAGAAATGGCAAGCGAAGTGGCAAGCGGACGGGCCGCGATCGTTTCCCAATGGCGGCGCACAGAAGGAAAGGCGGGGTGATAAGCCCAAGTCCTACATCCTATCCATGTTCCCCTACCCTTCCGGAACCTTACACATGGGACATCTACGGGTGTACACGATCTCGGATGTGCTGGCGCGGTTCTATCGCATGAAAGGCCATGAGGTGCTTCATCCGATGGGGTGGGATGCGTTCGGGCTACCGGCGGAAAATGCGGCGATTGAGCGAGGAATCGATCCGGCTGAATGGACCAAGCAGAACATTGCGAAGATGAAGGAACAGTTACGAAGTATATCGACGTCGTTTGATTGGGATCGAGTAAGTACCTTAATTGTCTGTGATCGGAGCGTTCCGTTGTTGTTAATCGTATTCGGCGGATTTCCAGGAACTGGCTACTTGCTCTCCCGAATTCTACGAACACACGCAACGGATATTTCTGATGCTGCATAAGAAAGGTCTTGCCTATCAGGCAGAGGCGGTCGTCAACTATGACCCGGTGGATAAGACGGTGCTTGCGAACGAGCAGGTGTGCGAGCCACTATCTAGGGCGGATGCTTCCAGAGACTGATTCTTTCCTAGGTGGATGCCAATGGCTTCTCCTGGCGCTCCGGAGCGAAGGTCGAAAAGTTAAAGTTGAAACAATGGTTTTTCCGCATTACAGATTTCAAAGAAATGCTCTTGAATGACTTGGATTCGCTGGCGGGGGGCTGGCCCGAGCGTGTATTGGCCATGCAGCGCAATTGGCTGGGTAAATCATATGGTGCGAAGGTCAAGTTTCCTGTCACCGTTGACGGGGGCTATGATGAGAACCTGCATGTTAGTGTGTTTACTACGCGACCGGACACCTTGTACGGAGTGGAGTATATTGCCCTCTCCTTGGACCACCCGATTGTCCTCAAGGCTGCTGAGGAGGATGCGGCCTTGCGAAAATTTCTTGATGAAGCCGCTTCGCTTCCGTCCGACTCCAAGGCTGGCTATAAGCTATCAAGTGCCACTGCTTCGAATCCACTGTACATCATCGATAAAGAAAGCCCTCACATTGCGCGGAAGTTGCCCATATTCGTGGCTCCATACGTTCTGAGTGACTACGGGGAGGGAGCCGTAATGGGTGTCCCGGGCCATGACTCAAGAGACCTGGCGTTCTTTAAGGAGAATATGAATCCCGAATCGATACCGGTTGTCATCGAATCTGAACATTCAGCTGAAACAAATGCCGACAACAGCGACAGCCTTGTCCCTGCGGGTGAGCTGAAAGCCTTCACACAAGAGGGCGTTCTTACCTCGAGATGCTGGAAATATCAAGGCCTTCATTCTCGTGAGGCCAAGAAGCAAATCGTCGACGACCTCAATGGCATCGGCCACGGTGAACCTGTTGAGCAATGGAGACTGAGGGATTGGCTCATTAGTCGACAGCGCTACTGGGGAGCTCCGATCCCCATTATTCATTGCAAGAGCTGTGGCCCGGTACCTGTGCCGGACGAACAGCTTCCAGTCCAGCTACCTAAGATTGAGGGTGACTGGCTCAAAGGCAAGAAGGGCAATCCACTTGAGTCGTCTCAGGAATGGGTTAACACAACCTGCCCGAGCTGCAATGGGCCTGCGAAGCGGGATACGGACACCATGGATACTTTTGTCGATTCGTCTTGGTACTATCTCCGCTTCTTGGACTCGCAAAACAAGGAACAGCCATTTTCCCCTTCGACAATCCGACCAGTTGATATCTATATCGGTGGTGTTGAGCATGCCATTCTGCACCTGCTCTATGCTCGATTCATCTACAAATTCCTCGCGCAGTCCGAACTATTCCCGGAGATCGCTCGGACAGGAGACCTTCCAGGCCCTTCAGAACCCTTCAGAACTCTTATGTCCCAAGGGATGGTCCACGGAAGAACGTACAGTGACCCATCTACTGGGCGGTTCCTACTCCCATCGGAAGTTGATCTCTCAAACCCCAATCAACCACTCATCACGGGAACGCAAGTGACCCCTAATATTTCATTTGAGAAAATGTCCAAGAGCAAGCACAATGGCGTGGATCCCACGTCATGTGCGCTCAAATATGGCGCTGATGCCACTCGGGCGCATGTCCTCTTCTCCGCTCCTGTCAGTGAGGTGTTGGAGTGGGACGACAGCAAAATTGTGGGCATTGAGCGTTGGTTCGGTCGGCTGTGGAAGCTGGTGGTTGATGCGAAGCAGAGCCTGGGAGCATCATCTTTTACGGTCTCCCAGGCCGATGTGGAAGCATCCTCCGGGCACGCGACAACACTCCCCGCCCTCTTGCAAGGTATTAGTGATAGTGACGCCGATAGCGTCCTGCACACACATCAGACCGTCTCGTCCGTGACCAACTGTATTGAGAAGAACCCCTACGGCCTCAATACCGTCATCTCCGACCTGATCAAGCTAACCAACACGTTAACATCGTCGACCCCTACTTCGCCGCAAGTCCTGTATCTTTGTGTGTCCTCGCTGATCCGGCTATTGGCACCTGTAGCCCCGGCTCTGGCCTCTGAATGCTGGGAAGTCCTCCACGGGCCGATTATCCGCGAGAACTCGAGCACAAAACCCACCGATGAAGCTATTGTGCCGCCCATTTTCGACTGTCCTTGGCCCTCTCCACCGTTGACTGACGAACAGGTCAATGTGCTCTCTGCACGCGGCGGCCAAACTGTAGCCGTTCAGATCAATGGCAAATTACGCTTTTCCGTGACTATTCCGCGGCGGTTATCACCAACGACGCCTGCTGAATCCGGCGATCAGCCGGGTGGCGCCACCCAGGAACAAGATTGGATCATTAGCCGTGTTCTGGAGACCGATGAGGGACGCGTGTGGCTTCGGGAAAAGAACGACTGGGAGAAACGGAGACGGGTTGTGGTCGTTAAGGGGGGCAAACTGGTCAACATTGTCTTTTAATTTGATCGGCTGCTGAGCTGTATGATATGGATTCGATGGACACGGTTTAGGCGGGAGACGTATGTAGTAGAGACATGACCACTGTATATTAGTATATTAGTAGAAAGCATATAGAAACTCACCTCCTCAAGCGTCATATTGCTTTCGTGCGACGACAGCATCCACTATGATTTCGTCATGTCCAATCCATAATCCATACAGTATCTAACCGGAAGGATATTTCGGATTGTTGTCCATGTTCTGACCGCCATGGCCCATGCTACCAGGCCAGGATTGCGCGGCTTGTAGGAAGAGCAGTGGGCGAGGGGGGGGGGGGGGGGGGGAACTTGAGAAAGGTTTCCCCTCATCCTTGACAAAGTCGCTAACCCAGTGTTGAGCGGGTCTCAGCTTCTCCACAATAGAGCTTGTTTCGAGTAAGTCCAACTTCTCGGAGGAAGCTTGGTTGAAGCTCGGGATTAATCCAATGCGAGAGAGATATAGAATCAGTCCTGTATGTTTGTAGTCTGTCTGCAGTTGAGGCAATTAATTGGGGCTGCTAAGCGGTACACGGATCTCAGTTGAGTTGACCAGATGAGATGCTGTGAAGCTCGATGTTTGAGCCAAGAAACCGTAAGAGGGCATTGGACCATGCTACACAGATCGATATTATCCTCATCTGAGCGACATGGATACACCAAGACTACGGAGTAGTCCGTACTCACCGTACTCAATCCGAAGCCAGGTGGCCCCATATGACTCCTGGGACTTCAGATGGAACAATTTGAAGCGACTGCACTGCCCGCTGCGAGGGGCCGTGAGGGGAAGTTCCCCTCGTGCGGGGTGAGCGACAGCAATGAGGGGATCGAGAATGCTGGGGTATCCGGATTAGGCATAGTGTCACACAGCAACGTCCCCTCACGCGAAGTATTCAGCTTCAACATCACTCAATCTCATCCAATGATCACGGGGGATAATATGGATGTGTCTGGAAGAATGCAGGAAATTCACCCGACTGAGTCAGAGAATAAGCCGCAGAATTCAATCTCAACATCCCTGTGGTTACCTGATAGGCGCTCGCTCTCCAACATTTTCCCTGTTATACTGTTATAGAGCGTCCCGCATGCGGGGAGACCAAGTCTCGCATCAAATGGAACCTGATCATTTCCATCCACACTAGACTACTTTCCGTGGGATCCGTCAGTCAAGCTGGACAAGGTACACTAGGTTGATCGACCACTTGGGTGGAGTTCCGCTCGTCCTGCCATCCACGGTGATACCTTTGTAGGTTGTACCTCGTATCTCCAGACTACCTCTCGAGTACTACTCCTGTACTGCCATGGGTTCGACTGATGAGTTGGAGAGGGGACGGCTGAGAATGGGTCTTCGGGTCTTCGGGGTCTTCGGGTTCAATCTATATGGTCATAGTTATTCTTTAGTTTGTCCCGAGATAAACCCAGCGAGATCTAAGGTAGACTATATATTAAGTGAAGATTCCCCCAGATCTTGAACTTACTTCCCATCCGCATCAGCAATCATCTGCGTCTTCATCATCATTTGATCATCTCTCTGTATCCTCGATCCGAACCGGATTTGGTAAGTTTACTTGAGTCCCGTCTCTATTCCAGCAGTGTGTTGCATCGTTCCCCACAGTCCCTCGCACTTTCTCCCTACCACTCTGCATCATGCTTCATGTCCTCCCACAAGTATGGATTTCTCCAATCCATCCATTGGGACCGATGACTGCCTGACCGTGGTGATATTAGATAAATAGAGAGCTAATTCCTCGGTCGCAGTCTTAACATTCATCAATAACTCTCCTTCTCTTCGTCGCACTTCTTTCTTCATTCAAAATGGTATTTATCCGTTCTTTATCCCGTCAATTGCGGCGGCCTGCCACCTCTCTTTTCTCTGCAAAAGGAGCCTTAGCTACACCTACCAGCTGCAGCGGTCCCTTTCGGGCCTCTCCTCTGGCCGGTTCGATTTCTGGTGCCCGTACGCTGACAGCCTCTGCCAATCTACAGGGCAAAGTTCTTATGGTCCTCTATGACGTTAGTAACCGAGATCCGTTCAAATAGCTGGAAGAAGCTATCGGACGCTAATTGGATATTTGTTTAGGGTGGTGAGCACGCCAAACAGCAGCCTGGCCTTCTCGGCACAACCGAGAATGAGCTTGGATTGAGAAAGTGGATTGAGGAGCAGGGTCACACCCTGGTCACCACCTCCGACAAGGAGGGCGAGAACTCCACCTTCGACAAGGAGCTTGTCGATGCCGAAGTCATCATTACCACTCCGTTCGTTTTGCCGACAATGCCAACCGCTGCTATCTCGCATCACCGAAACTAACTTTGCATTGTAGCTTCCACCCCGGTTACCTCAGCGCCGAGCGCCTGGCCAAGGCCAAGAACCTGAAGATCGCCGTCACTGCCGGTGTTGGTTCTGATCACGTTGACCTGGATGCCGCGAACAAGACGAACGGAGGTATCACCGTCGCTGAGGTGACGGGCTGCAACGTCGTCTCTGTGGCCGAGCATGTAGTCATGACCATCCTCACTCTGGTTCGCAACTTCGTCCCCGCCCACGAACAGATCCGCAACGGCGAGTGGGACGTCGCTGCTGTCGCCAAGAACGAGTACGACCTCGAGAACAAGGTCGTCGGAACCGTTGCTGTCGGCCGTATTGGTGAGCGTGTGCTGCGTCGGCTCAAGCCCTTCGACTGCAAGGAGCTGCTCTACTACGACTACCAGCCACTCAGACCCGAGGTTGAGAAGGAGATCGGCTGCCGTCGTGTCGACAGCCTGGAAGAGATGCTTGCCCAGTGCGATGTGGTCACCATCAACTGCCCTCTGCACGAGAGTACTCGCGGCCTCTTCAACAAGGACCTCATCTCTAAGATGAAGAAGGGTAAGTCCCCAACTGTGATGGATGAATATGATGCACATCACATGCTAACTCCCTGTCCGCTAGGCTCCTGGCTCATCAACACCGCCCGTGGCGCCATTGTCGTCAAGGAGGACGTTGCGGATGCCGTCAAGTCTGGCCACCTGCGCGGCTATGGCGGTGATGTCTGGTTCCCTCAGCCTGCCCCCAAGGACCACCCTCTGCGGTACGTTCAGGGCCCCTGGGGCGGCGGTAACGCCATGGTCCCCCATATGTCGGGTACCTCGATCGATGCCCAGATCCGCTACGCCCAGGGTACCAAGGCTATCCTCGAGAGCTACTTCTCGGGCCGCCACGACTACAAGCCGGAGGACCTCATCGTCAAGGATGGTGATTACGTCACCAAGGCCTACGGTCAGAGGAACAAATAGACGCATCACTCTGTTTTGAAGCGAATGACTGCATGTGCTACGGGCATAATTCTTCCGGCCCCAGCACCTTCTATAATGTTTTGCTCTTTTATGATACCTAAAATGACACTTTTTTTTTCCCCCTTTGACTTCAATCTGGCGTACTACCCATCTGAAACTGGCATAGTCTAGGCTGCTACTCAAGTCACTATTCATATGGATAGCAAGAAAAGACTGCTCAAGTAATTTGTCCTACTAGGGCCTATCGAGACTTCAACCTCTAGTGGAGCCTGCCGATCATGCAAAGCTTAAATCTGTTAGAGTTGACGGCTCTCAAAAGTAGTCTACCAACTTATCAACAATCAATGTCAGCATCGGGAATACAATAATGCTTCTTGTGGACGTGGATTGATCCTGCTTGGAGTATCTTTGGTCTGATATATCCTGATTATCAGCTCTTTTACCTGTGTCATGAAGCCAATATGCATGCAGAGCATTTCAAGTATATGGATAGTGACATTATATGTTGCAGAGCCTGTGAAGATGTAATGAATCTCGATGTTGAATTATTTTTTGGTTTGTAGGTTGATTAATGTCTTTTTTATGCATAATGTATCTACCCGTTGATAAGATCTTGGACGTTGCTATGGTCGGCCGACTGATCTGATATATCTACTACTATCTTATGGCTCTGGATGCAAGATCTACCCTTCAGCTGAACGGATTAGGTATGATCTGCTCCCTATGATCGATTCCCCTCGCATTTGGATTACTTGAAACTGGTGGAACTGATGAAGCATTCTTCAGTGAATCGTCCTGCTATATGGCGTCATCGGGAATGTACAAACCCACTTTCGATAAGAGAATTATGGTCATCCTGCGATGGATAGGGCTTGTAAAGAGATCAGATCATGCATGTCCATGTATGCATGTTGGTTATTATCCAACTGACAGGTATACCACTTGGGGGGGTTTCTCGGGGTCCCCAGGGGGTCTTCTAGATATATATTCAGCAATCGCCAATGGTTTGTATGCCGCCCATCTAGTATGTATATCATCAAACGCCATCCGAGTGAAAACCTGATAAAGATATTGAAGCGTGTATTGGTTCAGCGGTTCAACCTTGTACGGCTCCTTTCTTCCCCCTCCTCATCACTATCGTCCATAAACCCCTGTTCGAGATCCCGGCTCAGTCGGCTTTCTGCATCAGCCGCGGTGCTGCGCCGTCGCTCCAGCGCTTCCCTCCGGGCAGGATCCATATCCATTCCCACCATAATCTCCCCCTCCTCGTCAGAGATGCTGATGTTATCGTGCTGGTTGTCGACCTGTCGCCGCCACGACGAGGGTAGAAAGAACCGCATCACGGTGTCGGCTATTCGATCTCGCAGCGACAGCGTATGCGCGGAGATGGTCTGCAGCGGGAGGTATTGCGAGTATCGTTGGTGATAGCGGCGGAAGAACGGTACGATCAGGAAGGAGATGAGGAGATACAGCGCGAGGGAGATGAGGGCAGGGACGAGGAGAGTCTGTATAGGGAACGAGCTATTAGCATATTACATGCAGATTCGATAGTTGAGTAAACATACCTTTGCTAGGCGTGACATGGAGCCCATTTTGATCGTAGATCACTTCAAATAAAATGGCCGTGCTGAGTATATTATGTATTTCTCAACTTCAGGAGCCCCGGACACTACTCAGGAGTAATGGGAGGAAGTTCCGCCGAATCAGCAAGAGAGCACCATGGTCGCACCACACGTAAGCTAATTTTCCGCTGCTCAACAGCAATAGTCAGCGAGAATCTTTGAATTAGGCCCCCTTCAGTCTACACTCGTAGGCGCTTATTGGAGTTGTTCAGGCTGTTCTTTGTCACTACTGCAGGCTGATGCGGATCTCAACACGTGACTCTGTCAACTGGAGACACATTTCACGTGACCTAACCCCTACTGCGTTCTAGAGCCGCCTCGTGCGCCCCCTAATGGTAATAATACTGGATAACTGGAGATGCCCGTGCTTCAGCCCTGGCAAGCAAACGACACTCCAGCAACGATCTAGCGTCCCGGGCAACAAACGACAAGCGGCCACGCTCTATTGGGAACCACCCCGATAACCCATCGCGTGTGTTGTTGCGGCTATTCGCATTCGTCTTCGGCAGAAGAGGGAGGATCCCGGTGTTACTGACAAACTAATATTTGGCCAACTTCGCCCCCCTCTCTCTTCCTGGTTCTAGCGCTGCTCCGCAGCGGGTATTTACTGCTAGTCAGGACTCAGGAGTTCAAAATACGACTTATATCGGATTTGGGCTGAATGCCATTGTCGCCCTTGCGCAATCTGACAGCAACGGGCCCCGTTAGCTGGAAAAGGGACCTCACTAGCGACAACAACAACAACCTTCACCTTTTTATTTTAGACCTCATCTTCTTCGGTTGTGGATAACGCTCATGCTGCGCCTTGCATCTCCCCAGAGACGCCTGTCAAGATGCCTACAACCACCGCACCTGACAAATCGAGACAAACCTCGGCTGGCAAATCGTTCTTTGGGAGGAAGCTACACAAGGAGAGACCGGTAGATGATCGGTATGAGGGGTATGGAGGGTCGGAAAACCTTGCGCCTCCGGGGAGTGCTGCTGGGTCTCGTTCGTCCCGATATTCGAAGCGATCTTCCGTCCAATCTGTGGATTACACACACGACTTCGACCCCGGCGCGCTTTCAATGACGGCTGGCGTCATCACGTCCATTCCTTTCGAGAGCTTACCCTCCGATACAAGGTCTCCGATTCCGGTAGATTACCTGTCCAAGGCGGAGACGTCGCCGCGAAAGGAGCCATCACCAAATCACGTGGCAAAGGGAGGTGGTGATTTTCATCAGTATCCAGTATGGAATCCGTCCATGGTCCGCGAGAACAATGCCTACTCTCACCTTACCGGTCCCCGTCCGCCGCCGCACGCTTCAAACATGACCATGACCGGTAGCAATTCAGGAGACAGGGGTCCAAGGTATCAGCAGTGGGGCAGACCAGGCAGCTCGGCGACCAATGCTGGGTTCAGTCACAACTCGTCGTCCACTATAGACTCATCGTCAAATTCGCGGATTTCTCTCGATCAAGCCAGTATTCATTCTTCACTTTCATCCAACACAAGGGGGTCGAGCTATATCTCGGACGGCTCGGGGAGGACCCTCACGACATCGCAGTCGGCAGATCGGAATACACTTTTCCCCAGCAGTGGAAACTCTAGTCGATTATCGAATGCGCAAGCGGCATGGCAGGCTGCCCAGCAGTCTGCTCAGCAATCCGCCCCTCCGATCGGAGCTTCGCTCAACCCGGAGCAATATCTCACACGGCCCAGAGATGATCGTATTGTGGACCAACTATTCCTAGACTTGATGCAGAAGCGAGGCTGGCAGAATCTTCCGGAACAAGCCAAAAGACAGATGCTGGCATACCCTGCGTCCAAGAAATGGACCTTAGTTCACCAGGATCGCTTGACAGAGCTGCAAGGAGAGCAGAAGCGGAGGCAGAATGCACGACAAACCCACGGTCATGATGGACCTGCAGGGATTCTTGAGCGAGCAGATGAAGAGGGTAGTCCCGAGTGGTATGTCAAGAAGGTTATGGATGACACCATTACATCGAAACAACTGGCCAGTTTGAGTGTCAGTCTGCGAACACAGCCGATCAGGTAAGCCTATCCTAACACGGACTTGCTCCCTTCATCGCTTTGTTTCCTGCTAACCAGGCTATAGTTGGGTCAAGGCTTTTGTCGAAGCACAAGGTCAGGTCGCCTTGACCAATGTCCTCGCAAAGATCAATCGTAAAAAAGCTTCCGGGCCAGTACCCGCACCGCCAACAGGGGATCGGGACTTGGATCGCGAATATGATATCGTCAAGTGTCTCAAGGCCCTGATGAACAACAAATATGGCGCAGACGACGCGATATGTCACCAGCAGGTCATCATTGCTCTCGTGAGCTCTTTGCTATCGCCTCGGCTAAATACAAGGAGGCTGGTCAGTGAAGTTCTGACCTTTCTTTGTCATTGGGCGGATGGCCAGGGCCATCAGAAGGTACTTCAGGCCATGGATTATGTCAAGAATCATCATGGTGAAACTGGTCGCTTCGATGCCTGGATGCGCATCGTCGAGGTGACGATCGATGGCCGAGGAAAAATGGGAAGTCTGGTTGGGGCGAGTGAGGAATATCGTAACGGTGGTATCGGCATGGAAAATCTGCTTATGGAGTATGCGGTTTCTACTATGATGCTCATCAACATGATGGTGGATGCGGCAGAGACCGACCTGCAACTGCGATGCCATATTCGGGCTCAGTTCATCTCGTGCGGTATCAAACGGCTTTTGACGAAGATGGAGGGATTTCAGTACGAAGTCATGGATAAGCAGATCGAGCGTTTCCGGGAGAATGAGGCTATTGACTATGAGGATCTACTTCAGCGGGAAAGCAGCAGTATGAAGGATAGCATTGAGGGTGAGGTGAAGGATATGAGCGACCCTCTGCAGATTACGGACGCCATTTTATCCAAACTCAATGGCAGTCGTGCTCATGACTACTTTCTCTCTGCCATGCAGCATATGCTCCTCATTCGGGAGAATTCTGGAGAGGATGGTCTGCGCATGTTCCAGCTCGTCGATGCCATGCTCAGCTACGTTGCGATGGACCGGAGACTGCCCGACCTGGATTTACGACAAGGTTTGACTTTCACGGTACAAAGCCTTCTGGATAAGCTTCACACGGATGCGGAGGCGAGGCGTGCGTATGATGAGTCTCTGGAAGCTCGTCAGATCGCGGAGGCCGCAATCGCTGAACGGGATGAGATGAAATCCCAGGTGGAGATGGGCGCGGACGGCTTGGTGATGAAGCTGCAGAAGCAGATCGAGGAACAGACGAGCATCATCGAGCTTCAAACACGGCAGAATGAGACCCTCAAGGCCGAATTTGCTGATGTTCAGCGTCTGCGCGCCCAGGAGCTGCAGCGTAACGAACTGGAAACAAGAGAACTATACCTCATGCTCCGGGATGCGCAGGATATCGCTGCATCGAACGCCAAGAAGAACAACAATAACCTGGGAGAGACCGACCCATCACAAATGCGGGGTATTCTGGATCGCGAGAAGCTACTGGAGAGGTTAGAGATGCAGCTTGAGCGGACCAAGACGCAGTTCAAGTTGGAGGGCAAGGTCTGGGGCCAACATGGGCCCTCCGATCGTCTGCGCGAGCTACGGGAGCAGATGGACGGTGAACCAGACACCGAGGATTTCCAGGAGCAAGCTCGCCGGAATCTGGATACTAGCGCCCTGGGATCTGTCCATCGGAAGAGGAGCCATGTTCCAGGAATGGAGACCGCTGATGGTCAAGTCAAGCCACTGGACAGAGACGGAGCACTCCTTGTCGACATTGGACGGCCTCGGATGGATCCCGAACAAGCAACCGGTTTGCTTGGAGAGATCGCTTCGAAGGTTCCCAAGATCGATGCCGAAGAAAGCGATGCGGAGACTCCTACTACCGGACCCCAAATCGCGAATGATGAAGCCCAGACCATTGAAGAAGCCAAGCTCGAAAGCGAGAGTAAGAAACCTGTATCGGCTCCTGCACCACCACCTCCACCACCACCACCGCCTCCTCCTCCTCCTCCTCCTCCTCCGCCCCCAGGCGCAATAGGTGTCCCGCCCCCTCCTCCACCCCCACCACCCCCTCCACCTCCAGGAGGAAAGGGCATGGGGGTTCCGCCTCCACCTCCTCCTCCGCCTCCTCCCCCTGGCTTCGGTGGGGGCATGCCTCCGCCCCCTCCTCCACCTCCCCCCCCTGGCTTTGGTGGAGGAATGCCTCCGCCGCCCCCGCCGCCACCCGGGCGGTTCGGGGCTCCTCCTCCACCTCCGCCGCCTGGTGGTGCAGGAGGCTGGCGAGCAAACTATATGGCTTCGCAATCGGCACCGACTCACCCAACTTCTGTCTTGTCATCGATCAGACCTAAGAAGAAGCTTAAGGCTCTTCACTGGGACAAGGTTGATGCTCCACAGGTAACTGTATGGGCCTCCCATGACCCGACTCCTCAAGCGAAAGAACAGAAATATAGCGAGTTGGCGAAGAGGGGTGTGTTAGATGAAGTCGAGCGATTGTTCATGGCGAAGGAAACCAAGATCTTCGGAGCCGGCTCCGGGACCAAGCAACGCAAAGACAAGAAACAAATCATCTCGAATGATCTTTCAAAGAACTTCCAGATTGCAATGTCTAAATTCTCCCAACTGCCTGCTGAGGATGTCGTGCGCATGATCATCCATTGCGACCCAGAGATCTTGGACAACATGGTCGTCATGGATTTCTTACAGAGGGAAGAAATGTGCACGATTCCCGAAAATGTCTCCAAACTCATGGCCCCGTATAGCAAGGACTGGACTGGTCCCGATGCTGCCACGTCCGAGCGTGAGCAAGACCCTGCGGAGATTACCCGTGAAGATCAGATCTATCTCTACACTGCATTCGAGCTGAACCATTACTGGAAAGCGAGAATGCGGGCTCTTGCCTTGACGCGCTCCTTTGAACCGGACTACGAGCACATTTCGACCAAGCTTCGCGAGATTGTGAGGGTCAGTGAGTCTTTGAGAGACTCTGTCTCCTTGATGAACGTGCTTGGCTTAATCCTGGACATCGGTAATTTCATGAACGACGCCAACAAGCAGGCTCAGGGTTTCAAGCTGAGCTCGCTTGCGCGCCTTGGCATGGTCAAGGATGACAAGAACGAGACTACTTTCGCAGATCTCGTCGAGCGTATTGTTCGCAATCAATATCCCGAATGGGAAGGGTTTGTCGATGAGATCAATGGCGTCGTTGGTATCCAGAAACTCAACGTTGACCAACTGCGGACCGACGCTAAGAAATACATCGACAATATCAAGAATGTGCAGGCAAGTTTGGACGCGGGCAATCTCAGCGATCCGAAGAAGTTCCATCCCCAGGATCGTGTAAGTCAGATCGTTCAACGCAGCATGAAAGAGGCCCGAAGAAAGGCCGAGCAGATGCAGCTGTACCTCGAGGAGATGGTCAAGACATATGATGATATCATGGTCTTCTATGGCGAAGATAATACGGATGAGGGCGCTCGACGAGACTTCTTTGCGAAGCTGGCCACATTCTTGATGGAGTGGAAGGTAGGTTTCACCTTGACTTTTCCTATTTTCTTTGTCATTGCTCCCTGGGCTCGATCAAATGGCTAATCGCTATACAGAAATCGAAAGAGAAGAACGTCACTCTCGAAGAAGCCAGAAAACGCACAGAGGCTTCTTTGGCCCGTAAACGTATCAATGCCGGCCTTGCTAACAGTGCTGGCACTAGCGAAGCACCGCAGTCTCCTGCTACGAGCGGTGCCATGGATTCCCTGCTGGAGAAGTTACGTGCTGCCGCTCCTCAAGCTAGAGACCAGCGTGATCGTCGTCGGCGTGCTAGGTTGAAGGAGCGTCACCAGGTCCGCGTCGCTTCAGGTCAGCAGATGCCGGACATCGCTGCAACTGAAGCTGCGAATGGTGACGAAAACGCAGACAATAGCGCCACCGCCGCTGCGGACAGCAACAATGATCCCAGCAACGCAGAGTCCGGACTGCTGAGCCCGCCTGGCCAGGAGATGAACGTAGACACCCGCGCGAAAGAGACGCAGGTTTCCGAGGGCGAAGACGTTGCAGACCGCGCCGCAAGCATGCTGCAAGGTCTACGAGACAACATGGAAGGCGGAGATCGCAATCGCAGGAGAAGAGAGAGTGCTGAGGAAGAACGCCGAAAACGCAGATTGAGGAGACGAAATGGAGGGAGTGTTAGCAAAGACGCCGGCGACGGTTCGACTTTGTCAACTGTCCCAGAGCCGAGCACGCCTCCCGTCACACAATCCACGGCTCTAAATGAGACTGGGATGGTCAGCCCTCCATACGAGGAAGACGCATCCTCGCAGCCACCCCAGACTCCGGTTATCGTTGTCTCGCCGAATGCCGATCTACAATATCGGTCTCCTGGAGATGAAGAATCTCTTAGGGGCTCGCCTGGGAGTCGGCCTATGCATTAATCGGGCTGACTATATCATCTCATTTTCTGCTTCCTTGCCATCTTTTGGCTCTCCTAAAAAACGGCCCCAATCATTTTTTTTTCTAATATAATGTTTGATTGATAGACTACATGATGTCGTCTCCGAAACATTGCCCCATGTCTTTCAGTGTATAATATCCCTGGCTATTGTCCGCCTTTCACTTTGTTCCCCATTTCCTTTTTCACCACTTTGAACACCCGACCTTCTTCATCCTCTGGTGCCACCATTACTCTTTTATTTTTTACGATCATTCTGTTCTGTCTCCAGCATACTTTCATTGTGAATTGTTTCTGAAGTTCCCTTTCCAGAGTACATCGTCCCAACTTCCTGTCCATCCCCAATCTCGGGTTCCTTTAATCGTTCCTATCTTCTCTGCATATCTCTCTCAGAATCTTCTCCTTACCTTTTTTTATTTGTACATAATCTCGTCATATTGTTTTCTGGCTGCGCACAACGAGTCTCCAACGGCCAGTTCTTCCTGTTTCTTCCCCAGCACGATTTCTGGACCCTTGTTGCATTTCTTTTGCGGTGGATCATGGAGCATGGGTTGTCTGGCGTATGGCTCGGCGTCATTCGGCGCGCAGGCGTGGCGAATTCATGCAAGTGCTGTGTCGTTGAAATAAAGTGGATATTCCCCATGCATCTGTTGGTCTTCTGGAGGTTTCCTCTGATTGTTCTACATGTAGCCTGTTCCGATGATGTTCATAGACCACGGTCCCTTCGTGCAAGATTCGATGGCTTGGTATGTAGTTAGATAGGTCAAATGGCTACGCGCGCAACATATCTGGATTTCAGCTTGTAGTCCATGGAGATAGCTTCTCTGCTTGGTATATAGTTGCTATCAACTGGTTGTACTCGTGCTTTTAAATGTATGATCACGTGCCTTGTTATCGGGAAGTGATTGATAACCAGCACCGAATATCTTCGACTCCATCAGCTCTCAGCTCACCTAATTCATATTTTGCAAGCTCTCCGCGTGCGCATGCAAGCATCTGCCTTTCGAAGTCTGCGACGGGCTATCCCCTTTTGCCCGTCATGGAGCAGACAGATCGGTGCGCTGACTTTGAGCGCTAGAGCTTCTGTCTTGACCAGCTCTCAGCTGCTGCCGCGGAGTTTATCCAATGCACGCCAAAGCTTCTCTACTTCACCACGCTTTCGATTCTCTTTGGAGACTGACTCCACGATATATGCATTATCAACTGCTCCCGGTCGGGCCGCTATAGCAGTTGTGCGATTGTCAGGACCCGCATGTGTGCAGGTAGGCTCAAAATAATCTTTCCGTCGATGCTCGGTGGCATTCATATGCTGACTGTCCAGTAGGTCTATCACGCCCTTTGTCCCAATGCGCGTCTCCCTCGTCCTCGCATTGCGGCTGTGCGCACCGTCTACGATCCGACACAAAAGCCCTCAGCCAACACGGTTCTCGATACAGGAGCCCTTGTGCTGTATTTTCCTGGACCCAAGACCGTCACAGGCGAGGACGTGCTCGAATTTCACCTGCACGGCGGACCGGCTATCGTCAGATCTGTCTTAGCGGCTATCGCCCGCACGAGCCGACCGGATGAGAGTCTCGTGCGCTATGCGGAACCCGGTGAATTTACTCGGCGAGCGTTTATGAATAACCGGCTGGGGCTGCCGCAGATCGAGGCGTTGGGGGATACCTTGACTGCTGACACAGAGCAGCAGCGACGTCTTGCTGTGCGGGGCGCGAGCGATGCGCTTTCCAAGCGCTATGAACTGTGGCGTCAGCAGCTACTCTATGCGCGCGGGGAGCTGGAGGCGTTGATTGATTTCTCCGAGGACCAGCATTTTGACGAGTCTCCGGTGGAGTTGATCAGCTCTGTTGCCGTGCAGGTCCGGGCGCTGCAGGCGCAGCTCAAACTGCATGTGGAGAATGCGTCGAAGGGTGAACTTCTGCGTAATGGCATCAAGATTGCCTTGCTGGGTGCTCCCAATGCAGGCAAGAGCTCGCTTTTGAACCGGGTTGTGGGCAAAGAAGCCGCCATTGTCAGTACTGAGGAGGGAACTACGCGAGACATCGTAGATGTCGGAGTGGACGTTGGTGGGTGGTACTGCAAGCTCGGTGACATGGCTGGCATACGCTCGGAGAATAGCAGCCAAAGAACGGTGGTTATTGGAGCAGTCGAGAAGGAAGGCATTCGGCGTGCCCGAGCCAGGGCTTTGGAGTCGGACGTGATTGTCGTTGTTCTGTCCCTAGAAGAAGGCGCCAATGGTTCGCCTTACCGCTTGTCTGTCGAGCAGGAAGTCGTCGATGCTGTCAGCGACTGTGTGCAAGCTGGGAAGTGTATCGTGGTGGCAATCAACAAATGCGATCGTCTGCCAGTAGCGGACCGATTGGGCCAACCACTCCACGATTTGAGAGAAAGGATACGGACGCTCTTCCCAGCTGTGCCGGAGAAGCGGATATTCAGCATCTCCTGTCAGGAAGCTACACAAGGAGTTTCGTTGGCGCAAGCGGATCCAGGGAACCTGCAGGGATTTATGCGAGGCCTTATCTCAACATTTGAAGAGATTGCGTCCCCAACGGGACTTGAAGGGGATGAAAATGGACAATATGATATTTCTTACTGGGAGGATTCATTAGGAGTGACCCATCGCCAAAGCTCTAATTTACAAAGATGCCTGCAACACCTGGATGATTTCCTGAACCAAACCCGACAATCCCAAACGCCCCAAATCCTCGGCTATGCTCAAGATAAAACTATCGAAGAGGAAGTGGATATCGTGATGGCGGCCGAGCACCTGCGCTTCGCCGCAGATGCGCTCGCAAAGATCACCGGCCAAGGCGAGAGTGGAGACGTGGAGGACGTCTTGGGCGTTGTGTTCGAAAAGTAGGCATCCTTGTGCGTTTGCGAAATTGTGTTCTTGTAGCTGACTTTGAATCTCCTTCTAGGTTCTGTGTTGGGAAATGATGTGCCAGATGTGATTCTCGATCTTGCATTTCTTGACTACTGGTTCGCTGCATGATTTCCCTTGGGTATGCGAATTCCCCAGTCCACAGCCCGTACCCCAGACATTCCCCTCTGCAACAGCTCATCATGGTCAGGCGAGGATACAGCTCAGCACAGTCGATTCAGTGCTATCCGAAGGTCTGTTTTCCAGACAGCGTTTAATCTTCGTCGCTGTGTACGTCGTTGTATCCGCCGCGGCCTTGCATAGATGGCTGGTCGAGCAGATCGCCTGCGCAGGCGAAGCGGGTTACTGGTTGGGAGGGCTCGGTGGACTGGGTGGGAGCGTTGTATCCGCCTCTTCCCATTGACGGGAGCTTCGTCAAGGAAGGGAGGAGATCGTTTTCAAGGGTTCAATATTCTATCCTGTCTCGCGTGTGTGTTCTCGCGACGGATAGTGGTCTTGGTCTGATATGTGCCGGTCAAATGGGCGGAAGGCTGGTATGGTATGGATGAGTGGACTGACTCGAATTGCTCGAGGCACACAAACGATGCGATTCTATCAACTGGATTCAATGGATTGATCGTATTCTATGCCAAACAAACTACAGTATAGTGAAGCTAGCCTATATATACCCTCCCAAGTCGAATATATGTCTGCCTCATGACACTAGGAGTCCAGGCACCCACGGGGCAGAAATGAGCAATCGTGAAGAGATGACTAACTTTCTCCTGCCGATGCCTGGATTCTATTTTTACGTGTCCTTTCTTTTTTTTTAATTACAGAAATCCTCTTCTCTTGGATTGTCGTCTTTTCATGGATATTTCATGACGATTCTTTGCATGACTCTTTTGGACTCAAGATAAGATCAGCCAAGTATGGTTTGGCTGGCCTAAGTGTAATAATAATACGACTATCCCGTAGATGGAACCCGATTTCTAATCTTCATCTATTTCCCCTTCCTAGTTCTATTCTTAATCTTCTATTTTACAAAGCTGCTTAGAAACATATGTTCGGCTTCATTTTGTTTCCGTCTGGTTTCTTCGGCAAGATGCCTCCCATCGGACGAAATAGAACGTCCTAGGTTCGTCACCTCCGTACTGTCTGCATCGCGAAGCCCTCTTTTCAGGATGAGCGTAGCATAAAGTAGTATCTCTTCTTCAACTGTCGATTCTCTCGTAAGGGGCCGTATGGCTTGTAACATGTCGTCTTCGCCGATGTTGATATCGCAATGTATGTACATCTGTACCTAATACCCTCTGGGGAAATCAATCCCTAGCGTTTCGTTGTGTATACTCTACTCTATTCTGTAGTGAAGCAGGTTTAGGGCTTAGAATACCTGACCGTTTGACTCACTTGTGAAAAAAGACTATCATCTGACTATTCCTGAAGCACTGAACGGGGTTTAACACAGGATTCTACAGGCATCGACGGATCCTACTGGTAGCCGTTATTTAGGCGAGCGGCCTATACATAAGCGTTGTTTTCCAGACATCACGACTACCTCAACTGAGTCCACCGGAATTGAGTTACGATCTGTGGTAGGTTAATTCTCTTGAGGCTGGGTTTCATCATTTGGATCCACGCTTGGTGCAAGATGGCTTTCGGGAATGGTTTCAGCTGTCGTGTGAAGAGTCTATGACTGCGAGGCAGACTGTGGCTTATGGCTTTGAGTCATAGTGACCAACCCTCAGCTGCTCTGTATACTCAATGATATCAGTCCCTGTTCTGGTCTTCAGCACGATACGGTCATGGAGAATTGATGATGATCACTCTCTACTATAGAAGATGGAGAACTTGGAGGTGATCATCCTCCTCCTCCTCTGGCGGTTCAATGTATATATATCCTCTCATATCCCGACATTTCATTAATATTGCTGCTTCTCGTGGGTATGTGTAGCTGAACGCCCACAGTATTAATAATAATAATAATAAGAGAAAAAAAAACTTTATCTCGAAGAAAAAATCCAGCTGTGAACAGCTCATTCGCTGATATGGAGTTGAATTACTATATCAAAATCTTGTAATTGTACGAGTATTCTACCGACAATCCCATCACTCTTGAACACTCTCAAATGGGATATTCCAACTGATCCATACGACGCAACTGTCTTTGAAGACCGAAGACAACCGAGTAAGGCCCTGAGCTCCAACTTGTTAACGAAGATTTAGAAATACACAAACTCGATGACCTCCGAAACTGATGTCATCGGCCAAAGCGACTGTTCCAGCGCGACAAGTTACACCCGCTGCGAGATGAACCGCCGTAGTTTTGCCAGAGATTGAGGCATCTGTAGTAGATGATCGCAATCTGGACTCGTCTCCACATGCTGGTAGAGTGCCGACAAGAACCGGAACGTACGCCTGCATCCGGGACAAAAGAATGGAGAATATTGTTCTCGGTTCTGGGTGTACTTGCGAGCTTGGTAGCATTCAAACGCCAGGTCATTGATCTTATTGAGATCCACGCCTCTCATGCAGTTCCCTGCCTCCAGATGAATGAGCATAGCCGAGAATGACCCGAACGCTCGATAGCAACCGAAGCATTCCTCGTCGCGAGGGTCGTGGGAGCGTTGATGCTGTTGCCGTTAGACTAGAGGAGAACAGCTGCTATCCAAGGGGTACGGAAACCAACCATACGGCGGCTGTTCTGGCTAGAGAAGTATCGATCGCACTTGTTGCACCAGTTATGGCACTGCACGTCATGCTGGCCTAGCTCGTATGCCGATGCGAAATATTGCTCGCATGGCTCGCACAAGCAATGCTGATCATCCAGATGTTCCTCAAGGTCATGCCGCGAGGGAAAGTCAACCTCGAATTCACAGAGATGGCAGATATTATGTCGATGTGAATTCCTCAGGTGATCACGCTTGGATGCTTCAGAGACAAATACACGATCGCACCGCGCACACCAGCAATGGTCCCATCGATAATGGTCTTGCGCTTGGCTCAGTAAGTCAAACTGACTCTGACAGGTGCTGCAGGAATATTGAGGGGCAGGTAGATATGAAGTCTCTGGATCACCAACAACATAGTGACCTAATTGAAGCATCTTCTCCAGGAAGCTGTTCTTTGGAGTGCTTGGGGCATTTATGAAGGAGAGAAGACAACATTGAAGTTATGTACTCCACAACTTAATCAACGGAGACTTGGAGAGTAGACTAGTTAATGGCTAATAATACCTAAAGATTGATCTGCTTGGCAAGCAGGGGATGGGTCAGATGCTCTAAAACTTTAGCACAGCACTAGACCGTTTACTCTAATATATTATATATTATTGGTGCTACCTCGATATCTTAGGGGGTCACCTGACAACGACATCAAGAACAATTCATGTCCCAAAAGGCCTCGTTGAAAGTGATATATACGAGTCATCATTCATCAGTGCTTTAACTTTCAGGGGCAGTGTATACGGAAGACGAGGACTCTGAATCCGTGTCACTCGCGAGGTCTCCAGCGCTGTTCACTGCGTCAAATGTGGTTACAAAAGACGTGAACCGTGGATTGGGAGACCTTGAAGTCGGTCCGCCAGTCGGTTCCGGTGCAAGCACTTCGACTTCGGCCTCCCTTTTATGAACAGCGGAGACCGGGGTGCCTCTCCAATACGGCATAGAGTAGAAAGATGGCGGAAAACCACCGTCAGATTGAGCGCCAACCGGCTCAAAACTTATCATCTGGGATGAGTCTCCCGGATTCCCAATCCTTCCCGAGTCGAGAGCTCCCCCCCGGCGCATATGCTCTGGAGTAGCGGACCGACTCGCAGGGAGCCCTTGCTCGAGTGTAACAGGCAACTCTTGCGGAGCTACAGCCGAGATCGCTGTGCTAGAGTGTGTTGGTTGAGCTTGTACATGTATTGAAGGGACGCCTGGGGTATCATTACATGTCCCTACTATAGGTTGGGTCCCCTGGAAGGTCATATTTTGAGTCTGTCCTTCGAGTTGCGTGCCATCCCGGTGCAACAAGCCCCGGATCTGTTCCTTCTGCTCCTCGGAGATACCTGCATGAGGTGCGAAGCCGATTCGAGAGGCGTCCTGGCCAAACTCCGTCCCGTCGCTGGCCGACACGGGTCCGTGCGAAAGTAGCAGGGCAAGAATATCAGGATGTGCATTATACGCGGCATAATGATGGGGTTGCCATCCAAACCCGTCTTTCTTCACAACAGAGGCGCCATGTTGAAGCAGTAGCGATACTACTGGGAGATGTCCTCCCATTGCTGCTAGGCACAGCGGAGAATCTTCCTGCGATTTATCGCCGAACTTCAAGTATAAGGGACAACCTCGACCAAGGAGATTTTGGACTGCTGCAGCATGGCCATACCGACAGGCTACCCCGAGAGCCCGGTCGCCCATAGAGTCTCTAGCTTCCAGGGAGGCTCCTTTGTCAATCAGAAGGTTGAGCAAACCCATGGACCCGTGAGCAGCCGCGATATGAACGGGCCTTCGTTGGTCCGTATCTGTCTGAGCCTCGACATCCGCATCGCTGATCAGTAGCAATCGGACGATCTCGAGATTGTTCGCTAAGCAAGCGTAATGTAAAGGGGTAAGGCCATCCAAGCATCGCGTCTCCACTGGTATGGACATGCGCAAGAGTGACTCTACCACAGCAAAACGGGAATTCATAGCCGCAAGGTGCAGCGCTGTACGCCCTAGTTTATTGCACTCGGCTAGCGCACCTTTCTTCCTGCTCAAGAGCTCCACAACTTCGGTGTGTCCATTGAACGCAGCCCAGTGCAAAGCAGTCATAGAAGCATCGTCACCAGAGCGAACTGATGCTTTGCGCTTCAGAAGCTCTTGTGTTGCCGCAAATCTTCCCATTGCTGCGGCGCAGATGAGCGGTGTCCTTCGATCACTCCCCAGCGCGTCGATAGTAGCTTTACCGTCCAGAAGGAGTCGGATCGCGCCGAGGTGACCCTCTTCGCACGCATAATGCAAGGCCGTCATCATGGCTCCGTCTTTCGCTTCTATATCTGCACCACATGCGATTAAAAGCTCTATGATTGCTTCATCACCCCGCTTTGCGGCCGTATGAAGGGCTGTCATATGGTTGTCTGCTCGAACGTTCACCCTGGCGTGGTTGGCGATCAACAAGCGCAAGGCTTCAAGCTGCCCTCGATGAGCCGCTACCCAGAGGGCTGTTCTGCCATGGGCATCGCATACTTCGGTCATTGAATGCTCAAGGAGTAGTCGAAGAACATTGCAATGACCGCGAGATGCAGCTAAGTGGAGGGCCGTCGAGCCCCCAGCATCCACGACATCGAGTCTTGCTCTCTTTTGGATCAACAAATCAACCACCGACTCATGCCCGCAATGCGCTGCCACTAATAATGCGGTTCTACGGGTGCTAAAATGCCGACTATCAACTCCATGGCCACTTTCTATGAGCATCTCAACGTCTGGTCGACTTCCTGACTGGGCTAACTTCACAATCATGGGAGCTGCTGCTCCTTCTGGGGATGCGAGGTCAATGCTCGGCTCAAGGTCCTTCTTACTCATTGCACGTGTCGTCTTCGATGCCGTCAAGCTTCTAGCTGGAGATGATAGAGCCGATGATGTCAGATTGCTTCGGCTAAATCTCCGAAGCATTGATCGAACGACACTTCCACGCTTGGATCCCAGCGGGGATTGGGGGCTTAAAGGTGGATTCGTACTCGAATGGGATCTTTGAACTTGCGTTTGACTCAATTGGCGGCCAGGTGCGCTCCCATATGTCATGCTTTTGCTATGTCCATTCCCCAGAATCATAGAGTTGTAAGAACGAATCGGCAGTGAAACGCTATTCGTCTGAGACAAGCTGGGACTGGCTGTGGCTCCACTTGCGTATCCTTCATCTGTATCCCTTTCATAGTCGCCTTTCTGGCTTGCAGATGACCAACTTTCGGATTTCGAGCGGAGGTGCGGGAGTGGTCGATGGAATGAGGGAGATTCTGCAAATGTTCTGTCCACATCAGCGGCAGCTTGGCTGATAGAGGGCTGATAAAAGCTCCAATTTGAACTGAGTACACGGGAACCTGCATAGCTGGAACCTCGAAGAGTGGCTGTATCATATGCGACTTTTTGAATAATCTGGCGGTTTTCCGCTCTCCGTAACAGCTCAACTTGTTCAGATGACGATCGACTGTAGCGGCTTTAGCAAATCCTCATGAAAGAATGCTCCCAGGGTATTTCACCATTGGCACGCCTGTAGGAGCAACTGCAACGCTACAACCTGCGCATGAAGTCGTTCCTGGTGACCTCGCATCACGTCTTCATTCCATATGACCTTGACACGAGCTCGGAAGCCGATCACAGTGGCTTGTCCTGTGACGGTCTGAGTGAGGGACGTCACCTCATCCCCAAGATGCTCCATGACCGCCCGGCAGCCATCGAGTGCAACATTTAATCCCTCAATATACTCCTCGGACTCTGTTGTATCGCGGACGTTGAATCGGGCCCAATCCTCCAAGTGAGTTACCGCAGATTTGATGGTCGCCAGCTCTCCGATGAGACATTGAATGGTGAGGTCGGCATTATCGAATTTCCCCTTTAGCTTGGACAGCCCTATAGCCGTCTGAGAAATAACCTGCGTGATCTGAAGAACTCCTGAGATTGCACCAATCCAGGAGAAAGGATCCATTGAAATGGTGTGCGTTTTGCGAGACTCAATTATATTATTGATGGAGACTTCGGCTGCAGATGCAGAGGTTGACAACAGACCGGTAAGAAGACGAGACTGGGATGCTGAAGTTGGAGGAGCTCTCTTTCAGGTTCGATAGTAATGGAAGACAGGCATCAGAAGATGAAATAATGAAAGGATGCGATGAAAAGATTCGAGCTCCCAAGCTCCAGTGTTGAACTGCGAGGCTGTAGATTGACCGACATGGGCAAGGCTGGAAATGAAAACCCTCGTGTTGATTCTTGTCAATCTTGATTTGTTCCTGCTAGTGCTGTAAGGAAGGAGAGTAAGCAAGCAGGTGAATTTCCCCTCCTTGACACTGCCACAATCCTCCCAGTCGATCTCATCTGGATCGATAAGAGCAGTCAAGAATAAGACCCAGCTCAGTATCTAGCGGGGATTCTTTGTTGTGTAGCTAGATATGTGATGGTGCATAACAACCTACAAATAAGCAGGTTACCTCTAACTATACTTTGGATAGCATAACAAGAAGGACTGGGGGGTGGTACAGCTTCATGCCTAACCCGGAAAGACTGAAGCTATACAAAACCCACTCGAGTCTTCAATATCAAACCAATCACAGCATTCTTTGACAATCACGGACAAGATAAGTAGTATGTCTTAGATTCAGTTGGATCTCTCTTATGATCAGGACACGTTCCGAGGATGGATGTTCAAACGCAATCAATGACTTTAAAAGGTCACATACATCCCAACACCCCGAGCATGTTCATCCGGCATAAGCTAGGTGAGCTTCCCATGGCTATGATGACTGCAGTAGTCAAAAATTCGAAGCAACTGGACACATTATCAAATGAATGGGGAGGGCAGACATCGAGTTTCCTTGATCCTGGAGCTCTATACTTATACTGGACGACATTGACATGAAAGATTTTGGGATTTCCCGCCAAAAATTCCGCCAAAAGATCTTGCTTTCAAATGAAAGCAGAGGCTTGATTGATCGTTGAATATAATAATCACGGCATCAAGTTTAAGAATCCAAGACGATGAGTCAAGATACCATCCGTTGCCGGAGTCATGTCTTTTAAATGTCCGGCGGGGTCCTCTTTGACTCACCCCACGGTTCACCGAGATCCGGACCTGAATTCTTTCTCTTTGCAAACAAATTGTTCAATTGATCGCTGTTGAAGCAGACACAGTAACAATGCCTTCCAGACAAGAAGTCGCCTACTTTGGAGCCGGTCCGGCTCCCCTCCCCACCTCTGTCGTCGAAGCTGGCGCAAAGGCCTTCGTCAACTACAACGATTGCGGACTCGGACTCGGAGAAATCTCGCATCGTTCGCCCACTGCGAACAAGATCCTTGAGGATACCAAGGCAGCCCTGGCAACCCTCCTGGATATTCCCGATGACTACGAAATCCTTTTCATGCAGGGTGGTGGAAGCGGACAATTCAGCTCCGTTGTGCAGAACCTTGTGGGAGTCTGGATCGAACGCAGACGGCAGCGCGCAGAGGCAGAGATCTCGGCCAGCGAACAGAAGGATGAGCTGGTCTTTGAGAGATTACAAAAGGAAGTCCAGGAGGAGCTGAAGATGGATTATCTGGTGACAGGATCGTGGTCGTTGAAGGCAGCACAGGAGGCCACCAGACTGGTGGGCGCAAAGCATGTGAATATCGCCTTCGATGCGAGAACCGCAAACAATGGAAAATTTGGCAAGATCCCAGCCGAGGAGACTTGGTCTCTCGCGCCCAGCAAGGATTCGGCCTTTGTCTACTTCTGTGACAATGAGACGGTTGATGGGGTCGAGTTCCCCAGCTTCCCTAAGGTCCTGGAGTCGGATGATCGAATCGTCGTTGCAGACATGAGCTCCAACTTTCTCAGCCGAAAGGTTGATGTGAATAAATACTCGGTGATCTTTGTACGTCGCTTTCCTTCATCTATCTACGGACGCATATTTTCCCGAAGCCTGAGCTGACAGAACAACAGGGTGGTGCCCAGAAGAACATCGGTATCGCTGGTATCTCCATTGTCATCATCAAGAAGTCACTTCTGCCTCCTCAGACACCCACACCAGCTCCCGCTCTCCTTCACCGATTGAACATCAGCGGACTCCCAGGAACCATCGTTCTTGACTATGCGATCATCGCCAAGAACAACTCCCTGTACAACACACTTCCCATTTTCAATCTGTGGATCGCTGGCAAGGTCATGACCGAACTCGTCGAGACATACGGCACTCAGAAGATTAACGGTCAGGAGGAAGTCTCGGATCGCAAGGCCGAGATCCTCTATGCTATCCTGGATAACTACCCCCAGGTCTACCGCGTGGTTCCAGATAAGAGCGTTCGCAGCCGCATGAACATCTGCTTCCGTGTGTATAACGGCGATGCCGAGAAGGAGAAGGAATTCCTGGCCGGAGCTGAGAAACGTCTCCTCCAGGGATTGAAGGGACACCGCAGTGTGGGTGGCATTCGGGCCAGCAATTACAACGCGGTCCCACTGGAGAACGTGGAGAAGCTGGCAAAGTACCTCGAAGATTATGCCTCCAGCAATTAGGAGCCGCTTTGAGGGCTATGAAATTTCGTTAATGTGAAAAGTCTCGTTTGTACGCAACCTACCCGATTGTTCCAGGTTTATTCAACATAGCGCCCCGATTTACACATATGGTATTTACAGATCAGGAATCAAGAAATTATATGGTTCATAGGTAGTTGGTAGCTATCAAAGCTTCCATACCGCCCAATCTTTCAACTCAAGTGCTTTGATAACTCCTTGAAGAGGCCCCTGTAGTTCCATTCCTTGTGCCCAGAGCTTTGGTCCTGCCATGTAGCTAATAAATCCTTCTGGCCCTGACACAAGAATTATTTTGCCTCCTGGAGAACCCTTCGATGGGGCAGAGTCAGTGAAACTTGAGATGATTTTTCCCCCAATAAACGAATTCTCCTCGTCAATAAAGTAGTTCACAGTAATCTGCCCCGGATATTGGGCTTTAAGGGCCTCAAGCTCCCGGACCATGAGCGAAGTTGCAGCAGGAATGCGTGGCAAATCTACGGGTGGAGGGCTGGGTTTGGAAGATCCGAACAGACCAGAAAACCAGGACCTCCGTTGTGTCTCATCCGTTGGTAAAGTATCACTGACACCCCCAAGACAGTCATCGCGTCTTCGATTCGCCCACAAGATGTGTATGTGAGGTTTTTGGGCTAGGTCTTTCCGGTGGAGAAGGGTGTATCCGGCTTGCAGAGCAGGAGCGATTCCCGTCCCACCGGCAATGAACAGAATCTGCCGAGTGTCCGCAGGAATCTCGCACTCAATCCGTGGCCCACGGACCTCAATGGAGGATCCCAAATCAAGCGCATGCAGATACCGCGAGACTTCACCAAAGGGGTCCTTGCGGATGAAGAACCGGAGGGAGCCATCCTCCTCGCTGTCCGGTGATGATGGCGGGAGGGGTGTATAATCTCTTCCAATCTGCAATTGCGGTTGCTTGAACATGACACTCCATACCCCAGTCTTCCATGCTTCCTCGTACACCTCGCAATTGTCTTCTGGGTGGGCTGGCTTCAGAGTGAAGATGCTGCCATTCGACGATACCGGTTCCCTTGCAACTAGGCGGTATTTGGTGAAAGTGACTGGATTCAGGGTCGCAGATTCTGGACCCCTTTGCGATCTGATATATGCCCCAATTCCTGCCGCTGTCGCGGTCACGACGGCCAGTCGAAGCCAGAGACGCTGTTTGGGCGGAGAAGATGCGGAGGAAGAGGGTGAGGAAGATGAGATGACATAACGGCGACCAGCTGCTTTCCCCGCGAGCGTAGGTGGCGGATTGAACAGATGTCCCCCGTAAGGTGATATCCTGGGCTTCATGGGTATATGATTTAGGAGGCGGACTCACACGAACTCCCGATGAAGGACGATCGAGTCTTCTGCTAGATGATATCAATTCTAAAAATGCCCTTTGACCTGACGCTAAACCGGATCAGGCATCCATGAGGGACCCCTTGTCGGGGATCATCATCGCTTTTTATTCTTTGACCTTTCAAGAACACAGTTCTGAATAAAGAATATCTCTATTCAAATGCCACTTCGTTGTGGCGTGATCCATTCTTTTAAATCGAATTGATGGTATCTCCGCCATTTTGCTGTTGACCAGACAGAACCTGTTCGTCTCTCCGTGTGTTTTGCGCTGGGATGGAGACACCTCCGGCTGCTCTTATTGACGACTTGCTTGAATAACCAGAATTGATTCATGAATATCTTCACGGCCGTCTTTTCTTAGAAATGTCTCGTATAATATTCTCTCAAGCAGATTCTCGCTCAGACGACCTTCATGCCCCTAGGGATTCACTAGAACTCGCCTCTCTTGCATCGTCTTCCCCCGAGTCTGTGGGCCCGTCCTCGGGTTCCCCCTCTCCCTCGGGCATTTCCTCCTCGCGCAAGCTATCTCTCGAGGACGAGGATCCTCTATCTGACTCTCACTTACACGCGAACCTTGAATCAGGACGACCGAGGTCGGCCCGCTCGTACTCCATCTCCTCCGCATTCGATTTCGGCAACGCCCTCTTCCCACTCTCACAGACGGCTGGAGGCTACGCTCCCATAGGGGCCCCCTCTGTACTCGATCGACAGGGAGCAGTTGCCGACGGCTCATTGGAACGAAATAAGACATTGACATATCTGAATGGTCTATCTTTAGTCGTTGGATTGATCATCGGTTCGGGGATTTTCTCGTCTCCGAGTCAGGTCAACGCCAATGCGGGGTCTCCTGGTGCGTCCCTGATCGCATGGGCAGTCGCGGGGTTGTTAGCATGGACCGGGGCTGCTAGCTATGCGGAGCTCGGTGGAGCTATCCCTCTCAATGGCGGTGCCCAGGTTTATCTCTCTAAAATATTTGGAGAGTTGTTCGGGTTTCTGTTCACATGGTGCGCCGTCCTAGTCCTCAAACCCGGAAGCGCGGCCATTATTGCGATTATTTTTGGCGAGTATGTCGCTCGAGCAGTGTTCGGAGCTGGTGCTGAGACAGCCAATCCCTGGATACACAAAGGAATCGCGTTTGGGGGCATGTTCCTGGTGACCGTGATGAATTGCCTATCGACGCGAGTCGCCGCGCGCATTGGAGACCTTTTCATGTTCTTCAAGTTCATCGCTTTGATAGCAGTCGCCGTTATCGGTATCGTTGTTGCCGTTACAGGATTTTCATCATCTGGGAGCGCAAGCGATGAGTGGAAGTCGGGTTGGTTCAAGGGCACGAATACCGATATCTCAGGGTGGGCTGTTGCGCTATACACCGGGCTCTGGGCTTTTGATGGCTGGGACAATGTAAGCCTCTTCCACCATAAGTTCTGAAACATCCGTCTCTTTCCTCAATCTGACCGCACATCCTCGCAGACGAACTATGTGACTGGCGAATTCAAAAATCCCAGTCGGGATCTCCCCCGGGTTATTCACACTGCGATGCCGTTGGTGATCCTGTCTTACATACTAGCCAACGTCTCGTACTTTTTAGTATTGCCTCATTCGACCATTGAGGCCAGTAATACAGTTGCTGTCCAGTTCGGCGACAAGGTCTTTGGCTCCGTGGGAGCGCTTGTTTTCGCCCTGGTGGTTTCTGCAAGCTGCTTCGGGGCACTCAATGCAACGGTTTTCACTAGTGGCAGGCTTGTGTACGCTGCTGGCAAGGAAGGTTACCTACCCTCAATATTCGGCAAATTATGGACTGGCCGGTCTAGTGGGATGGAAAGCAATCGTTTGCGTCGCCGGTCTTGGGTCAGCAAGTCCTTTTCTCGTATCTTCGGGGAGGGTACTTGCATTGGTTTTACGCCGATTAATGCGATGGCCTTGAACAGCGTCCTGACCTTGATTTATATTGCCATGGGCGAATTCAAGACCCTAGTCACCTTCTATGGCGTTGCAGGCTACACCTTCTACTTTCTCACGGTGCTGGGTCTAATTGTCCTTCGAGTTCGAGAGCCGTACCTGGAGCGTCCCTACAAGACATGGATCTCTACGCCAATCATCTTCTGCTGTGTCAGTCTCTTTCTCCTGAGCCGCGCGGTCATTGCCGAGCCGTTACAGACGTTAGTTGTGGTGGCGTTTATTCTTGCTGGAGTCCCCGTCTACTTCTTCCGCATCTACCAGCGTGATGGGAAGATCACGTTTCCAGGGTGGAAGTTTTGGCAAGCCAGTCGCCGTCGGTAGCAGTCAAGACCTGCCCCGGTTTAGATACAACGCTTTTCCTTTTTTCACAAGACTCCTCTAGGCGTGTGATGGCCCATGATGTCGCCGGGAGAAGATCGATACCTATGCACATAGTCCAGACATACGACCCTTAATCTTAAATTTTACGGAATCCTTTTATCGATTGTTGCATGGTCAGGGCAGGGAGATTGTTGGCCGTTGGCCTGAGGATCTCGACAATCATGTTTGTCGCTGACCCAATTCTTTGGGCATGAATCCCCTCGGCGTTCTGTGTTGGATTTCTTGGGCATTTACAGTCAGTCGATATGATCATATCATATAATTCTTAATTCAGCTTAAATGAACTTCATCAAGAAAGGCAATGCCTGGCAATCCCAGATCGTACGTTCAAGTTGCACAATAACCGTGCACGGGACAGCTTCTGGTCACCCTTTGCCTTGCCGACGAACCCCAGCCCAGCGCGGATCAGGCTTGAGGCATCTAAGCTTGAGTCATGGTTGCGATCATCCCATTCAACAAAATTTCCAGCAGGCGTACAAAAAAAGACGCAAGGATGTTGTCTTGCATGGCTTTCTAATTCTCAACTGGGCCAGCGCAGGCCAGACTACCACTATGACTGAGAATCAACTCAAAAGACAGCGTAGGCCCTCCATGAAGCTAATTTCCTGCGATCCATCGTTTGAAATTTTGCTTGTGTGAGGTCCCCCCAGCTCAACTAGTCCATGCCGGGCTATGTGCATTAACATCCAATGTATCTACATTTCCCCAATCTGAAGAACAATGCGAAGGAACACGGGAAGTTCGTGCTCAAGAGCTCAAGGTCAAGGATGAGTCGGGTCGCCGTTTTGCTCTCTGGGAATATGCAAAGAGATCAGAAAAGCCTTATATCTGTCCATGAACGGATGGTTGCCACCTCGAAAGGTGCTCAGCAGTACCAAAAAGTCTTCTGCCAGCGATTGTGTAGATGACATTGCCGTCATGTCCGATGAAATGCGCCCAGAAAAATCCCCAGACTCTGTGCCTCCCGGATGCGACAGGGAGTTAGCCGGTGATGTTGTCGAGCGTTCATCAAGAGGTGGCTGCACATGAGACGCGAGGCCAATGGCACTCACTGCAATGTTGTACAGTTTTTCGGCCTGTTTTCACTGGTAAATGGGTGAACGTGCGGGAATCCTCAATTGAGTTTACTCACCATTCCGATCCCATGAGCTTCCATCGAGCTCAGACGCAAAGACCGGCAGATCCGTAATGTATCCATAGCAATTGTGATGGCGTACTCGAAAGACATTTCATGGCGGTGTGGCATGGGGCTAAGGAGGCCGTGGGTAGAACACAGCACCCATAACCGGTTCTGTAGCCATTTCTTGGTGATAAATACATCCGCACATTGACTTTCCCGCATGGTAATAGTCGGTTGAGCGCTGTACGTGGCGCTTTGGGTGGATTTGGTGCGTTCGAACCAGTCGTAGCCCGTATGTCTCTCAGATTCGCTGACTTTGCCGAGGGTTTCATGAATAGACAAGACTTTTTCTTCGGTAAGCTTGCCGCAATAGCCTGAACTGACGCTGCATCGCTGATTCCAGCAGTCAACAACTTCCTCGTCAATCACATCGAACAACTCCATCAGACGGGCAAGACCAAGCATTCCTTCAGCATCCTTTTCGCTGTGAACTATGATACCAGACACAACGCTATGTGTGGCACTGTGGAAAAATTCATGAACTGACCGCATGCTAAAGCCGGGTCTTCCCCAGAAGGTAATTGTATGTCGATGCTGCAGTGCGTAGGCTCTTTTCCGCGTTAGTTAATATTTTGCGTCCTCATTCCGGTAAATGAAGTGGCGGAATGTGCATACCTCTCTGTGATCGATAAGACCAGATATGTCCGCAGGCGTTGGCCTTTTTCCTCACTAGGTAGATCCCGGTATAATTCGGGGTTATTAAATCCCATAGACGCTGCGAGATCTAACGCTTCTCGCAGCCGAAGCCACGCAGCGTTGTGTTGATTGCTGCCAAATAGGCAGCCGAAAAGGAAGAAGCTCGTAAGAACAGCATCGATGGTTGGATGTTCTCCAAAGTCAGAGCAGCTTCGCATCTTCGTTGCTTCATTCATCATTGACCGGGCCTGATCGGCTCGAGAAGAGGAGGTTGCCCGCTCGTCGATCTCAATAGGTTGCGTCAGGGAGAACGCGCACAATGATAATAGCATAGCACCGAACTGAGGATTTTGACGGTGCTCTTGAGACAGCATCCGGGTGAATAAAGACGACCTATTCAACACGGGTACCGTAGGGTGTAAACGTTCAAAATAGACTTCAATCCATGGAATCATGTTGGCCTCCGATATCGATGATGGCCATGATGTGTCCGGATGATCGGCACCTGTTTGCATAACGCTGAGGTTTGGTAGGGTCATGGTTGAGTCCACGTGATGCGGCGGCAGGCCAGGGGCATCCAGTTCTGGTTGAATTATTGATGGAAGCGAGGTTTTTAGATATATATTGCTCCCGGGAAAGTCGAACACTGGCACCTGTGCGTCGAGATTATCCGGCAGCCAATACTCAGCATTATTTCGCTCATTCCAGTTGAGCCCAGAACTCCCCGGAGATTCTACCGATGAAATGCTCGTGGCACTCCAGGACGGCCCAATTGGCGCAGTTGCACGAGGGCGTGCTAACCCCAATTGCACCTGGGTCTCATTGCCATGATGAGGATGCCAGTGGGCGGTTTCTGGAGCCGCCGTTACAGCTCCTGGCTGCCTCTCGTCCTGCGAGGAGATCGCTCCTTGATACGGAACGACATCAGGAGCTGGGCTCTGGCTGATTTGATCCTGGGAACTCTTGCTTAGCAACTGAGTGTGTTGTTGCTGCCGAATTTGTGATACACGTCTGTTTGTCCCGAAGCGAGGATGGGAGATGGCAGTGATTAGCCCAGATAATGATAGATAGGTCATATATGACATCCGAGCATAACTTTGCAATTGGTCAGAACTCACTGTCCAGTTGGTCCCCGCTTTTTCTGTGGTTGAAAGAATGTGCAATCAAAGCCCATCGACACACATGCCCTGCATGGTTGCGCTAGACTACACTGTATGGCACTAACAAGATTAGCATGATCTCCCTCTCTCAAAGGCAATCTTTCCCATGCCAGTCAAAATGATGTCCAAGAGAAAAGAAGATAGAAGCGAGAGGTGGGAAGAGGACTGGGGCGGTGTTGATATGGTGACTCGCTTTTATCTTGCGAAAGCGGCAGTTATCGCACGCTCTCTTAACCGACACTTTCTTCACAGCATCCACAGCAGTTGGATTCATAGTGACATGTTTATCTTTGGCAGTCGCATGCAAACAATGAGGGGTAACAGTCCGATGGCAGAGTAGCCGGTTAATAGTGCCGGTGGTCAAGCGAAGATCTCTATTCGCAAGCAACAAACAATCCGGCCATCCAAAGGAGAGTATATGAGCGATGAGAATGAGAGTGCCTATGGCTGATCATTCGTCAATATTTTAACTCAAGCCTTGGTTGTCAAGACCGTATCCCGAACCTCATGGCCCAAGAGTAATGGTTTAGGTTGACTGAAGTTGGACTTTACAAATCGTCGAAGAGTGTGGCAGCCATATGGATACCTGAATTTTACGGTGTTGAATGTGGATTCCTGAGGAACCTAAAATATAGCAACGACAATCCAAGCGCAATGTCTGTACTCTCTAGGTTCAAAAATTCACTAAAGTTCCGGTGTTTCATGTCTAAATATGTGGCTACTACTATCTAGATACTGAGCCATCAAACTTGAAGATTGAAATCTCAATCCCAGAATGAACAATCATATAACTCATCTCAATATATTGAAACTTGAAAGGTTATTATTATTCTCCAATTTGTGGGGTGATCCAAGGCTCCAAGGCTCCTCCAACTCTCCAACTACGGAGTATTACATACATTTCTCCACCCCCAAAACCCCAACCTAGGTACTCTATCTATCTACCTCTCTATCTATGAGCTGCCATTTTCCAATCAACAGACAGAACAGGTGTGATAGTCCGATAATGACCAGCTATCTAATTATTCAATATTTCCTATAGCCCCTGTCATAGATAAATATGGCTTTACTCCTTGTATGCAAGGCTGTAGTACCTGGATCTGTTCCCGCTGATGTTTGTTGAACACACTGACTATCCTCAGGCTTTGAAGCACAATGGTCAGGATCCAGGCATGGACAGAAACAGCAACCCGAAAACGTGCCTGGCGTGACCAAGCTCTCAGTCAGTATTTTATCAAGGATTTGGATCAGCGTCCTCCTCAGGTTCACAATGTCCATCACCGCAGCCGCCATGACGACCCCATCATCCAGGAGATAACGGACATTGATGGCGTTCCTGCGCTGCTTGAATGTTTGAGACAGGGCAAATATACTGCCGAGCAGGTTGTCTCGGCTTATATCAAAAGGTACGCAGCCGGAAGACTCATTGGCAGGAATAATAAGGATTGACTTGGGGCACTTGAATATATCAGAGCGGCAATCGCACATCAACTGGTGAGTCACAGTCGCTACCTTAGAGCATCAGTTTGAAACCTAATATCTGCCTCAAATTATCAGACCAATTGCATTACTGAAATTGTCTTTGATGATGCATTGGAAAAAGCAAGGCAACTGGATCGTTTCTGCAAGGAGACTGGCGAACTCAAAGGCCCGCTCCACGGCATCCCAATCACCCTCAAGGATCAGTTCAATATCAAAGGAATTGATTCAACTCTGGGTTACGTGGGACGGTCGTACTGTCCAGCTCAAGAAGATGCCGTTCTCGTCCAGATGTTAGAGAAAATGGGTGCCGTGATCATCGCGAAGACGAATCTACCACAAAGCATCTTGGTAGGTAGCTTGTAATGGAGTTGCTTCTGAGTACGCAAGACTGACCAATTAACAAGTGGGCCGAAACTGAGAACCCTCTCTGGGGCTTAACCGTCAATCCACGTAACCCTGTCTTCACCCCTGGTGGCTCCACGGGAGGCGAAGCTGCTCTGTTAGCACTTCATGGTTCGATTTTTGGGCTTGGTACAGACATTGGTGGAAGCATTAGGATCCCACAAAGCATCAATGGCTTGTATGGGTTCAAACCCAGCGTAAGTTCTTCAGTCTTTCATTAATTGCATTGAGGCGTTCAACCTATGATTAACCCTATACTAGAGTAGCAGGTTTCCCTACCACGGAGTGCCTGTCTCCACAGAGGGGCAAGAACATGTCCCCTCGTCAGTAGGCCCTATGGCTCGTGATTTAGCATCTATATGCTATGTCAGTCGATTGATTGCCAATGCTAAACCATGGGCGGTGGATCCTAAATGTGCCCCCCTTCTGTGGGATGAGACTAGCTTTCAAGAAATCCAATCTCGGCCTCTTGTTATTGGTCTAATCCTAGACGACGGGGTTGTAAAAGTGCATCCTCCCATTGAGAGAGCTCTCCAAAGATTATCCGCCGTGCTGGAAGCCAGCAACCACGAGATTGTTACCTGGGACGCATCTGACCATAACGAGTATATCAAACTCATGGATCAATATTATACAGCTGATGGCTGTGAAGATATTCGCCGCGACGTTGGCGTTGCCGGAGAGCCATATATCCCTCATGTGGAGGCTTTGATCAATCGCGGGAAGGCAATCTCAGTCTACGATTACTGGCAGCTCAACAAGCAAAAGTCAGTGCTACAGAAGAAGTATCTTGACAAGTGGAATGCCGTTGTATCTCCGACAGGAAGACCGATTGATGTGCTGCTGGCTCCAACACTACCGCATCCCGCTATTGCTCATCGCCATGTGCGCTGGGTAGGCTACACCAAGATCTGGAATCTGCTCGATTATCCTGCCATCACCTTCCCTGTGGATCAGGTGCGAGCCGACCAGGATGGACTGCCCAGTGAGCCGTATCAACCAAGGAACGACCTGGACGAGTGGAATTGGAATCTCTACGACCCAAAGACGATGGATGGGCACCCGATAAACTTGCAAATCATTGGAAAGAAACTAGAAGAGGAAAAAGTACTGGGGGCAGCGACGGTCATTGAGAATCTATGGAGAACGCTCAACTAAGCAATATGGCCGGTGTCTTTGACCTTCAAGCTGGGGAATCAAGTACGAATGCTATCAGACGCTCCTTATTCAAATATATTCACACAGGATCATTCCCTTGAGATAGATGGGGAGGGGATATACTGCAATGGCTCAATTAATAATGGAATGGATGGACAGTCTCTGGACTTTTATCCAAGTTATAATAACGCCCTAACACCATGTATATGCCTTTCAAAATCGGTTTTTTCTCCCCGACATCTATGCCTTTGGTGGCTCGAAGAGCTGAGGTTTCATGTTGATTTTGCAAAGCTTAGAAACACAACCGCTCAGTTGAAGGAGCGACTGCACACCATCGAGAATGCGCATATGAGTGAAGCCAATCTCTCGTATGAATTCCAACTTTGAGTGTTCAGACAGAGTCGGAATAGTCTTTGTGACTCGGAACATTGTGCTGATGATGTCGTGAGACGAATAACCGAGATTCCTGTCCCTTATGGTTAGTACAGCTATCTATTGTATGCAAGATATAAGAGAAATCATATACCATAACTCGTTAAGTGTCTCGAGAGCCGCATCAATCTTGCCTTCCCAGCATGCCTTAATCATAGCCTGGACCTTGATAGGGTGTGGGCTATCGACCACTCGGAAGACATTGTCTCCATTCACAAGACCGAAGCCTGACCATGTGCTCTGCAGGTTATTGATAGCCTGGCGCATGTCTCCTTCCGCACTGAACACCAGCGCAGCAATTCCATCTTCTGTATGTTCCACCTTCTCAGCGTCGCATATCTGCTTTAGCCGCTGTACCACCTGTGCGTCTGTCAATCGTGCATAGCGCAGGATGGCACATCGCGACTGGAGTGGTTCGATAATCTTGTTCGATTGATTGCAGGCGAAAGCAAATCGTGTCGTAGAGGAATAGATCTCCATCGTTCGTCGCAATGCCTGCTGTGCACCTGGCGTCATGCTGGAAAGCCGAATTAGCATCGATAACATGTGCTTATTTCCGCCAGACTCATACCTATCTGCCTCATCCAGAATAACGATCTTATGCCGGCCGGGTGGGAGCGTCACTTTCTTCTGGGCAAACCCTTTAATCCGATTCCTGACAACGTCGATGCCTGGGTGACCTGTTAAAACCAAGATGTGCGCATGCTAAAGCAAAACGGCGTACCTCGTTCATCACTAGCATTTAGTTCTAAAACCGCCTCCTTATATGCATCCCCAAGCAGCTGCCTCGCCAAGCATAGGACAGATGTGGTCTTTCCGATACCTGGCATGCCCGAAATGATTACGTGCGGCATGTTGCCGTCTTTGGCGATAATTTTCAATCGCTCAACGGTTTCTGTGTTACCGACGATGTCATCGAGAAAAATGGGACGATATTTTTCGACCCTGTTGAAGATTCAGTCAGAGCTTGTCCAGTGAAGTGATTGTCATCAGAAACTTACCAAGGTAGCTCATAGTCTGCAGGAGCTCCTGCAGTGACGGCCTTGATGCTCCTACGGGAAGCACTTTCTGAAGACTCTGCTTGTACCATATTGATGAAGCTAATGACGCTGATTGATAGAGTATAGCTATGTTGTCGGCTTTGCAACCAGTTCAACGAGCAGAAGGATAATTGTCGACTGTGTCCCTGAGAGACGCGAAAGTTGGACGCGTCGGCACGCAACCTAATTGGGCCTAATTGGCATTCGGGATCAATTCCGCCCTTTTCGATCTCCGCAGTTTAGTGTCAACATCTTTTGATTTTGGGTCAACAGTCCTATAACCTGTTATCTTCTATCTTTATTATGTTCATATCATTATCATTATAATCATCGTATTTTGGCTTTGCCAATAATTTGGACTGACTACCTTTGTTCATGCCAACTGTCTTTTTAAATTACAGAGCGCCAAAGAGTGCCGCCAGAGAGCTTCTATCACCACCGCAGAGCTCATCCACCAGCAGAATAGCTGATTTCAACTCACATTTGAACGCTACTGAAAGTGACTAGGGACTTATTTCGGGGAGGATCTCGCAATGGGGACAACATCTGTTCGGCGCAACTTGTTTCACCATAACCTCAGCAGACGGCCAGTCTCAACTGTTCCTCCAACGGGCTCGCTTCAAAGCAACGGAACCTCTGGAGTTTCGGGTCTTTCATCTCACCTGCTACGTTCCTCGACGGAATCAACGACCTCCTCGTTGGCCTCCGGTCCTGTAGATAATGGAGATATCGTCGTCAGGGATAAGAATGGTGGTTACAAGCTTGATATGCCCATTCTCCCACCCCTGGTCGGTGGCGAAGATGGGGATGGCATGGACGGGGTAGATGAAGGTGGAAATAGCGGAGGAACAGTAGCCACTGTCGACTCGACAGGGCAGATGGTGATCACCGGTCGGGAGAAAGAAAGTACGTCGATATCGCTATGGAGACGCTCTTATTGACGTGAAGTATTGACTACGCGGATGGTTCTAACATGTAAAAAAGAGATCGAGGCCAGTTTGGCAGAGCTGATGTATCGGAACCGAAACAGACAAATGAGCAATGAACCAACCGGTAAGTCCGCACAAGTACTTACTCCTAATTCATCGCGTCTTTCCATGAGACAATGCTCCAGCATATTCGTCGTCAAGGGTATTTGGCTAGTCTTCTCCGTAGGCCATACTAATAATCTACAGAGATTCTCGATCTGATCCAACAAAGTCTCCGCAGCAAGGTAGCGGCTCTAGACGAAGACAATTGGATGTACGAGCCGGAGGTAGACTCACGGGCATAAGACCGGTTTGTAGCACCCGACTCAGGTTCATTGGCAATGCATCATGAGAATATATTATCTACGAGGATGTTATGTCCAGGAATTATTGTACCAGATCGAGGGCGATTGCTTGGACTCGTCTAGTCGAGTTCCATGCTTGCTGGCGGCGCCTCAACCGCCTTTGACTGGGAACGTGCCTGTGGTGCTCTCCTGCTTCCGCTCTGCTTTTGACCTCCTCCGAAAAGCATGCTGCCCATCATGTCGAGAAGTGGGTTGCCCTGCTTGGGGATTTTGATGGCGAAATATTGCTCACCGATCTGGGACAAAGCATCATCCCAAATTCCCACTTCCCGGATCTGCGACGCATAATGGGCGGTCAACTGCTTGAAAAGATCCGCATTGCTCCTTTGGACTGTAAGGAGAAGCATGCTTATGAAGTTCAGCAGGGGCAGTGCCGGGAACACTCGCACATCAGAGCTGGCGCTGCTCACTTGCTGCACACCAAGAGAAGTATTCGAAGCGGAGAGTCGAGAGGTGAAGATGAGGAAGGCTTTGTTGGCATTCCGGAGGTTTCCTACCAATAAATAAGGAAAGACTGCGCGCGAGGCATAGATAGCCGCCGTATGAGGATCATCATTTGTGTACCACTCGTACTCGAGCTTTGCCAGAGTCTCAGCAGATTCGGAAGTGCCAAGGACAAGATGTTTCTCGGCTTCATATGGTTCACTGTCTGATAATCCTGTTAGCATAGACATTGGCGTTCGATCATCAAAGTCGATCAACTAACCTTCCGCATATACTGAACCAACTGCGTGATGCAACTCCGGATCTCCCCTTTCCAACGGGCCAAATCGTCCACTCCAGCTGATCATCTCTTGAATATATCTCTTTCTTGTGGGTTCATCCGAAGGAAACTCGCGCAGAAGCTCGATGAGACGCTCTATCATTAGCAAACATCATTAGCTGATCTGATCCCTCGAAGCCAAGATTTCTAGCCAAACTGATCGCTGGCTCCGCGCGTCTCTCCATAGAAAGCGACACTCCCACAGCGATATGGCCATTATCAAGAGTGTAAGTAGATGAACTGAATCTCACTCACTCTTCCGTGCCCGTCCCTCTGCATCCTCATCGCCTCCAGTAATCTCCCACCCCGCCTTGATATACACATCATCGACCAACATGATGGCCAAATCTCCACCACTCGCAGAGGCACCCTGTTGTGATCCAGCTCTCAAGAGGGCGGTCGCACCACCGGCCAATATTTCAGCAGCTGCGTCATAGTTGGACTGCTTGATGTATCTCGCGGCGATTACACGGAGTTGTTGGTGGGCTTCGTAGTAGTTACCGGAGGCGATCCTGTGATCAGAAAATAGATGTCAATATCACCGGTACCCATCCAGCTAAACAGCTCTTTGCCATAAAGTGCCTAGAGCTTGAGGTTGACTTACTTCTCTTGTTGCCGAGCAATCGTTTTGTCAATGCGTGAGGTCATCTTGAATGTGTCCACAAGCCGAGTGCGGGTCAATTCCAAGCGCTATCACAGGGGCGCAATAGGGTCCTTAAAGATGAAGAGATATAAATATGTAGTCTCGATTACTCGAAAAATGCGCAACAAGTTTATTGGTACAGCAAGTGAATCCACCAGAAGCGATGAAGGTCTAAAGGTGCTGGGAGCGGAGGAGCGAGTTTCGACAACTTTTGGTGGGGAACGCGCTCGGTCATCGGTGTCGTCCAGAACGGCGGAGCTTCTCCATAATAATGTCGACATGCATATATGGAATTACTCCTTGAATCAGTTTAAGCTATTAGAACCATTGAGCACCAAGTGAGCCGACAAGCTTTCGACCTGTCTTTTCTATCATTTTGTGGGACTTTGAGTGCTTCTTGCATATTCTATGATTTTCACTTTTGTCTCAGCTTTTCCATCACCTGTGCTAAACGCGACTGAGCTGTAGGAGCCATTATAGTTTATCACCATTCTCCCTGAGGAAAATATTGTCGAGATTTGGACACACTTCAACCCTTAGTTCCGACAAAAGTCTTTAATAGAAGCCATGAATAACAGTGCATTCGATATCCAACCCATTGGTCGCTTCTATGGCGCCAATACCACCATTCGACGTCCCAGGGTAAGTCCGCATGGGAGCTCATATAAAAATGAACAGAACCTAACGGTCCTTCAGGAAGTAGCCTGCTTTTCATATGATGATGAGCATCAGTTCCACCTCGGGGATTCATCCTTGCGGTACTACTACACGCCGCGCCTCCCGGCAGATTTGAACCGTGGCTTCGATACATTTCAGAAGCTAAATGATGCACCAGATGAGCACCTGGATGCTTTATTAGACACTATCATGGCTTTTGAGAAAGAGACGGGGAAGAAATATGAAGCTGACATCATTACATGGCGAGGCATGATGACCAAGGTACATCGTTTGAGCTCAAAACCCCCTCTGACTGGAACTAATACTCTCCGATATACTTAGATTCTGACTGCTCCTTTTGACAACCTGAACGGGTATTTAGGCAAGCTGCTCTTTTGATACCCTACAGTTGCTAATATTGGCTTAGTTTTGAGATGAATGCAACCCGATTCCAGGTAAGCGACATCCAGACTTGTTTGAGGAGTTGATATTTTTTGTTTAACGCCCGGGATCTAGGGTACAATGTCTGTATCGCCGTGACCAATTTCCTCATGTATTATGATGCTGATATAACTCAGTTTTATTGAGGAGAACAATGCCTATAAGAACCAGCAAAAGCAGATACAGCAAAATCAAAGAATGCCTCCGGGTATGGCCTCTCAAGAGCTGATGGCATACTGGGGTATAACCTACCTTCCACGTCTATCCAGGGAAGATAAGGCTAACAAAGTCAGGTTACAAATTTGAAACCTTGTGTCTGCTTCAGAAACCATGGGATCCAACCCCACGCGCCGAGATTGAAAGTCGTGAGGATCTTGTTGTTAACAACAATGCACAATACTGCTCGGTTGTCCGCACCGGAATAGGAAATTCGAAGCTCATCATCGGCGGTGAAGTCGATGCCGGTATGTCATCTTCAGATATAGACCCATACAAATTACCAAGAGTCCCACTGGAAGGTTTTACTAATATCATACAACAGTTTGGGATTGCAAGCCCGACCGCGCTGAAGATCCCATCAACTGGGTAGAGCTGAAGACCTCTGCGGAGATCAAAAATGATCGTGATATGGTGAAGTATGAGAGGAAACTCTTAAAATTTTGGGCTCAGTCGTTTTTGCTTGGTGTTCCCAAGATCATTGTGGGATTTCGTGACCAGAATGGCATCGTCCATCGCCTCGAGGAGCTCGAAACGGCCACTATCCCGAACAAAGTGAAGAAGGTTGGAAAAGGCACCTGGGACGGGAACATTTGCATAAATTTCACAGCTGCCTTGCTTGGGTGTAGGTCTTGACATCTGCTCGGCTCTCCAATGCGCTTTCCTCACTGCTTATATGAGGCTAATGAATTTCAGGGCTCAAATCTACCATTCAAGAGGGGGGAACATGGCGCATTCGCAAACGTGAGAAGTCATCTCTCATTGAAGTCTTCCGAATCGAGGAAAGCGGGACTGGCGACATAATCTCTCAATCCTTTTTGAATTGGCGGGCGGCTTCATGACTTGCTTGGACTCTGCATGTACGAACGTATCAATGAGAGGAATGGCTTCCTCGAGGGTTTCTTGACTCTGTCAGCTCGAGTAAGGAGACCTCTTTCTAGCTTCGGTCATCCAGACAACATGGGTTTACCACTGGCTCCAATCTTGATGCTTGCGCTAAAATCGATTCAGAACGAGCCATCGCTTAATAAAGCGAATTCGCAGACCCCGATATCCCGATGCTATTATGCCACATAACAGGCGACAGTTGATCCTTCTCCTGTTTTAGAGTGACTGGCTAAGTGATGACAAACATGTTTGTTTGCTTGAAGAGAGCTATACAAAACCCACTTTCCGTGCCAACGCCTCGTTCTCTTCTATCATGTTCAAAGGGCATGGCACTGGTTTGATGACCCTGACACGGTTTACGTGGGTGATCTCAGCTCAACACCTTACATAATAAACAAAGGAATTTAAATCATAGAGAGGAACATGCTGTTCCTGCCAGAGGACAGCTTTGTATATGCAGTTTGCTCTTGGATTTACAAAGTATATTGACCGTCTAGGCTGGATTCCTATGCTGCTCAATTGAACTTGAACAGTCCTGATTCCGGTAATCTGCAGGAGTCTGCCGCTTGCGTAGGTATTCGTCGCGCTCTGCTTTTCTCGCTGCCCCTTTGACGGCTCTCTTGTGGGCATGTCCATTTAGATGGATGTTCCATTGATCCTCAGTTGCCATGGTCCGGTTGCAAACATCGCATGTGAAAGTCTGAACCGCGCTGCTGTTCTGAGTCTGAGATTGGGCCTCGCGTGCTCCTAGTGTTTCTCGGGCCAGATCGGAGATAGACTTCGGATTCGGCAAAGGTTGGTTGTTGAGCAAGGCGTGAACAAGGCGCTCGGATGGTTCGGTAACACATTTCTGCCAGTCTTCAACATTTGTGCTGTCGAGAAGATAGAGACGGTCTGTCATGCCGGCTTCTGCAAGGGCCCTCCACAATTTGTTTCGAATCCACTTGATCTGCGAGCTTGCATATTGACGCGTTGCGATCTTGACCAATTCGATACAAGACTGCTTGAGAGTTTCTGTTTCTGCCTCGCTCAGAGCACCCTCGTTCAATGATTCGAAGTAAGGTGCCAGTTCCTTGAACCCAATCGAAACCCAGACACCTCGTGTTTGATCAACGATGATACCTTGCTCTTTCTTGTCCTGAAGATATGTCCACATCTTTTTGGCCTCTGACATCAGGCCTTGCTGCACCATGTTATCCACACGTTTGGCGAGTCGGCCATTTAATGTTTCTTTCTCCGAATGCACCCAGAATATCATGGTTGGGTACCGCAGCTGTCCCATACCAGAGACCATGTCACCATCTGTCGATGTAACGTCCTTCTGTCGTTTTTGCTCTGCATAGATCTCCGAGGCAGGTTTACCTGTCTGAAAGAAGATTTCCAGGGAGCGACGGATTTTGCGCGAGTCGTTCGGATGCCACCGACTAGCCATGACAGGATCGACTTCTTTTAACTTCTGAAAGAGCACATCTGGCGGTGCATCAAGGATAGGCCACCTTGTAGACGTAGGTTCAAACTCGCCGCTGAAGTGCGTAGCTTCATTATCCCCTAAGACTAAGCTTTCTTCGACAAGCTGATCCTTGAAGAGAACCGTTTGGGTGTAGTAGTGTGTTCCTCCGACCAAGATGGGGAGCTTTCCCCGAGCGTGAATATCCTTGATAAGCCGTAAGCATTCTCTCTTAAAGTACCCAATGCGCCATGGCTCCTCTTCCAGCTCTATGCAGCTGATTAGATGATGTGGAATGCCGTTTCGTTCCTCGATCGGTATTTGATTCGTGATGATGGGGAGGCCGCGATACAGCTGCATCGCATCGCCATTGATAATTTCACCATTGAAGCGCGAGGCTAGATCCACTGCAAGCTAGCTGCAGTCGTCAGCAATCCATGCTGGAGCGAGTTCTCGGGCTGTTTTGAGCTCACCTGAGATTTGCCAGTGCCTGTAGCACCAACAACGGCAATGAGGGGTTCCATGGTCAATGGACGTCTGATGGGGAGAAAATTACGGAGAAAATTAAGCATGAAGAAATCACATTGAAGACTCTGAGCATCCTGCCCTCACACAGCGTTGGACTCAAATTGTGATCTTTACAGATGGAAAGCGGGGAGAAAAAAAAATGTTTGGGTAGATAGATCGATGTACTGCCGAAGTACTACTACACTTATTGCCTCATTGGTGTCCGCTTGCATTTCGATGGAGGTGAGGATATAGAGTCAATATGAATCTATCAGAGTATTTCTGGGGTTAGAAAAGAACATTCATCTGACAATTGGCAGAAAGCCAAAAGCCATCACACAAATCATATCTAGAATAAGTTGGAATGGTTGGATTAACCGTAGTATCGCGTTATCTTGGCCATATCTCCAATTCTCCATAATCCCTCACTCTGTTGGAGTATGAAGTCAGCAATACTCAGGATCACATGATATGGCTCGTTATCGCCCTCGTCATCAGATATATAAAGTAGTCGCTGGCAAATTCGCCAACGCTCAGAACCATATATCTCAGACCAGGAAAAGCTTGGGGCATTTAGAATCTCGATTCATCCGATCTGATATACTCGGCAGAAGGTGCTCTTCATATTCCTACGGACAATCATCCTTTACTAACCACGCATGTAGATACTTAATTGACCCTCAGGATGGCAGACTTCAGCAATGAGACAAAGCCATCCATCACTGTACACGGTCTAAACTATAAATTTCAAGATGGGTCGTCCGGCTTGACCAATGTGTCACTCGATCTTCCTTCAGGGAGTCGAACCTTGCTCGTCGGAGGTATTTGGCATTGCTACCCCCTCCTGCCGCTGAGATTAGCCCTGCTCAAGTTGCTGACGCGGTCACAGCAAATGGTGCGGGCAAGACTACCCTTCTGCGTTTGCTGGCAGGCAAGCGTCTGGCCCCAACGGATACAATTTCCGTCGGTGGGAAGGACCCTTTCAAGCATGGCCTCGAGGGGGTGACATACCTCGGTGTCGAATGGGTGCTCAACAGCATCGTCCGCACTGATATCGACGTTCCGACCCTGCTGGCATCTGTGGGCGGAGACGCCTATCCCGAGCGCAGGGATGAGCTCGTTGAGATCCTCGATGTCGACCTCAGATGGCGCATGCATGCTGTTTCGGATGGAGAGCGGCGCCGGGTACAGCTGGCCATGGGCTTACTACGCCCTTGGCAAGTGCTCCTTCTGGATGAGATCACTGTGGACCTTGACTTGCTGTCTCGGAGTAACTTTCTTTCCTTCCTCAAGCGAGAAACCGAGACAAGAGCATGCACAATTGTCTACGCCACGCATATTCTAGACAATCTATCGCACTGGCCTACGCATCTGGTGCATATGCATCTCGGCAATATCAGACAATGGGGCCCCATGGAGAAATTTCAGCAGGAAGTCACCGAGACCTCAGAGAACAGCCAACTCAGTGAGCTCATCCTCAAATGGCTCAAAGAGGACTTGAAGGCCAGAGGACCGAGAAATGGAAAGAGCGAGGGCAAGACATATGAGGCCCTTGGCGCAATTGGAGGATACGGGCTGGAAAAGCACAGCTAGTCTGCTCCTTCCGTCGTTCCTCAGGTTTGTTTTCATGCAATAAACATTTTCTTGCTTCAACAATGATTCAGTTCAACAACAGCAGCAACAGCATGGCGGCGGTTCCCAGGTATGGATTTATGGGCAATACAGGACGGGCATCATTCAACATTTCAAGATTCATTCAACACTCAGAACTTGCCGTATACTTTGGCTCGTGCTTTTATTTCGTTTGTATATACAGGTCACTTCAGGAAAGCACAGTAGAGATGGCATATACACGCATTGAGGCATCCTCACTTGCCACAGCGAGTTCAAATCTATGCTTATTCTCTCCCTCCGTTTTCCGACTGCAAGGCCGCCAGGATAACTGCGTAATGGTTCTGGAAGGAGATATCAATTTATCAAGAGAAGCGAGATGTTTCGCCTCCAGACTGCCAATATCGACTTGATAGACTGATAATTTGCCGCTCTCTTCACCAGCTGCAAGGAAGAAAGAGGCTTCATGCACGTAAGGAAGGATCGAAATAGCTGTGACTGAACTTTCTAAAGAGACATTCGTCTTGCATTCGAAGGAGTTCTCCACCATTGCCCAGATTTTGACTGATTTGTCACGACCTGCCGTCGCGAAGACAGGACTCGCCATGGGGGCCCAGGCGGCATCAAGTATCATTCTAGAGTGACCCTTGGGGTTTGATGTCATGAGGGAGAACGAGGAAGAATCTTGCTCGTCCCGACAAAAGACGGCCCACTGCCGATCTCTTCCAACGCTGAGAAGGTATCGGTCATCATATGAAAAGCAAAGACCTGTGATGGTCAGAGAATGCGCTGTGAGAGAAGGCCGGATCTCATGCCAATCCGATGTGTCATAAAGCCGTACAACGGCATGATCAAGGGAGCTTGCTTTGCAAGCAGTGGCAATCAGTGTCCGGTCATGACTAACAGCCACTGCAGAAATCTCGTAGCCATGGCCGTAGAGCTTCTCATGCTCGGGCCATAACGTGTATCGAGCTAGCTGATCTTCTAGTGGTGGATGGTTCAGATTCGATATCAATGCTTGGTTTGCTAGAATTGGCGCAGCTTCAGCATTTTCATTCCCCTCTGCCAAAGGCTCATCTCCGATAGCCTGATTCGACAAACCCAGAACGGGGATCTGCGCTGTGTCTGGGAGCTCTTCTTCCGTTGATGACTTGAATCCTGACAACCTTTCCAGAAGTTGGGCAATCGGTTTTGGTTCGTTGAATACTCGCAATAATTTCTCGTCTGCACCCGAAACAAACCGAGCAGGCCCTAGCGTATCGAGGCAATTCAGATCGTAGCCGTGGATCTGTGGTCTTGAGAATTCGTGCCACGACTTGGTGTCGTCGCGCAACCATTCTGCGTGCAGACGCGTCGTCTGATCGGCGCTGGTTGAGAGGAGGTATCCCCCAGTAGGCTCCCATTGTATACCATTCACCGACCTTACATGACCTGTAATCCCCAGAGCCTGCAGCCACATGTCTGAATCCACATCGTACTTCCAAGCTCTCCAACTCCCTGTTCGACCCAGACTCACAACGCGCTTGCCGTCCGGAGACCAGAGGCCGATCCAGAATCCGCCAGTGCTACCAGTGGCTGTAGTCGATCCCTTCTGAACACTTATTTCTCCCATCCTTTCGGCGGAGAGCCATACGCCAGACACTGGATCCTGTTCCCAAATTGTCAAGGTGTTATCTGCGGAAGCCGAAAGGAGCTGCTGGCAATCTGCACTTGGATTCCAAGCCGTGGTATATATCCAGTCTTCATTGCCGAACAGGAGAGCCTCGAAAGTAATGGAATACTTCGAACCTGCTGCTTCGAACTGATGCGCTTTGTTGGATAACGTCGTCTCAAGCCCACCAAGCACAGAGTCTTCATCACCTGCCGGCGCTGCCGGGGCGACCTCCCCTCGCTGAAGCCTCCACAATCGAATATACTTATCTTGACTGGCTGATGCGAGCAGTAGTTCCCCTGATTTGCTTTGCTTGTCATTAGTGAATGATAGCGACCGCACCCAAGCTTCATGACCAGAAAGGGTAGCGCAGAGCTTGAAGTCTGTGCCGGCAGATGTGTTCTCGGAGACATAGAGCTGTACTCTATTGATTGTGCCCGAGACCGCCAACACCGCAGGTTTGTCTTGCGCGTCCGTTGGGAGCAATGTCAGCGATAACGCCAGCGGAAAAAACCGAGGTTTCATGGTGAGACTTTGTGCCAAATCACCCTTTGCCCCTTCCTCTTGAACGCTGATCTTCCATATCTTGACACTGCCGTCTGCAGCCCCAGAAGCAACGATATCGATATCGTCGGCAACAGCGATGGTGTTCACGGAGTTTGTATGACCCACCAGCGTATGCGCATGGGTGAATTGGCGCGCATTTGCCGAATCAGCGCGCCATATCCGAATTGTATGGTCGACCGAGCCGGTCAAAAGCAGCTTTGCACCAGTGATGGGGCATGTGTAAAACCGAACGGCGCTGACTTTATCGGTGTGGCCCACGAGGAGAGAGTAAACGCCGCGCTGAGAGGTCTCCTGTGAAGAAAAGCGGCAAGATTAGTCCCACTGCAATCGAATCCGATAATTCAGGGTGATTATCCATACACTCGGATCCCATAAAGCTACATTGTTATCTGCACCGAAGGCGAGCACGCCCAACTGTACGTCCCAGTCTGCGGCGGCTGGATGCCGATTCCCCCCTACACTGATATATTCGGTCGTGATGGACACCATGAATGCACTCGGTAATGGACGTGCTTCAGTAATCTTTGGTTTTTTGATAGTGCAGCTCCGAGCTTAGTGAAGATAAATACGTCTTCTTGTCGCTGAGGTGGGAGGATGAATCAAGGACCACTTTTTGTGCCCGGAATTTAAGCTTATCGATAAGCGCGGGCAACACAGGTTGAAAGAGCAGCAGCCCCTCGTTCGCATTTCTTCCTTACAATAGTCAGCGGTGGGATCTCTCCGGAGCTGATCAATATCTCTCAGCATTGACTTAGGCCCCGTTGCTACATACATTTGTTCATCTCCGTGAATGCATTCTTTTCTGAAGAAAACATGACTGGATCTGCTTCTGTGAAGGCCGATCCCGGCAACATTTCTATCACTGTTGAGTTTACGTTCGATAACCACCTATCCTCGGGTTCAAAAATCACTTACTGAGTCTATATATATAGAGGAGGACTGGAGATTCTTTTCTCTCATGAGCGGAAACACAATGTCACGCTCCCTGCTCAGTTGAGCGATGGCAGCCGACCCAATATCGCATATCTTGTACGATATCTGGTGGAGAATGTCATGAAGGACCAGAGGAAAGAATTGTTCATAATGGAAAACAACGTGTGAGTTGTGAGATGTTTTCCTGTTGTCGCAACCTTAATTACTTACAGCAAGTGACAGCCGACCTGGTATCCTAGTACTCATCAATGATGCCGATTGGGAATTGGAGGGCGAAGAGAAATACGAGCTTCATTCAGGAGATAACATTGTATTCGTTTCAACACTCCACGGAGGCTAGATATCGCCTGATCGTCTACACAAAATCTATCATATCACCCTCTACATACCGTTCGACACGATCTAAGGTTAATTATATAACCACAGTACAGCACTGAGCCTTGAAGGAAACGTGTTGCTAGACAACGTCTTCCACGTGCTGCTGCGAGATTCTCTCAGGCTCGCGAGGCGTTCGAAGGCCACTCTGTGGTGTGGAGAAACCATCATTAGGGCTGCCAATCCCCCCTACCAGGGGAGTGGTCACACCGCTGGGGGGGACAGGAATCTTGATATCTTGTGGGGAACCAGGGATGATTTCCTTGGGCAGGTCAGGAATGTGTATTCTGCGTGCTTCGTTTTGGTAGCTTTCAGGAATAATCTGCATGAAGAAATTAAGCATGTATTCGATTGGGTTGGAATGCTTTTCAGGTTTCCATACTTCTATGATCTCGTCGCGCGGGAACTCTAGGAATGGAATATCCGCGGCATTGCACGCCATGAGGTAACCGTAGAGCACTCTAAGCACACTTTCATGAGCAATAATGAGAAGATCATTCTGTTCCCGCTCAAGTTCTAGAATGATAGGCTCGAGTCTTACGGCAAGGTCATGGTAGGACTGTCGGTAGTTGTGAGCTTGGGAGTAATTATCAGTATTCCAGGGGTATCGGATCAAGCATACCTCGGCTCGAGGATATCGATGATGATAAGGATCGAGCTCATGTTTGGCCACTTCTTCCGGATATTCTGCACGAATCTTGCTCTCTGACATTTTCTCGCAAACACCAGGGTTCAGTTGACTCATTTGCGAGCGTTGTCTGACCTTGTATCCCTTCTCATGCAAATACTTTGCTGTCTCAACCGTCCGACGTCTTGTGGACGTCCAAACGGTCAGTGGTTTAAGTTTGTGATCCGCCTCTCCTTGGTCAATCATGGCTTGTCTTTCTGATTCCCTGTGCTGTAGTAGACGCTCAGTCATTTTCTTCGCATAGTCTTCTCCTCGCTCCGACAAAGAGGCATCACCCTTATAGGAATCTGCTTCTTGTGAGACACCAGCCTAGAGATTGATTAGTGCTCGCTCCCGAAGTACTTGAGAACCGACTCACTCTTGCAAAAAATGTATGTCTAGACTTTATGTGAAGATTGAGAAGATAGAACACAATCCGGTTTGAAAGATAACCAAAACTTCTGTTGTTGATAATCAATCTTTGTCCTGCATTGATCATCTGTGTGCTAATTAGCATTGAGATTGGCGCAGCGGCTTGGCCGTTGGTACCTTGATATAATTCAAATCCTTCTCCTCCATGGTCTGAAACTGGGGGATTCTGGCAGAGATCCTAGTCAGATAGTGCCTCACTGCGTCTTCGGATGACCATCCGACATACTGGAAAGATGTCAGTGACTATAATGGGCTAAATACCAGTAGATGCCCACTCACATCGGGCGACGAAATCTTAACCCTGCGGACGTTTTCCTCAATGATGCGCTCATCATCACACCATGACTCGATGAATAGCGTCTTTGGGACAGGATGAATCAGCATATTTTGGTCCAAATACTTCAATAATTGAGTCTTTGTACCTCGATATCATGTTTGGCAAACTCTTTCGCTAGCGATCGCCGACCAGAAGCCAGAGGGTTGACAGCATCATAGATCGCTATCTGGCCGTTTTCGAAGTTCAGATAATGATAGATGTCCTCGCGACATTTCTTCATGATCTTCTGTCTCAGTAGGACCGAAGATGCAGATGCTGCCCTTGATCAGCAAGCCAGACCGAATGACAATCTAGAGACTCCAACCCTTAAGACGCATCTGAAAGTGGGCCTTCAGACGAGGAGAAAGTGCTAGAGTATGAAAGAATCAATTGACTTACCGTTGACGAAGAAATAGTCATCCGGGATGTCTTGACCAGTAGAGATTGTGGCCCGTCTGTAGTCTCCAAGATGAAAAATTCTCGTCTTGACGCCTAGCCTGCAACCTAGTTAACAAGAACAGTTTGACAAAAGCAGATGAGCAGACACGAACCAACGAAGATATCGAGCCAATGCTACAGATATATGTCTAAATATGACAAGAAAGGTTAGCACTAATGCTTGCCAGTCCGATGCATGTCAGGTTGGTGAAACAAACGTTTTGCCTCTTGCTGGTAAGCCTACAGTGATGATGACGATCCGCCCCGAGTGAAAGAGTCGACCAGACTCCGTGCTGTATAGCTGGGCCGGGGCCAGGTCGGCCTTTTCAGGCAGATCATGAATTGCATCGACAAATGTCGACGACTTCCTTCGAAACCGAGGAGAGTTGGCAACAATTTCTGCCGTTCTATGTATCATTAGTCTCGGATCATCTTCATGGTTCTATGATAAGACGTGGGGCCATATGGTGAAAAGAACGTAGGATCAGTTCTTCACGTTGACCGGTGTGGCGAACCAAAACAGCCCAGTAACTCAAGAAAATCAGCAAGAGGTAGATAAAGGATACTCACAATAGTGTATCCATCTCGAAATACTTATGTTCGAGTACCAAGCAGGTCAAAAGGAGACCCAAGAAAACGAAATCGTTAGAAATGAAATATGCCGAGGGGCAGATTACCCGTAAGGCGACAGAATGCAGAAGCCCGTTAACGCCCAACAAGGTATAGATGCTGACAAGGAAAAAGGGATTAAAGGGAAGGAAAAGCAAAAGGAAATATTGAATGCGTCGCGCTGTGCTGCAACCGCGAGCCCCGGTTCTTCTTGAGATCGATAACGAGGTACGTGAGGTGGTTGGATATATTTACTATCGGGAGCGTCCAATATACACCGATAAATGACTTGACTATCGTGAAGTAGTCGGCGGAGTGGACATCATAATGTCTTGGAATTGGATGAAGTCTTCTTCGTCTTCCTGACCGAAGTGCAGTCGGAGATTCCAATACTCCAAGAAATTCCGAAATAATGAGACAAGCCCCCTATATCAGTAAATTTCAGCCTAGTCCACCGGTGAACACCAACAGTCTTTGGTGAATAATAGTCTTCCTTGTACTCCTTCATCTTCTTCCCACTCTCATTCATTATATCATCGCAAGAAGCTCGAAGATCCATTTCTAGGTTAGACCCGAAACAGCCTAGCGTCGAGTCCTGTGACTCGGGGATTCTGCACGTGCCAAAAGCGCAAGCCGGGGCGGAAAAGCAAGTGTCGCTTTTTTTCCCCATCAGAGGCTGCTGGAAACAGACAGACAGTCTATCTACAATCACCGTTGCGCTGTGCTTCATTCCCCTGACCGACTCACCTCGCCAGAGAAGGTCGGACACAGTTAACTCCTTCCCCAATCACACGGCAACTCGCGAAATTATCTTCTCTTTGCCTCGAGTGAAGAATCAGGGCTGGTCTCATCTCCCGTCTTTCCTCATCTCCTCAACCGCGAGAAGGAAAGACGTTCCTCGAACTCGCGTGATATTCGATTTCGCTTCCTTACTTCAATCCGCCACGGCTCAATAAACATACAGAGTTCTTCACAATGGCCGAATACTTAGCTCTCCCTTCCTTCCTTGTGGAGAATTCCGTCGTCGGTGCTGTTAACAATGCATACAACTCGTTCTCCGAGCGAAGGGCGGCCCTCGGCCTGTCCAATCCAGGTACTGTGGATAACATCGCCAGAGAGGTGCAAAAGGAGGTTCTGCTGTCGAACTTCATGTTCTCCGGTCTTCGTGCGGACTTGACAAAGGTTTTCGGCATGTCTCCCCTGTTCCGTGTCTCGCATGCGTTCTCGATGGGTTCTTCCGGCAATCTGCCTCCATATGCCTTTTCGGCCATGTACGGAACTCCTAAGGTATGCTTCACTAACCTTGAGGATTCTTCCTATCTGAATACACGGCTCGAATTCGTTTGCTAAGAACACGTCATTTCAATAGGTCTTCATGCAGGGCAACTTTGGAAGTGATGGCGCTCTCGCTGCTGTGTTCAACTATCGGTGGAATCCCAAGTTGGTCACTAAGACCAACACTCAGATCATGGCTGGAGCCAGCCAAGGTCTTCTGCAGATCGACAATGACTACACCGGTGATGACTTCTCTGCATCCCTCAAGGCCTTCAACCCTTCGTGCCTCGACGGCGGTCTTACAGGAATCTTCGTCGGAAGCTATCTTCAGTCTATCACTCCCAGTCTGGCTCTCGGTTTTGAAGCGATCTGGCAGCGTCAGGGTATGAACACTCGTCCGGAGACCGCTCTCTCGTACTGCGCTAGATACAAGGCCAACGACTGGATTGCCAGTGCTCAGCTTCAGGCTCAGGGTGTCTTCACAGCCTCCTACTGGAAGAAGCTTTCTGAGCGAGTTGAGGCCGGTGTCGATATGAACCTTCAGTTTGCTCCCAGCGCCGCTGCGGTTATGATGGGCGGACCTAGCAGAGACGGTACTACCTCCATCGGCGCCAAGTACGATTTCCGGGCATCCACATTCCGTGCCCAGGTCGACAGCGCTGGCAAGGTGAGCTGCCTGCTGGAGAAGCGCATTGCTATGCCCATCTCCCTTACTTTTGCTGGCGAAATTGATCAGGCTAAGGTAAGTTTTCTTCATTTGCATGATCCATTTGTGGAATCAGGGATGTGAAGCTGGTTACTAATACGACTTGTGTACAATAGCAAACTGCTAAGCTCGGTCTTGCTGTGTCCCTCGAGATCGCTGGCGAGGAATTGATGGAGCAGCAGGAGAAGATCGAGGCCCAGGGCATGGTTCCTCCTCCTTTCTAAGTTCTCTTTCCAAAGCATAGCTGGAGTTAATCGGGCTCACTTGGCTGTGAGAAACCGGAGCTATCGCTCTTCCCGCCATCCAGCTTAAAACATTTTTTCTCTTTGTGTTTTATTAGTTCTTCACTCTCCCCGTGTACCTATATCTGGGAGATGGTGTATCACCCCGGTTATGCCTTTGAATGCGATTTGCTGGTGCAGGGAGGCGGTCATTTGGCGCCATGGAACCAAATTTTGTATAGATCCATGTTCGATTTATCGCAAGTTACCTTTTATCTTCTCCCGGATCCCGTGTCATGGCTTTATCTGTGAGACTGTTGGCCCTTTCCTTGTCCTTATTGTTACCACACCTACTTTGATGGCGATCTTGGCTTGTTGATGGGACTGCAGAGTATGAGATGCGCATGGAAGCACTAGCGGGGAAGCTGTTGTTGTATGTTTATGCACCATAGAAGGGGCAATGTAAAACAAGTTTGCGCATTGCTTACTCAAGGTCAAGTGTAAGATATCATCTATTCACCCGACCTTCTGAGTTCAAGTTATCCCCTCTTATTCCAGGCAAAAAGTCACCCCCCAGGCTTGTCTTTTCTGCCAGCAGTTGGACATGTCCGAGTTTCAACTCATGCTCAAGAACAATCTCCCCATGTCGCGGTGAGCACAGCAGAACGGCCTGCTGATTTCCCTAACCTAAAAGCCCTACCGTATGTCAGTTCCTGGTTTGAAGCCAGTCCAGGAAGCGAAGAAGCACAAGTTCTTGTCACATTGAAACCGACTTTCATCGCAAAAAGCCGAGACGCTGACTGAGCTTCACAGTTCTACCCAACGCCCCCTTTGCAAGGCCATGAGTATGAACTCCCCGACGTGGATGGATGTCGGTAGACTTGCTTTAAACAAATGCCACATATAAGTACGGAGCCGAATACGGTAATCTAGCTATACATCCAATAGAGTACCTAGCCACCTTTGATAGGTATGTGAATGTGTCCATTGCTCTTACTATTATTCCGCAGGTACAGGGAGCCAAGGTCGCCTACCAACTAAGCTCCTGCTCAGTAACTACTCCCAAGTCCCATCACACCTGAAGCAACAAGCTGCAGCACAGGTCGATGATTCGACCGTGCCGCCCAATTATAATATGTGGACTATCCAGCTTCCTCCCCACTGGAAAAGTCTAAAACTTCTCGGCGATACTTCATAACATTGACACTTGAACGAGAGATAGGACACTGCAGCCATCCCCCCCCCGACTGTGGCTCAAGATAGCGCCCTTTCTGATGCTGGCTACTTTGAAGTACTTTCCGATTCCCTGAGCTAAGGTAGGAGCACCATTCCAATCATCTTTGCTGAAGCTGCTTAAGGTATTTTCAACATTTTCGAGGAGGGGGGGAGGCTTGCCCAATGGCTCCTCCAGCCATTACGGAAGCTCATGCTACGCCCATTCTTGAAGCCTTTTTTTCATAGACCAGACAAAGTAGAGCAAACCCATGCTAACTACATATGCAAGATGGTGAAGGCATTGAATCCGTACTGTGGCAACAGGAGTCTTCGGAGCCGAACAAATTGCTGGGTGTCTGTGTAGATGGGATTTTGGACACCGTCAACTCACAATCAGTAGTCAGTACCATGAATGAAACAAGTGTCCACCAGGGATCGACTACTGGGGCGGTCCCCTATACCTCTAGTATAAATAAATAATAGTAGGTAGGGCCGTTAGGTACGGAGTACTTCGTAGATGGACGGAGTATCAGGATTCAGGACAGTCGTGGATAGGAAGACAGGCGCAGGCTCGAATGTATGCAACTCCACTGTGACATCATCAACCCCTAGTCGAAATCCTCAAAAGTAACAAAACATCCAAATCTCGGTTATTGTACCACCTGGATGGAGACGACATGTTTTCTCCCTGGAATTATCATTATTCATAGGTTGACTATGAACACCAAATTTCCCATTTAGTTACCTAGTGCTCCTCAATACTACTCGGTAATTGGTACACGTCTAGAGTCGTTACACTGGATAAGGTACCGATGCATGATTCCTTCTTTTCGTTTGCATCTGTCAGACAAGGGTCCGGAAGCAAAAAGTGTCCCAAAAAGAATCAGAGACCAGCATACAGAGTACATTAGCCGGGAGACGATTGGCTGCTCTCTTACGCCAATGCAGAGGTATTGAGACGCTATCTGTGTGGCGAGCAGTAGGCATGAACAGTGCAGGTTTCAGGATCGGCTGCCGGCTGTGTCGTTGCCTTGTTGGGCGGGCGACATTCTTCCTGCAGACGCAGTAAGACCTTCAGACTGAGATCGAGATTCGAGACACAAAAACAAAAGGCGTTGTAGTCTTGTAGCTTGTAGCCTGTAGGTTTAGAAGAGATTGTTGTTAATTCGGTGGCTGCTATGGCATGATTTAGGGATCAGCGGTAGAGATATTATTAAGAAGATCAGCCATTTTTTGTCGCAGTGATTGGCAGCAACAACGAAAAAGGAACAGCCCAGCAATCTACCCCCTGTAAGTATGGTTCAATGCCATATCGAGTCTGCATCGAATAGTTCAAGTCGGATTCATCTCATCAATTAGTGTCGCTGCTTGTCTACTGCATTAACCCATAAGCAAGTCCTCCCAACATGCCCTATGTGCGCACTGGAATCCCAAGTCAGGAACAACTAACAAGGGCCCTAGGGTAAACCCCACGAGGTGGAACGTCTTGAATTCTGAAACAGTCGAGCAATCCTCTCGTCGGTAGACACTAGAATCCGGATAGATAGACTGGTAGACAGATATAACTACTTCGGCTGGGATGAAGGAAGCGGAGGGTCCAAGCTGAAGTTTGCTCGCCATTTAAATGGTCATGCTACTCTCCCACTGCTGACTTGTTCATCCACATTCCACAGAACTGCGAACTGGTGGAGCGGTCAAAAAAAAAATTGTTTCCTCGAGCTCAATAATAATTACAATAATCGCAGTGCTTGTACTCCGTAGTGCGTTGAAGTCTTTATGCTACTGGCCTGAGTGCAACAATTCTATGATTTCTATCACTATCAAACTCGAGATCGAGACGACCGCGGAAAAATGACCCAACAGCCGATTGATCTGCTGACTGTCCTTTGGGTCCCGGTGACCCGTATGGAATACAAAGCATATGCACTATCTATGCACTATGCAGCCAAAGCAACCTACCCTACCCTACCTACTTGCCTCCTGACTCCGTGCCCACCGACCGGTTCAAAGGGCCCGAAATGAACACCCTAGCGAACCAGGGATCTGTAAAAATGAGCCCACTTGTATGGACCAAGCATGATCACCAGTTGTAATCATTTATGATTATTCTGTGAAATTGTTTGTCAACCAATATTTGGCTGATCTGAGGAATTCCCAGTTAGTACCAAGTTTGAGGACTGTTCAGTGTGGTACGAGACAGCAATTGGTATCTAGTAATGTACGTGTAATTCATCTTCAACTATGTACGGAGTATTACCTTACCTAAGAATCCGCTCTAGAATATCTCTATATACTTGGACTTCAACATCCCCGTAGCACTTGTCAGCCATTGCTCTGTCTGTGTATCAAGTATCCTGGCGTCGAAGAATGGAACTGAAACTCAAGACCGAACAACCAAGTACATGTACCGAGCTGTGCAATGTGACCTATGAGGACAATGACTTCGGTTTCTTGATGAAAGAGACGCATATCTTCGGACATGTTATGTATAGATCTAGGTAGCTTGTATAATCTATATTGAAAGAAAACTTCTTACCTTCTGAGCCTCTAGGCTAAACGGTTCGAGTTATAAGTATGATGCCACCATGATACTCATGAGCCAGAATCTACGTAGTGTAACTTGTGGAATTGGCCCAAGGCCGCCGAGAAATGATTGCAAATGAACTCGCATGACAGTTGAGACAGCAGATCTGTTTTGATCAACATTAAGCAGGGTCTGAGCGACTCGAAAAGGCTATCTTGGATCCATGGTAATCAGTGTTTCAGAATCATCCATCCTAAGCTTGGTGGACTTAGAGACATTCTTATAATAATTAATCATTGCAGGGGAGTCATTTTCCCAGCTTCGAAAAGACCATCGACCAGGACTTAAGGGTTGGAAGAATATATTTCTGTAGTCTTTCAACACTCCAAGCCTGACAGGTTGCCAAAGGACAAAAAGAGTGATTGCTTTTTATCGGATCCACAGATCGAATATCATGGGGGCTGTTCTAGTCACCTAGGATCTGGCACATTGGATGCCAGGTAGTCGGGCAACCGATCATGGTGCCTAGGTCTTGGAGGACTGGAGAGTCGTGCCAACTCCGAATTGTCCAGACTCCTTGAGTCGGGCCCCTAGATACCCTTCCCCATCAAGATGTCTGAGTTATGTTGGTATTGGCTCGCACTCTGTAAGCATGATAGCAGAGTTTAATAAGTGCACGAGAGGCCCCGAATGGCATTGGCTGTAGTTGTTCTCCAGCTTCCATCACACTACTAACTACTTGGAGGATAATATTGAGATACTGCTGGCCAAGTATCTATATAAATAAGGATGTCATTACTGCAGAGCGCAGAGACAGAGAGTCTAGAGTCCTGAGGGTAGTCAGTAGTAGTAGAGTTAGGTACCTGATAGAACAAAAATGTGGCGCAGCCCACCAAGCTTCAGCCATGGACTTCCAGAGACAGTTTGGTCATTTGACAAGCAGATTTCATTTTAACCATGAAATAATATGGAGCCTTTCCCAGTGGAGGACTTCCGCTCTGACTGCATATGTACATGAAATACCCGTCAGTACGTACTTGATAAAATCAATACTCAATACTCGATACTCTCGTTCTAAGAACCTGAGTAATGGGTAGGTATGCCACCTGCCTACTCCGTAGTCCGCAGTCCGCACAGTGGTTCAATCCAGGCTGATAGCAATAAAAATAACAATAATATCATCATGTAGGTCAACTGAACAGTGAAATCTAGATCCCTGACCGGTAAGGTGCCAAATGCCACCGATTCCGTAACTGTCACACATCGGGAGACTTGGAAGAGCGGCCAATCAAAACGGTTCCAGTGAAAATCATGGCTGGTCACTTGACACTCGAAAGACCAGACACATGGCGTCCATCCAAGCTCCAAGTGGTATCCATAATCCAGCTCTACTATACTCTGTAAGTCCATAGGAGCTACTAGATACATAGGTAGTAGTTGGATACTACGACTAAGTATCATATAGGCATGTGAGGTAGCATGACTCTTGGCTATGGCAGGTAGTCAAATTCCATCAAATTGAGTGGCCACAAGAACAAGAAAGGACTCGATCATGGTAGTGATAAGTGCAACAGCTAGGTGCAATGGGAACCAAGTGACTTAGCCAAGTGCCATTATTGCTTGTTGTTTAATGCTCTTATCACCCGCGGATGGACTTTGTTTCTAATGTCCAACAGAATAATTAAGAACAATTGTAGACAAAGTGAATCAGGTGATCATCCTGATCCTTTTTTGAAATTAGAGCATCAAGTCACGAGTTGAAATGGATGGTATGGTATGCAGGAAGTGTCCAGGCACGGAAAAGGAAGAAATCAATGACGAAGGGACCAAGCTCAAAATACCATAGTGTGTATGTGCCATGTGATCAGGCTTCTGGGTCGTTTCTTAGCTCCCAGGGCAGTATGTACTATGATGAATAGTCTCAAAAAAAGAGCAAATAGTAGTACGTACTAAATACGTAGTAATACTGTTAATAACTTGGCGAGTTGATTATTTGACTTGGGTATTTACATTGGACTTTGATTTCCCTTTGCCTTTGTTTACTTTCTTGAAGTAATGAATGTAATCATGTAACACAGATTGGTTTATTTTATTTATTTCATTCTTTTGGGTTAGCCGCATTAATATCACCCAGCATTCAGACGCTATGGTATGTTAATAATGTATGTCGACTATCGAGTTTCTCTGTCCGAATTTCGAAATTCTCGAATTGAGCTTGGGGCAGTGGGCACAGGTCATCTGGTCTGTGAATGGGCGTCCACGGTCATACTATCCCAGTCCGGCATTAACCTACTTGGACTCAATAATCCTGACGGTCCCACACTGGGCTGTAGCTCAAATACTGATAGAGCTACTTAGCCTACAAAGTACAAAGTACAAGGTGGCTCGTGTGCTGTTGGTACTTGGTAGATAGTTAGTACCAGGTACCTTAGCCCTTAGTACTCCGTACTATCTACAGTATCTACATGGACCTCACCTGCTAGGTACCGACTGAAGGTATTGTGGAGTAGGTATGAATACAATTTCAAGTTTCAACTTTCTTGGTTTCTTCTGTAACTCTGCTCAGGAACAGTGAAGTTGAAGGTATTTATCCTTACTATTCATCAATATACACCAAAGAGGGGTGCTACCTACATTTACTACAACTCACCTAGCCTATGCTATGTGTACACAACTTCTATAATATCTACTGAATATCTAAAAGATGTACCTTACTTCCTGTAAGGGAAATACCCACTGGTAGCGCCATATCCATCCTGAGCAACCTACCAGTGGAGTTACAGTACCCATACCTTCCACCATTACCTCAGTGCTTGTATGGTATTGTAATCATACATACATATACAATGGATAGTCGCATATGCCCCTCATTTCCGACTCCCTCCACTGGTCAGGCAGTATCTACAGAAACCTCATTCTTCTCTCAGCAGCAATTATCCTCAAAGGGCAGAACAGATAAGCTCTCCAGTCTCCATCGACATCAAAATCAGCAAAAAAACTTGTAATGGTTAACTGTGCCAATAATAGTACTTTGGTGAAGGTATCCATCGATTCCTTTCCTCTATCAGCATCGTCATCATCATTATCATCCACAATTTGTCGCCTCCTCCCCACACACTGCCACAGGTACACTCCATGGAATGATTCCAATGCGCATTCATATTTCTTTTCTGTATTATCATTATTTATTGTTAGGATTATTATCAATGCTACTACTATCTACTATCTAGTCTCCTAGGTATATTTCTATCCTACTTCGTTCACTTGCTCTCACTAGTCAAGGGGGAGAATAATAGTTAAATTATGACAAAAGTAGTTGAAGTACACTAAATGATCATAGCAGTAGTCCCGCCCCCTCCTCCATTCTCCCCCAAATATTGCCTCCTCCAGCTCCAGCACAACCGTATCGGAACTTACTACCTCAGTTTGCTCTTGTGCAATCCTCCCGAAACAACTCCATTATTCTCATTTCCCCTACCGATTATTATTGCTGTCAAAAAGTCATAACTTGCTCTCTCCTATCCCCTTCATGCTGGATGGATCTTTTGAGTCCCTAAATCTCTCTCTCAACATTCAGATTTCAGAATCTTCTAATTTGGCTGGAGTTAGCTTTGATTGTTCCTTGCTTTTAATCCTCTTCTCCCAAGTGCTTTATTCCCGCGTTCCTGCAGCCCTCGCGTGTTCGGGCTTCGTCGCTCCATCAACGTCACCTGCTAACTAACTACCTACTAACCTAACTAACTTACTCCTACTACTACTGACTACTTACTCCGGACTTTCACTCTCTGTCTCTGTGCCTCTCCCTCGCTCATCTTCCTCTTTCTTCCTCCTCCTTTCCCTCCCTTTTGAAGATCGTCTCCCCCATTGTAATTTCTTGTCCGCCATTACTCCCTTTCATCATCATCATTTTCTCGATACAACTGGTGTTTGCAAACGCCCATTTCACAATTTTAACTCTTCTTCCCTTTTTCTTTTTTTTTTTTTAACTCCTCTTTTTTTTTTTTTTTTTTTTTTTTTTTTTTTTCCCTTGGGTCTTCCCATCACTCTGCTCTTGTTCTGTGCTTTTGAGGAACTGATCGTGATCTTCTCTCTGGAGGGCTCCCTGCTGTGGTCTTGTGTCTGCACTCTTGGCACTCTACTCAAGTCCATTGGTCCTTGCTCTCAGTCTACCATCCTGCGATTCGCCCGTTCACAAGTCCGCCTCTCAACCTTTCATCTCACGCGCACCTCCACTCAACATCCACCGTTCGGATATTCCGCCCATCCCAAAGCGAAACCCCCCCCCCCCCCCCCTCTCCTCCTGGCCAGTGCTCCACCACCGACTACAGTTCTGCCCAAGACGGACTTCAAAACTCGTTTCTACGTTTCTTTCCGCCATCCACTGTTGAAGTGCAGTCCTCCATATTCTCGATAGCACTGCCTTAACCCCCCGCTTATTGCCATCCCCACAAGTCGCCCGTGATGTCACAGAATAGATCTGGGGTATTTTCGAACCTGCGCATGGGCGGTAAGAGATAATCAAATTCGGGCTCAATTGTTTGGATATGCTCGGCTCTGGCCTGTTGAACTGACTGTTTTGTTGTTCCGACCATGCAGAAGTCGTCCGCGAGAAGGTCCAGGATGGACTGACCGGGGAGACCAAAGAGATCTCGTATACACAATGCAAAATTGTGGGCAATGGGTCGTTCGGTGTGGTCTTTCAAACGAAAATGATGCCGAGCGGCGAGGATGCTGCCATCAAAAGGGTCCTTCAAGACAAGCGTTTCAAAGTATGTGTGCATATCACTCCTTCACTCCCCCATGTTCTCGCTGACCATCCTAGAACCGTGAGTTACAAATCATGCGGATCGTCCGTCATCCCAACATTGTAGAATTGAAAGCTTTCTACTACTCGAATGGCGAGAGGGTATGCGACTCTTCCTACGCCCCTCCCAGAACCCTTACAGGTTATCTCCCTCCATACTAATAACATTGTCGTCGATGTGTAGAAGGATGAAGTGTATCTGAACCTCGTTCTCGAATACGTACCAGAGACCGTTTATCGGGCGTCGCGGTATTTCAACAAGCTGAAGACCACCATGCCAATGTTGGAAGTCAAGCTGTACATCTATCAACTGTTCCGCTCTCTGGCATACATTCATTCACAAGGCATCTGTCACCGTGATATCAAGCCGCAAAACCTTTTGCTCGATCCGAGCACTGGGATTCTCAAACTCTGCGATTTTGGTTCCGCCAAAATTCTGATAGAGAATGAACCGAATGTCTCTTATATCTGTTCCCGCTACTATCGTGCGCCAGAATTGATCTTTGGCGCCACTAACTACACAACGAAGATTGGTATGTTATTCTGGGTTAGATTTATCGATGCTGGTAAGACTACTAACGGATTCCGAAGATGTGTGGTCGACGGGTTGTGTCATGGCTGAATTGATGCTTGGGCAGCCACTTTTCCCTGGGGAATCGGGAATTGACCAACTCGTCGAAATTATCAAAGTGCTAGGTACTCCTACTCGGGAACAAATTCGTACAATGAATCCCAACTACATGGAGCATAAGTTCCCTCAGATCAAGCCTCATCCATTCAATAAGGTGGGTATTGTTTTCATCGGCTTCGCGACCATTGCACTGATTTTCATTTTCCAGGTGTTCCGGAGAGCCCCCCATGAGGCTATTGACTTGATCTCTGCTTTGCTGGAATACACGCCAACTCAACGTCTTTCCGCGATCGAGGCGATGTGCCACCCGTTCTTCGACGAGCTCAGAGATCCTAACACGCGACTGCCCGATTCCCGGCACCCGGGTGGTGCCGTCCGTGACCTTCCCAATCTTTTCGATTTCTCCAGACATGGTCTGTTGGACCCTTTCTTGAGGTTCACCCTGTACTCTTGCATGATTCCCGCTGACTCTCTCTTTCTTGCAGAACTTTCCATTGCTACCGCACTGAACAGCCGCCTGGTCCCTCCCCATGCACGCCCTGCGCTCGAGGCTCGCGGACTTGACATTGATAACTTCACTCCGCTCACCAAGGATGAGATGATGGCACGTCTTGACTGAGTCAACACGTGTGTGTTTTACGAAGTACACGCCTGTTTCCTACTGCCATTATCTGCCCGCGTCCTCGAGAATATGATGTCATGCAATTCCATCCACTTTACGCATCGCGCGGTCTCTGTACCGGAACCGGTTCTGTTGAAAGTGTAGGCCTACATCATTGGCGGGGAGTCTAAAAGGTTTGGCTTCTCTTCAGGATGTAGGAGGATAAACGGCGGGGTCTCGAAAAGCTGAAAAGAGGGGAAAGAAAAATACCCAAAAAAAAAAAACTAATGGGGGAGGGAAATACACGCTGACACCCTTGTCGCGACCGGAACAGCTTCCTCGAGGCAGTGGTACATCATGACCGTTTCACGTGATGGGGATGATGGATTGTCATAGTCTGGAGTTTCGAGGTGTCTGAGACAACTCTTGGGAAAGGAAAAAAAGTGATACCCTTTAGTGTGCGAGTCTGCCTTCCGGGACTTAAAGTTTGCATAGCTTCATTTCTCGTTTTGAAGGGATCATGGAACCAGAATGCCGCAAGTCCTAGGCTCTTTAGAGGTACAAGGTGATGAATACCGTCTGGACACTCCCAAGATATCGTGAGGGACCTTTGGCTGGGAGGCACACCAACGACCATACTCTTCATCTAAGCGAGTGTCAATGGGCATGCGTGTCTACGTGCTTCTGGATGTATGTGCTGGAGGTCGCCATGGCCTGACTTGCAGCTTTAGGATCCCCTTCTTTTCCATCGTTTGTGTCTTTAGCTTCTCATAATCTCTTCGTTTCCCGAATATTTTCTATACTCTTCTGGCTGTTTCTAATGTCCAATTTCACTTGTTTGGCTTTGACCGCTAACTGGTATTTGCTTGACTTGCTCAACAGTGGATCCAGTTGTTCTTGTCCCGGGAGCCAGATGGTTATGTCTATTGCTAGAGACTCCAGGTGTATGGCCGGGGCCTCTCTTCGCTGCGTGTATGACTAGAGGCGAATTTATTTGGTCTACCATTTCCTCATTTCCGTTTATTTCTTCGATACATACCATCACCATCGTTCGTCTTGTGCCTTCTTTCACTGGCAGATAATTTATCCTGGTTCTGGAGGTGGGATCATCAACTGTTATTGCCTTGTCTGAAAGATTGAAGAAAATTCAAGCCGAGACAAGTCCTTCTGTGCAGGTGTCGGCTGCACGTCATGTTCTTGGTCTTGTTGCCCATTACAATCCGGCTCATATTCTGTCCTGTTAGGGTATAATACTGCAATACTACCTCTGCTCCAATATTCGTTATCCATATAAGTGCACAGAAATTACTATCGCTATATACAGCAGTAAGAAACCAACAACTGCTTATGAAGATATCGATTTTTCTTCATGATCACTGGACCTGTTGTTGGCAAGGGTGTTATATAAGCCACGGCTCGGAATATTCTAATTCTCCGAATCTACGACGGCCACGGCAATGTTTTGGCACCCGGTTCTGAATCCAATTGCAATATCTGGCGATTGACGACCAGAGGTGTCTGCGGTCTTTATTTCTGAGCGCTGGAGAGATTGACTGTGCACATATAGCCTGAAATACAACTGGCGAAGACTCTATTCACGTCTGTTGAGTGTTGAGTTCCGTTTGGTCACAGCACCTATGGCCGACTATGAACGCCGACAACATGGGGGCGGCCCCAGAGGTGGGCGCAAGAGGCGCAATAGAGGTTAGTTGATGATATTTCCGAGCTCTCTTTGCTTTCTACTTGCCCTTTCAGTCCATAAGTTCGTTTGCGGGCGACCTTGCGCTGACGAATTGCTGCCGATCTGCTGCAGATGATGAGGATTATGACCGGCGTCCGCAGAGGCGCAGGTACGAGGAGCCTCTCGTGGTCAAATTCCGAAAACAGCTGCTATCTATCGCTGAGTCTGTACGCGCCCCTTCCCACACTATTGAAACCCATACGGGCTTGCCAATTGCAATGATCCAAGCTCACATGTCCTCGTACAATAGGCAGCTCGAAGGGCAGAGGATGACGTTGTGACTATCGCAAAAACTGTTTCGGAAAATTTCGAGGATGAAGAGCTGAGACGGAGCTACGTTGAGTTAGCCATTGATTTGTATGCCTTGAAAACACTCTTTATGAACCCCACCCCCTTTCGGTCTGATATAGCACTAACCTCTCGGCTTCCGGTGTAGGGTTATCGAGCAACCATTGAAAATCCCCTTCATTGCCGCGACTGCTCTAGTCGCCAATGACTATAAACCAGAGATTGTTGAAGACGTTCTCAAAAGAGCGCGCGACTCGTTGCAACAATACGTTGACGCTGGGGCTTGGCGAGAAGTCAAGCTCCTTCTGCGGTTCTTGGGATGCCTCCAATCTATTTTCGAAGGGGATGGTGTCTTTCCGATCTTGGAGGAACTCTTCGCTCGTGCCGTTGACCTGCAAACAGCTTCTTCTGAGGATGTTAGTGACACAGAACCTCCCCTGCCTTAACTAAATGACCGGAAAACTAACTTTGGTACCATTCAGTTGCTTGGACTTGAACTGGTCAAGATCATTCTCTTTACTATCCCTTACGTTATGGCATCTCCTGCCACTGGTTTTGAAGCACAAGCAATAGCGCTTCTCGAGAAAACCGATATCATCGCCTCGACTCCGCATGCGCTAGTTGATCTTGTTGATCCATATGCCTTGGACAACGGCAAACCAGTCACTGTCCAGAGTGTCATCAGCTTGCTTCAGAGCCAACTCCAATCTGAGGCCAACCGTGGCTGGGAGCTTGCTTGCGTTCCTCGGCCCTGGAAGAGGCGCAAAAATGAAGAGGATGGACCTGTGGAAGCAGTGCCGAAACATGCTTTTCCTCAGATCACTGTTCCAAATCCTGTGCAAAAGGGAACGAGGGCGATCTTCCCTGAAATATATCTCTCCGTGTATGCCAATCAAGACCTGGAGACAGTCCCACCCACATCCGACATTGCATCGTCTCTGTTGAGGGATGTTCTTGTCGACACGATCAATATTCTCGATTTCAATCGCATAGCAGCCGCCAAATTCTTGATCGATGTGGATTGCTATTTCACAGCGAACACTTTTGTGAAGCGCGCTACTCCGTTTGACAGACTGCGTGATATTCCTGGGGATCGCCCGACATGGAAACCCGAGGACGTCGCCGTAGACGCGGTTTTCTCCCAGCTGTTTCAGCTTCCTTCTCCAGAGCACAAGCTTGTCTACTATCACTCAGTACTTACTGAATGTTGTAAGATTGCACCCGCTGCCATCGCTCCCAGCTTAGGCAGAGCTATTCGCTTCCTATACCGGAGCCTGGAAACAGTCGATCTGGACCTCAGTCATCGATTCTTGGATTGGTTTGCTCATCATCTGAGCAACTTTGGGTTTACCTGGAAATGGAGTGAATGGTTTGTGAACCTAATATGAATCATATACACTCAATTAGCATGCGAGCTAACTCTTCATGAAAAGGGTTGACGACTTGGAACTTCCACTTGTCCATCCGCACATGGCATTCATCACCGGTGCTCTCGACAAGGAAATCCGGCTGAGCTTTGCACAACGTATCAGAGGGACTTTGCCGGATCCATATCAGGATCTCATCACGGAAGGCAAAGAGAAAGACACTCCGGATTTCAAGTACTCTTCAGATAGTGAGTTTCAGGCATCCTTTATGTTCCAACATGGTGATGATGTCGCTAACATGCCTGTCCCACAGCCACGCCATACGCTACTGAAGGCAGGGAGATTATGCAGCTCATTCGAAAGAAGGCGGGCGATGAAGAAATTCGGCCACTGATCGATGCCATTGAAGAGCAAGCGAAGGCGCTAGGAGTTGACGAACCAATGTTGCCTTCTACAGATGCTCTTGTTACATCGATTTGCTATGTCGGCTCCAAGTCTCTGTCCCATGTTCTGTCATGCATCGAGCGAAACAAGGAAAGGTTGCTGGCTATCGGGCCAAAATCAGCTCGCGCTCGTTGTCAAATCATTACTTCAGTCATGGAGTACTGGGTTGACCAACCAGGAATCGCCATCAACATCATAGACAAGCTGTTGAACTACACGATCATAACGCCATTGTCTGTGGTCGAGTGGGCATTAGTGGAGAAGATGGAAGCGGGGGTTATACTCAGCAAAACTCACATCTTCGAGATGGTATCTGCTACCGTTGGCAAGGTCACGAATCGTCTGCGGCAGATCGTGGCTGCGCGCACCCAGCCTGGTTTGTATGAGCCGCAGCTGAGTGTTCTCGACGAGACTTTGGGTCGCGAAAAGGCCGATATGCAAGCCTTGTTCAGGGTTATCGAAGACTCGATCGTGTCTGTCGCTGGAGGCAGTAACGACGAACTGATGGAGAGGGGTGATGGAAGTGGTAATTTGCCCGAGGACGAAATCATCCGTCAGTGGAGTCGCCGGTGGCTCAGAGTGTTCCGTCGCAAAGCCGGCGTGGAGGAATCATTTATCGCAGAAGCCATGACCAATGCCACGCCGGTTGGTACAGTAGCTCCTGCGCCTCAACCTGCTGCTTCGGAGACCAGCGCGGCTGCCAATGTGGCAGCAGATGGAGACTTGGACATTGCCGATGCCGATGCCGACGCCGACGCCGCCGTTGAGATCTCGTGAATATGTACGTCAATAAGTGTTGTTTAAGAGAAAATGTATTCATGGTGGTTGTACGAACAGATTAATAGGAATCAGGGATCTGCCCAATATAGTACAAAAGGATATGTTGGTTTCATGACTGGTGTTTGTCCATGCCTTGGCAAGGTGACAATCCGTTTCCATTTTCCAATCACACAATGCTGGGGATGACCGTCCCATCGGAAGCCCTACCAAGTATCCTTGAGTCGCTATTATATCCATGTTTCTATGTCAACCTGGCTACTAATGATATATACAACAAGAAAATGCTGGCGACTCAGCCCAAAAAGTGGGGAATGGGGTTGGCGAATATGGTATATGCCCATTCTGGGCGCAACCGACAGATAATTAAAAATGATAGAATAGAAATGACCCCATGTAGGGCCAATGTTGTACACAGAAGGTTAGAATAAGGGCAGTCGGTGGCGGATATTAGGTGGGAAACACATGACAGTCATAAATCATGTTAAGGTTGCGAGATCAACCTGTCGAGGATCTGAAGATCATCATGGTGATGAAGAATAGGTATCTGATCCTCTCCGTTTTCGTCTCTTTTCCCTTCTTTCGTTCTTTGGTTTCGATTTCTTGGTGTGGATATACGCATCCAGATAGATAACGTTTGAAAGGCCGAAGTTCGGATCCATTAGGCAGTAGATAAATCGTTATTAGTTCCTCTCGTCCTTTTGAAGAATGGATGACATAATTTCATGGCGCGCAACTGTCTCCCTTAGATGTTCTTTTTGATTTCTTTTGGAGCGCAATACTGGCGATCATCTTGGCCTTCGACGGTCTGCAGAATAGATTCCATCTCCTTGGTTTGTCTCTTCCATTCTTCTTCGCCCATCTTCGTCTCGCGCCGGAAGAGTTCTTCGTTGGGCTTCCGATAGCTGCCACCTAGACGATCCCACAGAGTGGTGAATTGACCATAATTGTAGTTGAAATAGAGATGGTGCATTGTGTGGCAAGCGGCTCCGTTGACAATTGGGCTGTTGGCGACGTATTCACCGTCGTGGATAAGAACAGTCCAAAGATTGATGAAGCCGAACAGGAAAACATAGGCGATCTTCTGTAGGGGAAAGATAAAGGGAAAGACGTGGTAGGGAACACTTTGCAACCAGCCATCCAGAGGATGGAACGCATGCGACGCGAAAGGGCTCGGCATGATCCACTTGTGGTGAGGCTTGTGAAGGGTCTTATAGACCAATGGGTGGTGCAGGCCACGGTGAATCCAATAGATGAAAAAATCGGTGAATGCGATGAACACGGGGAATTGAAGGATGCTATAGTAAGGGAATGGCTCTTCGGCGACGGCGTCGTACAATTTGGCATAACCTCTAGCCTCAGCGACCAGGAAGGGAGCAGTCAGGAAGGACATTATAGGCATCGATCGCATTGTCTGCGCAATCTCCATAGGAATCTGATTCTTAAGAAACTTGGGATGTCTGACAGTTGTCTTGTCCCAAATGAGAATGTAGGAGAGGGTAGCGGAGATGAAGTAGACGATAATGCCGAATATCCTATATCGGAGGCCACAAACTTCCAATTAGCGAAGTGTCCTCCAAAAGGGGGGTCGGCGAGGCTTTCATGCATACCAGACAATCAGGAAAAAGCTCAGGAATTGGCGATAGAGGTTGTTCCTCGGCCATGCGCTCATGTAGGCATACTTGGACGGCTCGAAGTGAAACATTTGAGTGGCGGGTTCATAGACAAACGGCTTCGATGCGCCAAACAAGGCCAACGAGCTATTGGTAGCAGTGGTCAAGCTAGGAAAGGAGACAGAGGAGGGAAGTGACACGGGCAAGAGAGCCGTATAGAGACGGTCCCCAATGAAGGTGTCCCAGATCTCCAGGACGATATCCATGATGTCCTCAGAACGAAAGGTTCGATCCTCTGCCTTTAGGGATAGGATTTTTAATTGAAAGCCAAGTTGTTGAGACGAGAACGGTCTTCGAGGATACTCCGAGGAAAAGAGAAGAACGAGAAAAGAGAAATTGTTCTTCTCCTTATAGTAATTTGCCGTTGATAAGTAGGATGCAAGGATGGGGTTAGTCAGGAGAGCCAAAGTCCATACTAAAAATCGCTTGATCACAGTTCGTTAGTATCAACAAGCAAAAAATTGCATCACACCAGGGCGGAACAAGCACAGCCGTTCCGTCCGGTGGACTCGGCCATTTGTTTCATTTGGGATTGTGGAATGCATAGTGGGGAGCCATCACTGAATTGTCTGGGTGACTGGGTCTCATGGGATTAAGTAGATACAGAGTACTCCTTGTATCACCGCTCATGGCTCGGCTCATGTGGATGAATCGTTGCAGAGTAGCAACCATTGATTTGTTAATGACTGTCAGCCTGGAGAGGAGACGACGATCTGCATTGACGTACTCATCACAGAGTATCTGCCTGTCCCCAAATGGTGATCAATCAGATCATAAACCAGACTGTCCTGGTAACTAGAATAACTATCTCCTCAGACCATTACGCCCCAGATGAGACTAATTTCCCATCCTGGGCCGTGATTGGCAATGCAAAGCAGACATGGAAAAATGCTCAGTAGACTTGGACTTCGCATAAACTCTCAAGCGTGTTCCTGAACAGATCAAAGAAAAACATCTGATGATTCGAAATGAGATGCCTTAGCTCAATGTCACGCTGTCAGGCACCAACCAGTAAGGTGAAGGTCGAGTGACTAAGGTGGTCATTGAATTTACGGAGTATTACTAGGACCAAACGAGTAATATACCGAGTACAATACCGCGGACCATTGAGCTAGACTCATACTTGATGCTTTTCACCTTATGACTAGATGTACAACACTGATTGATAGAGATAAATATACCTGGCACCGCTAGTGACATACCAGCGACTTGGCTTGGCTACTCTGTAGTCTGTACACTCTATCTAGATATGACTATCTCAGCGTTGGCCAGGTAAGAGTTGTTTCTTGGATGCCCCGCTTATTCCGAAAGCGCTTTCCTCGCTTGTTCGCTTCTGGCGCCAAAATTAAGTTCCTTAGCCAGTTTTTGATGGATGGATAATTAGTACAACCTTCCTATGCTGAGCCGCCAATTGACTTACCTAACCTCACTTCATCTCACCTACTTGACTGCTTCCCACTCCGTACTCCGTTCAAGTCCAACAAGCTAACTAACCACCTAACCAAAACTCCATACTCCTCCGGCTGCGGTCGCCACGTTACTGTTTACTCTTACCACAGTCGAGCGTGAATACACAGTCTACATACCCTCTCCCCCAACGGGCGCGACAATCCTTATTCTCACTTCCTTTTCTCCATTTCATCGTTGGGTTTCCCGTCTTCAGACATCGTCGCAGCGGCTTGTCCCTGCGCGCTGGGATGCGACAGGTCTGACTTGACTGCCAATCGTCTACATTCAGCCTCGGATCCTTCCTCTCCTCTCGTTCTCATTGTCGCTGCCTAGCTTCTCGCGACGCGTTGCCATCTCGTCTAATCTTGCAATCAGACTACTCTCGACACCTCATTGCTTTCTCCTCTGAAGCCATTTGCATCAAGTTCGGGCACGCACAATGTATAACACACATCGCGGGATGGTTCCTGCTCCCAACTCCCGTCTGACGGAGTTGCTGGATCAGCTGCGCCAGGAATTTGAGAACCAGTCCAGAAGTACTGGCGAGTTCGAGCACCAATGTATGTGCTATGCTCTTTTTTTTTTTTTTTTTGCTGTCTCGTTTTCTCCTCAACCCTCGGGTAATTGCTTTTTACCCATCTCGATGTCTTCTTCTTTGCACGCTACTATTGGGCTCTATCAACTCGTTGGCACCTATATTAGACCGGTTTGGGGGCTGCGACGGTCATGCCTTGGCCATCCCATATGCCTTTGGGTTAAACTGTCACGCTTTGATACTGCGCTTATTGAGTCGATTCGTACAAACGTCGTTTTGCCTGGATGTGCTAACCAATTCATTCAGTAACTGGCCAGCTGCAGGAGATGGAAATGATTCGACAGAAAGTCTATCAGTTGGAACAGGCCCAGATCAAAATGAAACAAGAGTTTGTAACCTCAATTTCTTTAATTGAATCGGAATAAAGTACTAACCTCTCGCTCTTCCTTTCTTTTTCCCTCTGAAACAGTTACGAAGCCGAAATTCGAGTTTTGCGACATGAGCTTGAATCGCGCGGTGTCCAGCCCGTCTCGTCTCATATTGCTGGCCCTGCGCAGCACACTGGTCCTTCTCAGGCCCCTCCACCAGCTCTGGGCCATGGTCCTAGCAACTTGTTCGGTGGTATCATGACCAACCAAGGAGGTAGTGGTCCCGGTCTTGCCCCTCCCCCACCCCAGGATCAGCAGCCTCCCCAGCATACCCTTCAACAGCCTGCTCCCGCGGCTCAGCAGTCAGCGCCGCAACCGCCGCAGAGCTCTTTTGGAGGATATCAACCTGGTGCTGCTGTGAACGGTATGTTCTGACTATATTTTCATCTGACTCTGTGGCGTCTGACCATGCAATTGTGCTTGTTTCCTCTAGGCTACGGACCTGCACCACCTCCGACCGCATCTCCTGGCCCAGGAAAGAGGCCCCGCGCTCCACCGGGACCGGCCACTCCTCAACAGTCTCATCAACTCGCATATCCCGACCCACGAGTCTCCCCTCAGATTGCTCGCCCTACCCCTCCCAGCCAGGCTCTCGTTACGGCTCGTGGTGAACGCCCGGGGAACATGCTGGCCAACTGGAATCCCGACGATCTGCCCGCTTCGCAGAAACGTGAAGGCGCTGACTGGTACGCAATCTTCAACCCGGAAGTTCAGCGTGTGCTCGATGTGGATCTTGTCCATCATCTGGTCCATGACAGCGTTGTCTGCTGCGTTCGCTTCAGCCGGGATGGCAAGTATCTTGCTACTGGCTGCAACCGCTCTGCTCAGATTTTCGACGTGAATACGGGTCAAATTGTGGCCACTCTGCAAGACGAAAGCGTGGATAAGGATGGCGATCTTTACATTCGCAGTGTTTGCTTCAGCCCTGATGGCAAGTACCTTGCAACCGGTGCCGAAGATAAGCAGATCAGGGTAAGTCCAATTCTATGCTCTTTGAAGCTTTCATACTGATACATGTCGTATCTAGGTCTGGGATATTGCCGCTCGAACCATAAAGCACATCTTCACCGGACACGAGCAAGACATCTACTCACTCGATTTTGCTGGTAACGGTCGCTACATTGCTTCGGGCAGTGGCGACAAAACGGTGCGTCTCTGGGATATTCTCGACGGCAAACTTGTCTACACTCTCAGCATCGAGGATGGAGTGACCGCCGTTGCTATGTCACCAGATGGCCATTATGTTGCCGCCGGATCCCTGGACAAGAGTGTCCGCGTTTGGGACACTACAACCGGATACCTCGTGGAACGTCTGGAGAGTCCTGATGGTCACAAGGACAGCGTTTACTCCGTTGCATTTGCTCCTAACGGCCGGGATCTTGTTAGCGGTAGTCTTGACAAGACGATCAAGCTCTGGGAATTGAACGTCCCTCGGGGCGCTTACCCCGGCGGCTCGGTAAAGGGTGGTAAATGCGTGCGTACTTTCGAGGGTCATAAGGTAAGTTTCGTCCACATTGTCTGGCTTTGCATGCAATTTGCCCAGCGGCTGCTGATGCCCCTGGACAGGACTTCGTTCTCAGCGTCTGTCTTACGCCTGATGGACACTGGGTAATGAGCGGTTCCAAGGACCGCGGTGTTCAATTCTGGGACCCTATCACTGGGAATGCACAGATGATGCTGCAGGGCCACAAGAATTCCGGTTGGTTTATTCCATCTCCCCTTGGGTCTTCTGGCTCGATGTAAACCCAATCTCACTGCAAATTCTAGTTATTTCGGTCGCTCCCAGCCCTACAGGCAATTTGTTCGCTACTGGTAGTGGTGATATGCGTGCAAGAATCTGGAGGTATGTACCTAAGCCTTTGATCTTTGAGATGTGTTTGCATTTGCGGGAGTCAGACACTGACTGTGCTTTACTTTCTTGCAGATACTCCACCTATACCGGACGGTAATGGGATTGATGATGGGAAGCTTCGGCGCAAATGTGACTTGTTTTCTGCGTTTGATCCATATTGTCGCAGCCTTCTTTGCTTTGGTTTGGGTCCATACGTTCGATCTTTGGAAGGGGGTTATTGTTGTCTCATCGGGCAGCTTCTTCCTCATATTGTTTTTTCTTTTTTTTTTTGTTTGTTTTCGACCTTCTCTTTTCGGTGACCTTTGTTTCATGCCAAGTCCGAAAATAAACAAAATCTGATGTACGGATACTAGTTTATCTTGTCTTGTTGCCCTATATGTGAGACTTCTTATTCTTCTGTCATGACTCTGCTTCCCCCCACCTTCCACTGATATGATTGTCTACTCGAATGCGTCATCGAAGTAGTCGGCCCCTGTAAAAGGTCACTATAGACCTCGCCTTCGGGCCTGTATGAAGAATTCAGGGGTCTCTTCCCTCGAAGCGGTTGCAACAACCAAAGTCCACATGTTGAAGTGCGTTTTAGGGATTATTGCACGATGCTGTACGACAATAAAATATTCCTAATTCGATGGCATATTTGACGATTCATGTTGTCGAGTGTGGATGATTCGCCGTGCTGTCTCTTAATCTCAAGCAGACACGACTGGTTTTTCCTGTTGCCCCTGTAGGTTCATTTGGGGAGGCCAGCTAGATGACGAGGCCTGTTTCGCGTACTTGATTACCTATTTTATTTCGGGCACAACTGTTAGATATATTGGAGAAAGACGTGGAGGGTAGTACTTAGTGCTACGACTCTCGCCGCTTCTCGGCGAGGATTACAGTTGGCTAAGTCGGGATAGACTATGGTAACAACATCCAATGGTATGGAAGTGCAGAAAGTGTACTCCGTAGGTAGATACTCCTGTCAAAACAAGTGAGGCCATCGGCAGACATGCTCAATAAACTCGAAGGATCCAATGGACCCGCACGAGAAAAAGCCCTGACGATCACGAGGAGCCAGACTTATGAGATTTAGACCAAGCCACCGTCTTTGGAGTCAGCCCTCGCACGAATGAGATTGGGCTATGGAGTTATTGGAGTAAGTATTTTGAAAGGGAAATTAAAAAAAGGGGGGGGGGATAAATAAATAAATAAATAAAATAAAAACTCTAGATTAAAACCATGTACCCGCGCTGCGCACGTCACCGATTTTTTGAAGCCATTGGCGGCTAGCTGGAATTTTCTCACAGGCTGGCTCAGGTTGAGCTGTTGAGCATCAACGTCAGTACTAAAGATGAAGTTACTTATCTACTGGCCAGTGATATTTCCTTACCAACAGGGTCGTACATACAGACTCACCTGAGGACGGATAAGGTGTCTATACTGTAAGGAGCCAACTTCAAGCGTCGACTCTGTCATGGAGGGTGGGGGCAAGCTTTCGAAAGACAGCACAGTAAGTACAACTGGTATGAATATATGGAGTATATTTGCTGCCAACCAATTGTAACATTCATACGTGGTACATCATAATATACTCAAAATAACAGTAACGAGTTGAACAAATGGATCAGACAGTGACCAAAAACCACCCCAGGGTTTGCCCCGAATTTCATGTAGATAGTCTACAGCATATGCAGGCATGGTTCACCACGCCCTCATCCTTCAATGCACCAACAACACCGGCTCAAGATCAGGTGAAGAGGTATACCAACCAATTCTCAGATCGCTGCAAGTAATTTAAGCCAGAAATGGGTTATCTATTTACTTATCCTGGGCTCAATCCCACCCTCTATTCATCCTGCAACAATAGCATAGTATTTCAAGGAACACCCCTTAGTCTTGCAGACAACATTCTCAATGATAATTCTTCGGATGCCTTGAGCTTTGCTAGTCTATATTACGGAGTAGCTTCGGTACTATTGGAGTAAGCCTCATAAGACTCTAGCTACGTCTCACATCGGGATTTCCACGAGGTCAGCTCCGTTCCTAGTAAACGTCAGCATCCCATGTTCTGCCGGTGAAGAGTGGGATATCGTGCTCAGCAATGTTCAAGTGATGAGATAGCCAATCTGAAGATTTTGGCCCCCTTTCCACCCCTCAAGGATGTTAAACATCCCTATAGTGATCTATCTGAAATCTCTGCAATTCCGAGCTCACGCAGTACCGGTAGTTAGCAGCCGTAGACTCAAATTGATCAGCATGACCTTTTGGTGCATGGCGATCCATGATCAATAAATGATGGGCTATGGATGTTTCCCGCCGCCCCCGAGATGAACAAGGCCCGGCCCGCCATAAGAAATAAGAAAAGCAAGTACTCCCGTAGGTTTTCATTTTATGTGCATCAAGGTGAGAGTGTCAGTCATACTCAATGCACGAGAGTGTACGGAGTATCGATGTACTATCTCGATCCTATCCTATTATTATTATCATTGTTGTTGTTGTAAAGGAAGAAGAAAAAAAAAATCCCAAAGCCAGTCAAACGTGAGTAGGTTTACGATGTATAACCATAGTCTTTCCTTCCCCCTCGCCATTCCCATATAAACCCTAAATACCTTGACCGTCAGCCTCAGGAATTTCGTACTCACGACACTAGAAAAGATGGGAGTTGCACAGCAGAGACGAGGGACGGACTGAATGGAGTCACAAGTCAGGAGGCAACTCACATCTTGAACTGATCTTGAGGCATGTTCATTTTGACTATCTTCAGTATCCGTGGAGGATGGATTGGAAGCTATGAGGCGAAGACCTGTGTTTCCCTGTAATGATTCCAAATCTGGGGCTGAGGATACGCATTACGCAGGCTCCTGTACATCATTATTCACCTAAGATAGATACATGAATCTACTTACATACACCATGCATACAATTGGTTGCTGATCACTGTCTTTGATGATTTGACTCATCGTGAGCATTTGGATCTTTAATGATAAGTGAGATTCAGGTTACTTCGTGATCTTGGTTCTACAACAAGGATGGGTTTGGCCCTTGCATGGACTTGGGCATGAATCCTTGAAGTCCGTAATTCTGATCTGCAACCATGTCCATACATATATACTATATCAACTCGAAATTTATATGGCCTGAGAGCCCAACTCGTCTGACAAAGATGAGTAATCCTCATGGGAGGCTTGCGGAAATGGTTGACATAACAGTCAGCATGGCATTTATTCACTTCGAAAGCCATAGATGCAAAGTACATTATGAGACATGAAGTAATCTACCGCTGAGTCTGACTTCATAATTAGGTATCTGGTCTATCTACAGGAGAAACAGGACACAGAGGTTAAGAGATGAATTTTGAATATGAATGACCAAGATCTGCATAGTTCCACTCTGTGGAGTGCTGCTCCAATGCTCCATACTCCGTACTTCCGTACACGGGGGCGATAAATCAAATACAAATGAATAATGATGACTGATGAGAAACCGAGAAGAAAAAGAAAAGGGGGTGGAGGGGAAGGAAGCTAACTACATCTGAAATCGCACACTTATCGCCAGTCGCGGCTATTCGAAACCCACAGACAGGTTCTGTCGATTTCCTAAGTCCCTTAGTCGTACGTGACCGCAGTAATCAGTACACTACGTAGTAGTGAGGCTACCAGTCAAACTAATTTACGAGCTATCAGCCTTCCACACGCGGCACACGGCATGTTGGGGTGGGGGGGATTCAAGATTCACGACTGGAATGGAACTAACTACTAGGTATTTTGTCAATTCAATGCCAAGGATGCAACAGTGGAGAGCTTCCTGACGAATTAGAAAAAAGACAGTTCGAGCACTATTGGATTTGGATCGTCCGCGGGCCGTCCGTCAGTAGTTCAACCGGATGAACCCTGTCATGTTGTTATTTATTTTTTTTGGGTACTGTAGGTATTACCTTAGGTACATGGGTCATAGATATGTAGGTACATAGCTTGGTCTTGAATTTCTTGAGTTTATTATTCGGTATCTACAGTAAATAAGCAGGTACTGTGACTGCAGTACTACAGCTGAGGTATATATCATCAGGATCATTCATTTGTATTTTTTTTTATAAGGCTCAAGCACATATCATGAACGCTTGATCCCACAGTTCGATCAACAGGCTAGAGCCTCCCAAAAAGAGAGAAAAGGGAGAAGTCTCACGAGTCAAGCCACTTGATGAAAGTTGGAACGCATAATGACCTATGCAAGGTTGGAATGGAGTCACCGAGTACGGGGTACATACGAACCAGAAAATTCCTCATGATGCCGTCTGAGGTAGTAAGAATTCTACCTTGAGCTATGGATACCTCACGGAACCCCCGGGGGCTTCAGCGAACAGAGCAGCTATCTAAGTACCTTGCTCTACCTATCTAGGTATTCTATCTTTTGACGCTACCGATAGTTGTAAGTATCTAAATACCTAAGTAGATGGGGGATATTCATCTCGCAGCAGTTTGGCCTTCCTGTCAAAGTCGAATAGTCGATACATCATGGCTTTGGTTGAATTTTCAGGATCGTCATCCAGCTGATGGCTCATGCTCGATGATCAGTCAGCACAGATTCTATCGCAAGTCCCCGACAGTTCAGGTCCTGCGTGGAAGACGAGGGTATCCTTGTCGTTTCCTTTCCTTCCCCCATTCAGGGTAGGTCTCCTAAGGCATCTCGTGTGATTATCGTGTTTTCTACAAGACAAACAGCCTAGACCTACTCGGTAAATGTACCCTAAGTACCTAACCAAGACCTATTTGGATCTGATTTGACGGTGTGTCATGGTGATCGGGATTGATCTTTGTCAGACCAAGGTCCCGGTCCACTTTGTTGGGTCAGATGATACTTACTATTTGGGACAATTCATCAAGATGTTAGTATCCCAATTATCATTATCAATATCATTATCGCTATCATTCTTCTTCTTCTTCTTCTTATTTTTTATTCATATTACTATACATAATTACATACTGTATCCTCTATACTTCTTTCCCGTATTTCAGGGATTCCATAGGGTGTCTACCTCAGGTCAGGAGAGTGCCTACCTATCTCGCCGGATGGTATCAGATCCTCGAAGACCTGGTTGCCTTGTCACGGAACCTAGGTACTCTGTACATATTACACACAGGGTATCTGTATACCTAAGGAGGTAGAGGCAAGTCGAGAACGCTTATGTGTGCTGCGCTCCATAACTAGGAGCCTACCTAGGTTGCACACCATCACTCTTGGCCCCCTGATTAATACTGTGGGATTGTTGGTTTTAAGCACAGAGTTCTACCTTATCTTGTACTAGCCTAGTGAGTAGTGCCAACTGTGCGTGGTTGATGATTGTCAGCCTGATCGGAACCATACTATGGGTTCCGCGATTGGGTAAAAGAGCTAAAACAAGGTGGCTTTTTAGAGAGTTTTGCTGGTTTGGATTAGCCTTAGGAATTAGATATTCTTTTCAAGTGGCTGCTAATGAATTTCGAGCCTTGGCTTCTAATAGGACCACAGATGTCGAGGATCATGGCATGTATATTCCCTGGTTCATATACGTACCAACTTCTTTCTATCTTTCTCCATCTTGTCTGGAATACTAAGGTATCCGTACGTATTATTCATGATGCGGTTCTCTTAACCTGGTTGCTAAATGGCAGTCTCACGAAATCAACATCAACAGCAAGTCCTAATGGATAAGCGAAAGTGTCATCCTGAAGCAGCAACAAATGATTATGCTTGCCACTAGACTAACAGATGTGTGAATGAATAATTGTTTAATGATTCGGAGCTACTCTGCCCTCTGTAGGTACGTTGATGGTAGGTAATCACTCCGCATGACTAGTACAGCACTGAGTACCACTCACTGTCTACTGATAAACATTATCACGATGTACTCCGTATTTTATCGACTCCATGATACGGAGCACAAGGATTTCTGTTTCATTTTCTAAATACTATATTATTATTATTGATATTGTTATTATCATTATTTTATTTTATTTTATTTTTTCTCTTCTTTGCTTTTTTTCCCTTTAGCCGCCTCTAAATTCCATACATGCAGGTCCATATGCCATCTACTCCATACAGAAGGGGCACAAGTGTCGTTCTCACGCCCGGTCTGTCCTGTTCTGAGACTCCTGAGGCTAGATTGGCTCTCGAAATCTTGTTCCCTAAGATGTTGACCCTCATTTCACGATAGTCTACAAGACTTCAGCTAAGTAAATTAGCAGGCTAGATCCCTGTCATGGTCCGCCCCCGCTGCTTCCACTGTCTTGGGACTCAAGTGTGTGGGCGTGAGGATCATGCAAGTAGACTAGGTATATCTAGTTCTAGATCACCACCTCTACCTCCTAAAGAGATCGAGAGATGGATTCTGTGAGGGATGACTGGTTAATATAAAGGGAAAAAGAAATTTAACCCCCTCCCCCAAAGACACAGAAGTGGGAAAAGCAAAGACACCCGAAAGACAGCTGCAGTGTGAACCTCTTGTTGATCACATCTACTGAGCCATACCCCAACTACGACTACTATTACTATTATTACATACTATCTCCCCTATATCATTATTATATTATCATTGTTCCCGTTGTTGCAGCTGTCAATCTATTCTGCTGCATCTGAAGTATTCTTACTTTTTCTTCTCCACGCCGGATTCCGTGCATGCACCGGCACGTATTATACTCACGTTGACTCGACTATACAAAGTACTGCGAGGTAGGTAATGGTCTATTCCTTCCTCTTCTCTAAGCTCCCCTCCGTTCTTTCCTCGAGCCCTGGCTGGTACTTCCCTGCTTAATGCTTGCTCTTGAATCTCCAGCTTGGTCTTTTCATCTGAGGTGCTGATAGTCCCATCCTCCTGGCGCTAGGAAATCGAAGCTAAAGAAGAAATAAGAAGTGAATGCGAATCATAAAAACATCCCTCAGACAACTGTTGTGCATGTGGCAGAAACGGACGTATACATATCCTGTTGGACGCTTCGCAGTATCATTTGTGTCCGAGATATTCATCCATTTCGTCCAGACCTAGAGCTGCGTCCTCTACAACTCATAAAGGAGGAAGGGCCTTGCAACAAGGGCGCTCAGATATAGGGTACTCAACCACTGGGTTTGAAATTCTTCACTCAGAAACAAAGAGATTCGGGAACCGTGAGGATCACGACTTCTTGAGGATCATCTGTTTTGAGCGTGCCAAAATGGAAACAGCTGAGCCAGTGTCATTTGAATTCGCTGGCCATGCAGTCGGTTCAATGGCACCTCGCCGGATGATGAATTCCAACCTGGGACCCAATTTCTCCTTCTACAACAACCCAGTCACGTCGTTTCCTTTGCCATACCATCAGTCGTCCTCCACGACATATGGTTTCGGTCACTCACTCAATCAGCAACCCCAGCAGCACCCCGGATACCAACACTATTACCTCACCGGCCATCCACCGCTGAATTCTCAACCCATGCGTTTGTCATCTGAGCCACCACCCTTTCAGCAAATCCCCGAAATCCGTCCAGCCAAGAACGCCATCAGTCGTGTTATAAGAGATGCGGTACCTAGACCTGAACAGAATACCCCGCCTTCGCCACTTGCAGCATCTCAAGTGTCTGCTAGTGAGACTGTGCGGGTGAAAAATCCTACGCCGACGGAGATCGAATTCTCAACCGAGGTGGATATCTTGATGAAAGCAATCCAAGCAAAGGCCGTGGCTCCCCAGTCCAGTCTGCAATCGTTGCCTTCACTCCAACAGTTGACCCACGGCAGTAGAACCAGCTTCCCCCAGGCCTTTGCCATGGCGTCTTCCACTGTTCGCAGCAACGTGGTCGTCGAAGAGCTCACGTCTCGGCCAGGGAAGAAACGAAAATATACGTGCAGATTACCAAATTGCGGAAAGAGCTTCGCCCAAAAGACTCACCTGGATATTCACACGAGGGCCCATACTGGGGACAAACCTTTCGTAAGCGGAACAATCATAATCTTGCCGTTGTCTAGTATCAGTCACTAATACGATGCTGGATGCCAGATATGCAAGGAGCCTTCCTGTGGGCAACGGTTTTCCCAACTAGGCAATCTCAAAGTGAGTGGAACAAAGCAACCATTACTTACGAGAGATGGAACCATCACATTTCTGACCTATAGTCATCTCAATCAGACTCATCAACGACGCCACACGGGCGAAAAGCCTTTCCAGTGTGACATTTGCCAGAAGAGATTTGCCCAGAGAGGCAATGTCCGTGCCCACAAAATTACCCATCAGCATGCCAAGCCCTTCACATGTCTGCTTGATGACTGTGGGAAACAGTTTACCCAGCTTGGTAATCTCAAGGTATACTGCCTTCTCATGGCCTGGCTCCTGTCTTATCCCTTGTACTAACAGGTCTACCAGTCTCATCAGAACAAGTTCCATGCCTCCACGCTACGGAACCTGACACTCAAGTTCTCTCAAATGCCAGAGGGACTGCATATGAGTCCTCAGGATCGTGAACTTTGGGAGTACTTCGCTACACTCTATAAGAACAGCAACAAAGGTATAAAGGGCCGTGGCAAGGATCGCAGGATTTCCCCCACTGCTAAATCGGATACCGGATCCGCCTTACGCGCAAGAACCCAGTCCCTCGACAGTGATGAGGACATAAAAGCGTTGCAGGGAAGCCGCGAGAGTTCTTCAGCCTACACTGGGAATTCCAGCAGTGAAGAGGATGACGGAGAATCCTACTATATAGGCAGAAGGGGCCATTAAGCGGCAAGATCCCTCCAAAGTTGGTGTTTTGTTCATGCTTTGTGCCGCCGGAAACTTCTCTGGAACCTTTTTTTCTTCTTCTTTTTGCTTTTCGCGAGATACCAAGGCTATTTTTGTTTTTTTTTTTTTTCTTTGGAGTTTTGGAGTTTTGCGTTGTATTACCCAGTTCCGTTATATCTCTCCTAATCTGAGCCTCGCCTTGTTGGGATCCCCTCTTCCTCGGACTTCTAGAGGACAAAGCATCATGGTCACTCCAAAGAAAGCCATCTTGCGATCAAGGGGGACCCCGATAGTGCACCAAGAAAGGGCGATATCCAATCTTGTACAAAACAGAATAATCCCCCTGTCCCAAAATAAAGCATCACTGAGCATTTAAAATTGGCTGACTTCTTTGCCAACGAGCGACAGCTACGAACACAATCTAGCGCTTCGAAACCAAAACAGCAGAGAACGGCAGTAGATGCTTGTCTACAAGTGGAGCGCATTCTTGGTCGTGAAGCTGATGATCATTGAAAACCCGGCTTCAAGGATATCTAGTATTGTTGACGATTCCTTGGAAGAAGCCAGCGCGTTCTACTGACCTGAAGCCAAGCGGGGCAGATAGGCTTTTGTGTTTTCATATACCAAGAACGTAACCCATGTGCTTGGCAACACACGAAGGAGGTTCGGGCCTAAGCCCTTGTAGAAGCCAGCCAGGCCTTCTTTCTTCCAGATTTGCATGGCCGCATCACCGGCGCTCCGATACACAAGATGAGCATCGTACGTCTGCAGACGGGATCTCAACACTTGGTAGGGATAGGTGACAGAACCCGCAAATATCTTCGAAAGGCTGGAAAACACGAAGAAATCAAGGTTCCCCAAGCGTCGTGTCGGCCCTCCTCCTGAGTCAGCGCTGTCGTTACCGGGGCGCAGAACCGGAACCATTTGGGAACGGTAGACTTTCAACCGCTCATACGCCATAAATTGAAGAGCTCCGTGACTGACTCCGAATAAGGCCGGTAAAAGACCTCGGTAGAAGCCGGTTATACCCTCTGAACGATATATTTGCATTACACCGCTGGTAAAGGAGACATAGGCTCCCGGGGCCTTGGAGCCGGTGGATAACATGCGGGTCTTGATTACCCATATAGGATTCGTCAACACAGACGTAGTAAGACCTAGAGTGATACTCCGAAGACATACGGTCAGTAAGTGTAACTTATCACAGACTTATCGCTGAAAGAGTTGGGAATGGACAATAGAATATAGAACATACCTGCAAGCCCCGATGCAACGAAATAATCCGACGAAGTAAGCTCCGATTCCCGACAGTCACGGATAGACTGCAAAGCATCTTTGATATTACCATAGCAAAGGAAGTACAGAGCCCAGCTAGTAGAGTTTCCAATTAAATTCGGTGTCAAGCCTCGATAAAAGGCAGGTAGTCCACCTTCATGCTGAGAAATTTCGCGAATGACGCGAATTGAACCACCAATCTGGGAATGAGAGGATCGATCAACTAAGATTTATCGCGGACAGGTGTCAGTATTTCCTAGCAGTCTGATTAGGAACATGGGATCCGCTCCACAAACCCTGCAATCTAGTTTTGATCAAATCCAGTGGATGCAGGCAGAGAGTAGAGACTATTCCCGCTGTGAATCCTGCTATGGTCTCCACAAAGGATGGCGATAAGCCATCCTTATCAGTCATGGAACCTCTGCGGTCCTTCAAAGTCCGTGATGGAGTATGAAGGGAATGTTGAATGATGGGTTATCTCGAGAGCGTGAGAGGAGTGTTTGATGGAGCATCAATCATTTTTGTTACCTCCGGTTGCACACGCAATGACGCGGGCTGGAGGTTTAGCGTCCGAGAAGATTTACCGAGGAACCTTTCATCACAGATAAGCTACTACTAAATATTCAATGAGGAGACCCCAAAGAATGATCGGAAATGTAAAGCGTATTAATCTGTGACCCGTGAATCACGCATTTGTTCACTACATTCTGGTAATAAAGATCTGTCACAGTGCGGTATAGAACGTGGAGTCTTGTTCATGGATGATCAATCAATATATTATCAGACGCAGAGCATTTTCCGTTAAAAAAAAGGTGAGAAAAAGATATAGAAAAGTTTAGAAATACACAAATGCCAATGTAGAATTCCAGCCATCGGCACGAAAAGCGAACGAGAATGACCTTTTTCAATTATTTCCATCAACCCTTCACGTTGACTTCAGCTCGAAATCAAACTCGAGCGCGAAAGGAGAAGACAATTTCAGTCTTCAAGGGTGCTGATCAAATTACGAGGTTTCGCATCGTTGTACTGTCTAAGCTAGAGGGGAAAACAGCCTGACCAGAGAGTTAGCTGTCGGGTTTTGCGTGACAAGGGTATCTGGTAACCAATGTATACTTGAAGAGAGAGGGCCTTGGTTCGCTGTAAGTGTAGCCTGTAGGATATGATCAGTATTTTTGAGTGGTGCGGTTGTACAGACGAAACCAAGGATGTGAGATGCATACCCAGATAGATGATCAGAGGTAGATAACCACTGCACGGAGCAGGAAACTGTTAGTACTGTCACTAGATAGACCGGACAAGGGAACTTGGGCTCACTAATGGATAGCGACTCTGGAAACATCGACGACCTTGGAGATACGCTCCTAATCGATTGAAACCGCGTTAGCCCTTAGGTCATCAATGGTGGTGTCAACGAGGATCAAACCTTCGTTTCTTCGGAGAACTGGACCATGTTGCTGGTTGCAGAGGGGGCTGAACAGAGGGAGCGGGCACTGAAGCTTTGATCTAGATATCTAGACAGTCAAGGGTCGGTTGGATGACCAGAAGAACAAGTAGAGGCCGTGGAAAGAGATGGTTGAATGCGGAGAGCTGGGCGGAGTGGGTGTTTGACACAGGTGAAGCTCAAGAGTTTTCTGGGGAGACTAGGCAAAAAAGAAAGCTGGTCCCCGATAGACCGCAGTCGCTCCCGTCCCTGCAGACCACATCGAAGTCTTGTCGACATCGTACCTGGTTTCGCAACCACTCTTTTCATCTTGACTTAGACATTTACTTAATCTTCGCGTTCTGTGCAGTTCAACATTGTTGAGCTATATTCTTGAGCCACTAGCAGTCAGTCGACTCGATTGAGTTAAAGTCGGCATCATGTCCGGCGCAAGGCATTGGTACGTGACCACCCTTCAAAGACACATTGGCGCAGGGAGTACAAATAGTGGCAGAAAAGAAGCAGGAAGAAAACTAACTTCGTTTTCTGTAGGGAGCAAGATAAGGAGGCTACTGTGTACATTGGAAACCTCGACGAACGAGTCACGGATAGCCTAGTATGGGAGTTGATGCTGCAGGCCGGACGCATCGTTAATGTTCACCTACCCAAAGATCGGGTCACACAATCACACCAAGGTTACGGTTTCGTGGAATTCATCAGCGAGGAAGATGCTGAATATGCATCGCGAATAATGAACGGTATTCGTCTATATGGCAAGCCGATCCGAGTTAACAAAGCGTCCGCGGACAAGCAAAAATCTGTGGAAATTGGGGCAGAGCTCTTTGTTGGAAACCTTGATCCTCTGGTTACCGAGCAGGTTCTCTATGATACTTTTAGTCGCTTTGGAACGCTCGTAAACATTCCAAAAGTAAGCTTTTCCATGCTCTTCACTTCCCTACGATGTGCTCATAGACTGCAGGTTGCGCGCGATGACAACAACCTATCGAAGGGATACGGATTCGTATCATTCGCCGATTTCGAGTCCTCTGATGCCGCTATTGCCAATATGAATGGGCAGTATCTCATGAATAAACAAGTGTCGGTGCAATACGCCTATAAGAAGGATGGAAAAGGTGAACGGCACGGTGATGAAGCGGAACGAATGCTTGCTGCACAGGCTCGCAAGCATAATGTTCGCCCACCAACTCAGCCGCTCCCACCACAATTCACCACTCCAGCCACTCCAATGGCTGCTGCAGGATTGGCTAATGGTGACGGCCCCCGGCCGTTGAGCGCCGGCCCGCCGGAGTTGGCGGCAATGGGAAGAGGCATCGCGCCGCCTAATGTTGGCTTCCAGAATGTACCTCCACCACAAGCCACTCGACCAGCACCTCCATCCGCTCCCCTGTCCAACCCCCCTCCCGGTCTACCGGCGAGACCCCCGCCATCTCAGGCTGGTTATGGTGGCCCGCAGGCTTTCCTCCCTCCTAGCCTCAACAATGCTGGTCAACAGGCCCCCTTCCAACCACAAGCAGCAGCACCACCGGGCTTTGCGCCTCCGGGGTTTGGGCCTCCCGCAGGGACTCCCGGCCCTCCGCCTCCTCTACCACCAGGGTTTCAGCAACCTGGTTATGGCAGGGGCCGCTGAGATTGCTGCCTTGTCGAGTGAGGGTCGATACAAAGATAAATACCAAACTCGTACTTGGCCGGGCAATGGCCTTCTTTCCAAATTCTCTCTTCCGATCATATGACGAAAGAATGGAACGGAGACGAGCCATCCTACTTGAAGCGCAGCACGCTTGCAGATCAGCCAATCGACTCGCCTCCCAGAAGACATGTTGGTAGTTCAATCCAGCAATGGGATAAGTTTTTGAGAGAGGCTTGGACCATAAGAATACAGTTGTACAGTGAGATTCGCATTTCTGCCTCGACCTCAAAAGCAAACAACTCTTTGCTAAAAGCCGATGGGGACCATTGATCGGGTAGAATTGCACGCGGCGCGAATCCTGGAACAGAACAGTCGACTATAGTATTGGAAACTAATCCCACCGGAATACCTAGGTTTACGGATCCAATCACAATAATCACGGTGAATCTTCAATGAGGGGGAACCTCGTAGATGGCTTTCCAGACTTGCAGAGACCTGGAATTATATGCCACAAATAGTACGGAGCAAAAAAACATTAGATAAAAAAAGCTCAGGCAACAACAGAATCACAGAGCAGGCCAAAGGGGTCGATGCAGTACAAGTTTATTGATCCCTAGAAATCACAAGGCTTCCGGCCGAGGACGCAAAACCCGAGAAACACAAGCTTGAGCGCGAGCAGCTAGAACAATAGCAAGGAAACGGTAATCAAGAGAATGACACGAACTTCGGGTCCCGAGGCCGGCCGTCAGGACCAATGTTATGGGTGGCAAAGCGACGCTCTGTGTATATCCTGCGGGCTTCATCAAAATCTATGTTCTGCCTCTTCATGATATTCTGCACTTCGCGTTTCGCCTTGCCGTCCAGGCCGGCTCTTGGGTCGCCATCTGCGATGTTGGACGAGATGTCGAACTGCGACGAAGTCAGGCCTGCTTCTAAATCCCCAGCAAAGCTAGAGGGAAGGTGCTGGTAGAGATATTCGGGCACCGGAACCAACGGTAGCCAGTGTGACCGGGTGAGGTAAAGTGCTGTATGTTTAATGTCAGATAGGCCGGGATCTTACTGATAGATGGGCTGGGGGTAGCATCAGTATATCAAGACGTACCAGTTCCGCAGATCACAACGGAGAATGTTAAAAAGTAAAGGAGATAGTACGCCATGGCGACAAAATCTATGCTCATATGAGTGTCCCAGGAAATGTTGGGGATGATGAACTGATGTTAATGAATGAAGTTCTAGTTCTTCATAAAGAACAAAGAAAAGGTGATAATCGTAGGGTAGTAGTAACCTCAAGGTGCAGAACGAGTATGAAGATAGCGCTGGTCAGGCAGGACACTGCCACAACCAGCTATAGACAAAGCATCTAAGTTGAAAGATGTCAGGAGGCGATGTACAGAGCTCGTGTGCAGCCACCTCTTGATTACCGTGCTCAGGGACAGGCAGCAAGGAGCGAAGCGGATGTCGACTACATGTGCCATGGTCAGTGTGGAGCCATGGCGATTAGTTTGCCTGATACCTGAGGCATCAAACCGCTTTTTGAGACTATACCTAAAGTGGTCTCCTTAGCGAGAATGTCTGGCTGTCGTTCTTGGCACGGGCGCACACAATTATGATCCAAGGCTATTATCAAGTAGTATACCAGATCCATTCTCCTTCAACAGCTTGAGAGAGAGACAATTCACAATGGCCGCCGAAAGAACGAACGTTTCCAGCGACCTCATCTGGCAGATCACTCGTATGTTTTTTCTCACATCCTGCCTGCCATTTCCAGATTCCGTGGAGAGGGATCTTCAGTGTTTTGCTCGACGGATTTCGTCTGATTAGAGACTCGAACTGCGGCTGATTCAAACTACTGTGAATAGGCAGCCAGAATGCTTTTCTGGTCAAGCGACGGACTGCCGGTGGTTCTCAGTTCTCCCGGGACCCCCTGAACCTGCAGAACAAGCAGTCTTTCAAGGTATGAGATGAAGTGAAGCAACCATCTATCTGTTCATTTACGGGCGTTGATCGCTAACCTCGAGACCCACGTCTAGTATGCTGGATATGCCAACACTAAGGTACTTACCGATTGTTGATATGAGACGTCAAATCCGATCCTAAAATTTTCATCAATAGGCAGTTGGTGTGCAGGCCACCGAGAATGGCGGTGTCATTCTCATCACCAAGAAGTCCGGAAACGCTCAGCAGCCTGCGAAGAACCTGACCAGCGTGAGCTGGGGCCCCAACGCTGCCACCCGCAAGTAAGCAGAAATCAGCCCTTATTTATCTGCCGGACTGGCAGTTATTATAGCAAACCGGGCTAACCTGGGATGTCTGCTTTCCCTTTTCGATCTAGGATCTACAAGGTTGTCGCCGACAAGACTGCTAAGAACGGCTACCGCGCCGACCTTCGTGAGGACGTCGTTGCCCGTGTGAGCGCTATCCGCCGCTCTCAGAAGCCCAAGAAGGATTCTCCTGCTAAGAAGCTCCGGGGAGCTCAGGCCAAGAAGGCCGCGGAGCAGCAGTCCGAGTAAAGGGGAAGTGCTGTGAAGGGAAGTCTGCAAGGAAAACGGGGGTCAAGGAAATGGGCGTGTCGACCATAATTGCGCCGTGCTGGTCAAGGGCGGAAGCGTCCATGTAATCTAGCAATATTGCTCCTGGCTACTTTTTCCTCGGAAGGCCATCCAAAAAAGAAATTCACGCATGATAAAAAAGAAACCAAGAGACCAGTACCCTGCGGGAAGGACTAGGTTCCAGTCGGGGATTGAGAGGGTCTGCTCTCTATAGTCAATCGAAGTCGTCCCATTCGTAGATCAAATTCGCCTCAACGGCCATGGCGAGTATCCTGCTTCACGCTCAGTTGTATTATTATTGGCACTCGCACTGGATTTTTACGCAACTTAGAGCCGTCTCGCTCGGGCCGAGACAAGTTTGCACCAAGTATGAAGTTGTAGGCTTTTGCCGGAGGTAGATTCTCGACTCCCGCCTTTTTCCGAACCCACGATGGGTCAATGGAATGAGGGACCAACATCGGCAGGTTTCAGTGGAGGAGGACCTTGGGATTATCGGATGTTTCGACGAAAATTGCCGGAATCTGGGGGTGTATCCGGAGGGAACCGACTCGATAATTGTAGTTAGACCAAGTTACTGGCGTATGTGAAGAGGGACGGAGACATGGAAACTTGTTGAGCAGGTGAAGCTCTATCTTTGCATTCACATGGTTCTTTCTCTGCTCGTCATAAGAGGCATCTAGCGGTTGAGATAGAAGTATGATAACGGCGGCTGTTACTCACCTACTATGGGAGTACCTCTAGCCTAGGTAGAAAGTTTTTTGGGGAGGATCGATCAGCGACAGGACCATGAAGAACCTATTAGTAGTATCTGGTATCTAGTCTACTGTTTAGTCTAAATATATTCAACGGATTGCAGACGTTCTCCCGGGTCGAAAATCACGTCCCAACCCAACCCCACATGTGATCCCCAGCCAGACTTCCTAGGTATCCTGGGTAATGTTGATCTATCTATGCCATTTACCCTGACCCCCCTTCCCCACTCTATTGAGGATACCCAAGGTGCCTACCTAGGTAGGTACTGTATATATGTAGGTGGGATTGATTACTCCATACGGAAATGAGCAAGTTTCTAGTCCGGTCGTCTACAGAGTAGGTACATCTGAACTCTTATTCCGTACCTGTATCCGTCTTTCTATAAGAAGTAGCCGAATGTCCCAGAATACAAATTAGAAAAAGGACCATACAAGAAAGATTTCCCGTTTCCCTGGATTTGTGATCACTTCCATCGCTGTAAAGAGAATACCATACCCTATCTATATCTATGTACACTATTCACACACGGTATGTATGGGCATTGTGCAACCGACAAGAGACAAATGGAAGCTTCTCCCGACTCACCGAAGACCCCTTCTGATCAATTATCCGGCCGTTGCCTTCCCTTCCCCCCTGGGCCAGACTCTCCAGGAGTGGTGGCTTGGTATTTGCTGTTCGGGTTCCCTTCCTAGACCTAGCCTCCTAGTCTTACCTAGGTAGGCAGGCTATTTGTGTTACTCCTCCTCTACCCTGAAGACTACCAAGACCCAAGTACCTTAGTAGTACTCTTAGTTATTACCCCTCCTTCTTACCCCTCCCCCTCCCTCCTCTTCCACTGCTGCTCCACCCCCCACTCTCTTCTTTCCTTTCCCAATCTCCTCTCCCTTTAAGCTCCTGCTTTCTGGTCCAGAGTTGTCATCTTCACCTTCACTTTTATCTTCAGATCAATTCATCCTCTTCCTCCCCCTGTCCACTCACCTCCTCCTATTGCGTGATCACTGTCTTGTTGTCTGGTACTTTTCAAGACCTCGCGCTCACCCTCTTATCTCAAAAAAGATCTTCCCATCCTTCAACATGGTCAAGGCTGGTAAGTATTCTTGAATGGTCTTCTCCCTTCCGAAGGGGGTTTTGCATCAGGAAACGTACTGACGCGTACTGGATAGCTGTTCTTGGAGCATCTGGTGGCATTGGCCAGGTCCGTATTCCATACCCCCTCCGTCGATTTTACACAGCAATGTAAAAAAATGTCATGTTAACGTCCGGTTTGGTTCGATATCTAGCCGCTGTCCCTGTTGCTGAAGGCCTGCCCTTTGGTCGATGAGCTTGCTCTCTACGACGTTGTCAACACTCCCGGTGTCGCTGCGGATCTTTCTCACATCTCCTCCGTCGCTGTACGTGCCCGCTCTATGAAATCATCCGGCGAACGCGAGTTCAGGCCTGATATCTGACTTGTCCCTGCAGAAAATCACCGGTTACCTTCCCAAGGATGACGGGCTGAAGCACGCCTTGACTGGCACTGATATTGTCGTCATCCCTGCTGGAATTCCTCGTTGGTGTCTCCTGGGCCAATATAATGTTGTTCGGTGACTGACTAGAACTTCGCATAACAGGCAAGCCTGGAATGACCCGGGACGATCTATTCAAAGTCAACGCTGGCATTGTCCGTGATCTCGTCAAGGGAATCGCCCAATACTGCCCCAAGGCTTTCGTGCTCATTATCTCCAACCCCGTCAACTCCACTGTTCCTATCGCCGCTGAGATCCTGAAGAATGAGGGTGTCTTTGATCCTAAGCGTCTCTTCGGTGTCACCACTCTGGATGTTGTCCGCGCCGAGACCTTTACCCAAGAATATTCTGGCCAGAAGGACCCATCCACGGTCCAGATTCCCGTCGTCGGAGGACACTCTGGCGAGACAATTGTCCCCCTCTTCAGCAAGGCTTCCCCCGCTTTGAATATCCCTGCCGACAAGTATGACGCGCTCGTGAACCGTATGTATTTGTGTTACATCCAGAGGAGCCTTGTCGAATCGGGGCTAATCTCTTCGCAGGTGTGCAGTTCGGAGGCGATGAGGTTGTCAAGGCTAAAGATGGTGCTGGCTCCGCCACTCTGTCAATGGCGTATGCTGGCTTCAGGTGCGGTCTCCCTGGTCGCGAAAAAGGACCCGTTTTCGTTGCTGACTGATCACAGATTTGCCGAGAGCGTCATCAAGGCCGCGAAGGGCCAGTCTGGTATTGTCGAGCCCACCTTCGTCTACTTACCAGGTATCACTGGCGGTGATGAGATTGCTAAGGAAGCTGGCGCCGACTTTTTCTCGACCCTGGTCGAACTCGGAGTAAGCTGGAGATGCCTTGGAGGTAGTCCTCTTTTGATTGAAGAGTTGCTAACACTTGATGTAGCCCAACGGTGCGGAGAAGGCCATCAACATCCTCCAGGGCGTCACAGAGCAAGAGAAGAAGCTCTTGGAAGCTTGCATCAAGGGTCTGAAAGGCAATATCGAAAAGGGCATCGATTTCATTAAGAACCCACCACCAAAGTAAACGCGCCCAACCCCATCTGTCAATCACAACCTTCACTGGCCAGCTGCAGCATTGTCTTTAATGGAGTGCACTTCTGGATGGTCCTGCTTGATTGTTGTTTTGTCTTTCCTTTTTTGCCCCCCCACCCCCCACCCCCCAAAACTCTCCCCCTTCAATTCCCACTCTCCTCTCAATTTGTGTTATAGTTCGTGGATGTGGGCAGAGCCTTGCTAATCAGTGTTATCACGGAAAGATAGGCTTTGAACTATAGGTTTTCGGAAACAAATTAATGAGCATGTCGTTGGGGGTAAATTGTTTTTTTTTTTCTCAAAATGCAGGTTTGTAGAGATATGCATGCGGGAAATGAACAAATGCCCCTCTTCTTTCAAGACAGCCTATATCTGCGGATACCAAAGAACTATGAGCTTGTCGAAGCATATCGTGCGAAGGAAGGGGGTGTCTATTACTTCAGCTTTTCCATAGATTCAAGTTCAGATCACTTGTGACACGATGTTTTCCAGTTGAAAATCCTGTCCCCACGCGTTCAAGGCCTGGGTTGAACTGTTTTAATTTGAAACGTTGCCCCAGGGAGCTCCGAAGTTTCGGCTTGAACAGTGGTTGTTATGCCCATGCTTGATAGAGCGCCCCGAATGACACCGCACGGAAACCAGAGATACTGTAGGAATATTAGAAACCGCAGGCCATAACTATAAGTTTATGGGGGTTGCCCACAGCTTGAGCCATCGAGACAGCATCACTTCGAGAGGCCATGCTCATCCTTGCAAAAGGTCGAAAAGAATTGTCTGTCAATACATAAACGCCCTAACAGAAAGCAACCTACTATTAGCTTCGCGTCGGTATAAGACGACCGATTGAAGGATCCTAGATATGCTTCGTATACTGACCCGATGATTTGTTTTCAAATTGTCCACTTGTTTTGTAAAAAGGATCATCCAAAGATCTTTGCATAGGAATTTAATGACATCGAGATTGTCTGTGAAACGGGGCCGATCACGAGAAAACCTGCGGAATAAGGAAGATATATCAAGTTGAAGTCAGCTGTATTTGCGCCCAGTCAAGCCTTGTCTAAAAACATTCTTGATCCACGAATTTACAGTCTCCGACAACGCTCAATATTGACCGTCAAAATAGCAGACGAAGCGTGTTCGCTGGCTTACCGTTCCGCCAGTCCTTGTCCAACTCTGTAGCCGATAGATTCAAGGCGGAAAAATGTGGCCTCCCTGGCCTCATCATCATCAGCTATCTTGTCGCTAAGTGATAGATCTTTGGCTAGGCGCTCGGCCATTGGAACGAGCTCTATCATAAGGAAATCCAGGCATGAAGTGCTCAGATATCGGACTTGAGGATCGGAGTTATTTAGAGATGAGGTGGACACATCGAACGACATCACGATGAGTTGGAGTGACTTAGAGCGGAGCAACGTTGGGTTCTAGAATAAAGAAGAAGAAGTCGCTGGATTTCATCCCAGATCGAGTCTGTAGTTCATAGCGTTATCTTCGGTGGTTGCGAGGAGAGTTCCTAACTTGTCACAATGTGGCTTGAGAAATTGGGGTAATTCATAACTCGTGGCCCCGACCTTAATCATGCACCTTACTTTCTCCGCATGGACCAGAAAAGCCAAGCTGAGACGTTATTGGTGATGCATATTTCATGCCTGCCTAACCACAAACTATCGACTGAGGAATGGTTACCTTCTTAGATATCATATCCATCCCACGTCCTGGGATTTCGATTGGCTATGATTGTTGCTGTCTTGCTAGGATTTGATGTCCGACTATTTCTGGGCCGGAAAAAGATACATCTGGAGAAAGAAATTTTCATATGTAGGAACACTCAGCAGAGAGGAGCAATGACGACCCAATCTACATAGCAACTCAGCAAGAGTTGAGCCTAGAGTAACTTGAAGAAACCGATCATCTACAAATCTGATCGACACACGATGCCTCTTTTTGACCCAGCCAAAAGTATGTAATTGTGAAAGCTTGATCCCAAATACGCCTCAACACCTTACAGATATGCTTCGCAAAAATGATCATGCATCATAAGCACCATTTTGATTCGGGGATTCCGAGGTAGTGTGACTGGGGAAAGACGAACCACCCCCATTTATCTGTCCAGTGCGAAACTCTGGTCGCGGGAATGCTCTATGAGAAGCATTTAGTGCTGGACGCTTCACTGGCCTGATTGGGGAATCGTCTGCATCATCATCACTACCTGTCAGATCAATCACTTGCGATGCTGGGCGCTTATTGGTAGACAAACGGGCCACGGATGATGTCGCCGATGGCTCCCTCGATTGAGCTGGAGTCTGTTGCAGAGTTAGACCTGATGCTGGCATCGACTCTTGCTTTACACGCGCAATTCCTGGTTCCTTAATTTCAATCAACTCGTCGTCGTCATCATCCGTCGCTGGGGTGACACCAGCCGTCCCGGTCAGTTCCTCCCCACGTGGATTTGACCATCTTCCATCTGGTTCGATGATGACCTGGTCTGCATCCGGGGGTGTTGAGTGCAGTATATCAGCGACATACCTACAGGCTCTATATTAGTGTACTTCACTTGGTGTTAAAAACTATAAGTGACTTACTGGTCAATTTGCAATGATTCGAAGCTTGTCGCCTTGGAACAGACTGGACACGACCAAGTGGGGGCTTGTTCTTGCAATTGCAAGAAAGAAGACGCATCAAAACACTGGTTGTGTGTGCAAAGCACAGTCCGGCAGGGGACTTCAATCCGGAGTGTGGATAGAGGGCATTTTAGCGACAAGACAGTTGATGTGGCGACGATGTCAGAATCCTCCGCTTTATTTTTCACTATGAACCATTAGAAACCATTGGTATCGGATTTTGAACATAATTTGCATACTTTCCCGTAATACTTGCTCCTTTGTGATAGTTTTCCTCCTCTTCAATTCGGAGACAAGCTCCTCCACTGGATGCCGCTGGACAAGATTCACCAGCACGAAAAAACTCTGTAGGTAAGTCAGAAGAAGAAAAGGTGATCCGATAAACCTATCAAGCTCATAATAATTGAGGTAAAGGATGAAGAGTGGGACCACAGGACTCGCCTTTTGTGTAAGCGCATAAGTCATGACAATGTTGTTAGGATATCCGGGCTTCTTGCGAATATAGTTTGTCACATCCGCAGGCCTCGTGGTGCCAGGCTTATTTTTAAGTCCCTTCAAATTCGCCTTCACTTCGTCCAGATTGGCTTTTAGCTCCACCTGCTGTGGGAAAGCAATATCGGACTTGGTGTATTGGTTGAGGCCACTGTCAGCAGCACAATAGACCATGATCCGTAAGTTTGGGTCATTTTGTAGCCTCGATGCTAGGTTTTGGGTAAGAACAACCTTAAGCTCCACATTATCCCTGGTTTGTTCGCGAACTTAACGGGATCAGTAATTGAAATCCCGGAAAGACCATCTTGGAAGCTCCACACTCACTTTTGCATTCAATTGTAGGGGTCAGGTGTTCAAGGATAGTATAGAATGGGCTATCCTTGAAAGTGACACGACCTGTAAGAATATAAGCGCATATCTACAAATGAACGGAGAAGCATAGTGATGCACACCAGGTGTAAAACCATGCGACGACATCGGTACGGTTGAAGATGTGGGCCTGTGTTGTGTTTGTATCGACTGCGCGATAGATGACGCCTGGCATGGTTGACTTGGAGGAGGCTGTATTGTGGACGGCCCAGGTATTGAGCGATGTGCTGTGGCATAAATGAATCTCCTTAGGCTATCATAACGTTCGGTATGCCCGCCTTGCGCAAGTCTTTCAATATCTAGTTAGTCATTGAGAACAGTCAGCCAAAGCTCTAATAATGGAAATCAAAGATTAGACAACCCCTGGAAGGACTAACAGTCGATTATTCGAAGTTGTAGTGAAGCCTTAACACCCGAGACAGCAAGCCCCTCGCTCCTTAATATGTCCTTGAGCTGCGCATTTGTTAAAGTTTTTACCAAAGCAGTAACGCTCTGGAGCTCAGGTGAATGAGCTGTAGAGGTCATGATTTTGAGTCAATAAGGTGGAAGCAAATGGTAGGCAATATTGGAGAGTACATAAGGAAATTCAAGAAGCGTAATTAAAGACAAGCGCGCTGATAATGGTGGCTTGACTCAGAGACATCTCAATGCTTGACTTTGGCTGACGATTCTGCCTCGGCGCATATGGACCAAACAAATGAGAAGGGTTTAGGCACTGGATGCATATGCGATAGAGACATTTATAACAGCTTGTCGAGCGCATAAGGTAGTGAGGATCTCGGAGGTGAGAGAAAGGTCTCCGATATGATGACATAAGATGGCCCAGAACAAGACTAGGCGAACGAAAAAGAGAAAAAAAAAAGTATTTGTATTCCAGATAATGTGTTGACATAAAACACCGGATATTTTAATTGAGCACACACTGATTCCTTTTCTTCCTCCACCTGTTCTAATATTTGGCAAATAATCACTGATTTCGGTTGGCTCCTATTATTTGGAACAAAGCACTATGGCAAAGAGTGTTCGGGCAAGTGTCACCAAGCGCAACAGGGCGAAACTACGAGCAGCAGTTTTTGGTCCTGCTGTTGATGCACGGACAGAGAGACTGTCAGCGAAACTGCAAGAGCTTGCCTCGCAGCCGATAACTCGGGAGCATGGCAACTCCAGTATGGAACTTGACTCTACGAAAACTGGTATGTAGAACTTGCCCTTCACACCCGTACTGAACGCTTCGCCAGAAGCCCAGAGGCTCATTCCTCGTGATATGCAGGTGGCCAAAGCAACCCCGCCGACCCTCGCTCGTCGAAAGGAAATGAAGGTGGGCTTTTCTTTTCTCTTGGAACGAACTCTATGATCATGAGAAACAATAATGGCTAATGCAGGGCTGTAAATCCTAGGGATAGATATGGACGTTGACAAAGGAACTGTTGAGCACACTCGGAGTCGGGCACATAAATCCGACCGGATCCAGAAACGCAAGAAGCCCCGTTCGTCCATTGTCTTTCGCCCACATCCTTCGAAGGCGAAGAAGAGCTCGAAGAGAAAGTGAAAGGATCATGGAGAAGAGAGAGGAACAGATTAACATCTGGGAAAATGGCGTTTGGAGTTTAATCACACTTGGAAAAACAGGCATTGAGACTTTGAAGTCACAAGACAGGCAGCCACAATGTAGGACATTCTGTAAAAGCTCTCGATCATGGCATACGCTGCCGAGTCGAACTTTTCTGGATAATTCTTGATCTATTATTGAGTTGCTATCAGATACTGTAGTGCTTTATACTCCGTGGATGTACTAATTATACCAACCGATTCATCGTTCATAATAAATATCATTAACTCTATCTCTGTGCCTCACCAATCAGAGGTCATATCATCAAGCACCAGCATATGTCATCTACTTGGTGGCTAAGTAGCCTTAGCCCAGAATAGAAGGCGGTCTAATTCAGGTAAGCTTGCATAAGCGTATCAACTCCTCTAAGATTCTTTGTAATAATAATAATAAACTTATCTACAATGTACTCCGTAGAGACACTTCGACTCTCTTATTTTTTCCCCCTTGTTCTCACTTGCGTCCAATTACTTAGATGAGACCTTTATCTTTGCCCGATCACCCTGACAATACACTCACGACGAAACGGGTCACATTCAAGACGCAACACATTTGACTTGCTCCTATATGCAGCTCCCTGATGGTCAGGGCATGGGCCATCGGCTCTCATCTCGAACAACATGAATGTCAAGCTGGGAAGCTGGGCGATTCTAATCGCCAATGTACTCATTCCTGTAGCTATCATAGCCTTTTCTTCTGGGTTCTTCCCCTACAAACCTTTACTTCCTGGGTTGGCTACTTTTGACGAGGCAGGTCTCAACTCTGTGGCACCAAAGATATTCGATAGAGTTATATTCATGGTGATTGATGCATTGCGCAGGTATGATTAAGTGTACTTAATTTGACTAAATCATATTTACCTAGCTAAAGCCCACTGCTAGTGACTTCGTTTATTCAAACACGTCCAAGTTTCATTTCACTCAAAGGTTAGCAACCATGTTAAAGGATTCCTCTGACCTTTCCTGATCATACATATTTTCTGAGATTAATAGTCTTATTCGCTCTGGTGCTGCGCTTCCTTTCACTGCCCATGCTAGTTCTCCCACAGTTACGATGCCTCGGCTCAAGGCAATAACAACTGGTTCAGTCCCATCCTTTTTGGATGTAATATTGAATATCGCCGAGTCTGACACATCTTCTACGCTTGCGTATCAAGACACATGGCTGGCACAATTGAAGGCTCAAGGGCGGCAGCTTGTTATGTATGGTGATGATACCTGGCTCAAGTTATTTCCTGGATTCTTCGGTAGGTCTGATGGAACCACGAGCTTTTTTGTGTCGGTTAGTTGCGATTCATAGATGCGGGTCACGCGAATATTCTGAGAATAGATCAATTGATTCTCTTTGGCAGGACTTTATCGAAGTGGACAACAACGTTACTCGCCATGTTCCTTGGGAATTGTCACAGAGCGACTGGTCAGCCTTAATCATGCATTTTCTAGGGATGGACCACATCGGTCATAAAGCTGGCCCGAAAAGGTAAGGGAATCATAATGCATCTCATGTCGAATAATCCGGTATTCTAAGTAAGCCTTGCAGCTTTCATATGAGGACGAAACAATATGAGATGGACTCGATTGTTGCCAAGATATACGCTGCCATGGAGAAGGAAGAACACTTGCAATCGACCCTATTCGTTTTGTGTGGAGACCATGGCATGAATGATGCTGGCAATCATGGCGGTTCGTCCCCAGGAGAGACGTCGCCGGCCTTGCTTTTTATTTCACCTAAATTCAAGGATAAGCACACTCCTGGCAAAAGTCCAGTTGAGGCATTCGACGAGTTTCAATACTACCGAACCGTCGAGCAAACGGATATTACCCCAACATTGGCTGGGCTTCTTGGGCTGCCTATCCCTCGAAACAGCCTAGGAGTTTTCATTCCCGAGTTTCTGACTCTATGGGACGATGGTAGTGTCCCTTGTCATATATATATTGGAATTTTTGTTGATTTGAGTGCTTTTTGGGCGGTAGGCTCATCCAGGATCGATATTCTGCTTCGAAACGCAAACCAATTGATGGCAACAATCAGAGAGGCTTACCCTGATCATAGCTTTGAATACAACACGACCACTCTAAATTGCAACAAGCAATTGTCAACGGGCATCGCTCATGTCCAGTGCGCTTGGTTTCGGGCCATACAATTCCTTCACCCAACTACTAAAAGCAGACCAAGCTGGCTTGAGATTGAATCGGCTCTGTTACCTTTCTTGAGATCTGCCCAGGAACTTATGAGCAGCGCTGCTAGCAATTATGATTTATCAAGACTCTATGTGGGGTTGTGTCTCACGGTTCTAGCTGTTTTGTTCTCAATTGGGCCGACTTACAGGATTCTTTCCAAGTCTCAACATTCAGGGGCATTCCTTATATTGAGTATCCTAAGTTATGGTATCATGATGTTTGCCAGTAGCTATGTGGAGGAAGAGCACCAGTTCTGGTACTGGGCCGTCACAGCATGGACTGTCTACCTGCATATTAAATCATCTCGACAACAGCTTGATTCCTCAAAATCCCAGAATCTGGCGGCCTTTCTGAACAAGTGCAGAAGTATCGGCTTGGCGATATCTTATCGGGTACTGAGGCGTTGGAATCAAACCGGCCAAAAATTTGCTGCTGAACCGGACATCGCCCAAGGGTTTTTCCCTCGCCGTCAAAATATTTTCTGGGCTTTGGTCATGATTACTTATATCGACACGTGCATACACCTTTGTGGCAATCTGCGTCAGATCAGTATATGGCGTCTGACTGCTATATTGACGACCTTGGCCGCATTCTTCTTCAAGCTGGTATTTGTGGCCTCAGACTCACCGGAGCTTCTTGCCGAATGTTTTCTAGCACCGGTACAGAGAAACCTTCAGAGTGCTAGCTTGCTTGTGCACGCCAGAATAGTCCAGTTCGGCATTGCTCTTCTCATTTTAATATCGGTTTATGTGAAAAATGACAGGCACAGAGACTTCCGTGGGGCACACTGTAAGTTTCAAGCAAAGTGGTCTCTGTTACGCGAGAACTGACTGGATTGAAAAACAAAAGCAGCGGCTTTCCCCAGTACTGTACTTCATGAAAGTCTAACTCTCCTCTTAATCACTCAATCCAGAGCCGCCAACATTCCAACCTTTTTGATTTTTCGCCTCCAGGCTATGATTCTAGCTTCGATGAACCTGACTGCAGTTGAATTGACGATCACATCCGTCCTCTCGCAGTATATGACGTTCTTTGCATTGGGAGGTTCGAATGCAATTTCTTCTATCGATCTTTCCAACTCATACAACGGGGTCGACACATACAATGCGGTCCTGGTAGGTATCCTCACGTTCATAAGCAATTGGGCTGGCCCAATGTGGTGGGTTTCTGGTACTTCGCTTCTCCGATCATCCCAGGCCCGTATGAGGACGAAAGACCACGTAACTCTTCTAACATTTCATATTGCAACATCTCTGATGTTCGTCATGGCTGCATGTACAGCTTTGAGGACGCATTTGTTTATCTGGACCGTGTTCTCCCCGAAGTTCCTTTACACTTTGGCTTGGACTATTCTGAACCACCTGGTCATCAACTTATTTGGCGCAATATACTGGCCGCTACTCTCTAGGTAGTCACCATTTTTTTTTTCATACACAGTTTCTCTTGGTCTTTCCCTGGCAATGATAAATATCGATTACACGAGACTTCGTCTTGATCAGATAAACTCCCTGATGTGGGATGCATGATGCTATGCATATGATCAGGGCCATTATAGTAGACCGCCAAATATATCGTCAATTACATTCTTCTTTCTCCCTTTCTTTCTCCTTCCCGGATGCTTTGGAGCCGCACTCGCTTTACCCTTTCCATCATCCGTCTGTCTATGCAAGCTCACGAGATCACCTTTCTTCCCTGTTTGCACATTTGATGGCCGAGCAGAGACCGATGGTCCTATTGGTCGGGAGATAATTTCTCCGACATCCTCCTGTTGTAGATCCTCGATACAAGGAGAAGAAGGGTGATTGTCCAAGTTCGCTTGATTCGATAATCTCAATTGCTTATCAATCCCTGTGGCTCGAGTAAGACGAGCTAGGGCAGCTAACAATACTGTGCCAAGTGTTGAAAATTGCCCATCCGCCACAACTGTAGAAAATGCTCTGAACCATGTTTTAGTAGTCGAACCAGAAACTATTTTGTCGCGATGAAAAAAAACTGCAGAGACGAGAACCATAGGCAAATTCTCAGTGAAGACTTACAAGTAGCAGTGTGGTATGACATGCAAAGCCAGATGCTGCCTATACAGGCAAACAGTATGCGGCTTATCATGTTCATGTTTGAGTTCTTCCAAAAGTCTCAAAGTACAGCGTTTCAAGATTGACACCCATTTCCACCACTTTGTTCCGCCGTGCTGATTCTTGTTTCGGTGAAATATCAAATGGATTAGGGAGTGTATCGCAAGAATCCCTTCAATGTCCATAAGGTCTTCTTTGTGCTGCAACAGTGCTAGACAAATGAATATAAATTATAACACAATGACAGCAGGAGAATAGCACCTGCATCTATCCATCCAATTTAACGTTGAATTTTGAGTACTCAGATTTCATTAGAAAGTGAATAAAAGATCCAGCAAAGGGGTACCTATGGAAGCTGATATGCAAGCTGCGGTGATAGGTCATCGAGAAGGGGAAAGTGCGGAGCGGAACTACTTTGAATGTCCTTTGTGTTTACTCCATCATTGGAAACACACAACTTTTTTTTTTTAGCTACAATTCTGAGTAACTAATACCCTGTACGCATTTTTCATGAAACTGTGCACCGAGAAGATATTTCGAGATCTAGGGTAATCAATTTATTGAAGATAGTTGAAGAGCAGATCACTTGGAGAGGACAAGAGCAAGTTGAATGAGGAAGACATGTTTCTAAATTCAGTTTTGAGTCTCAAACCACTTTTCTCCCTTTAGTCTTAGTATTAAAATTGATTTTATTCTTCTTCTTGTTATTTTCTGAATGATGATAAACACCAGGAGGAAAGACACCTAAATCTCACAGAGACGGGCATCCAACTGAGACGAACCCAACACTCAGACTCGGACTGAGAACATCCATGCCAGCCAGGGCACCGAATAGTTTCTTCCTACTCCGCCTTGGTCAAGAATGCTGGTTATCTCCATCTCCAAGTGGCTATTCTACTAAGAAAAAGAAACTCGTGGGGGATGGGAAGATCTCAACAAATTATGAATCGCCAGCGATATTGAATCTGAAATTGGAATTGCACGTGTTTGGTAAGATCATATTGGCGTTCTGATCAATCATTTTATCGGGTTTTCCAGTGAGAACGGAGGTTTTTCCGATTGAAGATAACTCTTGGTCAGGTGGACGATATTAGGACGTCTTTGGACCGCGCTCAGGAATGGTCGGATCGTACCATATGGTTGATGTGGGATACGTGCAGGGCGCACTTCTCAGACCATTGGTGACGCCAAAGGGATTTGGGGACATCGTCCGAACGTAAACTACCTCCCGCTCAGCGGCAGTGGTTCCGCGATCAAATTGTGAACGCCGGCGACGTTGCTCATCACGGTATTGCTGACCAACACGTGGGGCGAACAATCCTAAAGACATCTCATGTCAGCACTTAGAATGCCCCGGCCGGCCTCATGTCACAGGGTCTTACCAATATGTTCCGCATTTTCGATACTACGACGCATCTTTGAAGGGTTGTCTGGTCCCGGGAAACGGTCCTCTGTACCAGCAAGAGGACCAGTGCCGGTATGGAAAATCTGCACACTCCGTGAGCTTCATGTGCATTGTCACCATGTCTTGGGGTATAACGCCGACCTTCGGACGAAACGATGGATGTTCTAACATGACTGAGCTATTTCGGAATTTTTGTATGAGGCAATCTTTGCCTTGAATTGCTGTTGACAAAAACATTAGAGAGGGAATTTGATCACAGTAGCATGGTACTAACTCGCATACGACACTTCCGCGACCTTATCGCTATTGAAACAATTCCTGCGAACGTATTATTGTGGGATCAGAAGAATGGAAGAAGAAAGGCCCATACCAGGAACGCCCAGCGCGCATTTTGACAAACTGCTCTGTAATCAGCGTCATAACCGGCAGAACTATAAGAACAGGGAGTCTGACATCGATTATATCAATCGGCTATTGGTCTGTCAGAAATTTCGAAAGAAAAAAGAAAAGAAAAAAGACAGAAGGCCGCGGGACAGCTACTCACGTCTTCAAAATTGATGAAAGCATAGCCGACACTGACCAGATAAGCACCACCACAACGGAAGGCTATGCACGAAAAGGTCAAGCAACTCACTTGCAGTTGTTTGCGAAGTCTGCATGATAAGTCAAATTCGTTTACATCACTAGATGAGGGGAGTGGCCCATTTCGTACCAATGCGCAAATACATGAAATCATACTTGCCATGACTGCTTTCATCGACAATGGCCTTCAGCATGGTCTAAGTGCGTCAATTGCATTGGACCAGCTCCATAATGGTCCGTACCTACTTGGTCGATCTTATTTGGAATATTGCGAAGCATGATCTGTTCATCGGAATATGTCAATCCAGAATTTTTCACCACAAATGAGTTTGATACATACCGTTGTACGTACATCCAAGCCAAGGCGTATTCTTTCAATATCCACAGCATTCTGGCTGATTATACGGGCGTCAGGATAACGAGTAATCTCGCGGCGGGGAGAAGGCAAGATTCCCTCGCCCGCCCTAGACATCCAATCAATGAGATCAGCATGCTCGCCTGAAGGGACAGTAGAGCGTCCGGTTGGGCTAAGCTCCATGTAAGGCGTGCGAAAAGAATGTCCTGAAACATATGAGCTGTTTCTGTAGGGGGGAACATTGTAACGTGAAAGCCCATCTTTCACTGGAGATGGGCTTGTAAGAGCATTCAATGCAGTATCTTCACCAACATCAGGTCTGAAAAGAATAGCCTCGAGAATGCAATCCTTTTGATCAACTCATTAGCTGTGCGCCTCGTCATACTTCTACATCTCTTTGAGTTGTGACAAAGTAGGGATGGAATGGTAGGGCGCGGTACAGATAGGGACTTACATCAACGGTAGTGCCATTTAGGGTCACCATAGCGTTCTCTGCGTCGCGCGAATTGAAAAATTCCAGGTGGAACTCACTGACATTTTCTTGGCCCTTAAGCAAAGGCTTGAATGACTTGACATCCCCGAATGTCGTCGCAAGGGCCTGTAGTGAATTTGCTATAGCATGTGGGTTAAAAGTCGGGTTCCGGCTATCGTAATAAACAGATACAAGCAGTTGACCTTCATAATCAGATGCTTGCGAAAGAAGAGACGGCTCAGAGTGTTGCACATATTCCTTCGTGGAAAGAGGGAACATATGCCAGTCAGGTCGAAGAAGCCGGACTTTATCGATGGCCTTTTTCGCCTCCCGACTATCTGTGAAAGCCACATAGACCCTACCTAAAGAGCTAAGTTCGGTAAGTACCAGCCCTCTGAGAGTTACAAATTCCCGACGCTTTTTCTCCCAATCAGAATCTGGACCAATTATGAAGCATCCCAATTCGAATACTTACGTTGAAAAAACCGGCCAAAGACATGTAGTTGAGATTGGTCGGAACGTTATCAATGGCAAATGCACGATTTCGTCTCTCCGATTCCATGTTATCGGCGACCATACCTGCTTCATAAGCCTTCTGAATCGCAGGAGCACGACCAATAGGTCCGTAATTTGGTAGTCTCAGTCCAGTAATACTCAGAGAACTGCTACCACCTGCACGAGGCCCAGCTAGTGCTTGACCATTCAAGTGGCCAAGGCCCGGGTGATTGCAGGCCAGATCATTCAGCTGATCTCCACTGACAACGGGCCTGGTGATCTCGGTAGGTGTGAAGTTCGCCGCAGTCGGAGAAAGCCGCAGCCGGTTGGATGGGGTTGTTGGTATAAGAAAAGGATCAGAGGGGTTTCTAGTAGCCATTAGTAGGCTTCGCAACTGTGTATTCTGCTGCACTCACATCGAATAAAGCTTGCGGGATCCGACATCAGCCAGTGAGACTCCAATGCTGGACTCAGGACGGCTTTTAGATCGGATGTTTTCAGGAGAATACGCCGTAAGCTTGGTATCGGGTGATCCATTAGGAGAAATCCCCTCATTCGTAGAGCAAGGACTACTCAATCCACGAGAGGAGTTGTTGGTTCTCATCATTCGTGACCGGATTTCCCTATGTTAGGGATGGACTCAAGGTTCTGGTCCTTTCCAGATATCCGAGATTACGATACAAGGTCAGCCTCGAAACGCCACGAAAAATCCGAATACGGTGGGAAGTAAAATGGTAAAGATGGCTTGAGGTCGGAACTTGGTACAGATTGACAGAGAAAGTGCTTGGCTAGAAGAACACCGGGCGTGCGTTGACTTCCAAGGGGATTTTGTGAAGATATGTGATGAAGACAGACCTGATTGTTCAAGGAGTAATAGCTTGTGGAGAATGGAGTAAACACTCTAGTAGGGCCTGAGCTCTTGTAATGTGTAAAGACCCTGTTAATACGCAGCATAATCACCATACCAGAACAGGTGCTGAGCATACAGAACATCACTAAATTGCTGATGACCAAAGGCTTCCTCAGATATGATAGAGAGAGAGAGAAATCCCAGTCAGTCTGATGAGCCGCTTCAATGAAAGAAAATAAGAGGGGGTAAAGTTATTCATAGACACCCACAAGACTGTATCCTATATAATTAAGACAGGCCACTACCTGTGCAATACAGCCTCAAGCTGCGGCAAAAGGGAAGTTATCAAGCTATTTCTCTTTCTCTTTGGAGAAAGCGTTTCCATGTATCCTTGTAAGAAGACGGTAGACCATCTACTTCAGACTTCAAGAACAATGATATCGCCATACAAGGAACCAGAAGCTTCTGTTATCCGTTAGTTCAAGATTCTTTGACATGGGAAACACTTCAAGATCATCTGTACTTATGTCTGGTCTTCGAATGATGGAAATATCGAGTTTGATTTTCCATCCCAAATAAAATCCTTCATCCGTTTGATCTTCAGTAATCATGATGTTCCAGTCTCAGATCCATACTTGAGCCCTGCCATGGATGGCATCTCTGTCTTGGTAAATGCCCAGATGAAAAGAGATATACTCTATTGACATCATTGTTACCTGGCTTAAGCTATCAACTATAATGGATGGATATTATTAGAAGATGGATACTTAGCTACAGATTAGAGTGTGTGCACGGACCCTATCACCAATCATGAATGCACAGACTACTTTAACTGAACATGCAGATACAAACCCATGATGGTCTTATTACTTTATACAGAAAGAGGAAAGCAAAGTTCAAAAAATTGCTAGTTACAATTTCAAATCCATTCATGTGCTTTTTGATCTTAAATGGATGAAGACACACATGATCTAGCTTCCAAGCGTCCTCTCACTTTCCTCCATCATCAGCTTGAGTTAAGTCCTCAATTTGGTCATCAACTAATCGGATTACAGACTTGTTAAAAAACTTTTATCCTCTTGCTAGACTTCCAGTGGGATCTAGATAACCAATATGCCATCGATGGCTGCTCCGAGTAGTGAACCATCGTACGTTTTGAACCAGGTGAGTATCTGAGAGAAGGGCAATTAATGGAGGCTCACTCGATGTGACATGGTATTTAGATCATCATTTCTCCGTCAGATACGGATTATCTCGATCAATTGATTCCCTCGATCAAAGAGTACAGAATTGGTAACCGGACTTCTCAGCTGTTGCAGTCGTTATCTAGATTTGCCAGCGCCAAAGAAGCGGAAATAGAAACCATCTGCAACACAAACCATCAAGAATTCGTATCTTCGGTCAACCAACTTCTGAGCATTAGGGAAGGAACAGTCAGCCTGACGGCAGAGATCCTCGATCTCAATCAATCCATTCAAGCTAGCACCGAACGGTTGGCCGAACAGAAAAAGGCGTTGGTAGAGTCGCGCAGCCACCGGCAGAACATCGACGAGACATCTCATGCTATACAAGATTGTCTGGAAGTATTGCGCCTCGCTAATCAAGTACATGACCTGCTTGCCAAGAAAAACCACTACGCTGCTTTACGAGCGCTTGAAGAGCTACAAAATGTCCATCTCAAGGGTGTAACTCAGTACAAAATTGCCGATATGATTCAACGTTCGGTCCCAGCGACCCAGCGAGCAATAGCAGAAGCTGTTTTATCAGATCTCAATACCTGGTTGTACCGAATTCGCGAGATGTCTCAGTTCCTCGGAGAAATAGCCTTGTACCATACCGAATGCCGGAAGACAAGACAGAAGGAGAGGGCAGAGAAGCTACCATATCTCGAGCACTTCAAACTAAATTCTGCCATTGAGCTGGTATCGGACGAGCACGAGGAATACGATTTACTACAGAATGAAGAACTCCAAGTTGATTTCACCCCGTTGTTTGAATGTTTACATATACATCAATCTCTGGGACGTGTGGACAAGTTCCGAGCTGAATACGCAAATACTCGATGCCGACAAAAGGAGCTTTTGATCCCGGCTTCCATTACACTCCTTGATGAGGATGGGGCCAGCCTTCACAACCTTCTAGAGGAGATGGCAGGCTTTGCTATCGTAGAGCGTGCTACTATGAAACGAGTGCCGGATTTGCGATCTTCTATTGATGTAAAGTCATACCCCCTTCTTGACCGCACATACTCCATGATTTAATCGGGTTGAATAGGTTGATGAGCTCTGGGATTCCATGTGCCAGACAGCTGTAGGGTTGATTACAAAGGCACTTTCTGAAGTTGACAATGCTGAAAGCTTGCTCAAAATCAAAAATCTTGTTGTGTTATTTATGCAAACCATGAATGTTAGTTACGCCATTGCAATAATCAAGCACGGATTCTCCAATACTGACTGCTAGACCGACAGACATGGGGCTTTCCTGTCGGGATATTTGACACTCTACTCTTGACATTGTTCGAAAGATATGCTGAATCGCTGAAGAAAAGGTTCAGTGATGACTTTCAGGAGGTATGCTATATCGCCATACATGGTTCTTCTCTTCTAATGCGATCTGTGAGATTGTCTCTACGGATGACTATATGCCTATGCCCATACAATCTTTGGAGGAGTACGATAAGGTCCTCAATGTCAGCTGGTATAACCCCGAAAAGCAAAGGGAAGAACAAGTGTATGTGCGAAATGTTACAAATGAGTTACCATCATGGCTAATTACACCTTTAGGTTCCCGTGTGTCCTCCCTTTCTCTCAAATGTACCCCTTGTGTTGCATTGACATTCGAAACTTCTTGAACCAATTCTATTTCTTCGCCAATGAGGATTTTTCTCATCCAAGTATCATCGATGAAACACTTGAGAATGTGAGTCCCGCGTGGCACCTCATAAAGGCAAATAATTCATTTCTAATGACCGCAGGCTTTGGACGAGCTTCTCTCAGACAAGGTCTGCGACAGCCTCGTTGAGCGTCTTGCTTCACAATACCTGGGTCAGATTGTTCAGATACTCATAAACTTGGAGCACTTTGAATCAGCTTGCCGGGAGCTAGAAGTGCTCCTTGCTGCAGCTCGATCACAGGGCGCTGCAGGTGGTCCCATCTCCTTGAGGGCTACTGAGAAGTTTAAAAGCAACAAGAAAGCAGCAGAGAAACGTATCTTTGAAGTGGTCAATTCTAAGATTGATGATCTTATTGAAACTGCAGAATACGACTGGATGATGCCTATTCCACCCACAGAGCCCAGCAACTATATGCAAACACTCACGCGCTTCTTGTCCAACATAATGAATTCAACTTTACTTGGTCTTCCAACAGAGATCAAGGAGCTCATATATTTTGACGCGCTTAGTCACGCAGCAAACATGATTCTGGTAAGATATAACATGACTGAGGGCAGTGGTTCGCACCAAAGTGAGCTAATTTTCCCCCTCTCCTCACAATAGGCACAGCCTCTTTCACCAGACGTGAAGACCATCAACCCTAATGGAGTGATGGCTCTTGCTAAAGACGTTGAATACCTGTCTCAATTCGTTGATAGCTTAGGTGTACCCATTCTACGAGAGAACCTCGATGAACTCCAGCAGACCGTACATTTGATGCAGGCTGACAACGCAGACGAGTTTTACGACATTTCTACAAGAAACAAAAAGTATGGTCGCGTAGATGCCATCAACGGTCCTATCCTGCTAGAGAAGTACGTTTCCCGGTTGTTCTGTGTATGGGTACTCCAAAGATACTGATACAAAGTCAGGCTTACGCGCACTGTGCAAAGCTCTGGAAGGGTTGATAAGTTCACGACCCTTTCCTCTAGATTTGGCAAGAAATCGTGAAAGGTTACAATGCAGAAATTACCAGATGCTTGTTCTACCCACGTAACCAGCAGTTTGCATGCTTTGAATTGTTCTACTGGTGGAGATAATCTTATTCGCTATAGCTTTCTGGGATATGAATATAAATTAAGCATGCTGCCAGCAAATTCCTCACCCCATGATCAATTCACTCTGCGCAAAATCGGCCATCCACAACATCTGTATACCAAACCAGATCGAAGAAATCATTCACATCTCCGTGGCGTTCACTTTAACGAGATAATCGAATTAGCTGAGACTCCAAGTACGACTTCGAGTGCTCCAGCAACACCGCGAGCAGAAAATCTAGACATACCTGCTGTGGTGGTAAATGAGGATAAGGGTTGTACATCCCTTCAAAAATCTGAGGCTGCGGTTGACCATACGCAGCTGTTGGGTCTGATTGCACAGCTCCTGCATACATCGCTGGCTGTCGATATTCTTGGTCTTGTCCAAGACCATGTGGTCCGAGAGAGCCGTAGTCAGGAGGGGGCATGTGATGGGGAGGATGTTGAACACCGTGCTGAGACGGTGGCAGCTGAGCACCTGCTGAAGCAGAGGAACCTGCGGTGGCCGCAGTCGTCTGACTAGAGCGTTTCGCATGAGAAGTCGCTTCTTCGCGGGGCACTATGTCAATGAGAAAATCGAACATGTCGGATTTGGATAACGCGGCCGCGATATCCGATCTTTGCAGGGTGCGTCGCTTGTTGTCTTCGGCGTGTATCCAAGCGCGCATTGTTAGCTCTGTAATGAAAATATCACAGCCCTTCGCGAACAGAATAGGTGCCTCGGCTGAGATCATCTTCACTTCGGGATCTGCTTTCATAACCTTCTTGATCCGAGCCAACGGCAACTGATGGATTTTGTAGTCATGATTGTCTGACTCGAGGTGATTGATGATGTGTTGCCAGTACGTTGTTAAAATATCCCGGGCTGTCCCTTGCAATCCTTGATTGACCTTACTGCTATCAATATTGTGAAACTTCCTGGGTTGACTGACTTACGTTGGCCCACGTTCCGGTGTAGAGCTCGGCGACAGGTGCATACCCTTGTGCTGAAAGCTGTCGCATCCAAGTCAGTTCTCCAGGTGGATTCAAGTGCAGATTCAAAGATCAAGTCTACCGTACCGCAGCACTGGCACCTAAGATAATATGTCAGGCTGGCCCTCGATGCGTGAAGATGATGAGATTAGTGCAAATAATTACCATAATGGCCACCATTTCTTGTGTCATACACTGGCTGCTGTCTACCCTGCTGTTGTCCGGCGCTTTGCGAAGATTGATCCATTGCGAATATGAGCTTATTACGGCAAATTTGATTTCGAATAGTATGAACACATCAAACGATTCAAGTCCCTAATATAGCCAGGATGAAGAAGTGACAGTATTCACCTTGGCTGGCTTGTTGAAGGATAACAGGAAGAAATCAATGATGTATTCAGATCCCATGAAGCATGAAAGATAAGCCAAGTAATATGTCTTAGAATCATTATTGTTGAAGGGATGATACAACGCACTGTCAAGTTGGTAAAGTTCAACATTATGTAATAAGGTACTCAGTATGGAGGTTGAGATCACTAGTAGCTTACAGGTACAGCAGCAGCTTCCATCTATCCAGTATCCACATTTTAAATGAATGTGTAGAGAGCCTCAGACACATACCTGATAAGAACACCATCCTTATGGCTGATCAATCTTAGAATAGAAAAAGTCTGATATTAATTCAATAGCTATCTGATTAATTGTGACAATACTTATAGTCTACTTGTCTTGCTCCACTCACATATTTCATGGCTGTCTCTGAAGTATGAATGATCTAGATAAAGCTTTCACAGTGGTCTGTATGGGTCTGTATGATACCAGGACAGTACAAGAAATACCGGTTACTAAAGTGGCTGAGTCATGCTGATGACCCATGCCAGCTAAACCAATTTAGGTTTGGGTTTCTCACATAAATTCTCTTCCAATCCAAATATTTTTTCTTATTTCTTGCAGAATCCAGACGTGAATCAAATGCATTTCTCAACAAAGTTGTACAAAAGTACCAACATAACAATGACTGGGAGTTCTTTTAATGAAGTGGTCACACAGTTCCAGAATGAGGCTGAATTAACAGATTGTGATATTGAACAACTGCTTCTTGAAGCTGAGACCCGATTGCAAAGCTGCGAGGCAAGGTTAGGTGGGAATACAATCCCCCTAAACAATCCCACCGATTCTCCCGGACATACCTTGAGGTAAACAACTCCAGTTCTAGTGTACAATTGAACTATCAGCTGACGGTCATACCGCAGTGTCCCAAAGCTGACATCCGACTCTTCATTACAACCTTATGTTTCGCAAGTGAACGATGTTGCTTTGGCTGATACAAAACGTATGATCAACACTACGGGGGAAAAGCTGGTACCTGAGCCTACCCGGCATTCAGTTCAGCTTTCTCGCAGTTCTACAAAAGAAAAGGTAAAGTTTTCAAGTTAGATTCCCGCTTCTCTCCCGTATCATTGCTATGAGGAAAATTTTCCCATTGCATAAGCCCTTGATACAGCTTCAACAGCCCGTACTGGGCTGCGCTGTGCCAATGAGAGCACATATTTTCATAGTTACTCTGAGCAACATCATCCGCGATTAATTGCTTCGAACGTTTATTGTCGAAATTCATGGCTAATAGTGTCTCCGCAGGAAAAGCCAACAGCAGGGGCAGATTGGTTCCATCTTCCTAAGACAGAGTTAACGTCGGAACTCAAAAGAGATCTTCAACTCATTAGGATGCGTTCCGTGCTAGACCCCAAGAGACACTACAAGAAAGAGAACGGTAAAGCACAGCCACCTAAATATTCTCAGATTGGCACTATCGTCGAAGGTCCAACTGAATTCTTTAGCGGTCGTATCGCCAAAAAAGACCGTAAGAGGACTTTCGTCGAAGAGGCTCTTGTCTTGGAGCGGGATACCAAACGTTTTGAGTCTAAGTATAGAGAGATTCAGGCGTCGAAACAAAGTGGTAAAAGGTCTTTCTACAAGACTTTGCAGGCCAAGAGAAACCACAAGAACAAAGTGAAATGACGAGTCTCCCTGCCGAAGAAGAAACATCCAGCAATGCGAAGCAGCATCCAATAAGCAATGGTAAGGGAGTATGAGCAATCCCGATTGTCCAGTCTTGGGTTCTGCATGTTGTTCTATCCAAGCGGGGTCGTCATGTCAACACAATGGCTCGGCGTTTGCCCCTTTGACTAACCAGACTGTGACTGATGATGCCTAAACCCGATTGAGAGGGTCTTGACAACGAGTTTCTAATGGTTTGTTAGCGGTGATCTAAATGAATGAACCGTTGGTGATAGATATTTACCTGCATGTCGATCGCTGCGGTACGACCAGCCTCGAGGACTTCTTCGTGGCTTGCCTTCCCTTCTTGGAGAATGGTATCCAGCTCCTTCACGTCCTTTGCTTGGAGAAGATGATCATCCCCGCGAGGGATAGGAGAAAGGACTGCTTTGTTTGTTACCAAGCTGAAAGCTAACACCCTTATACCGCAATGCCTTGCGACAATGATTTCCGGTACAGTGGACATGCCAACTAAATCAGCTCCCATCTGACGAAGCAAACGACATTCTGCCCGAGTTTCATAGCTATTATGCATGGATGGTAAATAGCACTGTACAACAACAGAATACAATTGAATTGTGGGCGTGGCTCACCTCGGACCTCCGGCAAAGGCATATATACCCTCGTGTAATCTACGTTTGCTTTCTTTATTGATGACTGCACCCCAAGCTTGGTGTGCGTAGCGGCGAAGTTCAAGGTCATAGGCATCGGATAAGGCAGGAAATCGGGGGCCAAATTGTTCAGAATTTGGCCCACGCAACGGGTGTGTGCCTGCCAAGCCGGCAAGGAAAATATGCTGCAGAATATCAGCATCGAGCGTACTGAACTCTGGCACGTTTGACCAACATCGTTAATGATCACCACGTCCCCTACCGCATATTCTGAATTGAGGCCGCCAGCTGCATTTGTTACTGTCCACGTATGATCCGTAAGTATTGGCTTATCAGGTTTAGAGAGCGGGCTATCCTTACAGACGATAGTCTCGATCCCAAGGACCTTGAAAACGCGAACTGGAAATGTCACTTGACGAATAGAATGACCTTCGTAATAGCTTGTGCGAGAGATATCAGATGAACATGCCATAGTTATGGAACTAGCATTCGGTGTCATGGTTTACTTACTGTGCCCGCCCTACCATCAGAACTACTGGTATCTGTTCGGCAAGTAATCCGAAGACAAGTTTTCCAGCATGGCCGGCCACTTCCATGCGTAAGCAAGAATATCTGGCAGGGGCATATTGCACATCGTGATCATAACCTCCTTACCTGTCAAACCGGGGAAATGGGGTATGGAAGAATAATTGAACTCGGCCCGGGGCTCATCTTGGATGGTGTTCGCGAGCCCTCCTAAACCAGAACCACACACAATCGCAACGCGAGGGTGTTGCAGAGCTGGCGGTAGACGTTTCTTCAAGAAATCGGAGGCTTCCTTTGCCTGTTCAAATAAAGATTGGTTTACAGGAATGTCGGCCATCCTTTCCTGTGCTGCAATACGGGCAGGATACAAGTTTCCACAATGGAGAATCACAAGTTCCCGACAGAAAATGCAGCAAGAAATTCATCTATCCAGTGGTAGATACTAATGGAAAAGCACACAGGACTCCAAGAGTCCATAGAGCTCCAGAGACTAGTAACTCATACTAGGTACTAAGCACCGTGACTGAGGGGTACGACAGTACAGTAACAATCCTGAAGGGACCTAGGTACCTAGGTCCTGCGGACACACCACGTTACCAATACGGAGATATAAAATACACAATACCCTCTAAAAATTCAATTAATGACAAACGGAACTCACAAGATACCTACCTAGTCCTTTTCATTCCCCCACGGGCCTGCGATCCCCTCTGGATACCGTAGGAATGGGTTAGAAAAACACTATCTTGTCTCCATTTTACCTTTATATATGTTCAAATTAACCTCCTTATCTACTACTATTTAGTATTAGGTGTAGGAGTAGAGGTACCTATTCTATAAATGTTATCGGCTCCCACCAAAGGAACCCAGAATCCCAGATACCTACTTCCATACTAGGTAGTACAGATTAAGGTAGTAACCTAAGGCGGCCCCCAAGGGCGGTACGACGTATGCCAATCAGAACTAATGATCTGTTATGCCCGGATCGGGCAGAAAATCCTCATACTGTACCTGTATTCATTCAACTCATAGAAAGCATCCACCCTATCCTGCCCACCAAGGCATCGCTATGTCACTCCCACTTAGTATGCGGCTCCCGCTGAGGGGTGTGAGGCAATGGAAGGTGCCGAGTCCCGTTGTTCAAGTGTGTGCTAGACTAATTTCGATAAAATAGCTTGCTGTACCATCGCGCAGCATCTCAACCGAGCAGGATATTATTTCGCATCCTCAATCTCATGGGTCGCACACCCAATTAGAAACAGATTCAGAAGTGTCAGGAACTCGTTTGTTTCTCGTTGAATATGCTTGCCGTGTGTTCAAATCATCAAGCTGACTTCAAATCTGCTCAGGTCAACGAAATCAACGGTGACGGCAGCACCACGAGTCAAAGAATGGTGAGAACTGCCGTCAAAATGACAAAGTACCGAGTACACTAACCGATTGTTAGGGCGGAGCGTCTAGACAGTATTGGTGAGAAGGCTCGACTGCCTCGGAGTGTGCAGGCATTATATCTTCGGCCGCTTCGGAGAAAGGCTGAATATGGCCTGCCAGTCTGTGATCTTCAACTCAGGTCTTATAGTGTCCGCAATGTGGAGTTCTTCGCCGACTTTGCTGTGCGCGCTGCTTATTACTTGAAGCTTCCTGTCTCTGGGCCAGTGCCTCTCCCACGAATTGTTGAACGCTGGACTTTTCCACGGAGCAACTTCGTTCATAAGAAGAGCCAAGAGAATTTCGAACGGATAACCCTTCGTCGGTTAATTCAAGTCAAGGACGGCCACCCTCAGGTCGTACAAGCATGGCTCGCCTTTTTACGAAAACATTCATTCTATGGTGTGGGCCTGAAAGCAAATGTCTATGATCACGAAAGCCTCGGTATGACCCTATGATTTACCTAGTCCTCACCATTGAAACGTCCTTATTCTGATGAAAATTCAAAATTAGATGTTGCCCAGAACATGGATAAACATGTTCCTGAAATCGAGAAATTGCTTGAGCCTTATCTTGCGCAATTTGGTCGGCGGGGTGACGACTCAGCCTCGAGCTCAGTTCTTGATATCCTAGAAAACGAGCGCTTCACTCAAAACAAGAGTCCCTTAACTGATGTTCGCACTCGTTGAATCATCGGAATCGAATATCTCTGTATCATATTCTCTTTTTTTCTAGAATTTCCGTCGAATATTTTTTCTGCCTTGGGTGAACACATGCTCGCTCTCCTTAAAAATCGAACCCTACCTCCAAGATTGATATCAGTAACCTCGTGATATTCTAAGATGGATGCCTTAATACAATGAGTAAACAGAAATGCCGGCAATCATTGACATAAATTCCAATTTCGCGATTATTTGTTACGCTTGTGTCACGTGATCAAGCGAAAGCTCAGAACCTAGTTACCTGTGCAATGTGCATACAGTGCCAACATGATTTGGGCTTAGATTAACTTCGTTGAATCATCCACTCCCTGGCCGCTTACCTGGATATGCAGGCTTCCCGCTGTCTTCAGATTCAATCCTCTAGAATATGGTGTGGAGCAACAAGGGCAATCGCCCAACAGAGTGATGTTGATCATTTACTTAGAACCAATTTCTCCAGATGGAGCAGCTCCAGCGCAGCCCAGGCTTCAGGAGCCAGCCAAGTCATTTTCTCCGGAATTCAGCCAACTGGTGTACCACATCTTGGTAATTACTTGGGAGCCCTGCGTGAATGGGTCAAATTACAGGATAAAGCCGCCGAGGACACCAGGCTGTTCTTTTCGATCGTTGACTTGCATGCATTGACAGTCCCGCAGAATGCTTCCACATTGAGAGGTTGGAGGAGAGAGGCGTTTGCAATGCTCCTTGCTGTTGGCTTGGATCCTAATCGATCAGCAATATTCTATCAGTCTGCTGTACGCACTGCCCGTCTGTATTGTCGGATTTACTGACCGGAATCAGGTGCCTGCACATGCGGAGTTATTCTGGATTCTTAGTACAGTAGCATCCATGGGATATCTCTCCAGAATGACCCAGTGGAAGGTACCTTATCGAAGTGTCGGCGCCATCCAGCGCTGAGAAGGCAATTGATTGACAGCATTTAGAGCAAGCTACAGCTGCCTGACAACACCAATTTGGACGACTCAGCGGCAAGAACAAAATTACGAATGGGACTATTCTCTTATCCTGTTCTACAGGCGGCAGACATTCTAGTCCATAGGTTTGTTTCTCGTTTTCTTGCTGGAAATATCTGGTGTTGATGTAGGGCAGAGCCACTCATGTACCCGTGGGTGAAGATCAGAGGCAGCACCTTGAGTTTTCAAGATATACCGCAAATAGCTTCAATCACAGATATGGATCCATATTCCCGTCACCAGAAGCTCTTATATGTGAGTCAATGATTGCATATATGGCAAGTTCTTACGCAGACGTTGACCGCTATCAACAGCCCCTGCGAGACGGGTCATGTCCCTCAAGGAACCGACAATGAAGATGTCCAAATCTCACGCCGACAAACGTTCCAGGATTATTCTCACTGATTCACGTGATGATATTGTGAAGAAGATCAACGCTGCGCTCACAGATTCGGAACTGAATATAACATATGACCCTGTCGATCGACCTGGGGTGGCAAATCTAGTAGAGATTCTGAGCCATTTTGAGGGAAGATCCTGTGATGAGATAGCCCAGGAGCATCGATCGGCGAGCCTTCGAGCTTTGAAGACCCATCTCGCGAGACGGGTTGCCGACCATCTCGAACCAATACGGGAGAAGTATTTGGCACTTATGGCGGATCCGACTGGCTACCTTGATTCTGTTGCAGAACAGGGCTGCCAGTCGGCACGTGCGAATTCTGAGTTGACTATGAGACAGGTCAGGGAGGTCATGGGACTATAAGTCATCGTGTATTAATATGGAGGTCTTGGATCCGCTGGGTATTCCGGTAGCACCTCCATAACAACGGGTTGTCAATCCGTCATATTATTCTGCTGGCGGTGATGGTGTGGTAATAAAGTTACAATGCGTTGTTGTCCAGGCATACGACCCATACAAAATCCCATCAGCCCTTCTTTGGCACTCCTCCTATGGATGCTGACTTTGAACCTTCAGTCTCCGAGGGCATCGGGGTAATCTATAGCTGTATCTCGAATTTTCCTTCACAAGGGTGAAAACTGACTCGGCGGTGCTGAAGTTTTAGAATAACCAGGGGATGGGATGCGACAAGCCTACTTCATACACATCTTCCACAGCTTGGAAGGGCTTGGTCCTTACCTAAAATTGATTTGTAATGTGGGATACTTACGAAATAATGATTGGTGGGATTAAGTCTTCTGATGTGGTCCATTCTTCATACAACCTATTGTTTCTATTGTTATCACCGTCGTTCTACTACCTAGTACCTACGGTCGTATCTGAAACTTGTAGCCTACTCGTCGGGGAAAACTTTGTTGGTGCCTTGCGGTATTGAGGCTCAATGTTGGTTAAGTGATATAGGTAGTCATTGTTTATGGCGTATTGTATAAGGTAATTGGGCAAAAGTTGGTAGAGAATGGGGTCAGGTTGCCCCAAGGCCGTTGCAGGTCAGAATGTAAACTTTTGGGCATGCCGAATAGAGGTATTCTGCAGTTGTGTAGAGCAGAATGAGAGTGGATATCACCTTAATTCCCTAGAGAGTAAGGTCTACCACGCCGGCCATAAATCTAGTAATCTATTCAGCCTCAGTAGTAAGATGATTTCAGATGACTAAGTAGTAAGAAGATAGAATCTTACTAATCTTTAGGTGTGGTGATTCCTAGATATTAGATGATAGGTCTAAAGCAGGCACTAAACCTAAAATAGATCTCATTACTAACTCACTCATTATAAAAGAAGGGAACAAACTTGTTCCCTTTCAAGGAACTTACAAAGTTGGTAATGCGGTGATATAACTACTTTAGGAGTAGCCTTAAACTAAGTGGGCCAACGCTATACCAAAAGCTGGTTTGCGTTCTGCTTTACACGACTGCAGATTACCTCTAATAATAGTTCGGTCCTGTTACTCATAGTTATGTTAAGCTGACTCGGAAGATGTCGAGATTATATGATGGCTGCGCTTGATTCTGTCATGGAATTGGATGGTATCCAGTGGGCCGTTGAATTGGTGGTAGCCTAGCGCCCGGTCCTCCCGAGTGATCTACCATGGGTAAAGTACGATTCAACATCCAGTTGGTATTCCAGTTATTTGAGCTATGCTCATCGAATCAAGTGCCATCTACCTGATGAACATATGATAGCGCCATGGCCTCTGATCTTCCTACTAACTGGGCTATGAAATTAATATTGCATGGACGTGGTTAGGGTTTCGACCAGTGGATATGATAAGCATGGACCACGAATCATTAAGTAGCCAAGAATGCAGTTAGTGCTTAGCATATATCGCCTAGATATATGTAAAATCCTTACTGTTTACAGCAACGTATTCGTACCACCTAATATGGTGCGCTACAAATTACAAAATATGATAAGCGGCTATTATCCGGACAACAGATTTCTATCAGTATTAGAGCTTATGGTTCTTCCAGAAGTAATCCGAGGGCCCACTGGGATGACGACAACAGCCAGCCGAATCAGCGCGGATGATGATGACGACGATGATAATGATGCGTGGAATTAGTAACAAATCCGAGACTCCCGTATCCATATATGACTACTGTGTGCGCTTGCAACTTTTACTTCTTACCGATCTACACTACATCGACACGGTCATATGTCTAGTTGATATCAACAGCAGCACTGTTCCATCCCACCAGCCTCCACCAAGGTAGAACAGGCGTCAATATCTGCAGTGCTTAATAGCAATTCCACCTATGCATGGTGTATAATAACCGCTGAAGCCTATATGGTCACACTGGTCAGTCACTGCATACAAATATAATCTCAATACCTAAACATGAAGCATTAACAGAGCTAACCTCCACCCAGCGCGGTTGACTGATTGACTGAAACGTGTCTCGCGTAGGCTGAAAATAGAACCATAGTATCATCATCATCATTCTCTTATAAAGATAATGATAATGCGACATCTATGGCGGTCGATACTGGCTATATCTCTGGTCTTCAGTGAAGGGAGCTCCCTGAAACTCCATGCGCGAGATGTCCCTGCTGTTGTTTCACTGGATATCAAACGCAATTATGTGGCGAACCCCGTGACCAGGGACAATGCCAGACGCAAGAGAAATAAGACCGTCGGGCAAAAACTCGATAATGAGGTATGCTTTGCTACACCAGGCGCGATCGAGACCAGATGACGAAGGCTGATTTATGACCAGGAAACACTCTATTCCTGCAATGTGACTCTTGGTACTCCTGGCCAATCACTACGTCTTGTCCTTGACACTGGGAGTAGCGACCTCTGGTGCAACGCAGCAAATTCCACTTTGTGCTCGACACCTGGCAATGATTGCAATGTATCGGGATCATACGATCCCCTGTCCTCGTCGACATATGCATTTGTTTCATCCGACTTCAATATATCTTACGCGGACGGAAGTGGTGCAGCTGGCGACTATGTTACTGATGTTTTTCAAATGGGTACTGCAAAAGTCAAGAACCTCCAGTTTGGAATAGGATATTCATCGAGTTCGCCAGGTGAGTTCCCCAAGATCAAGTTAAATGACATTCGTGCGACCCAAACCCTCACGATGCTTCAAAGCAATAACTTCTACTCACTAATTTGCTTCAAGAGGGTGTGTTGGGCATCGGCTACCCATCAAATGAGGTCCAGGTCGGCCGATTCGGCAAGGACGCCTACGCGAATCTACCACAGGCAATGGTTGAGCAAGGCCTGATTAAATCGAATGCCTACAGCCTCTGGCTAAACGATCTTGACGCAAGCACTGGGTCTATCTTATTTGGCGGTGTCAATACTGAAAAATATGTTGGAGATTTACAATCTCTACCCATACAAAGAGTTAATGGAGGCTACTCAGAATTTGTCATTGCACTAACTGGGATTGCGCTGGAATCCGAGTCGCGGCATAGTGTTTACTCCTCGGATGCACTTCCAGCTGCGGTTCTCCTCGACTCTGGGAGCTCTCTGACCTACCTACCGGATCCCGTCGTGGAAAGTCTTTACAACGATCTCAAAATATCGTATGAACCATCAAGCGGAGTGGGCTACCTACCATGCCATATGGCAGGAAATAACATAAACATCACGTATACCTTCTCACGACCCAGCATCACTGTCCCGATCGACGAACTTGTCCTCGATGCAGGCGATCTTCGTTTCAGGGATGGGGCACGTGCGTGTATCTTCGGAATTGTCCCCGCTGGAGACAGCACTGCTGTTCTGGGGGATACATTCCTGCGCAGTGCATATGTTGTATATGATCTAGCCAATAATGAGATATCCATTGCCAACACCAATTTCAACTCTACGACGGACAACATTTTGGAAATTAGCACAGGCGAAGACGCTGTTCCCGGCGCCACTCAGGTCTCCAACCCAGTTACATCTGTTGTAGCTGACGGCTCTGGCGCGAGGATTGGGCAGCCCACAGGTGCAACCACTTCAGAGGTTCCATCAGAGAGCCAGTCGGGCGCCGCAGTTGCTGGACCAACAATACTTCAGACTCATTTGGCCCTCGGTTCAATAGCCATTGGGTTCGCGGTGGCCTTGTGGTAAGAATTGATATTGGTTTTTATATTTGTTTCACAAGTTACTTTTCAGAATGTGTCGACAGGAATGTACATTCATACACAGTCAATATTGATCCTGCTTTGCCTTGGTTGACTCTAATAACTATGCTGCATAGGCAGCCTATTTAGGGGACCACAAGGATGTTTCTTGTGTATAGAGAGAACATATAAAAGAGAGTGCTCCCTTAGAATAAAATATATATAAAACTGTATAAAACTGTATAAAACTCTTCATACTTATTCGTTCATTCATACTAGAGTATTCAATTCTATAATTATGGATCCTTTTAACTTATTCATTCTTAATTAATTAATTATTATTTCTATACTATATTTTAGCACCGGGCTAGGCCATGCTGGGGCTCTTATTGAGCAGCAGTCATGTATTAGTAATTGCTAACAGCCATCCTATTAAGACTATTGTAATATACTATAGTAGAGTTGGTTGAAATTAGTGTTTAATATTGGGGGTTGCCCGCCTATCTCCCTTTCCTTTAGTTCTTTACTACTACTTATAATATTCTAGACTATTTATTTATTAAATTAAGTAGTAGAAAGAGAGAACATAAATATATTAAACTAAAACTAAAGGATTATTTTAGGTAGGGGTGAACAGCATTTAATCTATCTACATATAAATTATATATTCCTACCTATATATAAAATACTTTCTATATCTAGATTAATATATTTATATTCCCCTTTCTACTCCTTAATTAGATTGCTAGATAGTATTAAATATCATAAATAATAGTAAAGAACTAAAGAGAAGGGAGATAGGTAGATAGCCCCCTAATATTAATTATTAATTTTAACTACTACTCTACCATAATATATTATAGTTAGTAATATATTTAAAGAAGAGTATATTATCTATAACTACCTAGAAGAACTAAACTTTATATATAAGAGTAAAATTATTTATAATAATCGCTAATATTAATCTATAATTATTATATTATTTTTAACTACTTAATTACTAGTTAAGGAAAAGAGGTGGGTATTATCTTTAAAGAATACTAAGAAAGAATAAATATAAATAAAAGCAACTATTATTTTATTTTAAAGGATTTAATTAGAATAAATTAGATCTAGAAACTCCTATCTAAAACTAGTGATCCTAAATTAAGAAAGTATCTAATAAAAATAAATAGCTTTAATAATCTATATATAATATCTACTAAGAATAAGAAGAACTAAGATAAGGATTATTAATTTAAGGATTATTAAATCAGATCTTTAAATAATAAGCTAATAGGTTTCTCTTATAAATATTAATCCTTTATATTACTAAATCTATATTAGATATATAGAGCTAAGATAAATTAATTAATATCTAAATAAGGAATCCTTTTTTAATAAGCTATTAGCTTAAGTCTTTAATTTTTATAAATCTTAATTAAGTAAAAAATAATTAAGGCTCTTGATAAACTTAGTTAGATTAATTAATTCTAAAATATTAATAATTCTAGGCCTAAATTAATATATTTAATTAATAGTTAAGAACTTTAATTTAGCCTTATTACTAGAATATAAGAAAAGATATATTAAGAATTTTATCTAAGACTAGCTAAGAAGGATTAAAGAATATTTTTAAGATATAATTTTAATTATTATATAAGATTCCTCTAATATTAAGAAACTAATAATTACTAAATAAAAGCTAATAAGATAAGCTTAAAAATACTAAGAAATAAATAAGATAAGGATATCTTATAATCTAGTATTAAATATTTATATAATAAGATAATTTTAGGAATAAATTCTTTAATATTTTAAAGAATATAATACTAATAATAAAAGATAAAAAAAATATAATTTTTTTCTATAAAGTATAGATATAATATAAGCTTATATGTTTATATTTAGAGAAGTAACTATTTATATTACTTTATTAATAAAAAAGGTTTTATTAATTTATAAGTTTATTATAAGAAGCTACCTAGAATTATAAAAATAATAAAATAATAATAAAGACTAATATACTATATTTAATAAGATTGGAATCACTATGGTTATGTGATTTCACTAAGGGTGAAGAGAGGGGTAGGCTGGGCCATATCCTCTTCACTATTAGAGAGGATACTCTTATTTATATCTATACTATCTAGTTACTTATATAATAGATGATTATAGATATTATAGAGATTTTATTATTAATCTTAGATTACTAAGATTAATCTAGATATCTACTATCTATTACTACTAATAAGTATTTACTAATATTACATCCTCTCCTATCTAAGGTAAAGCCTATCCTTAGTATTAGTAATTATAAGATTATTATATAGACTACTACTTTATAGTATAAGAATATTAAAGTATTATTATTTAGTTATTTATAAGTATTATTTAATACTAGTTAATATTATTTAGTAAGAGTATAAAGTTATCTAATACTAGAAGGGAGTAGCTTCTATAAATTAATATTAATTTATAGAGATATCTTAAGTATAGGAGTAAGAGAAGAGATCTTATATAGAAAGTAAGAGAGTGTTACTAATATAATTATTATTATAAAAATAAGATAAAGTTATATTTATTATTTATTTTAATTTTATAGTAATAACTCTATTTTTTCTTATTTTATTTAATCCTTTTTTTTTCTTCTTTCTTATCTTTTTCTTCCTTATCTTACTATAATTAAATATTATTTATATCCTTTTTATTATTACTACTTAGTAATTCTATTCTTAGTTTACTTATATAGCTATATTAAAGATAGTATTATTAGTTATCTATTATAATAACATTATTACTTATATTAAGTAGAGTAAGTATTCCCTCTTTATCTTAGTTAGTAGACTAATATATCTAAATAAAATAGGAATTCTACTTAGTGCCTCTAATATTTTATTAGTAAATTTAATAAATCTAGTTTATAATCTAGATTAGTATTTTAATAATAGGAGAGAATTATATATAAGAGAATTTTATAGAAATAATTAAATATTTATTACTCTACTTTAGACTTATAATAAAGTCTATAAGAAGAATAAGTATAAGACTTATTAATAAGACTAAGATATCTTTCTTATTTATATATTAGTCTTTATATATAATAATTATATCTTATTTATAGGCTCCTATAGTAACTATATTTAGAGTAATAGAGGTACTAAGTATTTATTCTAGATAAATGATTTTAAATATTAATTAAATATTATTATTAATAAATAAGTTATTATCAATATTATACTCTTTTCTTTAGTTACTAATAATTATTATAAGTAAATTATTTATTATAGTAGGCTAAGATATATCTCTAGTTATATTTCTTCTCTTATTAATATCCTAGTTAAGGATATTAAGGTAATTAATATTAGTATTAATAAAAATAATTCTAAAAATAATAAGAGTTTATTTATTAATAATAAAAGTAATTCCTCTACTTCTTTTAGTACTAGGAAGACCTAGCCTACTTATTCTATTATTATTTTTATTAAAGTTTATATAATAATAGTATCACATACTCTTATTAGCTAGTAAATCCCTCTTTAATAGTAATCTAATTAGAACTATAGGGCCTTTAGGCTATAGTAGATCTCTAATTACTCTAATAAACCTAGTCTATATCTCTTCTTTAGCCTCTTCCCTATCTAAGGATACTCCTCTACTAAAGTTAATAAAGATTAATAATTATTCTGCTTTTCCTACTCTAAAGTTTAGTTATTTTTTTATTTTTTTTATTATTATAAAGAGTATTTATATTCCTATTTTTATTACTTCTATATAAAAAGTTTAATATGTTAGTTACTTTAAAAAATATAATTCCTTTTCTTACTTTCTTAACTTTAATAAAAACTACTTTATCTTCCTCTTCTACTACTTCTATAGGTTTAGCTCCTATAAAGTTTAGGTAAAAAAATCCTTATAATAGTATTTATTTATTATAGCTAGTAAGCTATACTAACTAGGATAATAATTAAAAGCTTATAATAATTTATAAGGACTTAAAGATATTTATTTATTAGATTAAGACTTAGGATACTAAATTAACTTTAGTTACTAAGGATAATAATCTATTCTAGTAGATAAATATCTTATCATATAGTCTTAATAATATTAAGTTTAATATAGATTTTTAAGCTAGGGAGACTTATCTTTATTAATATTTAATATAAATTTTAATATTTTATATAATTAATTTTTCTTTATAATTAGTAAAATCTACTAACTATTATTCTCTTTATTTTCTTAAGAATATAATTTTAGTATAGTATTACTTCCTAATTTCTATCTATATAAATATATTACTTTTATACTACTCTTCTTACTCTTAATAAAAGAATATTATAACTATAAATAATCCTTTAAAATCTATCTCTCTAGTATCTCTTTAAGATATTAATCTCTTTAGCTCTTTACTTAGGATTCCCTTCTAATTCTTACTATCTAAAATAGTTAAATCCCTACTATCTTATAGTATTAGGGACTTTATTCTTTATTATATAAATTAGTTATTTCTTATTAGTATTCTTTTATTAATATATTAAGTTTTTTATTTACTTATTTTATATAGCTTTACTACTCCCTCCTTTACTTAATATAGATATTCTCTTAACTATTTCTATCTATTATATCTTACTACTATACTTTATAATAATTCCTTATATAATAATATTAGGGGGTTAGCTTTATTATGTATCTTCTATATCTTAATTAGGTTAGTAATTAATAGGCCTACCTTTTATAATCTTATATTAAGATTTACTAATATCTATAAGTACTAAAGATCCTCTTTTATATCTATTTTTATTAATTATTATTTATTAATTAGGTCCTTTAGGTTATATCCTTCTGATTCTTATAATATATATATTTTAAGTAGATAAGTTTTAATTATTTTATATAACTTAAATTACTTACTCTTAAACTTCTAGAGGCTCTTATTTTATATATGAATTTATTAGCCCTTCTTTAAATAAGATTATTTTATTTATATATTATAGATTATCCCCCTCTTTATTATATATTTTAATAGCT